CAAATCCCCTGGTCTGGTTGGTCACTCGGCGCCTCTAACCGGATGGAATCAAGAAAGAAACTCTGCTACGGTTGCTCCTCCGTCCAGCTCCAACATTGTGGCCTCTCCGCTTCCGGTTCCTCCCCTTGTTGTCCCTAGAAGCTTCTCTATACCTTCAAGTCACCAGAGAGCCTTTTCTTCTCAACGGCCTGTTGAGAGGAACGATGATACCGTAGCCGCGTCCCCACCGCTAACACCGATGAGCTTGTCTCGGCCACTTCCTCAAGCCGCGGGAGTTGCTCAGACCAGTCAAATTAGAGGTAAAATGCAACTAAAGAATGTTAAGCTTTTATTATTTGAAACGCCGTTTGTGCGTCTGCATTTACATGGAAAAGGTCGCATTTTTAAAATACAAGCATCTTTATTTATTTTTCTGAGCATACGCCAAACGCAAACGAAAAGTTACCTTTGTGTGTTGTCTTTAGCGTTGGAAATGGATTTTGTTTGTTGTGGATTTATTGAAACCTCCATAGGTTATTGAATCATGCAGGAGTAGGAAAGCTGATCGAACGATGAAGCTGCCGCGTCTGCGTTTGACTGAAACGCTGGTTGTAGAGAATTTAGAGATCTCCACAAATGAATATAGTAGTCAGTGTATGTATGTATTCTTTAGTTGGTTAATTTTTCGTTTTTTTTTCTTCTCCAATGTAAATCTGAAGCCTCTGTTCATTTTTAATCTCTTCAATGTTCTTCTTTTATCCCTTCAACTGAAAAAAAAAAAGGCAATTTAATTCAATAAATAGTGAAGATTTTATTTTATTTAATTCCAGAAAATATTGGAAAAGAAAGAAAATTATCACGTTGAGTTGATTGTGTTAAGACATACGTGGCGGATATCGAGGAAGTAGGGAGGAGAGAAGGATTTCGTCGTCGTCGTCAATGGATATCTCTGCGTCTGCTTCTCTAACTTCCTCTGGATTCGTTCCTCGTCTTCTTCCCTTGTTCAATCCTCTAACTCGAACTATCTCCTGCTCAGCGTTGCTCTCTTCTTCTTCCTCCTCTGTTAGACTCATTTCTTCTCACAGACGTATAGCTCCGTCTCTGTGTGTCTCCGATCAATCTGCCTCTACCGGTTAGTTTTTCAATCCCTAATTTGGAAATTAAGAGATGCCTAAGCCTAGCTTTACTTTTGCTTATTCTTCTTCTGGTAGATAACCATTCGTCTCGTTGGTTTGTCCTTATGAAAAATTCTTTCAATCGCTTAGTGTTCGACGATATGTCTACTGTTGAATTAGTCATTTTGTGCTGCTTTTTTGTCCCGAAATTCTCTCACATTGGTGCTGCGAGTAATTGCTTCTCAACGAAACGGAAAAATTGTATGAAGTTTTTGTAGCTGATTGATCCATTTCTCATACGAGTTATCCAATTTTTTGTTGTTGTTGGATAGGGATCAATGTTGTTGATTCGGATCCCGTTGATACTGTTAAGGTGAGAGTTTTCACAGAACCAACTTACAAAATGTAACCAGCTTTTGCTTCCTCTTACTTTAACCATTTCCTTCTGAAACTCAGAGGAAAGCTATGGACATTGCCCCTCAGCTCAAAGGAGCTTCAATATTTCTGGTTGGTAAGGCCGGCTTGGCTACGATTTAAGCTGCACGCTCCATTTTTTAAACTAAATGTGTACTTCATATGGACGGACACTGATGTTTGAGCTTTCACGATCTGTTTATAGGGATTAATAACCCTGTAAAAACAAACTTGGGGAAGCTTTTGGCAGATTCATTACGATATTACTACTTTGATAGGTACGTTCGTTAAAATCCAATTTACCATACATATGAGGTACTTTGTGGAATCTAGTTATGTTAAGCTTTAAGCTCTCTCTTTTGTGGTCCTTTACCTCTATAACAATAGGGGTTACCACCACCTTGATTCTTCTCTTCCTCTTGATAAGTTCTCGTTGAATGGTTTTAAGTCCTTTCACACTGTCCTTAACTTTAGTTTACTCTTACTGTGTAGTGATAATTTGATCGCAGAGGCAGCTGGTGGAAATGTATCCGCTCAAGCTTTAAAGGAAGCTGATGAGAAGGCTTTTCAGGAATCAGAGGTAAACTCGAAGTCACTTTCAAAATCAATCTGTATGTTACATAATGGTTTTTGATGATGACTCTCCAACATGTTTCTGCAGACGGAAGTGCTGAGGCAGCTAACATCTATGGGTCGGCTTGTAGTTTGCGCTGGAGATGGTGCGGTACAGGGCTTGAAAAATCTGTAGGTTCTATACAAGTCGCAGTGGTTTCCCTCTAGCAGTTCGAGCTTTTAATCTTCTTAGACTTTTATAAATTTCTCTTCTGTCTGTTCACATTTGATGGTAAATGCTTGAACAGTGCACTTTTAAGACACGGGATCTCCATATGGATTGATGTTCCTCTGGATATCGCGGCTAAAGGGAATGATTCATTCAACTCAGAACCTATCCCTGAGGTCTTTCTTCTTTCTTTAATGTGACCTGCTTAATCTTTCTGTTGGCGTTATTACAAAGATACTGACCTTCATGATGGATGAACACAGTTGTTTGAGTCGCTAAAAGCGAGTTACGAAAAATCAAGAAATGGCTACGATACAGCAGATGCATCCATTTCCCTTGAAAGTAAAGATTGAATGCATAAGTCCATAATATTATCCTTGATGACAGTTTTATTGGATGACTGATGCTGTTTTTGTTCTTGGAAACAGGAGTAGCTACAAAGCTGGGATGTGATGACTTGGAAACGGTAACTTCTGAAGACATTGCTTTGGAGGTAAATTTTAAGCCGTGTGGTTTTTTGTTCTCTTTTCATATTGACTTATGATTACAAATGTGGAAAGGTTCTGAAACAATGTTCTTCAGGTCCTGAAAGAAATAGAGAAGTTGACCAGAGTGAAGAAAATGATGGAAGAAGCCTCTCGACCTTTCTAGGTTGATTTTCACTCACTCAAGCATCGTAAAATCTGTCAATTTATAGGTTTTTTTTTTAAAATTCATATGATTTCTTTGTATATCATCGACATTAGTTAAGCATTTTGCTCAAAAATTAAGTGTTTTTTGCGTTTATTTCACTCTTCAAGTGAACAAAACTACAGTGACGACTGACGTGTGACTGTGAGGCTCAGCTTTGGGTGGAGGAGAATTGTTTGTCGTCTCTCACGTGAGATCACGTGTTGGGCTTATTCTACTGATCCACTAAAATGTGGGCCCAAAATATATGGCCCACTTAGGGATAAGACCGTGAAACAGAGAAAGTGCAAAAAAGCTCATCCCAATTCCCAACAGCTTTTTGTCTCTCGTTGTTTTTTATTGTTTTAAAAAAAAACATTTCTCCATTTTTTCCTGTTCGTTGGAGTCGCAATATTCGGTGTCGGTAAAACAATAAAAACGGTAAGATTTACAGATTATTAACGTAAATGCGCGTATTTTGTCTGGTATTTTCCTGCCAAATTTGTGTTTTTGTGTTTGTTTTAAACAAAAGAATCAAAATCCGTAGATATTTAGAATGTTTAATCTGGGAAATTCGTATCTCGATAAAACAAAACGTATAGAGAAAAAATGTTTAATTAGAAGAAAAAGAAAAGGAGAGCGATGGTAATGGCGATGAGTTATTGGGATTTGTTTATAAACAGACGAAAGATAAGGGACGAAGAGGTACCTCCTCCTCCTCCTCCTGCCTCTTTCTCTCACCCAAATATTCTTCTTACCTTTTTTTTTCTCCTCCTTCTTTTTTCTCTTTTGGATTCGTCTCTTCCTCTTCTTCATTCGATTTCAGTTTGATTCTAATTCTTACTAATCGAACCAGAGGTTTAGGTGAATGATTCCGATTTGTTAGACTTCGTCTGAAATGTTCGCTTGAACGGATTTTTGTAATCCATTGCTTAATCGGTGCGTCTTTTCGAGATTTCTGTTTCGAAATTGTTTTCTGCGTTTTTCTGTGTTTTGATCAATCCGAGTTTCGTGGTTGCATCGGTTTTACGAGCTTACGATGTTATCGTCGATGGTGGTGATGTTATGAGCTGCTTTGTTTTCTGGGGATTTGAGTATTTTTTTGCTATGAGAAATTTATATTGATTTGATCACAAGTTTATGCCGTGCAATTTCTGGTTGATCGTGTCGCGTTCATGATCTGCTCCAAACTTTTGATCATGATACGTTTAATCATTTCGTTGTTCTCCAGAGATTTTGTGGCTGTGTTCGATCGTTTGTACTTTGCTCAAAAATTATACACGTGTTCTAGTGATGTTTGCTTGATACCTATATACTGAGAAATTATGAGGATGATTTTAGTTTTGTGAATTTACTGCTTCTGAATCATGATTTTGGGTTATATTTGTTGGAATGGCTCGTGTTGTTTGATCTCGTCTTCTTGCTTAAAACTCTGAAAAAACTTGTTAAATCTACGAATGTTTCCGGATCATGATTTGTTTGATCGTTTCTTATCCTTTTTAACTGGAAATATGTCATAACATTTTTAGCATTAAAATTTCTTCAATTGTGTTCTGTTGAAGTGTTGATGCTTAAGCTTAAGAATCTCTCTGAACAACTTTTGGACTACTACGTCCTAATTATGCTTGATATGTTACTGATTCCGTTTCACTATCTTGTTCATTTCAGGAAAGTGTAACTGCAATGAACTCTGTATCCGTCACTCTCAAATTCCATGTAGCTCCAGAATTCTCTAACATAAACCACCGTCGAATAAATGTTAAGTTTATGCCAGTCAGTAGGCAAGCAATGCTCGAGCTGTGGATGCCTGTGACCGATACATAGTTTTAGATTTAATTTGTTCTGCTAGAGGATAGAGGTAGTCAAAGATTGTTATTGCAAAGATTCGGTAGTTTCTAGGGAGTTTCTAGGGATTTGGAAACTGACATCGCAGAAGTTCCTTTGAGCATTGGTTATGGGTCTGCCACAGACTGCTTCAAGCGAGCAATCCCATGAAGCTACGTCTGCACCAAGTTGCAGCCTTTCGCAAAGTCTGCCTGTGTACGCCACTTCCCATGATTCAGATGGCCTTAATAGAGGAAGTGAGGGAGGCATCTGCTCTTCCATTGGAGAATTTGTTAGGAAAACATCACTGGAGCCTCTAGAGCAGACAGATGATTCGTGTAGATTCCATGGCACTCGTGTTGAGACCTCGTCAAGTGCTCAGGGATCGACTAGCTATGCTGCTGATAAGGTTGGTTCGAGTCTCACTGGAGCTAGAAGGATAGTTGGTTTTGCATCAAGCGAAACTAGCTCAGTGGACAACAAACAAACGAGTGTAGCTGTTGGAGTTACAGGAGTAGATATTGGTGGTGGAGCGTTAGTGAGGAAACGAGTACTCTCCCCTCTGAACACTCTCTTCCCTGTGAAATTCAGAGGTGACCTGCTTGATATCAGCTGTAGTAGTAACCACCAGCAGATTACTTATTCTGGTATCTCTAATGGATTCTGCAATTCTGTCGCACAAGATCACAAAAAGGTTAATCTCGCTAGTAGGTTACATCTCTCAACCACTCCTACGTCCACATCCACAGCCACTTGCTGGGAGTGGAAGAATGCCTCAGACGGTGGTAGACTCTCGTCCATGGTCTTCTCTGATGGTCCATTGCTTGACTCTGTAGACCTCCGCAGACCCACTAAAGGCGAGGTTTGCTTATATTCGCCAGTATATGAAACGCATGGAATACCGAATATGCCATTGCCTTGTGATAAGGATATATCTGTCTCTCCACCGCTTTCTATGTCACCACTTGGTCCGAAGTTTTCTGAGAGGATAAAAGCTGTAAGAAGTGGCCAAAATGGGAAGGTAGTTGAAGATTTAAGGAATATCAGTGAGGAAGCAGGATTAAGGATTGAGCGTAGATTGTTTGACGATGCGTATGCTCTTAGGAGAGCGTTCTCGATGGACAGAGGTATTGAATCAGCTCCTGCTTCTCCGTGTAAAAGGTTCAGTAGAAGCTTGAGTGGACGTCCCATTCAGAGGTCATTGGTTGGTTCTTTCGAGGAGTCACTCTTGACTGGAAGATTGTCATGCGGGACAACAAATCAGGTTTTCATCACTAATTCTGATGCTTTGATGACTCCACTTTATAGGTCTTTAGATATTTACATTCTTGAACTTGCGTAGGTCTCTATTTATGGAAGAAAAATGAGCAGCTTTAGAAATTGAGGACTTGTAAAACTGGCTATAGCAGAGGAATGTGTATGTTTTAATGTCGTAGTTATCTCCATCCTGCTTAGTGCTTATGCAAAAGCCAAAGACGCAGAACTAAGCTCCTTTGAGTAAAAAAGGTTTTTATTTCTTTGTTGAATTAGGCTCTTGACTTGTGTCTGCTATTTTTTGGTACAGCAGATTGACGGTTTTCTTGCCGTTCTTAGTATTGCTGGGGGAAACATATCGCCAAAATCACAGAAGCTTCCATTCTCAGTAACCAGTGTTGGTGATGATTGCCTCTTGCTATACTATGCCTCCATAGATCTCGCTGGAGGATCTAAATCGAGCAAATTCTGGGGACAGAAGATGAAAACAAGTCAAATAAGCTCTGATGCTCAGAGTTCCAAGAGCCAACTTCGGATCCCCATTAAGGGTCGGATACAACTGGTATCTCCCCTTTCTATTTGCTTTTTGCTCTATTAATTCTGCATTTAACATATATGCTGTGGCCAAAAACTCATTTGAAGGATGGTTGCAGTAGTTTTCTCGTGTAAAAGTAGCGGTTTAGCAGCTGCAAGTCTCCCTAAATTCCAAATAACCAAATGCTTATGCAATATTTTCAGCAATTACTGATGATTGTTTTGATCATCAGAGTATAGTTTACTAGTTTAGTATTTCGATCGTCACCTAACCAAATTCCACTTAAATCTCAGAAAATTGGAGACGAAGAAACAAAACGGTGATACGATAGATTGAGATCTCTGATCTGGATACACAAATCAGCAGAAAATCCAACAAAACAACGTAATCGGATCACTAAAATCAGTTCGTCACTATATAAAAACGAAAACAATCAGCAAAAACACGGAAATGCGACGAAGATTTGCAAGGAAAACAAAGCGAATTAGCAAAAATCCGAGCTACAGAGAACCGATCTAAGTGCTACATCAGTTCTGGAATTCAATCGATCAAGTAGAATTACATGAACAGCAAGAGTGGAGAAGTATGCCATTGCAGAGAAAGAGAATTGACGGCAGAGAGTTTTACCTTAGATTCTTCTCGAAGAAAAACGACGATTCACCGGATAATCGAGCGACGATCCTACTAGTTCTCTCTCTCTCTCACACACCCAGGAACCTCGCTAAGCTATGGCGCAGGTTAGGGTTTTAAAGCTGAATCTCGAATAGAAGCGAGAGAGAGAGAGAGCGACGTGAGAGCAAAAGAAGAGAAAAGTGCCTTTTGTAGAATGTGTATAATTGTACGTTTGGGATGTTAAGTACGTTTTACCGGTTTATTGTTATTCTTCTCTTCCGCATGATTAATAATTAATTTAATTTCCGCATCTTTTATCAAAAATCGTCTCCAACTACAACCGCTTTTAGATATTTGCATAATTCTACATAGAAATTTCACTAGTATAAATTTAGGGATGAAACACACCAAGAAAAAAAAATCCGCAACCAGTAAACCAAGCCTAAATAGTTTAATCAAAACTGAACCGAAATTTGTTTCTAAACCGGTTGATGTCACTATTGAAAAGTACAAAAAGAAAAAACGAAACCATTTCTTAGTATAACGAAGAGAATCAACAACTTTATATTTTAAATTAATATATGTTCAGAAAAATATATAATACTAAATTTGATAATAAATAAAGGGAAACTTTGTTTATACTTTCAAGCTATATTTTCTTGACAAAAACCAAAGCAAAACCTCCGAAGATCAAAATGGATTTGAATCAAACAGAACCGAATCACAAATGATTTCAAATAAATTCACTCTTTATAGAACCGAAGAAACCGAACTAAAACCCAACCATAAACCGGATCACCCTTCATTTTCATTGTCAAATGTCTCCTATCAGATCTCCAAGTATTTGGCTCCAAAATATGTATATAGTTTAAATGGTTAAAAGAAGAAGAAGAAAAAATCGATCTTGACATATTTGATACTCTTTAAATTCTCTAAAGACTTCTTAAACAAACAAAAAGAGCGCATGAAAGGGAAGAAAGAAACCTTTCTAGATTATTTTGAGCATTTCTACTTTGCTAAAAGGTAGCTTAAGTTGACAAACACAAGAAACAAAATGTATCGGTTCTTTTGTAACGATCTAAACCGGCATCTTCAGTACAAGCTGACCCTCCATAGCACTGCAAACATGTTAATAGAACACATCAACAACATTGCCAAAACGGTACAACAAAGTTAATCATTTGTCCATCATCATCAGGTTCACATATAGTCGATATATATATATATGTATACCTTTTGACATAGTAGTAGCAGAAGTCGGCGAGGATGAAGGTTTGAACCAGCTCGGCTAATAGAGCCACCGGTAACCAAAAGTAACCAGCCCCGACCAGCCATAGGTAATGTCCACGAGTGTCATAGACCTACGTTTTGAATCATAGCATTATATTTATTAGTCTCTTGAAGTAATTGACCATTGAAGCTTATACTGGTCTATAAGGAGGAAGAGATTTAATTTACCTGGATAAGCCAATGAGCGCATGCCAAGAATCTAGCTACTCCCAACGCAAACACATAATGAGCTGTGAAAGGCTCTATGATCTGAAATGATTGTTCAAGAACATGTTAAAAAAACATTTAATAACCAGACTAATCCTAAAATCTGTAGAAAACAAGGTTCTATTGCCACTTAAAACATCTACATTGGCCAATATGGACGAATACTCAACCACTATATCATCATATTTAGTGAAAAGATTAACTCTACATTGGCAAAAAATAATCAAAAGCTATATAGATATTTCAAAAACCAGCATAAGTTTTGGACCTAAATCAAGACTAATCCTAAAATCTGTAGAAATCAAGACTTTCTTGCCACTCAAAACGTCTACATAATCTATACATTGACCAACATGGAAGTGTAGTGGATGAGATTCGATCCATTGTATTGACCAACAAGAAGAGATACTCAAACACTAGATCATCATATATTTGGCTAAAAGGCTAACTCTATACACTGGAAAAAAAGTAATCCAAAGATACATATAGTTATGTCGAAAAGCGGCTTACCTGCGCATTTTGCATCAACCGAAGCTGAGGTAGAACAGAGACAGATTCCGAGTAAACGCAAAACGCCCACATCACTCTATAGATTATATGATAACTCGTACTCGGATGGATAAAGAGGGCAAGGATAGCAGATGGAACAAGCTAGTGAAGAAAAGAAAAAAAGAGAGAAACATGTTACATAATCATTTTGATTCTTGAGAGTTGAAACCAACAAACAAACTAACAAAACCACATTCTTTTTAAGTTTAAAGAGCATATACATTACCACATAGTAATTGTAGCAAGTGTCGAGAGACTTTATGTAAGTTGCTTTGAGCTTGTAACGAATCATAAAAATGACCCATAGAGTCGAAACCAACGAGGCGAAGTCGAGAATTGTATGTATATCACCTTCCATGCTTATGCTGCAGCCCAGTCTCACAAATAGAAATGCTGCTGTCACTTCTTGAGACTTTAAAGAAAGACCTAATAATCACATCATTTTCACATTTTTTATCAGCTAAACCAAAATAGGGCTTGAAGAGAGATTCCACAACGTTTTGACTCAATATATAAACATAAATGTTCGCATTTCTATATTCCGAATTATCAAGCACACAAGTATAATTACATAAAAAAAAAAGAATAATGATTGTTACCGGAGCAAGTCTTTTGGCGAGTGAGTTTGTAGATGAGGATTAAGATTCCGGCGGCATGGATGAGCTCGGAGGCGATGAAAAAGTGTTGGTGATTCTTAACGGTTAATTTCAGAAACACGACGAGGATCAGGGACATGATAATCCCCAAAGCTATCTTGACCTTGCTCGATTGCTTTCTGACCCATCCGAAAACCACGTTCACGGCGGAGACGCCTCTTCTCTTCCCCATTTTGATTTGATCGAAGATTACCAAATCTCTCTCTCTCTCTCTCTCTCTCTCTCTCTCTCTCTTTTTCTCTCTCTCGCTCTGTGTTTTGTGTTTCAGAGCTTTAATGCGATGTTCTCTGAGATTGAAGGATACGTTTTGTTGAGTGAGCGGTGACACGACGAGGGCATGCGGTCGATGACGTGGCGATTTTATTTTTTGATCTGATGAACCAATAGTATTACGACATGTGTGAATGATGGTTGATTTTTTTAGTATTAAATCTGAATATGAGTCTTGGCTTGGATTTGAAGGCCTTGTATAAGGAAACAAAGTTATATATTTGACTATTTTATTGCCCGTTTTGCAAGATTGTTATCGGGAAATAATGTAAAGGCCATAATCAGAATCTTGGACCAGAAAAATGGTTAAACTTTTTTAAAAAGTAATAATAATTTGGATACCGGCCTTGGATCGAAATATATAAATGTAATCAAGAAGGCTGGATTTGGACCTGCCTTTTTACAATTTTATTATTTATTTAAATTAGGGTTTGGCCCGCGCGACACGCGGATAATGTGTATTACAAACTATTTAATAAAATATAAATTCAGATTTTCAGAATTATATATTTATTATATGTTTATATAGTTATCTTTTTTAAACTCTATCCACATAATTATAAATTATTTAAGAAACATAGAAATAATTATTGGTGAAGAGATTTCAATCACCAATATCACTATCCAAGCATTTGTTAACTAATGAGTAGATTTCAATAAATAAAATGATAAAGGAAATTTTTCAGGTTTAATGACCCTCTTTAAGAGTAATAATTGACCATTTAAATTATTTATCTTAAGTTTGAAGTAAATAAATCATGAAAATTAATTAGATTAACCTTATATCCTTGTAAAATGTAGAAAAAAAAGAAGCATATAACAAATTTTATCGTATATTTTAGTTTGTTTACTTCTAAAATAAAAGTAAAATGATTTTGTAGACCAATAATTTTTTTCTTTTTGCAATTCATAAACTATATTTTTTAATATATTTGTTTGACCCCTATTAAAAAAAATTCTAGCTCCGCCCTGATTGCATCCATGGTTTTGCTCCGACCAGTAAAAAAAAAAGAGGAAATACTTCGAAAAAAGAGAAAAAAATCCGATATTAATAATTAATAAACTTATACATATGTTTGACAAAACAAAATAATAAACTTATACGTATAAACGAATAGAGTACTTGAATATAAAGGAGTGGATATGGGTGCATATAGATTAGTAGGGTGACCAACGCATTTCTAACTTCTTACAAACCTTGAAAGTATCAAAATTGTCCTATCGAAAATATCCCTAGTTATTATGAAGACCTAAACGTACATTCTGTAGACTTATTATTACTAAACCCAAAAATGATAAATACTTGTAGACATGTAGTGAAAATTATTTTATACTTCCTACATATCCTCCTATCCATCATTATTCAAAATCACTTAATTATACAATTCAAAGATCGCAGGGATATATACGTTGAAAAGTTGAAACTATCAATCAAATACCCAATATCACCAACTTTTATAAAACACACAAGTTGAATAAAAGTTTCTGAATTTTGTTATATAGTCCTTTCATGCATATTTATTTAGTCCATAAGCTGATTATAAGTTTCTATAACTTTCATTTTTAGTCCTTCAATTCAAAGGGTTTTTGATTTTTGATATTTCTTGTTTAATCACGTTAGATTTCTCCCCTATGCTCTTTTTTTGTTTTTTTGTTTTTTTTTGTTGTTGTGCAAACTCTTTTCTTCTTTTCTCTCTCTCCAATTTAGTAATCGATTCTCTACGTGTTTCAGCGTTAGTCTTCTAGATCTCTAGCTTCCTCTCAAACCCCTTCCACAATCCGATCTCGTCACCGTTCAAAAGCCAGGAGCGATTCTGGGGATTCTGGGGAAGCCATTAGAAGACTTCAACAAGCTTTACACCATCGGAAACGAACTGGGCAAAGGTGGCTTCGGCGTAACTTACATGTCCGAGGAGAAACTCATTGGCCATAACTACGGCGTCAAATCCATAACCAAGAGGAAGCTAATCATCGAAGGCGACAAAAAAGCTGTCAACACTGAGATCGAGATATTGAAAGATCTTTCGGGAGTCTCCAACATCGTCTTTGATCGCTCGGTAAATCCATGTGACAGCGTCGTTTTTCTGGACAGCAATCGTTGATTTTCAGTTTCGTCGCTCGGTAATCCTCGTCGAGTTCACGGATTTCAAAGGCAATTTTACCTCAATCGCTGCACAATGCCTCCATAAGCTTTCTTCGCCGAACAACAAGTTTACCTTAGTCATACCTTCAATTACCTCGTGAAAATGGATTCAGTAAGTCAAAATCTTTCTCGATCTATGGATTTGATGCGAATAGCTTGTTTGAATTTCGATTTTATTTCTAGTGGGCGATGAGGTTTCTGTGCAAGGCAAAGGAACCGATCGGAGTTTACTTTTCTGCAGGTGAATGAAACAAGTGGAACAGATGAAATCATGATCCTTAACATTCTTAAACAAGCAACATCTAAGGTAATTTACAATGCTTTGGGGTTAAAAATGCTGTTATTCACAATGCTTAAGAGTGTGTGCGTGTGTATCTAAGAAGCTTCTTCATAATGAAAGTCTATATGCTTCTAAAAACAGAGAAAACACCAAGATTTATCCTTCTGTTGCTCAGACCACACACCAAGATCTAAGGTATGATTTTTCTTTCCTCGTGATATCATCAAAAGTATTGATTTTGTAATTTATATAATTATTATGTATTTTGAAATTGGCATCTAATTTCAGGTCAGGTAAAACAGCAGTTTGAAATCTTTGGAAAGGAGTATACAAAGAAAAATTGTACTTTCTCCATGTAATAGAACAAAGTAAAATAAAATTGTATTTTTCATATAATGTGAGCGACATTTGTATTGGAAATTTCTGGTTTATTAATTGAAAATTTTATATGGATTATTGATTATTTGATTTTGTTTTTGTTAATTAATTATACAATAATTAGCTTAAAAATGTGGATGGTCATGCGTCGGTTATTAATGGCCATGCGTTGGTTTTATAAACCGACGTGAGTTTTGGTTTAGGGTCACTTAAAACCGACGTGAAATTTTATTAAACTGACGTTAAAGTTTCGACGTTAAAGTATGCGTCGGTCGGCAAAATGACGTTAATTATTTTAGCATCATGCAATAACACGACGGTTTTGGAACCGATGCTAATTTGTTTACGTCGCTTTATAACCGACTTTAAAATCAATAAAACCGACGTTAAACGCCGTGTCTCGTGTAGTGTATGACCACCCTTCCTGTCCGCCACTGGTTACTAATCTCCAATAAACAATCAATATATATATATATATATATATATATATATATATATATATATTTATAACCAATCCAACTTAAAATACATCACAAATTTTGTTAAGCCCTTTCAACATCATAACAATTGCATTGGTTTGCCATTTTCAAATAAACCATTATATGACTTATGGGGGAAAATAGTTTTGATCACATCATTTGTTTTATATGATTTTACAATATAAATGAAAAAATAGGTTTTAGCCTTTTAGGAGACGGATCTCGATAAAAGGACATGAACAGTAACACTATATACTCGGTAATTGAATTGAATGAATTTACTGTATAAAATGATTTTTTTTTTTGTTTTACAAAAACTCGATCTTGTAGATCGAATTTGAAAGAATAAACAAATACATCAACAATAATTATAAAAAATATATAGAACGGCATGTATATGTATGAAAGCAAAACACGTCGGTCCCATGCAGAAGAAGGATCAATGTAAAGGGACGTTGTCATGTGAGGTCTTAATTACTCTCGTTTGCACCGGTTCAATATGCTGCAACCACGACTATATGGGTTAGCAGCAACACGAGGTTTGATGTGGGAATTTTGAGGTGGGCATTCTGGGGGAGGATTAGGGCCTTGGCATGGGTGAATCACGCCTGGATTTAGAAACTTCCGGCCACCTTTCTTAGCCTCTGATTGATTCATAATCAAAGAGGCACTAATCACCAACAACAATATCACCCATGTTGCCTTCATTTTTATTTATCTTCAAATATGATTGATCCTTCTTCCTGTTACTTTTTGTTGTTGTTGTTTTATTTTATTTTTGTTGCTGGTTCATATATATAGAGCTTAGAGCGTACACTAATTTTAGCTAATCCATATTTGGAGAAAGCACAATCTAAAAGTAAACATGTTTAAATTGAATTCTTTGGGAGATTCTTCCATAGAAGCAAAACGCTGGCTCTTGACCTTTCTTTTTCTATCTCTATTTTGTATCTTGGTTTTAGACTCTCCGTTAAAAGTAGAATAATCTTCAATAACTTCCAAATAATAGATTTTTCTCTTTTTTTCAATAGTACAATTTTTCAATTGGATAAAACAATAAAAAGGAAAAATAATGTGTACATCAATTTTAAAAGAAAAAGAATCAAGAACCAATACACAATGGTTTAGAGTAATTAGTACAACTCGGGCTTCAGCCGAGGCTTAACCATAACTTCAACCGGGTTGATCTTTGGCATGGCTAAACCGGGCCCTTCAGCCATATCCAAAGGTCCATCAGACAACTTGCGTAACTCAAACCCCTGAATCAACCGAGCCAACACTAAATGAACAATTCTTAAGCCAAGATTCATCCCTGGACAAGACCTTCTTCCTGTTCCGAACGGAATATACTCAAAGTCGCTCTTTTCACATCGCGATTTCTCCTCCAAGAACCTCTCAGGCTTGAATGCTTTAGGGTCAGGCCAGATCTTGGGATCCCTGTGAAGTTTCCAAATGTTTACAAGCAAGCGTGTGCCTTTCTCAACACGGTATCCTCCAAGTAAACAATCTTCACTTGCTTCCCGGATGCCTAATCACCCATCATTTTTCATAGCCACATAGGTTTAGCATTTGAAAGACTAATAAGGACATGTAAGAAAAGAGACAATCAAGAGTCTATGTGACCTGTAAGAGGAGCCGGTGGGTATAGCCGGTGAGTTTCCTTGACAATAGCTTGTAGGTACTTGAGGTCTTGTATATCGGATTCTTCAATCCATCTCTCTTTCCCGACCTTATTTTCAATCTCTTCTTTTGCTGCTTTTAAAGCAGTCGGATTGTTAAGCAGCAGCGATACTGCCCATGTCAACGTGATGGATGTGCTGTCTGATCCCGTTAATGTAAGAACCTACAACAAGAAACATAACATTTTTCTCAAAGCCAACTGGCAATGAACCAACATGATATTTAAAAAAAAAAAAAATTATTTTCATGAACCTATAATCGATGTGAGACTTTTTAAAAATATATCTAAATTAACAAGAGTAATAAAACCGTTCCTACCAAAATAGTTGCCTTGACAATGATATCGCGTACATGTCCACCTATCACAACATCTTCTGGTAAGATGTCGAGCAATAGATCCATGATAGTCTTCTCTTGATCCTTTTCGTTTCTTGATCTCTTCTTGAGATGTTCTTGGAGCCACTTAGTGATGACCGAGTCAAGCTTCTTAGACGTTCTCTTCATTTGAGATATTTTCGCAAAATCCAACCAACCTAGCCATGGAATCATATCGCCTATCATGAAAACCGCAGCCAAGTACTCACTATGCTTCATCGCCTCCTTGTAACGCCACTCTTCGCTATTCACTTCGCCGAATCCAATCCTCTTCCCGACCATCTTCCTAAGGATTATATTAAAGGTCAGAAACTCGAACAACATGTCAATCTTCACCACCGAAGTACCATCACTCCCTTTGTATAGGTGTTTGATCAACTCGTTAACTTCGGAATAACGAATGTGGCCGAGCATCTGTATACTCTGGTTCGAGAAGAGATGGACGGTGGTGATCTTACGTAGCTCACGCCAATAGTCTCCGTAGGGAGCCACTGCGAGGGCTGCGTTGTTGTAGCCTACGTAACGACCAAAGGCTATATTGGGTCTGGTGGCTAGAACCAAGTCGTTGGTGGTGAAACAATCTTTGACGGTCTCGGGGTCGTTGGCTACAACTAGCCTGTGAAATCCTAACTTGAGAGAGAAGATAGGACCAAGTTTGTCGGACATGGCAGCTAGTTTCTTGAAGACGAGTTCTTTACCGCGCAGAAGGTGGAGGTGGCCGAGTAAAGGCAAAGCTCCCAGTGGCTCAGGGATGGTTGAGTTGTTAACTTCACATTTACTCGGTTTTTTTAGAAAAACGTAGCCAGCGATTACAAGTGCCAAAGAGAAGAGTGAAATTCGGAGAGTACTAAAGAGAAGAATCATGGTGGATGTGTTTGAGGTATGAGAAACGTATATCTTTCTTTTACGCTTGTATATATATAATCTCACTATATGTATGTCAGTATGGATGACATATATAACAAAAAATGATGCGTAAGGATGACATCATCTAAGTATGGTTGTATAAATTGATTGTTTTGGACTAACTGTATCGTTCATTGACAACAAAATGAGCTGAAGAACGACGTTGATTATTATTATCAGTTGATTTTTTTTTTCTTAATAAAATTAGTAAATTAGCTAGCGTTTGTTTCAGCTAAAACGTCAAAGCTTACAAAAGAAAGAAAAAAAAAATGAAACTAGATTTTGAACTTTTATCAGCCCTTCACCAAGAAACGAAATCATGACGAAATGCGAAATGAAACTAGATTGAACTTTGTTTATAACTGTTTAAAATTACCAATTTTAATCTCAACAAATTTGTAACAATTGAATTCCATGTGATACGTACTGATAAGAGCCCACGGTTGGTCGGCTACGGAGCTAGCTTGGGCATTGGTCCTTGATAAGGATCCAAAGAGACCATCAATTTTGTGGGCCACTGATATTGTTTTTGATTTTTTTCATTGAGGTCCCCTATACGTAAACCACATGAACCACACATGAGAAGCAAAAACGACGTGAGCAGTACGAGTTGTTGTTAGTCGTTTAATTATCTTGATGTGGCTACCCTTAAATGTCGCAAGTTTCACATCTGAAAGAACATCTATAGATACCAATTTCCAGATATATATGACGCGAAACAAAACAGAAGTTAGGTTTTATTATTTATGGTGTTACGTAGTAGGACTGTAGGACAGAAGCACGTTATATGATGCTTCATTGGTCACAGAAAAACGTGAAACATGTACGACTGATGTGATCCCAACGAATGGAGTATGCATGTATAGTGGAATGTGTACGAGATGAGTTAATTTAGATTTTTTCCTTCATCCGGCATTTGACATTAGTAGCTGTAGTTATGATTCTATAGTAGTCTCATATATTTCATTCCTCAATGCAAATGCACACTACGGTTTTTAGACTTTTCCCTATACTCTCTCCATGTACTTCATGCATTGTATACCATGCATATTGCGGAAAACTTTTGTACATCAAGAATAATATATAGTTTCTTAAAATGAAAAATATATGGACTTGTACAATTGACAATTCTACCATTTTTACATACATAAAAGAAAGAAAAATGAACCCAACAGTCTCTCTCTACGCATACTTGATCGAACAATAAGCAAATTATATTCATAATTCATTTGCATATTCATCCACCTTGGTCTTACAGTGGAGAATATAAGTTTTTATATATCTCAAATTTTAATGTTTTTCTTGAACACTTATTAAATGAGATGAATTGTATTAACGATATATAATATTATATGCTGAGAGTTATGCGAGGCCGATGTTACTATTTACTGGAGTTAATTTTCATATAATATGTATATTGTTGACATAAAAAATGCATCTAAAACTTTAAGGGAAAGCATAAAATAGATCACAAGAACAATTAAGATGGATCGATGCTAAAAAAATAAAAATAAATAGATCATGAGATGATGTTAGCAATGACATAGCACTCAGAATGATGTTAGCGATGACATGGCACACAGAAAGAAATTGTTTGTCTACATTTTCAATGTAAAGGTAAAGACATAAACAAAAAAAATTTCTTTTTTTCCTGTCATAATGTTAGGGTAACTAGCTCAATCGCAACAGCTTTTATGGCCACTATATAGAGTTACGATGTATGGCTAAGATTTATTTTAGACGTTGTGTTGTCATCTAGTACAACATTTAGTACAGTATATATAGCTTTTAACCACATAAAATATTTGATTTACTTCATAATTTTAACGAAGAATATATAAATTAATTATTTAGAAAAAATAATAATATTGGAGTGTACTTTAAGTCTTTAACAAAAGAAAAAAGTTTGGAGTTATCAAGCAAGACCCAGCAACTAATTAAGTCACATACCCATTATTAGTGGAAAACAGTTACCAACAAATGAGGTTAATCACCATACTCAGCTCAAGTGAAAATGAATTCAAATGACAGTCACTAGTAAAAATCCTAGTATTGTTTAACATATCCACCATTTGGAAACCCGATTCACCCAATTCACCAATAATATTGTTTATCACGATGGGCACTTTTGGGTGGATATTTAAATATCCGATTCTTATTTCCACTCTAAAGAAGTATAGTGTCCAACATTACCGTCTCCACCACTACCACACCATAAAAGTCGTTATATACTATTAGGTAACAATAAACAAATCTTCCTACTCTTATTTTTCTATAAAAGACGTGAGCTCTCCACAAGCCTCTCTCATCGATCAAAGTTAAGTTAAGCATCACTACTTAGTAAGAACTCAAACACCATGGCTTCCAACGTTGAGCTTTCAGAAAGAAGCAGCCCAAGGCATCAGAAAAACCGTCCAAGAGAAGAGAAAGAGGAAGTGGACTACATGCAGAGAGCTCAGTGGCTAAGAGCTGCCTTGCTTGGAGCTAACGATGGTCTAGTCACAGTCGCATCGCTCATGATGGGTGTTGGTTCTATCAAAGAAGACGTCAAAGCCATGTTGCTTGTTGGTTTTGCCGGCCTTGTAGCCGGTGCGTGTAGTATGGCCATTGGAGAGTTTGTGTCTGTGTGCACACAAAGAGATATTGAGACTGCGCAGATGAAGAGAGCTATTGAGACTAAGATATCATTATCAGAAATTGATGAACAAGAGGAGGTAATGTACTATTTACATGTTTGCATTTGGAGGACATGCTCTTTTTTAAAAAAAAAATGTTATTCTATGATTTATTTTTAACAATGTGAATTATATTTTCTACAGGGAAACGCTAATTAACATATAAATTGGTGTTTGTAACAATCAAACTTTTGATGTTGTATATAAGAAACCTGAGTCAACATGTTTATTACCAATTGCTTTTTTGATACATGAACCTTATAACATTTTTCAAAATTATCGAATTTCTTTTAGTAACAAAACATTTCTGTAAATATATATATGAACATAGAAAAGTTAAAGATATGAAAGTTGTAATGGCAGGAGGAGAAGAAAGAACGGCTGCCAAATCCAGGACAAGCAGCGATAGCATCAGCGTTAGCGTTTTCGGTTGGTGCAGCAGTGCCGCTGCTGTCCGCTGTATTCATAGAGAATCATAAGGTAAGAATGGCGGTGGTAGCGATTGTGGCAACCCTTGCATTGTTGGTCTTTGGAGTGACCGGTGCGGTCTTGGGAAAGACAAGCGTTGTTAAGTCGAGCGTTAGGGTGGTGATTGGTGGCTGGATGGCTATGGCTCTTACCTTTGGTCTCACCAAGTTCATTGGCTCCGAAGCCATGCAAATCTAGACGCTTGCTCTTTCAGTGATCTTCTTTGTTTCCATGCAAGTTTCGCTATGTTTGTATTATTGTAATCACCACACTATCTCATTCCAACTATATATGCGATGTAAACTATATAGTGCACAACAAACACCGTAAAGGTTAAATAAAGTGTTTCTTAATCGATTTTTCGTTTCGCAGTTACCTACTATATATTGAACAACTGAAAAATGGCTAGACATTCACAAAAATTCTCTTATGATTTCAATTGAAAATATTACAAAATCTCTCCTTGCAAGTCCGGATCACAAGATTATTTATAAAAAAAAAAAGAATTCACGAAAAAATGATTACAAAACATCAATTAACTCTCGAATATTGTGGGGAATGCATAGGTTTACAGAACAAATTCAATTAATGAAGTAACTTTTGGTAGACATAATATAAAGCGGCCTTGTAGTTATTCCACAAACCACTAACCACGGTCGATACCGTTTCGTTAAACCCTTCAAAAACTTTCGGCCATTCCTTAAGAAATAGGTCAAACCATGGCATTCCTTTCTCCCTCACATCACCAATCGTCATTGAGATGGAATCCGATAATCTCATGACTCGTCCTTTGGCCATACCAAACAAGATCGTAGACACTTCACTGATTACATCAACAGCAAATTTACACAATTTGGGAAGACAAGACTCGGCTGTATCTCTTACCAGCTTGATCAAGGCCTGAATGGCTTCTCCTGGAATCTTGAAAGTTTGAACAAATAGAACGAATGAACAAGCCGCGACGTGGAAGATCACATAAGAAATTGAATTAGACAACAAACAAACAGTCGAGAAGATCAAATTCGCTAAAGAAGCTATCATATTCTTTGTTTTTTATGTTTTCTTCTGTCTTTTGGCAATGAAGAAAGAAATAAAATTGTGATACAAGGAACAAATAGAACCGACGTGCACCGTTTATGACTATTTCTATATCAATGCTTGTGTATGAATGTTTCAGAGGTGCTTGTTGACATCTATAATTTTATTTGGAGGATTTGATTTATTACTTTGATTTTTAATTGTAATTGACTTTTAGGATTTCAAAGACTAAGAAAATTTAATTAATTAATAAAATTTATTGTAGTTAAATAATTTTAATTAATTGACTTTGAGGAGTATATAATTAATTTTTAAAATGCGATTAAATTTTATAATACTATATTGAGGGGAGTGAATCATTTTGAGTCCATTTTGGGCTTTATCCAATTTGTAATAAGAACGGACACACCGGAGATTTATATAAGCAACGACCATCGACTTCTTCTTCCGCCGCGGCTAATACGATGTCGGCGACTCTCCGACGTCTCGTCCTCCTCTCCTCCGTAAAACGCGCCCAGAATTCATCTCCGGCGTGCCTTTCTTCCGCCGTGAGTCGACTATCTCTGTCTTTCTCTTCCGTCGCATCATCGTCTCCGTCAAATCCGCCGGAATCACGCACCTCCCCTTCCCGGATTCGAACTCGTACCCCACTCGAATCTCAATTCGAGACATGGATCCAGAATCTGAAACCAGGCTTCACCAACTCAGACGTGGTGGCGGCGCTGCGTGCGCAATCCGATCCGGATCTAGCCTTGGACATTTTCCGCTGGACCGCTCAGCAGCGAGGCTACAAACACAACCACGAGGCTTACCACACGATGATCAAACAAGCAATCGCCGGAAAACGAAACAAATTCGCCGAAACCCTAATCGAGGAAGTCGTCGCCGGCGCCTGCGAAATGAGCGTCCCTCTCTACAACTCCATCATCCGATTCTGCTGCGGCCGTAAGTTCCTCTTCAATCGAGCTTTCGATGTATACAACAAGATGCTCCGATCAGAAACCTCGAAACCCGACCTCGAAACCTACACTCTGCTTCTGTGCTCTCTCCTCAAGAGATTCAACAAATTGAACGTCTGCTATGTGTATCTCCACGCCGTTAGATCGCTCACCAAGCAGATGAAATCGAGCGGTGTGATTCCAGATACGTTTGTGTTGAACATGATAATCAAAGCTTACGCAAAGTGTCTCGAAGTAGACGAAGCTGTGAGAGTTTACCGTGAGATGGCTCTGTACGGCGCTGAGCCAAATGCTTATACTTATGGTTACTTGACGAAAGGGCTTTGTGAGAAAGGAAGGATTGAGCAGGGTTTAGGGTTTTACAAGGAGATGAGAGGGAAAGGGATGGTTCCTAGTGGGAGTTGTTACATGGTTTTGATATGTAGTTTAGCTATGGAGAGGAGATTGAATGAAGCTGTGGAGGTTTCGTATGACATGTTGGCGAATTCGTTGTCTCCTGATATGTTGACTTATAATACGGTTTTGGCAGAGCTGTGTAGGGAAGGTAGAGGCAGTGAAGCTCTTGAGCTGCTTGAGGAGTGGAAGAAGAGAGATCCGGTGATGGGTGAAAGAAATTACAGAACTTTGATGGACGAAGTGTATTTCTTGAACAAGGGATGATGATTATGCTCTTCTAATTCGAAATAGGGCTTAAAAGATGGGTCTTATTGGTTGAATCTTGAATGATCCAGATTCAAGTTTTGATCTTCAAGATTCTGTGTGTTCTTTAGATATACATTACAGGTTGAATCACAATGATAAGAAGTCTGAAGAATATTCTGCGGTTTCTATTGATTCAAGATCTCAAGATCTTGTTGTCTTGTATCTTGTTCTAAAGAATGATGTGTGTAGATGACTATGATATTGATGGTTACTGATTTATCTTTACAAACAAAAAAAAAGTGTACAACATCTTCGAAAAATATCTCATCTTTAGGCAATAATTCCATTGTTACTCCTATTGATGCACAAATATAACATATAACATTTTCAACATTTGATGAAAATTGAAACCATTTATCAAGTAATGAGGCTAAGGCACAATGTGAATGACTCGTGATCTGCTCTGTTCACAGGTTAACATGTGTGTCCTGCCGCTTAAAACACGTTAATTAGGTGTGAAAGAGAAATTTGTGGCGAAAGTAACGAGTGACGGACGACCCAAAGTGATGTCACATGGCTTAGTGGGCTATATATTGATATAATATAGGCCCATTATGGTTTTAGTTCGTATTTGTCAAAGTTAAAAAAGAACCTGAGAACAGCTCTACCGCATAAATTAGTGACTGAGAGAGATCGGAGACGATGATGAGCTCTGCATCCGCCATGAAAGCTGTTGGAGTTTTTGTTCTGCTTTCGGCTCTAACATTAGGTAAAATCATAATTCTCTCTCTGTATCATTTCCCGATCTGATATCTGATCGATCAACGTTTTAGAAATTGTGTCATCGATTTGATCTCCGTTTTTTGTGTGATGATGATGATCTCCAGCTTATGCGAAGATATCAGCTGATGTGAAAGAGTTGCAAATTGGTGTCAAGGTATTTAAAAACGCTCTCTCACGTTCTCTACATCGGAGTTTAATCGTTTGTTGGGTCGAATTTCCATTTCATATTCCTCTGTTTGCGAGATTGAATTCGATCTCTCAATTTACGTGATTAGAAGATGATAATGCCTCATGACTCATGATCATTACGTAGTTTTACATTGAAATTTGCAGTCATTCTAGACAGACTTTTTGCAATTGCATCGAGCTACAAATACAATAGATAACTTTGGTTTTGCTTTTGTTTTCTAATCTTCTGTGCCCTGAAGAAATTGGAAATGGACTCGGCTTGATTCAATACTCTTTTGGTTATGAAATTAAATTTCTGCACCTTTACTTTAATTTGTTCATTTGTACAGTTCAAGCCTCAGAAATGTGATATTCAAGCTCACACAGGGGATAAGATCGGTGTCCACTATAAGGTAAGTTTTATCAATTATCACAGATCTTCTACTAGTTGTATTAACTTAATATTGGAAATGGTTTCTTCATTCTTGACTGATATAGTATTCTGATTGAGAGAGAGAGAGAGAGAGAGAGAGAAAAGAAAGAAAGAGTCATGGAGTAGTTTTCTTGTTATTGCAACATGTAAAAAGCTCTCATCTAGAGACATGTTTAGTGATATTTAGTAGAAATGTTGATATTCGATTAGCTCAGAACAAACAAAGAAATATAATGAATCTGTTCTTCTTGGTGATGATGAATGTAGTCTTCTTCTTCTTCTTCCTCCTGCAGGGGATGTTAACTGATGGAAGTGTCTTCGATTCAAGTTATGATAGAGGTGACCCTATCGAGTTCAAGCTTGGAGCTGGTGAAGTCATTCCAGGTTTGTTTGCAATTGCATCTCAGCAACACCTTTTTTTATTGATGGATAAAAATTGAAGGTAATGCAAGAAATTTCCAAATGCTGCAGGATGGGACCAGGGTCTACTCGGAGCTTGTGTAGGTGAGAAGAGAAAGCTGAAAATCCCATCCAAGCTTGGCTATGGTGACAGCGGATCACCACCGAAGATCCCAGGTACGTTTATGATACTGAATTGACCACAGCCAGAAGAAAAACGATGCACCACTTTAAACTATTGAGTCATATAAAGATTTCGATACGATATGCATTTCTTGAGAAGGTGACATTGCAAATCGAGATTCGATGTTCCATCAAAATGACTTGTTACTTATAGTAGCTTGTTGAGCTTTCTGAATCTGCAATGAGTGAATATTGTGGTGAATTGCAGGTGGATCCACACTGATATTCGAGACCGAGGTTGTTTCTGTGAACGGGGTAACATCCAGCGAAGGGAAAACGGAGAACGAGCTTTGATTTACGCCAATCTCTCTTCTTCTTATTTGTTCTTTGTTTTTATCTTAAAAATGAAACCCTTAAGTACTTACTTGTCGCATGTATTTGAATCTTAAGCATGCCTAGAATAAATAATCATTCGCTTTGATAGTTGAAGAAAATGTACGTGTATGTTTCGGTCACCGCATTATTTAGTTATGTTGGCATTAGTTCGATAATTACGACTTGGGTCAGTGTTTTCGTCTATAACTCAACATGAAAGCTAATAACTAATACCTCTATGTTTGGTAACAAAAACGTGGAATTTCAGAAAATGAGAAAACCTTGGCTACAATTTGTAACTTACAATTATTTAATAAATATATATATATATATATATATATTTTTTTGTCTTTATAAGCCATTAAGCCTTGTCACGTTGAGGCTTGTTTTGAATTAATAAAGATGATCTTTATTAAGTGCTTATCTTATATATGAAAAATGAATCAGTATTGTTTTTATAACTTACTAATTGTGACACACGTTAACTACAAAAAATTGGAAAAATAATACTAATAGTGAAATGAAAACTAATAAAATAATGAGAATTGTTAGATAATCAAATAAATAATATATATATCAATTGAAATCTCTTGAATGAAATAATCAAGATTTTATTAATTAATTAGTTGATTAGATGTGGACACATGTAAATATTTTTCCATATTAGATAACAAGAAAAAACTCAAATTAAATTTTGTTTCGTATCATGAACTAAAAAATGTTAATTATGATTTAAAAAGTAAACTAATTCTTAATTTTATTTTATTTAAAGATTTTTCTATCTGATTTTCAATATTATTTTCTTATTTTTTTTAAAAATGATCAAATTTTGTACAAGAATGTTCCTTAATTTGTTTCATATTATTTTTTTTCCACAGAAAGTTTGTTTGGAACTAAAAACAAATGATTTCTAGTGACATATGTGCCTATCTTATTATATAAAAAAACAAAAAGACGGTTTTTGGGTGATTGCAAAGGCGATCGTTGATTGCCACTCCGCCTCCGATCAATGGTTTCCGGTGATGGTTCTATGAGTAGACGATCGACATGATGATCATGCGGATGACTTTGGCTATGGATTTCGTCCCCTTGATACGACGATGTGTACATTGTAATCTTCTTCTTCTCTTTCTAGTGGGGGAGGCTGTGAAGGGTTCGTCTCGACGGTGGTGATTCATGGGAATCCGAGTCCCAACCAAACATCTCCAAGGGCGGATCAAACACACACCCAATTGGTAAGAGACGTTTTCTCTCACGATAGGAAATTCTTTTGTTCCCATCGTTCCCGACTACGTCTCCATTGTGAGACGGTCTGTTTATGGTTCATTGGTGTGTATCGGTTATCTGGCATCACCCAACTCGAACCAGATATCTCCGTGAAGATCTTTAAGTTTCTTCATGATGGCCACTATTCTGGATCCAGTTTTGGTGAAGGAAATAGATATAAAATCCAGAAAATATTCTGGAGACTTGGTCGGAGGATATGGGATCCAGGAAAGATGGTCTTATGGAGACGCTTTGAATCGGAGCAAGAGACAATATACTGGTATAATTTGTACTGGTATAATTTGTCGCTAATAAGAAGACAATCAAAGTCATGGACAAGGAGTACAATCAAGATACATGTCATCTCTTGGAGCGAGAGATATTGGGTTAGATTGCGATGTAACAGATGGATCGCAATCAGTCATCTTCTAAGAAATTACTGGCTTTTAATCACAATGATGATAGCCAAGCAAGATGTTCATATGAGACCGAGAACGATGATGGATGAAGCACATAACAGATATGTTTATCTGTTCGCGTGGAAGTCTTCTCTAAGAAAGAAAGCAACGTGTAATTGTTCTTATTCCATTTTAAAGTTCTTCTTAAGCAATGTATCGATTGTATTTGTATTTGTGTCTTTGATTCATAACATTGTAATCTTCAGTTCAATTTGATTAATAAATAGATGTTACCAAAAAAAAAAAACTGAACTTAATGCATCAAAGCTTGACACATAATATTTTTCTAATTTATTGGATTAAGATATGTGTCTAATATATGATTAATAGAAAAAAGTTAGAAAGTTAACATATAAACTCAACTAAAAAGGTTTAAATCAAAAATAGAAAAGATTAACAAAATTATCAAATAACTAATCAATCAATGAGAAGAAAAATTTCATGAATTATAAAGTTTTTAACAATTAAAGGCAATTAAGAAAAGAAAAAAGAAAATAAAACTCTGGAACCAAACTCTTAGCAAGAGTTTTTCTTCTTGCTTAAAACCCGACACGTGTCAGCACCACATTAATCGGACTTTTACAAAAAACAAAACGATTTTTTTTTCTCTCTCTCTCTCATTTCCTTCCACTGGGTCGAATCGCCTTCCTCTAGATTCATGATTCGTTTCCGGCGAACGACCTCTGATCTGGGGAGATGTTGTTTGCATGTCTCTTTCTCCATCTCTTGATCTCTCTATCAATGTTTCTTTGTCTCTCTATCTCTATCCTTCTCTGTCTCTCTATCTCTATCAATTGAAAATGTCGAGGAGGCAAGTGCCGCCGCTGGAACCACCATCTCCGTCGACCGTTCTGCTCTCTTCATCCCTCTCGGTACGTGTTTGACACCTCACTCTATATGTTTGCGGTGTGAGATTCAATTTGATAGATTTGGGGTCTGATTTTTTTTTTTTTTGAAATTTTAGACCACTCTCATGAATCTTCACCGGAATCGGAGCTCGTTAAGCACCTCAAGAGCATTATCAAGGTAACTTTGGTTCACTCATTTTGACCTCCATAATTGAAAAATTGAAACTTGTTATGATTCTAGAAATATGCTTGATCAAGTGTATGAATTTGGTATGCATCATCACAGTTTTGGGATGGCCAAATCTCAGTGGTGGAGTACATGGAGGAGGTCTTGACTAGAGATGTCAACTTTATCCGCGGCCCGCGGGTTGGCCCGTTTAGATCCGCTACGGGGCGGGTTCGGGTTCACAAATTGAAACCCAAAAATTAGCGTGTCTCGAGGTCCAGCCCGTTCGGGTTTGCGGTTACTAGCGGACATATCCGCAGCGGGGCGGGTCGGTTTGCGGGTTATCCGCAAAAAGCTTTCTCTCCGAATTGATCCCGTTTCAGAACGAAGAGCAACAAAATTCTCTTGGCAATCATCATTTGTAGACCTTTGCCGGTGGTTTCCTTACGACGGATGACCTTCCGGAGAGATCGCGTCTGTGTTAGAGCCACGACGGCTGTTTCCGGCGGAGGAATAGTGGAAGCGGTGGAATTGGATGAGATAGGTGAGAGAAGTAAGAAATGGAAGTGGAAAGGAGAATATTCAATTAATTACTGTGTGAAGAGTTCGCCGGAGGCATAATTTTAAGCTTATAGCATGGTTGCATGCTGAACAATTGGCTCGGGTAATGAAAATGGCGGCTTTATACATTTGTGTCTTCTTCAAGGATGGTTTGGTTTCCATTGGTGGCATACAAGATTCTTTGGTTTGTTGTTCATCTTTGTCTTCCTCTTGCTTCCTTTATCCTTATGCAGAAGCGTAGGTTCGTTTTCTTAATCCAAAATCCTCAAAAGAGTTTTCTTTTTTTTTTTGCTTTTATTTATAATCTGATGATATTGTTTGTTCTTGTTCTCTGTAGATAGAGTAGCATTTAGCTCTGCAATCTCGTTTCTGCTTGTGTTGCTCTTCGTTGTGATATGCTTTGTGCTAGCGATTATCGCACTCTTGCAAGGGAAAACAAAGAATCCAAGATTCTTTCGAGAGCTCAACAATGGAGGAGAATCCGAGTGAAAACATACACAAGAGTATAATTGTTTTGACTCAAAATTACTTTTACATTACATTTCACTTACACTACAAAGCAACATTGTGATTTGTGAAACAATAGACTAATTTCTATCGACCCGCGGGCTGACCCGCATAACCGCCAATACCAAGCGGTGCGGGTTAGGGTCGAGTATCTTGGAACCGCAGCCCGCGGCGGGTCGACCCGCGTGATCCGCCGGAGAAGTGAAACCGCGGCGGTTCGGCCCGTTTCCGCGCGGTCCGGCCTGTTTGACATCTCTAGTCTTGACTAATCCCAGAGCAGGATACTACATGAATCGTGACGTCTTTGGAGCTCAAGGCGATTTCATTATTTCTCCTGAAGTGAGCCAGATGATTAGCGAGGTAATTACATTGCATTTCTTGTGTTGTCAATATCTTAAACACATAGGAAGTAATCTTATAATAAACTCATTGCATCCAAACCAAGCATGATGCATAGGTAATCTATGTTCCTGATCTAGCTAAGTATATGCTTCTTTTAGATTGTGAAATTGGTTTTGCTTTAAGTAGATGCTTGGTATATGTTGGTAGTGCCTCAGTGATATATTAGTTGTTATAGGTGCTTTATGATTATGTGTAGTCTTTAGTTAGGAAATCAAATATGTCTCTGTATAATGGTTTCCGAAAGTTATATTGTTCTCTTACTTGTGTTGAAGTTTTATTTGATTTCTGTGATGTAAGTGTAGATTTTTTTCACGAGCTCATCATAGTATTTATTAATTTGATTTGGTTTTGACACTTGGATGTATTTCCATGGTTAGGTACAAAGCTCATTGGCGGGTGGTAGCATAGGCGTTGAGGCGAGCAGCAAAATGGAAGGTTAGACCATCAAATATCCATATGTAATCTCCGTTCCTCTTTGTAGTGTTCTTAAGTGAGTAGATGATAGCTTCTGTTTGTAGTGTTCTCTGCGAATATATAGTTTTGGTTCAACTTATGTGAAATTGTTTTACTTTTATTGCTTTGTTACCTTAAGAACCAAATAAAAAGTTTTAGGGTTGGAGGAAGAAATAATTAAGAAACCACACAAAATTTGTTAAATTGATTTGTGTGAAAAATAATAATAAAAAATGGTTTAGAACCAAAAACATGGTTTTAGGGATGGAGATGGTCTTTAAGAGAGGAAAATAACTTTCATCTACTCATGTTGATTAATGAGTAAGCATACAACCTAATGACCTTCTCAATGATGTTCATACTACTTCTCAATTTGCCATATGCTTTTGAACTTTGTATTAATTTGTTGTCTTTGTGAGTAGACTAAATGCATTGAACTAGTACTTATAATTTTTTTTTTTTTTTTAAAGCGGCGATTAAAAGAGTAGTGAGTAATGATTATTATTACAGAGCCGAACAGAACTCGAATAGAGAGTGCCATGGCTCTAGGATAACGTGAGATTGTACAGCAACACTCAGGTGGGCAGTTGGAGGAAACTAGGAAGGAAATACAATAGCGAGAGCCACTTCCAGTGAAGTTGATCGATGACCTCTCCCAACTTGACAACAGAGCGAAGAAGCCTGTAATCATGTTCGGTGCTGACCAGATCACACTCCCAGAGTCTGCAGTACAGAGCTTTGACGAGATATCGAATTGCTAGCTCAAGATAAAACTTATAATTTGGTAAAATAAAATTAATGATATTATTTTTGGATCATAAATTTATGTTTAGTCATAATATGCAAAATCCTCTTTGAAATATAAAATCTGTTTTAGTGAAGATATTTCAGTAAATTAGATTGAAAAAGTATAATTTTCAAAAATTTAAAAAGAGGTTATTTTTCAAATTTAAAAATGGTAAAAAAATATATTTTTCCAATTTTTTCTCTAAAGTTATCTCTGAAGTAAAGGAACTCTCTAGAACCCTTTCTCACTCGCAAACTCAAAAACCTTATATAATCTCACATTACCATTTCCACTCTCCTCCCAAACCCGTTTCTCTCTCTTTCTCAGTCTCTATCTTCAGCAGCGATTCGTTTGTTCACTTATTCTTCAAGCTTCCTTCGTGTTTTTTCCTGAATCGAGATGGATGAAGATTTCGAGATGCCGCCGGTCGGTGGAATGGAAGACGACGACATGGATTTCGGCGACTCCGCCTCGTTTCTCAAGGTCGGAGAAGAAAAGGAGATCCAACAAGGTCTGAAGAAGAAGCTGGTAAAAGAGGGTGAAGGATTCGAGACTCCTGAAAACGGCGATGAAGTTGAAGGTACTAAATCATCCGATTCGATTCGATCCCAAACGCTACTCTAAATATTATGTTCCTTCTACAGATTTGATTGAGCTCAAATTTGATCTCTCTTTTCGCAGTTCACTACACTGGGACTTTGCTTGATGGTACCAAGTTCGATTCAAGCCGCGATAGAAGCACGCCTTTCAAATTCACTCTCGGTCAAGGTGAGTAAAATTGTTTAGCTTAGTTCATACCAATCCCAGTGACCTAGCAATGGCCGTATATTGGATTTCTGATTGTAGTTATATGATAGTATCAGTGTCTTATAGGGTTTTGTAGAGTATCATCAATTTAGCAACGAGCTCTGTGAATTTGGGAAGTGAGATGCAATCTGAGTACTAATGCTCCTTGCATTGTGTGTTGCAGGTCAGGTTATCAAAGGATGGGATATTGGTATTAAGACGATGAAGAAAGGGGAGAACGCTGTGTTCACTATCCCTTCGGAGCTAGCGTATGGTGAATCTGGTTCGCCGCCGACGATCCCTCCGAGTGCCACGCTTCAGTTTGATGTGGAGTTGCTCTCATGGTCCAGCGTGAAGGACATATGCAAAGACGGTGGTGTGTTTAAGAAAGTTCTTGCTGCGGGAGAGAAGTGGGAGACCCCAAAGGATCTTGATGAAGTTCTCGGTTTGTGGCTTACTTTTTTTTATATCCTTACTTTAGAGATTGGTGTGCGGCTCGAGATTTCTCTAACGGTGTTTTTGCTTTGTATTTGTTTATTCAGTTAAGTACGAGGCCAAACTTGAGGATGGTACTGTTGTTGGGAAATCTGATGGTGTTGAGTTCGCTGTTAAAGATGGTTAGTGCTCTCTGATTTCTTCTTGGGAGATTTTGGCCATGTCAAAGATTATGTTCAGTCTTTTAATAGTCTTTGTGATCTATGTGTTTAATAGGTCATTTCTGTCCTGCACTTGCTAAGGCTGTGAAAACCATGAAGAAGGCTGAGAAAGTCCTCCTCACAGTTAAACCACAATGTAAGTTAATTTGCCTCTTTTTACTGATTTCGTTGATCCGCTGGTATGGTGTGTAACATCGTCTCTTATTCCAATCTGGTTATAAATGAGACAGATGGTTTCGGGGAGAAGGGCAAGCCAGCTTCTGATGGTGAAGGTGCAGTTCCTCCGAATGCGACGCTCGAGATCAATCTGGAGTTGGTTTCTTGGAGAACAGTTTCGGAAGTGACTGATGATAACAAGGTTATCAAGAAAATCTTGAAGGAAGGGGAAGGATATGAGCGTCCTAATGAAGGGGCGGTTGTGAAAGGTTTGCATTTCGAATTTCAGTGCACTTGTCTCTTTTCCAACCAGTTTCTTATGCGTCTGTTATTGTTTTTCTCTTTCTGGCAGTGAAATTGATTGGAAAGCTTCAAGATGGTACTGTATTCCTGAAGAAAGGCCATGGTGAAGGCGAGGAACTCTTTGAGTTCAAAACAGATGAAGGTAAATTACAGTTCTACAAATTTCCTTTAAAAACTGATGTTCAGAACTGTATCAATGTAACTCATTTTGGTGGATGTTTTAACAGAGCAAGTGATCGATGGACTCGATAGAGCTGTGATGAAGATGAAGAAGGGTGAAGTGGCATTGGTGACTGTAGAACCAGAGTATGCCTTTGGTTCTGAAGAGTCAAAACAAGAATTGGCTGTGGTGCCGCCAAACTCAACCGTCTATTACGAGGTTGACCTTGTGACTTTCGACAAGGTTAGTGTAGTTTCAGATGCTTATTATGCCTTTCACAATTCAGCCAATTAGGAAAGTTTAGTTGTCCAACACTTGTTTGGTTGCAATTTCAGGAAAGGGAATCGTGGGACATGAACACTGAGGAGAAGATAGAGGCAGCGAGCAAGAAGAAGGAAGAAGGAAATTCCAAGTTCAAAGCAGGCAAATATGCCCTGGCTTCCAAGAGATACGAGAAGGTATATCAACATGAGCGCCTCGTTGATATGTGAGTTATTATGATGAACGAAAATCGTCTTACATGATTTGGTTTCTTCTCAGGCTGTCAAATACATTGAATACGACTCGTCCTTCAGCGAGGAGGAGAAGAAGCAAGCCAAAGCATTGAAAGTGGCGTGCAATCTAAACGACGCAGCCTGCAAACTGAAGTTGAAAGATTACAAACAGGCTGAAAAACTGTGCACAAAGGTAAAATTAATTGGTGGTTAAGACTATGAATCCCTTTCTTGCAGTTTCAAAGCCTCCGTGAATAATAATGATGGAAATTGGTGTTTATGATATTTAGGTATTAGAACTTGAAAGCACCAACGTGAAGGCCCTATACAGGAGAGCCCAAGCGTACATGGAGTTGGCTGATTTGGACTTGGCTGAGTTTGATGTCAAGAAGGCCCTTGAAATTGATCCCAACAACAGGTTTGTCTCTTACTCTGAACCCTTATGTATGTTAGAGTTTGCAATGTGTTCTTGGGCTTATATGCTAATTTGTTTTCTTTTTTTCCCAAATGATAGGGAAGTGAAGCTGGAGCAGAGACGGTTGAAGGAGAAGATGAAGGAGTTCAACAAAAAGGAGGCCAAGTTTTACGGGAACATGTTTGCGAAACTAACCGTAAGTTATTTCTCATCAAAATGTTTGATCTTATGTGATTCTATTAGAAGGCGGAGTAGAAATTATTTGTTTTGTTTAACTGAATCTGTGTTGGTTGGTATTGTGCAGAAGGAAGCATAAAAAGATGGAGAGGCCATGAGCATCTGAGAGAGGCTTGAAACATTCAAGAAATCTGCAGTTGTTTTTCCTTTCTTCTCTTTTTGGTTTGTCGCAATGTTGTTTTTTTTAGTTGTTCGTCCTTCAGCTTTAGCAAGAGATTCATAAATGTGACATCTATGTCAGCATTGGATTTCAGTTTAGAGATTTAATCGCATGTGTTGTTGTTTCTTTACCGAATTTGTGGTAGAAACATGAAAGTTTGAAATCAGAAATGAACTTTTCAAGAGTTTCTTGCAGATTCAGTTTTTTGCTTCATTTTTGTCAGAAATAGTTGTGTCTTTGTTATAAAGATTCCTTGCAGATTGAGTTTTATTTAAGGAAAGAACCTAAAGTGCATTCTGGTTCAGACATGTAGTAAACAGCACAATGGTGAAGACATACTTTAGCTTCCAAGCGGACATGATGGTTATTTATATCATAGTGAGACGTGCCATGGCATCAATGTATCATCATAAGTGTTGCCATAGCGTAGCTCACAACATCATCATATATAGAGTACAAACACCATTGAACATTCGTTATTATCCAAAGTTCCATGTCAGTACTCTAAAAAATGCTCGGATATATTTTCATGTAAGAATACAAAAAGGAATATACTTGGTTGCTTTTAAATCTTGTCCGTACACGTCACCAATCTTACGACTGGAATAATCCTCAGGAGGTACCATTGGATATCCTTCCTAGGCAACAGGTCTTGCGTCAAATGAGTTAAAAACTTGACCATACCAAATTATTTTCCCAATGCATAAAACAAACAAATTCAAAAGAAGAAAGAAACAACGAATATTCCCTGCTAAATTCTCCACATAATACACTGAAGCCGTTGATCACTTTATATTCGATTCTCTAACCTTACACTTCTCACTAAGTTCTCTCATACATCAATCACCAAAATAGTCCTCATTACTCAAAACAATGACAACTTTCTCAAGAACAAAACGTGTTACTGATCCACTCGACGATGCAGCCAAGGCTCGGATCTTTGGCAACGTCAGCATCAGCCTAGACCAAGAGTCTCCTCGAATCTGCGAGCTCGTAGACGGAATTTTCGAGGATGGTCCCGAAGAGACGTTCTACGATTCTGACTCCGACTTGTCCGAGAATTCCGCAATGGAATGTTCTAATGAAGCGAGTGAAGAGACTGTAAAGACGGCTCTGAGCTTCTCCGAATCGGATCCTTATCGGAATCTATTGCTTTCTCACGTTCTGAAAGGCGTAGAGGCATATTCGGGTCTTAGGTCGAGGCAGAAATCTGTTTTCCGTGACAAAGTAGCATCATTTCTGCGAGAGCTAGGTCACGACGCCGCGGTTTGTGCGTCGAAGTGGTACTCTTCGGCTAAACTCACCGCCGGGAGTTACGATTTCATTGACGTCTTTTACAAGCCGTTGAATGATCGGTCGACGGCTGCGATCCGTTACTTAGTCGATCTAGACTTTGCTTCGGAGTTCGAGATCGCAAGACCGACGCGCCAATACGCGCGTGTGTTGCAGTTGCTGCCTCATGTTTTCGTAGGGAAAGAGGAGAATCTGAGGACGGTCGTGAGAGAGTCATGCGACGCGGCGAAGCGTTCGATGAAGAGCCGTGGCTTGTCTCTTCCTCCGTGGCGGAGAAGCTCTTACATGCAGCGTAAGTGGTTCGGTCCGTACACAAGAAAGGTTGGATCTAGCTTGGGAGTAACGTCGTCGTTTAATAAAGACGCCGTTAGCTGCCGCTCTATGGGGTTTGATGACGCCGTCAACACTCGTTTGGTCATAAGGACGTGATCCGATCCATGCAGTATAGAGTAGTAATCAAGTGTAGGCCAACAGTTTATTTATGTAGTGGCTATACTTTTTATTTTTCACATTTATTGAAAAGAGACTAGTTTGTTATAGATCATCAAAGTAAGGGACAAGATGTCAAAATATTATGTTAGAACAAAGAAAAGATGTCAATATTAAATGTGTTGTAACACACTGGTTTTTAGTGGCTTTCATAAATTCATAATCATATGCAAATGCAATAATATAACGGAGAATACGACAATGACGACGTCTCCGGATTCAACAACATTGATTCACATCACCTGCGACTACTTTTTCTCTCTCTAATGTGTTGTTTGCCTTCGTTGGTGACTTGGTGTCTTACTTTTTGATCGCCGTTCGCTACCGCAGCGACTTCACGCCGAACTTGGCCATATATTTTTTTTTTGTTTGGCCATATATAAAAGTAAATTCATGTAACCAAAATAATTTTCACCATCCTCACATTAATTCATTATGAAACATATATATTTTTTGGCTAAAATAATCATCGATCAAATGCATTTCTTCTTCTTTTTAATTGATTTTGTCCACATAAATCAAACAAAATCATTAAAAAGCGTCTAAAAATTATTGAAAGTTGCAAGAGAATCAGTTAAATAATTTATGTTTCCCACAAATCACTATTTTGACATTTTCTCAACAAACAACTTAGCACGTTCTCTGAATATGTTGGGAAGTGCCACACACGAACTCAAGCAGGAGATAAAATAATATATATACACAAAGAAAATCAACTATATATAAAGAGATTTCATGTTGAACTATATCATCATAAGCAAAAGAAATAACTAAAAAGAGGAGCTATGGGTAAGATGAAATCCTCAAGAATATTTGGGTTAGGGCATTGCATGGTTTATGTTGTGTTCTTAAGTGCCATTGCGGCTACAGCTTACCCATACTCATCTTCTCCAACACCACAATACAATTCTCCGGTCCATCAACACAAATCACCATATCCACCCAAAAAGTATTCCCCATCCTACTCGGCATCACCACCTCCTCCCCCACAATACAGAAGACAAGGACCCAAGTACACGCCACATCCAAAACCATATGTTAATAGCTCTCCACCGCCTCCATCTTACTATTCTCCTTCTCCAAAGGTAGAGTACAAGTACCCACCTCCACCATATGTTTACAACTCTCCACCACCTCCACCATACTACTCACCTTCTCCCAATACCGACTACAAGTCTCCACCACCACCATATGTTTACAGCTCTCCACCACCTCCACCATACTACTCACCTTCTCCTAAGGTCGATTACAAGTCTCCACCACCACCATACGTTTACAGCTCTCCACCACCTCCACCATACTACTCACCTTCTCCCAAAGTCGACTACAAGTCTCCACCACCACCATATGTTTACAGCTCTCCACCACCTCCACCATACTATTCACCTTCTCCTAAGGTTGATTACAAGTCCCCACCACCACCATACGTTTACAGCTCTCCACCACCACCACCATTCTACTCACCTTCTCCTAAAGTTGACTACAAGTCTCCACCACCACCATATGTTTACAGCTCCCCACCACCACCACCATACGTTTACAGCTCTCCACCACCTCCACCATACTACTCACCTTCTCCCAAGGTCGACTACAAGTCTCCACCACCACCATATGTTTACAGCTCTCCACCACCTCCACCATACTACTCTCCTTCTCCCAAGGTCGACTACAAGTCTCCACCACCACCATATGTTTACAGCTCTCCACCACCTCCACCATACTATTCACCTTCTCCCAAGGTCCACTACAAGTCTCCACCACCACCATACGTTTACAGCTCCCCACCACCTCCACCATACTACTCTCCTTCTCCAAAGGTAGAGTACAAGTCCCCACCTCCACCATATGTTTACAACTCTCCACCACCTCCACCATACTACTCACCTTCTCCCAAGGTGGACTACAAGTCTCCACCACCACCATACATTTACAGCTCCCCACCACCTCCACCATACTACTCTCCTTCTCCAAAGGTAGAGTACAAGTCCTCACCTCCACCATATGTTTACAGCTCCCCACCACCTCCACCATACTACTCTCCTTCTCCAAAGTTAGAGTACAAGTCCCCACCTCCACCATATGTTTACAGCTCCCCACCACCTCCACCATACTACTCTCCTTCTCCAAAGTTAGAGTACAAGTCCCCACCTCCACCATATGTTTACAACTCTCCACCACCTCCACCATACTACTCACCTTCTCCCAAGGTGGACTACAAGTCTCCACCACCACCATATGTTTACAGCTCTCCACCACCTCCACCATACTACTCTCCTTCTCCCAAGGTCGACTACAAGTCTCCACCACCACCATACGTTTACAGCTCCCCACCACCTCCACCATACTACTCTCCTTCTCCAAAGGTAGAGTACAAGTCTCCACCGCCACCATACGTTTATAGCTCTCCACCACCTCTACCATACTACTCTCCTTCTCCTAAGGTCGACTACAAGTCTCCACCACCACCATACGTTTACAACTCTCCACCACCTCCCCCATACTACTCACCTTCTCCTAAAATACACTACAAATCTCCACCACCACCATACATCTACAACTCTCCTCCACCACCATATTATTCTCCTTCTCCAAAAGTAGAGTACAAGTCTCCACCACCACCATACGTCTACAAAACGCCTTACTATTGATTTTCGAATTGTTTCATCAACAAGTAACCTTTTTGCGATATTTGTTTTGCTGCTTTTTTCTTTTGATTCTTTTGTTGTTATTTTGCTTCAACTATCTTGTTAAGCTTTTATTATACCAATAATATTTTTGCTATTATATAATTGCACTCGTTACTAAATTTTTTTCGGACTAAGTACTTAAATCTTGAAAGAAATATAGAGAGCTGATATGTGTTATTGTAAATTGTTTATAAGGTTGAAACCTTCTCATATGACGACCCCCTTGGTCCTATGATCAAGTCTTCTCCTTGCCTCTTTGAACTTATTTAGTGTTTGTTGAAACGTCATTTATAACATACATAACAATACAATACTAGTAGTATCTAGACTTTGGCCATTTGTTTGTTAGTCCGTTTCTCTTACGTTAACTTAAAAGAAAATTCGTCTCCAGCAGCCCATTTTGTTTTCTTTCTATAAATGTCGTTTGGGCTTGGATCCTAAAAGTCCAATAAGGCTCATACATGTGGGTCCCTCCGGTGACCAGTCAAAAGCTTCTACGCTCTCGGAGCCCGCCGCGTCTTCAACGGCATCGAGACTTCCCTCCTCCACGCCTTCTAGATGCTTTCGCCTACACGTAAACGTCACCCATGACGTCACATCCTCCAGATAATTTCACGTGCTTCAATGCTTGTGCTTGTTTCAGACACGACTTGAAACATTTTGTCTTAACCATTAACCAAATTTTTATTTAAATAGTTATAGATCTCAAAAGGAAACTAGTCAAACGCATGGCAACGAATATCAGTTTCCGGTTTCCCTTTTTTGACTTTCTTTTTATTTATTTTATTATACCTTTCTGAAATCTTCCCCGGCAAGGCAAGAAATCAAAACGAGTGTAGACCATTAAACTTTTAATATTTTCTCTTATAATAAGAAAGTTGTCTCCAACTAACACAGAACCAAAAGAGACAGAAGACAAAAACAAAACCATTTCCAAACTCAAAAAGACGTTGACATTTCTTGAAATCTCTCATCGATGCAGAGCCCGACTCTGGACTTTAATCGATTGGAGGTTTTGTCATTACTCGGTCGTGGTGCTAAAGGAGTTGTGTTCTTGGTGAGAGACACCAACAACGACCAAGATGATAAATTGCTTGCTTTGAAAGTTATACTTAGAGAAGCGATCGAGAAGAAGAAGAAGAAGAATAATAAAACGACGAGCGATGAGTATAAGCGCGTGAGTTTCGAGCAAGAAGTATTAAGCAGATTCGACCATCCTCTCTTTCCGTCTCTTCACGGTGTGTTATCAACAGATAAAGTAATCGGTTACGCGATCGATTATTGTCCCGGAAAAAATCTCCATTCCTTGAGGAATATGCAATCGGAGAGCATGTTTTCCGACGAGATCATCAGGTATATAATAAAATCAAATCTCAAAATCTCCGGTGAGATTTAAAAATTTCTCTCAAATTCCGTTCCTCATTTTTATTTATTGAATTGATTGTCAGGTTTTACGCGGCGGAGCTTGTGCTCGCGCTTGATTATTTGCACAATCAAGGAATCGTTTACAGAGATCTGAAGCCAGAGAATGTGATGATCCAGGAAAACGGACATTTGATGCTCGTGGATTTCGATCTATCAACGAATCTGGCTCCGAGAACGCCGCAACCGTCTCCGTCGCCATCTTCGTCGAGTAATCCGTCGCCGGCGAGGAGAAAGAAGAAGCGTTTCCTCCGATTCGGCAGTTTCTGCAACTCCGGGATCTCGCCGGAAGAAGAAGAAGAATCGAATTCGATGGGCTCATCGATTTCTACGGCTTCATCGGCACTGGCGGTGTCGGATTCTTCACGAGCGGAGAAGTCGAATTCGTTCGTCGGAACAGAGGAGTACGTCGCGCCGGAAGTTGTCAACGGAGGAGGTCACGATTTCGCCGTCGATTGGTGGTCGTTAGGTGTGGTTCTGTACGAGATGTTGTATGGAACGACGCCGTTTAAGGGATTAAACCGGACGGAGACATTTTTTCGAATATTAACCAGACCGCCGAATCTAGTCGGTGAAACGACGGCGTTGCGGGATCTGATAAGAAGATTGTTGGAGAAAGATCCTAGCCGTAGGATTAGCGTTGAGGAAATCAAGGGTCACGATTTCTTCAGAGGGGTAGATTGGGATAACGTGGTGTTGGTTTCTAGACCGCCGTATATCCCGGCGCCGGACGATGGGGGTGATAAGGGTAGAGATGGAAATACGATAATTGATGTGGAGAATATCGTCCAGGAAATTTTTGCGGCACGAGAAGAACGTGAGAAACAGAGTGGAAATGATAAAAATAGTGCTAATTTGAACGTTAAAGGTGAAAAAAGTGGGGGATGGGTTAGAGAGTTGAAAACTAATAGCCATTTGGAAAGTGATAATAATTTTTTGGTATTTTAATTTAATTTGTTTTTTTTGTTTTTTTTTTGTTCATTTTCAAACTGAAGAGAAGGTTTAGGGTAAGTTAAAACACCTTTTTCTGCTAACAAAATTTGAGAATATCTATGTAAGTTTAGCCAAAACAAAAAAAATATATATATATATGGTTATGTATCTGACCATTAAGAAAAAAATGTTTGATTTCTTGGCAAGTCATTTCGTTGATAATATCTTTCTAATTCTTCCATTTACAATTTTGTAATGTTCTTACCCAACGTTCACTGTGGATATGATTATACTTTGTAATAGTGTTTCATGGTTTATTGTGAACCATGTAAGAAAATATTTGATGCTATCCAGTTCACTATCTTTACATATATAGTAGGGATTATACTCTCCAACCACCACCCAGAAGAAACTTTGAACTCCCAAGGATAACTAGAGACACACGTCTCATGGTGTCTTTCAAGAAAACATAGAAGAATTTACATATGACTAATTACATGGAAACTCAACTTTCTAGATGAAATAAATCAATAATTGAGCTAGAACATGCATTTTCAACAACTAGATTCAAGGATAATAAAGTCATGTGTGACACGGTAGAATTGAATACATGAACATTAAGAGATTATGATCATCAAGAAGGCCGCACACGCGAATTCTGATTTGTGTGTATCACCAGATGTGTCCCAAGTTTGTTAAACTGTCATTACTTTACTTCATTTGTGAATGATTATTCTAAAGAATTGTGAGTGTATCGTGTACTTTTAAAAAACCAGAGATGTGAATAATCACACTATCCATGAAAAAAAAAAGTCAAGGAGTATCTTCTAAAAAAAACTTGTTTGTTGAAAGTGCTTTGAGCATAAGTTGCTATAACTGTCATTACTTTACTTCATTTGTGAATGATTATTCTAAAGAAGTGTACTTTGAAAAAACCAGAGATGATTCTTATATGAATCATGAATCACACTATCCATAAAAAAAAAGTGAAGAAGTATCTAAATAAATCTTGTTTGTTGAAAGTGCTTTGAGCAGAAGTTGCTATAACTGATGTTGTCATCAATATAACATCCTCAACTCCTATTTGTTGTGAAATACATGAACACGTTTAGACAGATATGACACCTGAGTTTAAAGAAGTAGTGATCTTGGGAGTGGGGTTCTTTTGATGACATGCCTCGTTGGGACTTCCACTAAAAACATGAATCTTCAATTGCGTGAACTATAATAATAAATCACATTATAAAATTTCGTGTAAGCCAATTATTTTGATTTTTCACTCAAGTTATATATCTTTTAAAACTTACTTTACGTGATAATTTTTTCTCCTAACATAAAGAGAGTTTCTTTGTCTCGGATAAATGAGATGACAATGAACCGTGTTTGCCATGAAAGAGATATTTTGGGAGACGATCGACAACAACCAAAAGTTATTCTATGAATATGATGCAAGAACTTAGAAGACCAATTATTTTTCAAAAAAAAAAAAAAAAAAAAAAAAAAAAAAAAAAAACTTAGAGGACCAATTATTTTTCCCATCATCTTCTTTATTTCCGTTTGCAAAATAAATTATTTACTTTTCACTCGAAAATAAGTCATACATAGCAGAATGCGAAGTGAGCCATCTTTGCCTGCCTATTATATTGAAGAATAAACCTTATACAGTATGGTCAAAATTATAATCTGAGCGTCCAAGACCTTCCAAAACATCAAACCAGCTCAGCTGTCATAAGTTTTTCTATGTAACGTACGCTTTTTCAGGATATTTGTCGTCCATTATACAGCCCAACTAAATGATTCTTTCTTTTTATCGCACCACAAATTTTTAAAAAATTGGTGGTAAAAGAAAAAAACTGTGAATATGTTTTCCCTTTCCTTGCAAGTCTAAGAAATTCCAAGTTTCTTTTTATTTTGGCATATTTTGGTTCGGAAGGGAAATGTAGATACAAGACACTACCGATATATCCGATATATCACTGAAAAAAGTTAACGTATAGTTTGTTTCTAAAGATTTGAAAAATTCTATGTATAGTTGATAATATTCTGTAATTGATGCATCGATATCATTCAGTAACAACACCATCACTTCCATGTCATATTAGATAATAATTTTCAGTAACAAATTCACTTTGTTTCCATTTTCTTGTATTTCCTTGCTGTCTTCCAGTCAACAAATGATATAACTAGTAAGAAAATGCCCAAATAACATATAATGAAAAGAGAAATGAAAAACAATATAATCTTATTTCTGATGAGTGTATTATTGAAATTATTATAAAGTTTGGACAATAGTGAAATGATTACCAAATAACTATTACGAGAAACTATGGTCTAAATACATATTCTTATTTAATTTAGAAATTCATAACGTGACAGTCTTTTTGGAATAAATATATAACAAAACCATTGTGTATTGTGAGAATTTATCTAAACCTAGTTATGGAAATAAAATGAATTAAATTGCAAATATGGAAACAAAATCAAACCAGAGGACACCTGTAAAAGAGGTAATAAATAGCTATTGATTTGCGTTTCTGCTCTTCACTACTGTATTTTTGTTCTTCACAACTTTCACGCAATTTGTTCTCAGTTTCTATATAAACTAACACCAAAACAGACCCACCATCAGCACTCGGCAATATCAAGGTTATAATACACCTATAAACCACAAAAACAAATATTTTCATTCATCGTTAATCTAAAAAGGATCGTATAGAGATGCAGAATGAGATGCAAGAGAAGTTTGAAGATTGGAGAGGTAAAGAGACAATCACGGGCAAACATGGTGGGATCAGAGCTGCTTCTCTTGCTTGTGGTAAATTTCTAAAACCCATAAAACAAAAAAAAAAACTTTTAAAGAATCAATAAGCTTTAAAATAGTACTCATAATGATTGGTTTTATGTATAGTTGTGGAGCTAATGGAGAATATGGTCTTCTTAGCATATTCAACCAACTTTTATGCATACTTTACGAAATCAATGCATTACTCAACAACCAAAGCGGCAAACATGGTGACCAATTTCATTGGAACATCGTTTTTGCTCACAATCTTTGGTGGTTTTGTTGCCGACTCTTTCCTCACTCGCTTCACCGCTCTCGTCCTGTTTTGTTTCATTGAACTCCTGGTAATTACAAAACTCCATAAAAATATGTTAAGATTCATCACAATATAGCATAAAAGTTTAATTATACTCCTTTCTTTGATAGGGTTTGATCTTGCTGACAATCCAAGCCCATGACCCTGAGTTACGACCTCATGGAGATACTAACACTCCTTCGAGTCTTCAAGCAGCGGTTCTGTTCACCGGTATCTACGCGGTGGCTACTGGTGTTGGAGGTGTCAAGGCCTCGTTGCCTGCTCACGGAGGCGACCAGCTCGATAGTTCGAAACAGAGTCTGATCTCAGCATTTTTCAACTGGTATTACTTTTGTATCTGCCTTGGAGGTCTCTTGGCAGTAACCATAATGGTTTGGATCGAAGAGAACAAAGGATGGAGCTTGAGCTTCGTTATCTCCACCGCCATTTTAGCCTCTGCGCTCTTTGTTTTCTCCGTCGGATTTCCGATGTATCGGTTCAAGCGTCCAACAGGAAGCCCTTTGACCAGGATTGTGAACGTGTTTGTTTCTGCCGCAAGAAACCGAAATGGGTTTGTAACGGATGAAGAAGAGATGACGCAGAGTCATAGCTCTACCGACAAAAGCATTCATTACAACAAGTTCAAGTAATTATTCTAATACTCATATTTTACTTATGATTTTCTATTCGCATTAACTAGTCTAAAACTAATATATAAAATAAGCTTTATCAACCTCTTAATACTATATCCTAATACTATTAGTTTTAGGGAATCCTTTCTCTGTTTCTTTTTGGCCAAATGGCACTTTTGGGACCCAAAATCTAGATATACTAAATATAGTTTCTTTCAAAATTATAACGTTCGTAAATTTTCATTGTAGATTTCAATACATATATTTTTTTATAAATTCATTTTGTTTTCATTTGTACTACATACATACTTAGCTTGTTTTTTATATAAAATTTAAAATTTCAGTTTTTGTATTCATTTGAAATTGATATAGATAAAGAAATGAGATTAGACTGAGTAAATTTGATAGAGTTCTTTTTTTTATATATTATAAAAGAGCTAAATTTGATAGACTTATAAATTGTAGAAATTAGTGTCTCAAGATAGGAATTGGTATTTCATTTTCAGGTTTTTGAATAAAGCAAAGCTCGACAACAAGATCTCAGCGACACAAGTTGAAGAAACAAGAACGTTTCTATCTCTCCAACCAATCTTTGTGAGCACAATTGTAATGAACTGCTGCTTGGCGCAACTAGCAACCTTCTCTGTACAACAAGGCTCGCTGATGAACAGAAAACTCACGCCTACCTTAAACTTACCAGTGCCTTCTCTCAACGCCATTGCCCTCATCATTATGTTGTCTTCAATAGTTTTCTACGAACTCATCGGCAAAAGGATCTCACCAAGCCACAACAACGAACGATCACGGAGCTTCAATTTGAAACGCATAGGAGCTGGTTTAGCTCTCACATCTGTCTCAATGGCGATTGCAGCCATGGTTGAGGTCAAGAGAAAACATGAAGCGGTTCACAACAACGTCAAAATCTCTGTGTTCTGGTTAGAGTTTCAGTATGTTTTGTTGAGTTTCTCGGATTTGTTGACTCTTGGAGGTATGTTAGAGTTCTTCTATAGAGAATCTCCGCCGAGTATGAGGAGCATCAGCACGGCGCTGGGATGGTGCTCCACCGCATTAGGTTTCTTCCTCAGCACGGTTCTTGTGGACGTTATTAAGACGACAACGGGATGGCTCAGCGGGAAAGATCTTGATGAGTCCAAGCTCGAACTGTTTTATGTGGTCTTATGTGTCCTTAACACTCTTAATCTTTTCAATTATATCTTCTGGGCGAAAAGATATTAAGCCAAAGAACAAAGTGTGTTGCTTTTCTTAAGTTGTGATTGTATCAAAGGTAAGTGAATATGCTATGCATAAATTGTGTCTGTGACTGTCAGTGTCACTTGTCTAGTTGTTCCTTGTGGTGGTTCACAAGTTGGTTGAGATGTCATGTAACAATGAGACGAAATTAGTAACTACCTCATTTTAAGCTTCATAATTTGTATTTCTACACTAATTTAGAAAGCGCGAAAGTGAATATCTTTTAAGGTAGTTCTGCCTATTTTACTATAATAGATCTCGTAATTTAATCTAGAAAAAAATTACTCAAAGGTTCATCTATGGAGTCTTTTCTGGCGTAAAGAAACCAAAGGTTATGGAATTTACATACAATAAATTCCGTTAAAATGAAAATTGCATATTGACAACTTTTAATAGCAATTTCTTGTATTCTATTAGGAAATAATCATGTGCTAGTAGAACTGGATCATCTAACGAACTGGATCACATAGTTTTTAAAAAGAAGAAACAAATAGTGAAAAAGCTTTTGGGTAAATTTAATTCATACACAACCGTATCCTCGGTTGACTTCTAAGATAATGAGGATGAGGGTATCTAGCCACGTCCACCTCTCTTTCCACGACCTCGATTACCTCTTCCACCACATGCAACTTGCCAAATCATCTCTTTAGCTTTTGTTGACGGCTTTACCGGTCTTTCTCGGATGATTCGTTTACCCAAAAGTGTCATAAGGTCCGTAGAATCAGACTCTTTGTCTAAATCTAACAACACTTCTTCTTCCTCCGGAGAAACCAAAGACACATCTTCCTCTTCAAAAGAAACCAAAGATGTGAACTGGTTAGAATCAAGAGAAAGCTCAGCTTGCTTACTTTCCCGAACAGTGACACGAGTAGGAGTGGAGGCTGGTAACAAGGTAGCTGTCTTTGAAGAAAGACACTCAATGGGATCAACTATTTTTCCTGGTGGATGTACTAGACTTGCATTCTCTGTTGGCGGAGTAGCTGAATCTGCAACAATTGGGATTGAATCCTTTATTGGCAGACGAAGATTTGAGACAGTGGAGGACTGAGGTTCATTAACCCGGGACAGGGGAAGTAGCATTGGACTTATTCACATTCTCCTCCCCAGAAACAATCAGCGGTTCAAAATGCAAACAACATTTGACTTTGTGACCCAGCTGTCCACATCTACTACACTTAGTAGGTAACGTCCACCATAGGTATAATTAAGAACAGAATACATGTTGTTTAAGTTGGATGATAAGATGAAATGAACAAATGTGACTATTAGTTGAAAATTTTCAATGTTACAAAAACGAAAAAAGAAACAAATATATAATTTACCAAGTGGTTATAGCTTGACCGATAAAGGGACCCTAGTTAAAGATTAATTAAAGGGCATAAGATTGAGTGTCGCTTGGGACGAAACCAATATTAGTGGTTTTGGGCCTAGGCGATGTACGGACTTCGGCTCAGAACCTCCTAGTAATTCAAAAAAAAAAAATATATATATATATATATATCTTTATATTATTAATTGAGACGTACATGAAAAAATTATGACTAAAAAACCAATCTGATTATGAAGAGAAAGTGTTTGGCAACAGATTTAATAAGGGTCAATTTAGTACATTATAATGTTTGGATACAAAGAATAAGAGAAAAACTATTTGGATAGAAAATAAATGGAAAAAATTGTTTGGATACAAGAATAATAACTTAAAATAAACCGATGGTTTAGAAAACTTCCGTTTTCCAGCTCTTAAAAATCTGAAAAAAAACTTAACATAATCTAACGATAATACCAAATCAATAGAATATGATTTTTGGATTTTCGGATTTTTATAGACAAGTTCGGATTTGAGTGAAAATCTGAGACCTAATTTTATAGAGATATAGAGATCTAGAAATTGTTCGGGTTTCTTTGAAAATTTCTGTTCGGGTTGGGTTAAGTTTTTTTTTTCAGTTTAGGGTTTTCCGGATTTTTTGGATTTCGGGTTTAGATATATTAAAAAAGTTTGAGTATTTTAAAATTTTGATTAGGGTATTTGGGTCGGGTTCCAGGTGAAAAAGTTTCGGGGTTTTCGGGTTTTTTATTTCGATTTTCGGGTTTAGACATATTAAAAAAGTTTGAGTTTTTAAATTTTTGATTAGGGTTTTTTGTCGGGTTGAATTTAGGGTTTAAATTTTCTACACAAAACCACAATGTCACACCGCACAAACGTGCGGGTACTCTACTAGTATATATATATATATATATATATATATATATATATATAATTGGGGAGTATTTAACATTTTTTAAATTATACTAGAGATAGGAGATGTTTAGTTTTGATAAATGAATGTTAAACTGGAATCAAGATACAATGGGCTATAAAGACATTGCAAACCTTAAAATTAAAAAACTCAGTTTAACGAACTTTGTTAATCACATGCAATTTAACGTGTAACACAATATAACGATGTTAAGATGACTGCTCGTATTTTAAAAGAAAATATATTTATTATACTATAATAGATAAATAACTTCTCTTTAGATGATGACACATCATCATTTTAAACTCCTCACAGAGTGACACATGTCTATGCTTTACATATACTAGTATGATAAATTGTCATATTTCTTATGTTTTTTTACTTATTTTCTACTTATATTTTACTTATATTTTATTTATATTTTGCTTATATTTTACTTATATTTTGCTTATAATTTACTTATAATTTACTTAAATTTTACTAAATACTATAATCTATTAAATATTGTCTTCATTACGCCTTAATGAGCGTACAAAATTCGAAAATGTATGGCAACCATACAATTCTAGCTACCTTCTGTGTACAACAAGGCTCGCTGATGAACAGAAAACTCACGCTTTCCTTAAACCTCCATGTGCCTTCTCTCAACGCCGTTGCTAACATCATAACACTCTCTTCAATAGCATTCTATGAACTCAGCGGCAAAAAGATCTCATCAATCAACAACAACGAACGTTCACGGAGCTTCAAGTTGAAACCCATAGGCGCCTGTTTAGCTCTCACTTGTAGACATTAAGAGGACAACACACTACAAAAAATTAGGTAGGTAACAGCATTTATATAGTGTCAAAATTTTAAATGACCCTAATTAGAATTATTTAGTAAAGACTAAGGGTTGTACTACGCGCGGTCTTTTTCCAGTAGTTGTTTTTGTGAACTTATGTTATTTCATATCTTATTTGTGATGGTAAGTTTATTTTTGCTAACATCAATTATAATATTTGTAATTCTAAGTAGTCTTTTAAGATCCAGAAATTGTAAAAATACAAAATCTGCTATTGTAGTGGATATATAAAAGGAATAATACAGTAGAAACTTTATAAAATTAATACTCGATAAATTAATAACTCGATTAATCAATATAATTTTTCGGTTTCAAACTAAGTTTTTGATTCAAATTATCTCTCCATAAATTAATAATTCGCTAAATTAATAAAATATCATGGTCCCAACATTATTAATTTGTAGAGTTTCTACTATATCCTTCGCATTTCTCGTATGACATTAAAAATGAGTATTTTTTTTTATATAACCTCATTTTCACTCCCGATCGTAATTGCGCATTCGTTCTCCCCTCTAGCACTCGAGCTATCTATCTTACACACAAAAATTCTCACTTAATCTCATTCACATGCACCTTCAAGCCTGAAAAACTATATACCCCTATCTCAATAGCCGGCTCGTTCTGTTTGTTTTTAGACACACAAATTCTATTGCTTCTCAGCTGCGTTTATTCTCAATCTAAACAGAGAATTATCTGCTGCATGTAGGACATAATGGAATAATTGAGAAAGTGAACCAATTAACTTTTGGAAATTTCAAAGAACGGTTAGTCCAACTCCCAATCTTATTTGATGGACTATATTTATATATAGTTAAAAAAAGATGCAAACTACTATGATAGTAAAAGATTTGCATTGAATCTTTCAAGAACGCTTTTAAGTTTTTATAAGTTACTCTTCCGCTTTTTTCAGTGTCTATAACTATAAGAGCTTCTGTAAGCCCTTGAATATCTTCTCCGAAAAGCCTTTCTACTATCAGCTGAAAGTGAGACAGTAATGAAATATTGTTCTCATCAAAACCATCTAGAGAAAACTAAAAGATTTTATTATATTATTATGGTACCCTTAAAGCCATCTTCTTGAGCTTGTCCGTTGCTGAAAACTTCTTCAAACGACTTAACACAGTTGTGTCATGCGGTGTATCTAGTGCATTTTCTTCATCCTTAATCCATGGATATGATGGCCTAAGCCCAAAAATAAAAAATAAAAAAACAAGTTCCATATTTACTTAACTGTAGAGCATCATGATTTAAGAGACTTACACAAGACTTGTTGAGCAGGTGAGTCTTTTCTTGGGGTTTCTTTTGAACATCTTGCTGATCAAATCTTTTGCACTTTCAGAAACATGTGACCAAGGATCTGATGACAAATCAAGCTCACCCTCGAGAACATCATTGAAGATTTCCTTCTCCCGTTTCTGCTTAAATCAACAACACACATGAGATCCTTGGTCACATGTTTACATTTATATATTAAGAATTTGTGATTTTATTTAAATCTACGTGGTACTTTAGCTATCTGATATTGAACCACAACCAAGAAGAAGTTGGTAATGCCTAAGAATTTGGGGTTTAGGGTTTAGGGCGGTTTGGATTAATTTTCTATTTAGTTGCACAGAATCTCTTTACTTGGAAAACTTTCGCCTTTCATGCATCATAAAGCGTAGAGAATTATAAAATTATAGGACTCAGTTATCTTTAACCAAAATCTACGTGTTTTATCACGAGTGTTTTTATCATGAAAGTTTGTAAACTGTATGTTTAATAATATTTTGTATTGGTGATTGAAATTTTGATATGGAATTATATAAACTTAAAAATGTAAACTACAGCAATTCTTTTCGAAATGTTTTATACCTGTTTTAGTTATCATTTATTAATAGTATATATGTACTAAGACTATGAAACTTCTTTTTGATGAGCCATTTTGACCATTAATCTCTCTAATCAAAAAGTTTAATTTGAAATATTTTGTAACATTCGCCATTAACATTCTTCATCAACATTAATCCAACGTAACAGGGGCAGAGAAGATTAAAAAAACAAAAGCAAAAGCAAAGTCATCTATTGTAGTTCCATGCAATTGCAAAAGACTGTCTTGAAAAACTCTAGAATGACTGCAAATTTCAATGTAAACTACGTAATGATCATGACCATTATCATCTTTTAACCACGTAAACTGAGAGATATTAAATTCAATCTCGCCAACAGAGGAATATGAAATGGTAATTCGAACGAACAAAATTAAACTCTGAAAGTGAAAGAGGAACATACCTTGACACCAATCTGCAACTCTGTCACATCAGCTGATTTCTTGGCATAAAAAAAAAACAGAGATAAGATCGAGGGCTTAGTTTCTCAAATGTTGGTTGGATGATAAAATAGCTTTACGCCAGGATTATATAGACCCAAGTTAACATTGAATCGAGGAGAAATCATCATATAACTACGTGGAAAGCAAGAATAAAGAAGAAAACTTACCTAAGGAACGCTTTGTAAGGGAAATATGTATAATTCGGATGTATATTACCAGGATGACTTCTATCCTAATCCCATAACAGAAGAGCAGCCTGTACATTGAAATTTCAGGTCAGTATTATTGTTAACCAAATCACCATATTTATAAAAAAGGCAGTACTAACAAATCGAGTTTTATATTCTCTACATACATACCAGGGTTGTGCCGTCACCGTAGCTAAATGATCGCAAACACCAAACACGACATTAGAACATCCATCAAACATAATGGAAATTAACATTTTTGAAAATCATGAAACTTATTTTTCATGTTACAAACGGTTTCTTGGTCGAGCCGAAGAGGTTCCACAGGCGATTAAACTCCAATCTGTCGGCCTTAAGTTGGTGTGAATCTGAAGCCTTCACTTTGTTCTCAGTTAGTTGACACAACCAACCACCACTTGAATATCCGAGCCAAATTCTCAACACTGTTGAGACAATGACAAAGCCAGACTTTTGTTGCTGCGAAGAAGACTGAATCCGACTCCGAAGTCAGCAAATCAGAATCTGATTCCAACTCCGATGGATGCAGAACCTGCGGAGAAGAAGACGACGAAGCCTCTCAACACTGTTGGGACAAAGACAAAACCAGCTCTCTGGAAGAGCAACAGCAGATCCAGAAGTCATTGGCTTTGTCTTTGTCCCAACAGTGTTGAGAGGCTTTGTTGTTTTCTTCTCCGCAGGTTCTGCACTGCATCGGAGTCCGAATCAGATTCAGATTCGCTCACTTCAGAGTCGGATTCAGCCTTCTTTGCAGTAATAGAAGTCTCTGGCTTTTTCTTTGTCCCAGTGTTGAGAGGCTTCGTGGTCGTCATCATCGGAGTGAAAATCGCTCACTTCAGAGTCGGATTCAGGCTTCTTCGCAGCAACGGAGCAACAGATTTCTGAGTGAGCTTTGGCCTTTGAGAGCATTTCTCCATCGTTGTCGGATGAGGACTCTTCCCCAGAAGACTCAAATTCTTCTCCAGATGAACTAGATGACTCTTCCTCTTCGCTGGAAGAGCTTACATGAGGGTTCTCGATCTTCTCGGCCTGCATTGGTGCCATCAGAGAGAAGTAGAAGAGAGAGAGGAGACAAAGTTTTAGGTCTGAAATATTCTTCTGTCTTTTCCTGTCGCCGTCTCCTTTTAGGTTAAGTAAATCCTTTTAGGTTAAGTAAATTTATAAACTCGAAGAGTCGCACATTAATTTACTTTAATTTAACATTATATATATATAATAATAATAACGAGTGGCAATTTATTATGAAGTTTACATTCTTACGTTTTTTCCAAAGTGCATTTATATCAATTTATAATTAGTTTCACATGTGTTATTTTACTTAAAGATGAAAACTTGAAGATGTTTATATATTTGTGTTACAGTTTTGTGAAAAAAAAAATGTCTGTTTATTGCAATTGATGTGTGTTTACAATCTAATTGACTAGTTTGTGAGAAATTAGATGCACAAAACTAGTAGGGCTGGATCATCTAAGGTAAAATTAAGAACATACTACATGTCGTTTGAGTTGGATGATAAGATCATGAAATGAACAAATGTGATTATTTTTTTTTGGTACGATGAACAAATGTGATTATTGGTTGAATATTTTCAATGTTACAAAAACGAAAAAGTAAACAAATATATAATTTTTGCCAACAAATATTTAATATTTTAAAATTTATTTTAATTAAAAAATCTACAAAGTAAATATTGGTAGATATTTTTAATTTAAAATAAACAAATCTTGTGGATTGTTTTCTATTTTTATCAATAAGTTTAAAATTTAATATGCTTAGGTAATTTTCATTCATTGAAAAGGATAAAAATAAGTTGGCTATCAGTTTTGACAATGTAGTAACTTATTGATAGTAGATCCATATAAGTTTGTTACAATCTAATAAAAATATAATTTTTCATGTTTATATAATAGATCCAAACATAAGCACATATACAGACATAGACTCACAGTAACAACCGAAAAGGACCCACCATCGGTAATTTCAAGGTAGTATAAGTACACCTATCAACCAGAAAAAGAAACAAAATTCATTCATCTTTAATCTAGAAGGGATCGTAGAGATGCAGAATGAGATCGATGAGAAGTTTGAAGATTGGAAAGGTAGAGAGGCAATCCCTGGCAAACATGGGGGTTTCGGAGCTGCATCTATTGCTTGTGGTAAAAAAAAAAATCAAACTCAAAAACTTCTTGTTTTCGATAATAACAATCTTGAAATTAAATAGCCATAAACTCATAACATGTATATTTTGGTGTGGTGAATGTAGTTGTGGAGATGATGGAGAACATAGTGTTCGTAGCTAATGGATTCAATTTCGTTGAATACTTCATGGGTTCGATGCATTATTCATCAGCCACAGCAGCAAACATGGTCACTAATTTCATGGGAACATCGTTTCTGCTCACTCTTTTTGGCGGTTTCATCGCTGACTCTTTCCTCACTAGTTTCACAACTTTCATCCTCTTTTGTTGCATGGAACTCATGGTAATTACAACTTCCATAATTATTTAGAGCATTTTGATTTTAAACAGTGTATTTCTTTTTAATTACTATAGAGTTCAAGGTCCGAGACCAGAGTATTTTATATGAAAATGAATATTTCATTAAATTTAAAATTTTTGATATAGGGATTGATCTTGTTGACGTTCCAAGCTCAAAACCCTAATCTACTGCCTGAGGGAGATAAAACACCTTCAACGCTTCAATCAATCATTCTTTTCACAGGACTCTATGCGATGGCTGCTGGTGCGGGTGGTATCAAGGCATCAGTGCCTATCCACGGATGCGAACAGCTTGACAGAAGAAATCCGAGAGTTATCTCAAGTTTCTTTAATTTGTTCTACTTCCTTATATCCTTTGGATGTTTCTTAGCCGTAACCGTTGTGTTGTGGATTGAAGATAACAAAGGTTGGAATTATAGCTTCAATGTCTCGGTTGGGATTATGGCTGTTGCTCTATTTGTTTTCACGGCAGGGTTTCCATTTTATCGATTCAAACGTCCTAATGGAAGTCCGTTGACAAGGATCGCGATTGTGATTATTTCCGCCGCAAGAAACCGAAATAAGCCTGATTTGGATGAGGAGATGTTGACGCACAGTCTTATCTCTAAGGACACAAACATTCGCCACAAGAAGTTAAAGTAAGTATTATACTATTATAAGATGAGATGCCAATAAAAAGTCATGTACCTAATTCATTCGAATATTCATAGATAATTAAAAAGTCATATGGATTTCGGGTATTTTTGTATGTTTTCTTAATAAATAGTAAAAGGGTATATATATCTCATTAATATTTGAACTTAACTTTTCAGGTGTTTAGATAAAGCAATGTTGAACACAAAAATCTCAGCAATAGAAGTTGAAGAAACAAGAACGTTTTTGGGTCTTTTACCAATCTTTGGTAGCACGATTGTCATGAACTGCTGCTTGGCACAACTATCGACCTTCACTGTACAACAAGGCATGATCATGAACAGAAATGTTTTTGGCTCCTTCGAGATCCCTACACCTTCCCTCAACGCTATTCCTCTCATCTTCATAATGTTTTCTATACCTTTGTACGAATTCTTTGGCAAAAGAATCTCATCAAGGAACAACGAGAGATCAAACAACTTCATTTTGAAACGCATAGGAGTCGGCTTAGCTCTCTCCTCTGTTTCAATGGCCATTGCAGCTGTGGTGGAGGTCAAGAGAAAACATGAAGCGGTTCACAACAACTTCGAAATCTCTGTGTTTTGGTTAGAGTTTCAGTTTGTTATATTGAGTTTATCGGATATGTTGACTCTTGGGGGAATGCTAGAGTTTTTCTATAGAGAAAGTCCGGTGAGTATGAGGAGCATGAGCACGGCGTTGGGGTGGTGCTCCACCGCAATGGGTTTCTTCCTCAGCACGGTTTTAGTGGATATCACGAATGCCATCACGGGAAGGTTTGGCCAGCAGTGGCTTGGCGGGAAAGATCTCAACAAGTCAAGGCTTGAAATGTTCTATGTGGTCCTTTGTGTTATTAATACTCTTAATCTTCTTAACTATGTTTTTTGGGCAAAGCGATATTAAAGCTAAAGAACAAATTCACTATGCCTTTTGAGGGACTGTATCAACTACAGTACTTATTAATAAATTAATAGCAAGGAATAAACAAATTAAGTGTTTTTTAAAAAAATCTTCAACCTGTTGATTATGAGCAATACGTCCAAAACTATTTTGTTACATATATTATGTTCGTTCAAACTCAAAGCTATTAAATCTAATGTAAAACAAAGAATAGATGTGAAAAAAAAAATCAACATAGCGATTGCATTCTTTAGAGGATGGCTGCTTCGTGACAAAAAAAAAAAGAGGATGGCTGCTGATTCTTATTTTAACATCATATAACATTTTTTGTCCATGTATTATTGTACACTTTTTAGCTAGAAATCATGGCATATGAGATGTTTAACATATGTCAAACTTTGAAGTTAAAACAGAAACAAATTTCGGGAAAATTGGATAAATGAATCAAAATAAATGTGTCATTGTATCGCAATATTTAGCATAAATGGTTTGTTATTTTCTCTTCTTATATATTCATGTCCATTTAAAAAATTTAACATTTTGCTAATTACGTATTAAATTTATAATTACTCTTATAGATATTCCTATCCATGTAATCTATTTTCTACCATTTTCAGAAAATAAATTTAGATCTTTCTTTGGTGTAAATCAAAAAGAAAGAAAAAAGGTCATTATTTGGTGTAAAATGAAAAGACAAAAAAAAGCAAAAATCCATTCAAAGACTCAAACCATAGTGATTCTGAATTTGTTTTCTTAGAATCAAACATTTTATATTAAAAATTAATTACCGAAAATATAATATTTTGGCTAGGTCCATATAAACATCAGGCCTGATTGGTTGTGGCTGTGACTTTAGATTTTTGGCTGTAGAGTTTAGGCTGTAGGTTTTAGTGCTATGGCTTTAGTTTTTAGTTCTGTAAGATTTTTTGTTTTTGTAGATTGTGTATTAAATGAAATCTTAAAACAAAAAAAGAAGATATATAGAAATAAGAGATTAAAAAAAGAATATAGACAAAATAATAAGGAAAGAGAAGAGAGAGAATTTAGAGAGCACTAAATTTAGTGCTCTAGAAAAGTTGCTTTCCACATCTACGGAACTTCCATAAATAAATAAAATTGCTCTATGTTTCAAAAATGGAAAGAAATAAAAAGAGAACATGATTGATAATTTTGGAGTGCTGTAGAGAGATATAGAGCTGTGGAGAGCAACCACAGCTCCCACCAATCATCCCCATCAACTACCCAAACACATGGTTTTATCACCACCCATAGAAAAAGTGTATTTATTCCGCCAAAACCTTTATTACGGTTACTACAACACATCCAAAGATGTCTTCTTCTTCTTCCGTCGGAATCTCTCTCTCCTTCCTTTTCTTGGCTCTGCTAACGTCACCGTCTGTCTCACAAACATGCAAGTCACAGACATTCTCCGGCGACAAAACATACCCTTACTGCCTCGACCTCTCTGAGCTCAAAGCCTTCCTCCACTACTCCTACGACGCCGCCAACACAACCCTCGCCGTCGTCTTCTCTGCTCCGCCGTCAAAGCCTGGCGGATGGATCGCTTGGGCTATAAACCCAAAGTCCACCGGTATGGTCGGAGCTCAAACCTTAGTCGCTTACAAGGATCCAAGTAACGGTTTAGCCGTCGTGAAGACGCTAAACATCAGCTCCTACAGCACGCTTATTCCGTCGAAGCTGGCGTTTGACGTTTGGGACATGAAAGCAGAGGAAGCGTCGAGAGACGGAGGGACGTTAAGAATCTTTGCGAGGATTAAAGTTCCGGCTGATTTGGCGGCGATGGGAAAGGTGAATCAGGTGTGGCAAGTCGGTCCTCAAGTGAGTCCCGACGGAATGATAGGGAAGCACGATTTCGATCCGCCGAATCTCGTTTCTAAGGGCCCACTCGATTTAAACGGCGGCGTAATCTCCGGCGGCGGCGATGGAGAGGGAGATTCCAAAATCAAGAAGAGAAATGTGAGTTCCTATTGAAAAAACAAAACAAAACAGAGAAAACCCTAAATGACTAGAAAATAAAATCTAAAAAATTATAATTTTTTTTTTTCAATCTGATTGAAGTTAAAAATGTGGTGATAATTGTGCAGATTCATGGGATATTAAATGCTGTGAGCTGGGGAATTTTGTTTCCGGTAGGTGCAATAATAGCGAGGTACGTGAGAGTATTTGAATCCGCAGATCCTGCCTGGTTTTACCTCCACGTGTCTTGTCAGTTGTCTGCTTACGCCATCGGCGTTGCCGGTTGGGCCACCGGACTCAAGCTCGGCCGCGAGTCTGAGGGTATTCGCTTCGCCAGCCACGGTAACATCGGCATTGCCCTCTTCTCCCTCGCCACCATTCAGGTAATTTAATTACAAAAAGTTCTTGTTAAACTCTGTTTTAACCTTCCAAGTTCATGTTCAAGTTTCAAGCTTTTGATGTATATGTTTCTTGAACAAGATTCAAGATTTTGAACATGTTTATTTAACAAGATTCAAGATTTTTAACATGTTTATTTAAAGTTCAAGTTTTTGAGCATGTTTCTTGAAACTTGAAAACCCTTACCGTTGTTTTTTTGTTACCAAGGTTAAAAACTGAAATCAGTAAAATTATGATCTTTGTACCGCTTTCTTATCACGCTATGTTATGTCTTTTTGTGTGTCTTTGTTTAGATGTTTGCGTTGTTGTTGAGACCAAAGAAAGACCACAAGTACAGATTCTATTGGAATATCTACCATCATGGAGTCGGCTATTCGATCCTAATCCTTGGGATCATTAATGTCTTTAAAGGTCTCCGCATCTTGAAGCCACAAGACACATACAAGCATGCTTACATTGGTGTGATCGCGAGCCTTGGAGGCTTAGCATTGCTCTTAGAAGCTGTTACTTGGGTCATTGTGCTCAAGAGAAAATCGAAGAATTCAATTGGGACCTGATCTATCGAAGAATTATTTGTTATGATCATTAAGTGGTCTTGGTGTATAGAAGAAACACATGCATCATCATTGTCTTGTATTGTGTAGCTTTTGTGCTTTTATGTCTTCTATTTTCTCAAAGTTATAAATTCTTGTAGGGGATTCAGTTTTTGAAGTTTTTCTACTTTGAATCATTTCATTTCATTTGTCCAACTAACTGTTTTGTACTTATTCCCATGTGCTTAAAGACGATCAAATATGTCCACATGCTTTGGGCTAAATTAATAATTCAATAAGATTAAAACTTTTATGAACAGTATCAGACAAATTATGGTTCCAAAACATAATCATACCTAGGTGTCTTCCTCAAAAGGTCCTTTTTGTTTAGATTTATCGTCTTCAAATTAGTCATTAGATTTAGACCCCTTACCCATAGGTCCCATACACTTTTAATTTAAGGAACTAATGTGAAAATTTTGTTGAAATCTCATTTGAGAACTTTTTTCAACGTTGTTATTTTCTATGATTTGTTGAAACTTCACTAGAAAGCTTTTCTTAACGTTGTTTCTTTCTTTAGTAAAGGTGTTGTATGTGGATACTCCACAAACAACTATCCTTACGCCTGTTTTCAGGATGTGAGTGTGGCTAAATCATAATCCTAGGGATGAATAATAAATTAGCTGTATGAAAATTATCCTTTCGTTAAAAAAAAAATATTGAATTATGAAAGGATTGTACAGCCTAAAAAAGGTGGTGGTTAGGCTGTCGAGTTTTTGGATTTCCAATTTACATTTCAACTTGTCATAATTAACGATGTCAAGAAAAATAAAAATAAAAATAAACTTGTCATGATTAAGGGAACTTTGTTCCGCAAACTTCGACCCATAATTGAGGAATCCCTTGATTATAATAATCAATCATCAATCAAAAAAATTTAAGTTCTTAATTTGTATGGTTTGTTTGTACGTAATTTACAGAAACAACTTAGTTCATATACTTCCCACGAAGATAGAGCTAAGCAGGGAGGTTTTCACCGCATAAGCAAAGCATGTAGAGATTCTCCATGACTCCATAACGCAATGTTGGAACTTTGACCACAAGTTTTTGAGTGCAACGCTAAAAACAGAGGTATCGACTATCAAGTGAGACACCATGATTCAACATGCATGGGGGAGAACATATATGTGTAGTCGAGTAGAAGATAACAAACAAAAGTTAGTGCTTAATCTAAAATTCTAAACTAACCAAACAAAATGATACAAAGAATATCTTGGATCGCTGCACTAAAAAAAAAAAAAAAAAGCTGGTGAGAATGTGTTTGGGCTCAAATATAGTGGGCCTGGTTAGTGAGTGATTCCCCAACAAGTTTGGTCAACGAGAAAGATTTAAGTGACTGCCACGTGTCCGTCGCTTATCGCCTGAAACAGAAAGCATCCGGTGACCCGGTCATCCTCTCCACACTTTTTCTCTGTCAATCAAAAGTCTCTTATATAAAGAAGGGAATCGAATCTAGCAAATGTGGTTTCATATAATAATTGTCACATTCTCTTCTAGGAATTTGGTTTTTCCCCTCTTTCTATAAGGTAGCTAGGTCTAAGGGATTTTTTCTTGTGTGCGTGTAAAATGAAAACGGGAGAAGAAGGAGGAGAAGACAAGGAAGTAGTTTCTCTTGAAACTCTCAGTAAAAAAATGGATGATTTTGCAAAGGCTAGAGATTGGGAGAAGTATCATAGTCCAAGGAACCTTCTTTTAGCGATGGTATCTTTCTGCTCCATCTACTTTGATTTATCTGTAAAATCTCAAATTAATCTCTTAATTTCGTTTAGCAAAAAGGGATAGTAGAACCATGATTGTTCGGTTTCGAATTTCTATCCATTAAGTGGGCCACATGAAAGTTTGGTTCTTTTGCTATGAAATCTGTCTGATAAACACAAAGTTGGCTTCTTCTGCTAAGAAATCTGTTTTATTTAATTTAATTTAGGTCAATAAGGTCAAAGCTTTTTGTCCTAGAAACCAAAGTCAACACTAGCTTCTTGTGTGTTTTGTTGCTTTAAAAATGATTTTAACAATTGAAAGTTTGAAACTGAAACTGCACAGGTGGGTGAAGTGGGGGAGCTATCAGAGATATTCCAGTGGAAAGGAGAAGTAGCAAGAGGACTTCCAGACTGGAAAGAAGAAGAGAAAGTTCATCTTGGAGAAGAGTTATCAGACGTTTTGCTGTACTTGGTGAGGCTCTCTCATGTTTGTGGTGTCGATTTAGGCAAAGCCGCTCTTCGCAAACTCGAGCTCAATGCCATCAAGTACCCAGTCACACAGACTGATCACTCTGTTGGTGAACATTCAAGCAGCAAAAGCAAGTTGAAAGAAGAAAACTAATTCTCTCTCCATTTTCATGGTGTTCTTGTGAGTGTGTTTAAGTTGTTCTCTTGTAATCAAAGAGCCAAGAAGATACAATCTTTGTTTTTCGGTATGAATCACCTCTTAATATTATCATGAATTAGCACTTTGATGAAACACCATTATGTTACACACTTACATGTGTCTACACTAACCTATACCATCCCCTCCAAATGTTTGTTTGTACATCAAATCGAAACCGGAAAGAATTTTCCGACGAACGTCTCTCTCTCGAGGTGTGGTTGGTTCCCTTGCTTTACAGGTTTGTTGTGGCTCTGCTCATGATTCAGCGGTTTGGCCATGGCTTTGCGGTGTTAGTAGAGTCAGAACGTCCCTGATTCGAAACCCATTGCCCCAAAATGATGCAAGGCACAGACCCATTATGGCCATTACAACCACAGAGCAAGCTGCTGGTACAGCTTGGCTACTACCAAGGAACTGACTTGCAAGAAGCCCGGCTAATGTCGAGCTCTGCATTCCGGTACAAAGAGAGATCGTTCGGCTTACTTCTTCCTCTTGCCTGATGAACAAAAAGATTCAACCTCATCATCTCAAAGTTTTTTGAAGTGTTGGAAGTAGAGATGGTGGTGTTTAGTTTACCTTAAGCCAGGGATCTTAGAGAACCAATACCCCAAAGCAAAGGCTACTGCGTGGAATGTGATAACCGGAAGAATCAATCTAAGACCTTCTGATGAAAGAATCTGACTCCGATTTATCGAAAGCGGGCTTCCAATGCACAACGAAGTGCACACCATAGCAACAAACGGCATCACGGGTCGAAGAAGAGTGACCACAGGCTTTGCGTAAGTGTTCAACACAAGGCCAAGAGTGACTGGCACAAGCACCACCTAGTTACCACAGATGGTAAAAAGCACTTTAGACCTTAAAAAGAGATTGATTCTTCTTCAAGAACAGATTTGCTTTTACCTGTAATATGGACTTGGACATGGCAATTGCATCAACAGGAACAACCGATCCGATTAGAAGACCGCTCAGCAATGGAGTGAAGAGCACAGAGGCAATAGTAGTGACACTAGTGAGAAGAATGCTCATTGCAACATCTGCTTTACTTAAAGAACTCGCGTAGCTTGACAACTGAGCTCCTGCTACACAGCAAGTGAGCACAAAACCTGCGTAGAAGATCCTCGGCATCCCAAAGACGTTTGCAACTAAAACCCCGAGTAGCGGTTTCAGAACGTACTGAGCTATAAACCCAACAGATAATGGCACTGGTCTACAACAACAACAACAAAAAGTGTTCTCAAGAGTATTAGCCATCAGGAATCTACTAATCTAAGCTCTACTAAGAAGAATGATTGGTTATACCTTTTGAAAGCGAGAGCGAAATCTTGAATCGAAAGCTGGATTCCGATAGATAACATAATCCCTCCAAGAGCAGGAGCATAGAGGTCTTTAGATACCCTGAAAAAATATTCCATCTGATATTCATCTTAAACCCCAAATTCAAAATCTTGATTCACTAAACAGCAATTGACTTGAAAACAGAGCAATAAAGCTGAAAACTTTGAGTAAAAGCCACAGACTTTCAAAATATTGGATTCTCTAAACAGCAAATGGCTTGAAAACAGAGCAATAAAGCCGAAAACTTTGAGTAAAGCCTCAGACTTTCAAGTTGATTCTCCTCAAACACATCTTCGTATATGAAAAGAAAGGTTCTTAATTCCGATTTACGAGCTAAATCACCAATTTTCTACTGATTAACAATTCGAATCGTGTCCGAAGTTAAGCCAGAGAGAGTGTGAGCGAACCAGGTGAAGGTAGATGGGTAGGAGAGAGCAGCGACGGCGGTGAGAGCGACGACGAACGGAAGCAAAGCGGACAAAAACTGAGACGAATCGGACTTCTCCGGAGACTCTGTTCCTCCACGGAAAGATAACAGTGACATGTTGCCGTCTCTCCACTGTAATCCAACTCTGCCCATAAACGGCGTCGTTGAGCACGCGACTTCGCTGCCGCTTCTTCTTCTCCGCGGCAGTCTAAAATCTAGAGAGCTGTTACTAAGCGATGACGAATCGACAGAAGAGAAGGAAGAAGGGGAAGACCGTAATTGACAGCTGAAGCATCGTGGTTTAGCGGGAATATTAGAATCGGAAAGCGACTTTCTGCTTATAGTCGCCGGCGGTGAGAAAGAGAAAGAAGCGATTGAAGCCATTATGTTTTGCAGAAGAAAGCTTCGATTTTGATAATTCAAGGTGGCGGAGAAGATTGAAGCGCCACCGTGAAATGTCGCCGTGGACCGGCGAGGAAGGAAGAAATTGAGTGGGTGAGATTCCAAGTTGGAGAAGAAGGAAAGTGATAATATAGAAAAAGATTATGAAAGGGACAAAAATGATTGTTTAAGGTTTAGGTGATTGACAAGTATGCAGAGAGTTTAACGGCTGAGATTGGTTCTTATTCGTCCAAAGACTTTTTTTCATTACACTTTAGCCTTTGAGCAATGTTTGGATTGCAGAATTTTGGATGGAAGATGGTTGTTTGTTAGGTTTAGAGGTTAAAGACGTCGACTTTCTTAATCTCAACCTGAAACCGAGACGAGGGACACATCACATGTTTGAAACACAGCGATAAAAATGACCAAATCGAGAGAGTTTATACGTGTTTAATACGACACCACATACGTCTCGCCGACATCTTTAGGTCGGACTCCACGAAAATCAAACAATAGTGTTCTTTCACAAACTTATATGGGAATTTCTTGGATCTTCTTGTGCACGTTTCCAAACCACGAAAGGTGACTCCTTTTCTGTGTTTGATCAGCTAAACAAATATTGCCCTTGTTTTTTTTTTTTTTTTTTGAACGACCAAATATTGCCCTTAAGCTTAACTTTTGACAAAAAAAAACAAACTTTTGACATCACATCGGACAAAACGTATTTCTGTTTTATTTTCGGAAGGAGAGAACTGAAAGTAGCCGTTTCAGCTAAAGCGTCAGAGAACATTAGTTCCATTTGAACTTACTTAACTTACTTAGAGTTCAAATTTTGTCCTTTTTTTAACTATATCATCACATGCTTCATCTTCACAAATCTGCACCTGGCTTACCTGAGCAATGAGATAGAGATAGAATGTTTTCGATTTCAGTTTCGGATTCTGAGTGCATTACTCACCCTTGGCTTCTAGTTATAGCATATTCAGTGAACCTTGAAACTTGGTATACAACGGTTTTTTTTAGTTATGTCTTATATACTCCATGATAAACTTATATACTCCATGAAAGATTGTTGTTTGTTAGGTCTAAAACCTTTTTCTAATTTGAAAACTAACCCTTGTTTTTAAATTTTTTAAAACTAACATTTTTAGACTATTAAACCATAATCAGTTTAAATGATTTTAGGATAATATCAAATATATTTTTTTCAACTGAAATAATTTTAAAACAATTTTTACAGATATAAAAATTGAGGTTATTTTGTTAATTTCGAATATCAAAAATATAAGTTTTCCAATATTTTAAAAGGAGGTTAGTTTTCAAAAAATTTCCAGCTATTTTTCTAGTTTCACCTTTCTTTTTGTGTCAACCTTCCACTTTATATTTTCTTTTTCTAGCTTTTCCCTTTTGTACTGGCTAATTGTTCAACTACCATACAAATTTCATACATTTTTTTCCATATAATTTGTTTTTTCTCTGTTAAGATGACATTTCCACAACTCTTATATGCTACATAATGCAGTTACTCCAGTTTGGCAGTCTCCATGCCATTCTATCAGTTTCTAGTCTGGCTGTTTCTAGTCATGCATTCTAACATGCATTCACCAACGTTCTAATTTCACAATTTCCAATCTCCATTTATATAATATCTTAAACCATCAAACACTTCAAAATCAAGTCTTAAACAATTATTTAAAAAAATACTCTTGAATGCTATATATATTTCGATTGTCATTGTGTGTCAATGTTCCTTATCAAAATGGGTTTCTTAGTGGAAGCTTTTGTAGCTTTGATATTGTTGTCTCTCGGTTTTGCAATAACAGAATCAGCTCCTGAATCTTCTCTCGTCACCAAACTTCCTGGTTTCAATGGCAGTTTTCCATCTAAACACTATGCAGGGTAAGTTCAATCTAAGTGCTTATACTCATCTTTAATACAGTTTGTTTCTGGATTTTATTCCAATAGATTTTAACCTTTTCAAGTGGAATTTGGTACGATGATTTATAAGGTACGTGGCAATAAATAAAGAGCGCAATAAGAATCTGTGGTATTACTTTGTGGAATCAGAGAGAAACGCTTCAACAGATCCAGTTGTGCTTTGGCTTAATGGTGGTCCTGGTTGCTCTAGCATGGATGGATTTGTCTATGAACATGGTCAGCTTCATATATACAACCTTTAATTTCTTGTGTCAAAAGCAAAATATAAATGCACATATCATCTAATTCAATACTATTGCAGGTCCTTTCAATTTCGAACACACAAAGACCAAAGCACCTCGTTTGCACCTCAATCGTTACAGTTGGTCTAAGGTGAAAAAAAGGAACAACCACTTTTGATAGTCATTACGAATGTCTTTCTTCAATTTTTTAATAATAAATTGTTAAATCTCCTGAAATGTGTTTTTTTTCTGGTCAGGTTTCGAACATCATATACCTTGACTCCCCGGTTGGCGTTGGATACTCTTACTCAAAAGACAAGTCTGATTATATAACTAATGATACGCAAACGGCGTCTGATTCTTATGCATTCCTTATCGAGGTGAAATACGAATGTATTAGATCTTCAAACTATGTTCCATGTGTTGTGTTTGAATTCAAGAAAATTAACCATTAGATCCAATGTTCAACAGTGGTTCAAGATGTTTCCGGAATTTCAGTCAAATCCATTCTTTATCTCAGGAGAATCATACGCTGGAATCTATGTGCCTACTCTTGCTTCCCAAGTTGTCAAAGGTCATTATTGATCTATCTTTTATAACATTATCTTTAAGACCTATATACATATTAAAAAGAAAAAAAAATCATTTTCATATGTTAACAATTTTGTTATAAGAAAAACAAATCATTACTAATTTTCTAATTTTTCTAATTTTTCTCTTCGTTTTCTTGTTATGTTGTAGAAAATAAAAATGTAATGAGAATAAACAAAAGAAAAACAAAGAAGGATGTGAAAAAGCCGGTTATCAATTTAGAGGTACGTCTAACTAATTGAATATAATAACTTTTAAATTCAAAGTTTGTTAGTGTTTTTGGGTTCTTGAATCTTGAATCGGACCTATACGTTATACAGGGGTATTTGGTGGGTAATGGATGTACTGATCCGGTGTTTGATGGTAACGCTCTAGTCCCCTTTGCACATGGAATGGGACTCATCTCTAGTGAACTATTTGAGGTTTGCTTCTGTTTCCTTAATTTCTTATAACCTCAGTTATTTTATCTGATGTGTAACAAGAAAACAAATGACAGGAGACTAAAGCGGCGTGCAATGGACAGTACTATATATCGGGAAATACAACAAATGGGTGCTCCGGTTTGATTCAAAAAGTGAAAGATGATGTGAGCTTATTAAACAAATATGACATTCTAGAATCGTGCTATCACGATACATCTATGACCACGTTTGACATCGGATCTCTTCCTCCGAGTTTCTTTATGCTGGGCAAAACAGAAAGGCCACTGCCAGTGAGAAAGAGAATGTTCGGACGTGCATGGCCCTTAGGTGCCAATGTGCGTCCAGGTTTTCTCCTCAGTTGGCCTCAACTCCTTGCTGACTCCTCCTCCCTTTCTTGCATGGTAAGTACTTACTGACCCCATGCATCTTCCTCTTATATATATAAATATATATGTTTGGAAATCGTTTTTTTTTTAACCGAGAATGAGTAATATTTAAACGAGTGGATTCCTGGTTAGAAGCGCACATACCAAAAATTGTGTCTTTAATTATGTGAATACGTCAGTGTTATACTGGTTAGACGTTTAAAATTTGCCTTTGAGCGGATTCGTACTAGAATGTATTTCTTGCATTGTAACAAAAAGCTTTTGTTGCAAGATTGGACAAATAAAAATTTGAATGATAATTTTTGTACTCAGCTACTTTAGAAACTGAAAAAGTTGATATGGATGCAGGACGATAGAGTTGCAACCACCTGGCTGAGCGATCCATCCGTGAGAAAAGCGGTTCATGCTAAACAGGTCTCTATCAAATCCACTATTTTGTATTGTTTTCGTTAAGTTTGGTATACGAAGTTATTTTTGTTTAAATTCTCTCTCATATATTTGATAGGAAAATGAGATTGGGAGCTGGAAATTGTGTACAAACCAAGTCTTATACACTCATGATACTGGAAGCATGATCGCATACCATAGAAACCTCACTCTTAATGGCTATCGCGCTCTCATCTTCAGGTACATCTATATATATACTACACCATATATATATATATAAATGGTAAAGTTAAAACCAAAGAGAATGTGGATAGTAATAATAAAACTTTTTGTGCAGCGGAGATCATGATATGTGTGTACCATTTACTGGCTCTGAAGCATGGACTAAGTCCATGGGATACAAGGTGGTTGATGAATGGAGGCCATGGATGTCATATGGCCAAGTCGCCGGGTAATTGTTTTCTCTCTATTACTCACTTCTTTTCTCAATTTGCTTCTTAACTCACAGTTTCTACAATAATTTGGTACCATAGGTTTACACAAGGGTATGCCAACAATCTCACATTTCTAACCATCAAGGTAAGAAAAGAGTCACTCATTTTCTTGGTATTTTACAGATGAAAACGTTATTTTTGTGAGGCGCTTTTGATATGTTTGAATGTTTTGTTTTGCAGGGTGCAGGACATACCGTTCCGGAATACAAACCGCGTGAAGCCTTGGACTTCTATAGCCGTTTTCTAGCAGGAGAAAAGATGTAGACCTATCAAGTTTTGTGTCATCATCTTGAGTTATATTGTATGATTTGATCTAAAACCATCCATTCTAATAAAATTTAAGTTTCCCTTAAGAATATTTTTCTATCATGACATAAAAAAGAATTGATTTGATCATATTGTTATCATTATCCCTCTCTTATTTCTCTTAGATTTTATTCTTTCTCTGTTTATTTTTATGTATTACTAGATTAAGCCCCGCGTATACGCGGGTTTATTTTAATATAATTGAAATAAATCATAGGAAAATACTAAACAAAAATCTGGTCACTTTTAAAAATAAGTAGAATAATATTCAAAAGATTATTTTGATTATTATAATTATAATATTTAATAATAATTGATTATTCTAATTTAAAAGATTTCGATTGATGAAATCTTTTTCATAATATTGTTTTACCTACCAAAAAATAGAAAATTAATCTATTTAGATATATCTTATTATGTTATAATTATTTTGTTAATTTTCTATTTATCATATTTTTTGTTCAATTTTGTTTTGCCTCAGACCATTATAAATTTTCTTATTCATAATTAGTTAGTTGTTTTAAAATTATTTTGTTAGTTTTTTTATTTATCTTATTACATTTTTCTAATTTTCTTTTGTTAACACATGTTATCACATGATCATATATTAGAAAAAATTTGCGACAAAATTTTCAATTTCTACCCAACTTATCTAAAGTTAAATATTTTCATTGATATCTTGAACTTTAAAGTACATGATTTTTATTTTGTAATAAAAGAGAAAGTTTAAACAAAAGATAGAATCACAGATATAAATCATGAAAGCTATAACTTATTATATATTGTTTTTTTTTTTCTTAATGGGAATATGTTTTTTCTCCTTTTCTTAACGGATGTAACATTTTTTCTTTTATTATTTGTTTCATGTTTTTCTGAATATCGATTATTTTTCCTTTTCGTATTGGGAGTATGTTTTTTTCCTTTTCTTGATGGATATAACATTTTTTAAAAAAATTGCTATTTGTTTCCTATTTTTCTTGAATTGTGTTTTCCTGTTTAAAAAATGTAAAAATTTAATGTTATCTATTTATAATTATATATATATATTAATGTTATATGTTAAAATTTCTTTTTTTTAAATTTTCGTTTTTCTAATATTTAAGTAAAATAAATAAAAATTTTTTTTTAAAAACGTGTCACGATCTTAACGGTCTTAACATTAAAAGTGACACATGTCACGATCATATAATTTATAAAAATCCTACGTGTCGCAACCACGTCGCGCGCATCCAGCTTTATATAATAAGATTTTCCTTTGAAAAATTACATTATATTTTAAAGTTATTTTTTTTCTTATATATTATGTAATATTAATTTATTCTACCTTTTTTCCATGTACTGCCTAATTTCTTAACTTTAAAACAAAAAACAAATTTCCTCAAATTTCCAAAATTTATTTCCATCTATATTTTGGTTCAACATAGATATATCTGCAATAGATTTCGATTGTAATTGTGGGTCTATGTTCCATATCAAAATGGGTTGGTTAGTGGAAGCTCTTGTTGCTTTGATATTGCTGTCCCTCTGTTTAGCAATAACAGAGTCTGCTCCTGAATCTGCTCTTGTCACCAATCTTCCTGGCTTCAACGGCAGTTTTCCATCTAAACACTATGCCGGGTACATTCAATCTATATGCTTACATTTTCACACAAAAAAATCATCTTTCATGCAGTATTTTTAAATAGAACTGAATATCTCTTTTTAAAAATGGAATTTGGTATGATGATTTATAAGGTACGTGGCAATAGATAAGGAGCGCAATAAGAATCTGTGGTATTACTTTGTGGAATCAGAGAGAAATGCTTCAACAGATCCAGTTGTGCTTTGGCTTAATGGTGGTCCTGGCTGCTCTAGCATGGATGGATTTGTCTATGAACATGGTAAGCTTCATATATACAACCTTTCTTGTGTCAAAAGCAATATATGCACATATCATCTAACTCAATACTATTGCAGGTCCTTTCAATTTCGAACTCACAAAGACCAAAGCACCTCGTTTGCACCTCAATCGTCACAGTTGGTCTAAGGTGCAAAAAAGAACAACCACTTTTGATAGTCATTACATATGTCTTTCTTCATTTTTTTTAATAATAAATTGTTAAATCTCCTGAAATGTTTTTTTTGTCAGGTTTCGAATATCATATACCTTGACTCTCCAGTTGGTGTGGGGAACTCTTACTCAAAAGACAAGTCTTATTATATAACTAATGATACGCAAACGGCGTCTGATTCTTATGCATTCCTTATCGAGGTGATAAGAATTCATTAGATTTTCAAACGATGTTCCTTTTGTTGTGTTTTCATTCAAGAAATTAACCATTAGATGCAATGTTCAACAGTGGTTCAAGATGTTTCCGGAGTTTCAGTCGAATCCATTCATGAGAATAAGTAAAAGAAAATCAAACAAGGATGTGACAAAGCCGGTTATCAATTTCAAGGTACGTCTTATTGAATATAATAACTTTAAAATACAAAGTTTGTTAGGGTTTTTGGGTTCTTGAATCTTAAATCGGACCTATATGTTGTACAGGGGTATTTGGTGGGTAATGGAGTTACTGATCCGGTGTTTGATGGTAACGCTCTAGTCCCCTTTGCACATGGAATAGGACTCATATCTAGTGAACTATTTGAGGTTTGTTTCTGTTCTTTAATTTTTTATAGCCTCAGTTATTTGATCTGATGTGTAACAAGAAAACAAATGGCAGGAGACTAAAGCGGCGTGCAAAGAACAGTACTATAAATCGGAAAATACAACAAATGAGTGCTCCGATTTGATTCAAAAAGTGTATGATGATGTGCGCTTATTAAACTTATATGACATTCTAGAACCGTGCTATCACGATACATCTATAACCACGTTTGACATCGGATCTCTTCCTCCGAGTTTCTTTATGCTGGGCAAAACAGAAAGGCCATTGCCAGTGAGAAAGAGAATTTTCGGACGTGCATGGCCCTTAGGTGCCATTGTGCGTCCAGGTTTTCTTCCCAGTTGGCCTCAACTGCTTGCTGGCTCCTCCGTTTCTTGCATTGTAAGTACTGACCTAGTGACCTCATGCATCTTTCTCTTATATATATGAACCGAGACTCAGTAATTAACGAACGTACCGAAAATTGTGTCTTCTATTATGTGAATACGTCGGTGTCATACTGGTTAGACGTTTAAAAATTGCCTTTTAGCGGATTCGTTAAAATGAATGTATTTCTTGCATTGTAACAAAAAGCTTTTGTTGCAACTTGCAAGATTGGACCAAAATAAATTTGTCTGATAAATTTTGTTCTCATATGCTCAAGTACTTTAGAAACTGAAAAGTTGAAATGGATGCAGGACGATAGAGTTGCAACCGCCTGGCTTAACGATCCAGCAGTGAGAAAAGAGATTCATGCTAAAGAGGTCTCTAATCTAATCATACTCTCTTGTTTTCCTTCATTTTGTAGACAACGTTTCTAATAATTCTGTCTGATATGTTGATAGAAAAGTGAGATTGGAAGATGGGATTTGTGTACAAACCAAATCCATTACACTCAAATTGCTGGAAGCATGATCGAATACCATAGAAACCTCACTCTTAGCGGCTACCGCGCTCTTATCTTCAGGTACATATATAGACACTACACCAAGGGTAAAAGTAAAACCACAGAGAATGTGTATAGTATACGTAATAAAAAATAAAAATAAATGTGCAGCGGAGATCATGATATGTGTGTACCTTTTACCGGTTCTGAAGCATGGACTAAGGCAATGGGATACAAGGTGGTTGATGAATGGAGGCCATGGATGTCGAATGGCCAAGTCGCCGGGTAATTGTTTTCTCTCTATTACTCACTTCTTTTCTCAATTTGCTTCTTAACTCACAGTTTCTACAATAATTTGGTACCATATAGGTTTACACAGGGGTATGCCAACAATCTCACATTTCTAACCATCAAAGTAAGAATCATTCTTTTTCTTCGTATTTTCTTTATATTTTACTGATGAAATTACTATTTTTGTTATGGCTTTTTTTATGTTTGAATGTTTTGTTTTGCAGGGTGCAGGACATACCGTTCCGGAATACAAACCGCGGGAAGCCTTAGACTTCTATAGCCGTTTCCTAGCCGGAGAAAAGATGTAGACAGAATTTTGTGTTATATTGTTCGTTAACAATCATGTCATCTTTGAACTTAAGACATCCATTCTAATAAAAAAAAGGTTCCTTTAAAAAAACTTCAGATTTTGTAATGACTAATTGTCTAATCGTCTGTATTGTTTCTTGGGAACAAAATCTAGTTCTTTAACAAACATGAAACATGTCGCTTAAAACATCTATTCTAATCAAACCCTTCTCACATTAAAAATACTTAAAACAATAATTCAATATTTCTTCTCTTTTTTCTCCATCAATAAGGAGAGGGTTAGGATTTTTAACCAAATCCAAAAAAACTAAACCGTAACCAATCCAGAAAATCAAAACCGAACCAACTTACTCACAATATAATTACTTGGAAGATCTGAAGTCCTATGTCTTTATGAGCCTCTCTCGAATAATTCTATTGCGAGTAAATTAGTTCTTATCTTTGTCTCTTCGTCGTCATTAGTTAATGAGATCATGAAGAAAAGAATCAACTTATTCGCGATAAGATTACTCGAGATAAATTCATTAATAAGAGGAGAAAGAGAAAGGAAATTAAAGATTAAAGTTTTTTGTTTTTGTTTTTTTTTTAATTTACTTTTAATAAAAATGGTTAAAATATTATAAATGTCATGACGTTTTGAGTCAACGTTTGTAGTTAAGGACAAATACATATAAGTCCATTTTAGCAGTGACTTTCGATTTTGCAGGTTTGACTTGCATATTTTTTAAGTTGAGGGTTAGATTTGCACAAAAAAATAGTTCGCGGGTTTTTTTGCATAAAATCATTTTAAATTTTGTCACAAATATAGAGATGTCTTATATTGCGGGGTTATTTTGACTTCAGAGGTTTGATTTGCACAACTTTAAATTGAGGGTTTGATTTGCAAAAAAATTTAGTTTGAGGGTTGTTTTGCACAAAACCCAAAAAACATCTATGGAGTTTCATTTTAAAAGTACAAATTTTGATCTTTAACAACAACAAAAGGTTCAATTTTTGTAATGAAATTTACAACAAAAACCAACATTTTGTCTGATGTTTCGAATTTGTTTTTTGGGGTACTTGTATAAATTGACTTGTCTCATTTTTCACCATTTCGACGGTGTTCAAAATGCAAAGGCGCTTCCTTTCATCGGTCTCCGCTTCCGCCGGCGGTACTAAAACCCTAAACCCTCGAAGATGGAGTGTGAAGCAGGTGAAAAAAACCAACTTCAAATCCACCCTCGATGACATTCGCACTTCAATCGATTCATCGGACTTCATAGCTCTCTCGCTACAAAACACCGGCTCCTACGCCGCCGCGTGGCACCGTGTCTCCGCCATCGACACGCCGCAAACAAGCTACTTGAAGGCTAAATACGCCGCCGAACGCTACCAGATCTTCCAATTCGCTCTCTGCCCCTTCTCCCTCCGCGGCTCCAAACTCACCGTTCACCCGTATGACTCTCAAATCTCTCTCCCTCTCGATTTTCTTCTTCATTGCCCCAAATTGTTTGATTAGGGTTTTGGATTTTAGATATAACTTCCACTTGTTTCCTCGAGACGAATTGAAGTTAGGGATGCCTTCTTATAGCTTCTCTTGTCAAGCTTCTCGTTTAACAGCCATGGCTAGAGAAGGATTTGATTTCAACACCTGCATCTATGAAGGTTCGTTTGCTACTTATTGAGTGTTCTCTTAATTGTGTGTAGCTTTGATTGATCAATTGTTTTACAGGAATCTCATACTTATCAAGAACACAAGAGTCTGCTTCCACTTGTTTCCTCGAGACGAATTGAAGTTAGGGATGCCTTCTTATAGCTTCTCTTGTCAAGCTTCTCGTTTAACAGCCATGGCTAGAGAAGGATTTGATTTCAACACCTGCATCTATGAAGGTTCGTTTGCTACTTATTGAGTGTTCTCTTAATTGTGTGTAGCTTTGATTGATCAATTGTTTTACAGGAATCTCATACTTATCAAGAACACAAGAGTCTGCTTCAAAGTTTCTCTCAGGGAATCCGATTTTAGCTGACCCCATCGTCGATGTACCTTCTTCTCCATCCACCGTAGCTGACACAGTCTTCGTGGGAAGGATCAGGTCACGCGTCAAGAACTGGAGACAATCTTGCTTAGACTCGAGCTCAAAGACAGGAGGAGATGGTGCATTTGCGAGTGTTAAGACAAATTTTCAATATGAATCTCTCTTTTGCCTTTAGTTTTCCAATTTTTTTAACATGATGTGTCTGTTTTGCTAACTTTTTCAGATGATTTGGTGAGTTCTCTGAGGAAATTGGTGTTGGGGAGTGAACAGTATGGTTCGAGGCTATGCTTGACTATTGATGTTTGCAGTGAGCGTCAAGCACAGCTTATTGTAGAGGTTTGTGTTGTTGATACTTTGGCATGATAATTGCAGTCTTGTGTGTGATGATTAGTTTGATAAGCTTTTCTGTCACTAACAGATGTTGACTGAGTTCTCTGACGATGTTGTTCCTCTACTCGTTGCTTCAAAGAGCAGAGGAACACAAGCGGTTCGTGCTGTCTTCATGAGTTCGAAAGAGGATAAGGATCTTTTTAAGGTAAGAAGATTAAATTTGGATTGGCTTATGATGATGATAGTGAAGTTTATTCTGAATTTATATGTTCTTGGACAGAGAGAGCTTCGAGATCTTGAAACCGAAGAAAACAGGCGAGTTCGTGGCTTCCGAGAAGTAGTTGATTTGATTTCTTCTTCACAGAAACCTCTCGTTTCACAGAATTATCTTAGCGGTTATTCCTCAAACTTCTCCTCCTTAGTTTGCACATTCATAAGCTTTTTCTCCATGGATGATGATTAATCTTATGCTTGACTTGTTGCAGATTTTACTTCCATTCATGCTAAATTCTTGGGTCCTCTACCTTCAGATGTGGATGAATTCAGCAGCTCACTGAGCTCAGCTTTTCCTAATGTTGTGGATCTCAGTCAGTTCATGAAAGAGATTAGTCCTTTGAGTAATATAAGTAATCTTCCTGCAGCTATGTCCTCCTTGAATCGGTTCTTTGCTCCTGTAGACGTGGAAGTGGCAAATCAAGGTCAGAGTTCTCTTGCAAAGATCTTGAGTTTCGTGATATGGATAAGTTTGTATTGACTTTTGTTGGCTTCTCTTATTAGGATGTCCGGTGAAACTAGACGAGGGACATCAGATGCATGGACAAAACGCTGTGATGATATCTCAGCTTTTTGCCAAACTATGCACCATAAAGAAATCAGATCAGTCCTCTGTTCAATCAAATGAAGATTTACAAGCTTTGGTTTCTGATGAAGATGTTAAAGTCTGGTCAAAGAACAGCAGAAGAGTAAGCTCTGAGAACTTGGTGTTCGTGTGGGGATTGGGGAAGAAGATGACAGCTGCAATGCTAAAGAATGCTCTACAAAAGTCGCACGCGGTTTTTGCTAAAGATTTTGATGTGAAGTACTTAGACAGGAGCTGTGCAGTTGTGGTGTTTTGGGAGTCCGGTTCATCGGAGACTTTCCTCGGTGCGGTTAACGATGAAGAGAAACTCGGTGGTGGTGGTTCTTTAAGAGAGATGGTTGCAGAAGGGCTAAGAGCGGCAGGTTATGAGAGTTACAAGAGAGCGTGTAGGTTAGGTTTCTGGGAGGCTGACTTGGCGGAGTCTTTAGAGAAGACATTGGAATCTTCTGATAGAGATCTTGATTTAGACACCAAACCATCAGAGATTGATTGGTCAAGCGAGTTAGCTATCAACTTTGATGAGCTATGAGTACTTCATAAAAATTGGAACTTGTGTATTTGCTTAAATGCTTAGAAATGTTATAGAGGGCTTTACATATGTGGAATCATGTTCAGCTCCAAATTGATGTTGATGACAACTGATCGAAAATGGTTAAGAACTGATCAAAATCTGGAGATTGTTTGTAGATTCTTCAATACTTGTTTTAAGAAGAAGTTTGAAAAATGACTGATTTGGTGTGTACCTAAAAATATGTTTGTAACGAGGATGGTTAAGAAGTTGAACCAAACCGAAATTATTGGTTATGCCATCGTTACCCGTGAAATTCAGCTTCAATAATCAATAACCATGACCGGTTAAAGCCGGTTTATAAAACCTATAAAATGTTGCCTGGCTCAGATTAGCCTGGTGAAACCCACCGGAGGCAGTTAACACCGACGGTGAGAAGAAATGATGGTGCCAACGGCGGCTAGAGTTTCGACCACCGCATCGATGCTTCTACGCCGTCATTCAAGGAAGTTATGGTCGTTATCCTCCTCCTCCGCGCCGCTGGAAGATTCCGTCCCTCGCTCTTTCAGGTACAAATAGCTTTCCATCAAATCATTTGAGCTCGGCTTTTGATTCCTAGAGGTGATCGGAGTTCGATTCAGTCCGATTTCACTGGTTATGATTAGAAATTGTTCATTGATTGATTTAGGCATAAACAGAGGAAAGTATGGAACTTTTTGAGTTTCTGCAAATGCGTGCCCACTTAGGTTCACTTGGAAGTTCCGATGATTTATTTAATTGACTCTTAAGAATTTTAATTATGACTAATTGCTACAGAGATTTAACTCATGATGTAGTAGCTCTGTTAATCTTCTGTGCAAGGTTCTGCATAAGGAGCCTTGTCAAGAATCTGCCTGGAAGAAGAAGATCAACTCCTTAACATCTTCTCGGTTTCACTCCACTCCATCTCGTAACACCGATGATATCATTTCGAGCCAAAATGGAGTCTCTTCTACAAAACCGAAGAGGAAGAAGCTCAAAGGCAAGCGAGCGGTTGTGCGGTGGCTAAAGTTTTTCCGGTGGAAGAAGAAGAAAGAAGTTGAAAGAATGACTGCTGAAGAAAAGATACTCAACAAACTAAGAAAGGTATTGAATCTTGTTTACTGTTCATTAGAATCACACCAGCAAACAAATGCAATTTTGTTTCTTTCTCTCTTATCATTCAGGCTCGGAAGAAAGAGGAACGTCTTATGGAGACGATGAAGAAGCTAGAGCCTTCAGAGTCATCGGATCCGACGCACGACCCCGAGATCTTGACGCCGGAGGAGCATTTCCACTATCTCAAAATGGGACTCAAGTGCAAGAACTACGTCCCTGTAGGGAGACGAGGGATCTACCAGGGAGTGATCCTCAACATGCATCTTCACTGGAAGAAGCATCAGACGCTCCAGGTTGTGATCAAAACGTTTACTCCCGAGGAAGTGAATGGTATTGCGGTTGAGCTAGCGAGTTTGACTGGTGGGATTGTGCTTGACGTTTGCGAAGGGAACACGATCATTATGTACAGAGGGAAGAACTATGTCCAGCCTCCGACTGAGATCATGTCGCCGAGGGTTACTCTCCCGAGGAAGAAGGCGCTGGATAAGTCTAAATGCAGGGATGCGCTTCGTGCGGTTAGGAAGTATATACCGAGGCTTGAGCAAGAGCTTCAGCTGCTTCAAGCGCAGGCTGAGACGAAGCGAGAGTACCCTAATGTTGTCAAGGTTGTTGTTGATGATGAAAGGTCGGAGGAGTTGAAGAAGATTGTAGAGAGAAGCCAAGAGGGGTTTGAGGAGGATGAGGAAGAAGAAGAGTTGGGTACGGATTCGGATCTTTCTGATATCTTTGAGACTGATTCGGAGTCGGAAAACGAGAAGGCAGAGCGGCCGCTTTTTCTTGAAGAGTTTGAGAAGTTTCCTGCAAGAAACAGCAAGATAGATGGAGAAGATGATGATGATGCTGATGATGGAGGGTTTGGAAATTCAGTGAAGGGTAAATCAGGAGATGAGTCTCCAGACTTTGATGAAGTTGATAAGATGTTTCTTCGAGCTGCTTCGCTTTTAAAGAAGAAAAGACGATGAATAATGAAGAAGAAAAGATTGTGTTTAACAAAGTCACAAGTATCTCTTCTTCTTCTACTTGCTCAAAGCAAAATTTTGTGTTAGAAATTTGATAATGTGGTTATGTTCTGTATGCTCTGCTTGGTTTTAAACCTTTTTATGTGAACGTGAAGCTGACTAATATGCTTTTCTTATCATTTTGAAATCAGATAAAAAAAATTGTGGTGCGTTAAAATTGTTTGCACAAGATAACCAATCTAAAACATTTGCTAATCACACAATTCAAGACTTCTATTAGATTATATTCAATCAAATTATATTCTTTAATTAGCTACCTGTAAAATGTTTAAAATTTTCCCAAGCAAGCAATTAACAAAGGATCATGACTAAGAGATTAATGGAGCAAACTTCAAGAAGAAGTTACTCCTCCAAAAATAGGTGTATGCCCTTTAAAGTAGAGAGCACACGGTATTCTTTAGTAAAAGGCGAAAGAATAGTTCGCTTTGTGCTCACCACAAGGCTCCATGAAATTGAAAACATTAATCACCCTATTCCTTTTAAACACGACTTGTTCAACGTCTATTCCCGGTTTTGTTCGATGTGGGACAAATATAGTTGTACGGTTCTACCTTACTTATGATTTGTCTGGTGCAAACTGAAGCCTGTCGCCTGTCGGAGCTGAGGATGGTGGGGACATAGATAGTTGTAACCTTCCGGCAGTGTTGGACAAGTTTAAAAAGTTGTGAGGTCTTCGGTTTTTGTATCATATTAATGATGGCTGATTATTTTTCCAACTTGCAAATGTGGCAGAGGACAATGTCTACGTTTTGGTGTGGTTTGTAATACTGTATTTTCATAATATGATTTCTACTAGTTATGAAAACCCTTTATCATAAAAAAAAAAATGATCGCTAGTAGTTTTTAGATGACGTAGAGAAGATACAAAGAGAAAAGCTCTGTAAAGTGCATACATGTGTTTAAGAACGATTTGGCTCAGAATATGAAACTGTGTTGTATACTGGGCAGGATACCACTTAGATAATGAATTAAGATCAATTTATGAATCATTCAAAAGACAAGGATCAAGATAAAAATTGTGAAATAATCAAATTACGAAAAAACGAAAACAAGGTCTGCCTCCAGATACGTAGCTAGATTTGAGTCAAACTTGGAACATAATTAAACAAGAATGGATGCCAAGTTGATACGTCTCGTAAGCAGTTCAGTTTTCTGACATTATTGTTCTTTCCAGCTATACATATCGTGTTAGAGTAATCACAACACACGAGGACTTTCTTCTCTTCATCGACCAAGAAACTTCCGCCTTTACAAAGATAAATTGAAGGATTATTAAAATCAACTACTAAGAGCTTTCTCCAAGACGACGCCGCTTTGGTCTCACCAATCTTATCTGCCACCCATATCTCTGTCTCATGGTACTTTAATAACACGGCAAGTTTCTCTTCTCTAACAACGGATAGAGACAGAGCTTGGCAATATGGAATCAGACGCGGAAGGTATAATAGACGTTCAAATCTTTCTGTTGTATAATCAAAAGTGATTAGGAATTCAACATCAGCACTCCATGTGTCGAACTTTTTTCCATTTGTAACGATCCAGTAAGTCTTTCCCTTCAAAGAAACGCCTTCATGAAGAGGCGGTAAATGGAAGTCCAAAGTGAAATCAAGAAACCTCCATGAGTTAGAGTTGAGCTCAAATATTCCGAATCGGTCGTTGAGGCTGTAGCCCAATATTTTGTAGCTATTACCACATGTTTTGTCTTGGTAGGATCCGAGAGCATATGTGGCGTACTTATTGTAAGCATCGATCCACCTGGTTTGACCAGTACACGGGTTCCACACCACGAGCCTATCATTAAACTCCCTGTTGATGCATAACAATAAGCCGTCGCAGTGAAAGACTCGACAATCGTCATAATCCATGATTTGATCTAAACTAGAATGAAGATCGGTTAGACTAACTTCATCTGTAACCTTTTGAGGCTGAACTTTATGGAGATTGATGCTCATGGAACAAACCATACGGTTCTTCAACAAGATAAACATAAACTGCTTGGGGGCTTTATCGAAGTGCTTTCTTGTGAATCTCTTGTCGTTGAACAAACGGTCCCATGGCTTGCATGTAGATCGTAACCGTTCTAACGATGTAGCTGGAACGCGAGAGAGTATGTCTTCTACCAAATCCCCTGGAAGTTCCGGCATCATCGTCGTGATCGATCACACGGAAGAAACTGCCGGCGGTTAAAATTTGTTATTTTAGGGTTTTCGTGTTTCACGTTTGCTTTTTAATCTTCATATAGTGTTAAACAAATTCAATTAAATTATTTACATTTTATCAAAAAATATAACAATAATATTTTTTACCAAGAAGATTAATATTTTTTACAAAGAATATTGTATTGATAACTAAATTAAAATTAAATTATCAATCAATATAATAATATTATTTCTTTTCTTGGTTTCTATCTTCTATTTTTTCGTTTTTCCTATGTGGTTCTGTTTACTTCTGCGGAGTCTATGAGTACTGAGAGAGTTCAAACTGCAAAACCTAAATCATAATGTATAAACCTTAATTAAGGAAGTTTGAAACTAAAACCAGTAAACTCTTTAAAGCCTACAAAGTTTTCTTTTTTGGTAAAATGTTAATACAAAGTTTAATGAATTAAGAAAGCTTGACACTGAAAAATAACTCTTGTTTATGAAAGGAAACATAATTTGATCATGAAAACCTAAAAATTGTGTTACTTACAGAGCAAGGTATACCACATTTTATTAATGATTCAAAAGGACATGATCAAGATAAAACACTGAAATAACCAAATTAATAAAAAAAAAAAATGACAGAGTTCATGGCACAACACACAAGGACTTTCTTCTCCTCATCGACCAAGAAATTTCTGCCTAGCCAAGCCTAAAAATGAGGCTCTAAATCAACCGCTAAGACCTTGCTCCACGACGCCGCTTTGGCCTCACCAATCTTACTCGTCACCCATATCTCTGCCTTCTCTGTAACATGCTGCTATAATAATACGGTAAAAGTAAGAAATACTAGCTTATATATTTTCAACGGACATGACCAAGATAAAAAGTTAAAAACCAGCAAGAAAGGTGCTTGCATGTAGCTTAGTCATTCGCCTCTTTTTCTTTTGTCTCCGATACTTTCTTTTTCTTCGATTTGCCTCTGATGCTTTCTTTTCTCGATTTGAGTCAAACTTGGAACATAATTAAACAAAAATTGAAGACCTGAACCTGCTCCTAAATACGTATTTCTGACAATATTGTCCTCTCCAACACTAGATAACCTTTCCAAGATATCACAAAAAACGAGGACTTTCTTCTTTTCATCAACCAAGAAACTTCCGCATTCCCAATGACGAACTCCAGGCTTCAAATCAACTGTTAAGACCTTGCTCCACGACACAACTTTCCCCTCGCTAATTTTACTCGTCACCCAGATTTCTGTCTTCTCTGCACGATGGTGTTGTAACAACACAGCCAGTTTTTCTTCTCTAACAACGGATAGTGACAGTTTCTCATAGCTAGGATACTGACGCGGAAGACATAGACGTTCAAATCTTTCTGTTGTATAATCAAAACTGACCAAGTCTTTTTGATCTCTTGCGATCCAGTAAGTCTTTCCCTCCAAAGACACACCCCGATAAATTGACACTACTTCGAAGTCCAAAATGACATCAAGAATCCTCCATAAATTAGAGTTAATATCATATATTCCGAATCGGTCACCTTTACCATTGTAGCCCAATATTTTGTAGCTATTATCGTTGGGTGATTTTTTGGCTTGGTAGGATCCGAGAGTAACTGCGGTGTATTCCTCGTTCCAACTGATCAACCTGGTTTGACCAGTACAAGGGTTCCATACCACGAGCCTAGCTTTGCACAGGAGTACGCATAACAATAAGCCGTCGCAGTGAAATAGTCGACAAATTTGGTTTTGATATAAAAGGCTAAATCTACATGTGACTTCCACACGTGGAAGATTACGGAGATTGATGCTCATCAAATGTACCGGGGAATCAAATAACCTGAGCATCATAGATTGCTTGGGGGCTTTATCGAAGTGCTTTCTTGTGAATATCCTGTCTCTGAACAATCGGTTCCATAGTTTGCAGGTAGATCTCAACCGTTTCAAAGATGTAGCTGGAACGCGACAGAGTATCTCTTCTACCATTTCCCCTGGAAGTTCTGACATCATCATCATCTTCTCCCACGCAAAAAAAACTGCCGGCGGCTTTGATGTCTTGTTTTAGGGTTCTTGTGTTTCACGTTTGCTTATTCTTCATATATAGTGTTGAACAAATTAATTTATATTATTTCCATTTATCAAACAATATAATAATAGACGTCAAAAAAAAAAAAAAAAAACAATACAATAATAAAAAGAAAATTATTTATTTATTCCCATTTGGTTTCTATTTTCTAATTATTTGCTTCTTTTCTTTTCCCCCATTTGATATTTATGAGATTCTGTTTTCTATGAGTTTGATTTGATCACTGCTTTGCTCTCACTAATTTTACTCGTCCCCCATATCTCTGCCTTCTCTGTACGTTGGTGTTGTAATAACACGGCAAGTTCTTCTTCTCTAACAAGTAACAACGGATAGAGACTTGAGATGGAACTTTATAGAGAATTAGAGGTTGATGCTCATGGAACAAAACATATGGTTTTCCAACAAGATAAACAGAAACTGCTTTGCGGCTTTATCAAAGTTATTTCTTGTGAATCCCATGTCTATTATCAATCGGTTCCATTGTTTGCAGCTTGTTCTTAAACGTTTCAATGATCTCCAAGTACAGTAGAACCTCTATAAAACAATACTCGATAAAACAATAAACACTATAAGATAATATTTTTCTCCGGTCCCAACTCGGGCCAGTGTAAAAAATAGCATAATGCGATAAGATGATAAGACAATAATATTTTTGAAACTCCTATGTAAAAATATAGTCCCAACAATAAGCTAAGATAATAATTATAAAACTAATGCATATATATCTAAGACAATTTAGTAAAATATGACTCCAATGTAGTTTGTCTTTTCTGAAATTGGATTCCCGTTGGAGCTCATCTCGAATTTTTCTTATTGCATCTACAATTTCTGGAGGTGTATTCTCAACATGCAGCCAAAAGTTGTGAAGAGTTCTCGAAGCCACAATTGCATCCTTACGTGTAACTACTTGCACATGTCCTTCATCATCTTCATTTCACCATTAAGAACAGTAGACATAATTTCTTATAGACTTTGAACTTCTGAGCATGAAATATGTAAATAACAAAGTATAAGGAAAATTTGAATAAAAAATCTGAAAAAATATATTTCTATAAAGTTTCTTGTTTTTGATAGAATATTTCTATAAAATAATAATTATTGTTTTATCGATAAAATAATAATTATTGTTTTATCGATAAAATAATAACTCTATAAGATAATAAAATTTCAAAGTCCCAACATTATTGTTTTATAGAGGTTTTACCGTATATCATATTGTTAACTTAAAATCAAAAGGATGCTTGATACTTTGATAGTTCTTAATTCTCCAAGAATTAGAGTTAATCTCATACATTCCGAGCCAAGAAGAGGAAAAATCTCTGTAAAGTATACATGTTTTATGAGAATGATTTTGACACAGATTTAGGAAAGCTTGAATTCTGAAACATAACTTCTTTACGTAAGCAAATATAATTTGATCATAAAACTTAAGAAGTGTGTGTATAATTAAAAGTAAGAAATACGCGCGTATACTGGCTATGAATTACACGTTTTTTAGTGAAATATCAGCTTATTATTAAGTTTTCAACGGACATGACCAAGATAATTGGCAACTAAATAAAGTAATCACCAAAAACCAACAAGAAAGGTGCTTAACTGCATGTAGCTTACTCATTCGCCTCTTTTTCTTTTGCCTCAGATGCTTTCTTTCTCTTAATTTGCTCGATTTGAGTCGAACTTGGAACGTAACTAAACAAATATGACAAATATGAACTTTCTCCCAAATCCGTTTTTCTGACAATATTATCCTCTCCAACAGTATATATCATGTCATCACAACACACGAGGACTTTTTTATCCTCATCGACTAAGAAACTTCCCCCTTCCAAAAGACAAACTGTAGGCTCCAAATTAACTGTTAAAATTTTGCTCCACGACACCGCTTCGGTCTCACTAATTTTATTCGTCACCCATACCTCTGCCTCCTCTGTAACATGGTGTTGTAATAACACGGCAAGTTTGTCTTCTCTAACAGTGGACAGAGACACAGCATCGTAACTAGGAACCTGACGCGGAAGACATAGACGTCCAAATCTTTCTGTTGTATAATCAAAACTGATCAAGGCTTTTTGATCTTTAGCGATCCAGTAAGTCTTTCCCTTCAAAGACACGCCTCAATGAATAGACACTAACTGGAAGTCCAAAGTGACATCAAGAATCCTCCAATAACAAGATTTCATGTCATATATTCCAAATCCGGGGTAATTACCACCACTGTAGCCCAATATTTTGTAGCTATTATTGTTGGATGATCCGAGAGCGAATGACGTGTATTTCTTGTGATCATTGATCCACCTGGTTTGAATAGTAAACGGGTTCCAAACCACGAGCCTAGGATTATCCTCATAGGTGACGCATAACAATAAGCCGTCGCAGTGAAAAACTCGATCAATTTTGATTTGATCTAACCTAGAGCGAAGGTCACGTGCGACTTCTACAGGTATGAATCGATGGAGATTCATTCTCATGGAAAAAAACCTATGTTCATGCAACAGGATAAACAGACACTGCTTGGGGGCTGCTTTATCGAAGTGCTTTCTTGTGAATCTCTTGTCGTTGAACAAACGGTCCCATCCTTTGCATGTAGATCTTAACAGTTTAAAAGATGTAGCTGGAACGTACAAAGTATCTCTTCTACCAAATCCCCTGGAAGTTCCGGCATCATCATTGTGGTTTGTTTCGAACGACAACGACCCTCTCTCAACGAAGAAACTGACGCTGGCTTTTAATTGTTCGTCTAGGGTTTTCGTTTTTCATATAGACGAACAAGTGTTATCGTATTTCCTTTTTATCAAAAAATTAAAAGTAAAATAATAAAAATTATTTCCCCTTTTCCTAATTGGTTTCTGTTTTCTAATTTAGTTCTGTTTTCTACTTTTACTCCTAAGTTTAACATATTTTCAACTAAGGGAAACTTCTTCCATTGTTTTTTCATGGTTTTCCATTTATAAGAACTTCTACGGGAAAATAATTCCTTCAGACACTAGGAAGAAAAACTGATTTCTGAGGTTATAAAGATCCCAAAGCAGGGCATGATCATGTTATTTTTAAAAAAATTCTTATAACCTTACTTCTTCATTACCATATAAATTGAATATAAATTCATTACCATAAATTGATGGCGAAAGATCTTTACCAAAATGCGGCACTAGACTAAAAAGGTCCACGTATGAATTTTTAGGTGTGTTTCTAATCAAGGCACTGGAGAAGAATTTCATCCACCTACAAGTCAATTCAGACGCTCAGGATTTAATCCGAGCTTTAACATCGCAAGAGAAAAATCAAGGAAATCTATGGTCTCCTATTCGATATTCAAGCTCTTGCAAAGTTGTTTACCTCTATCTTGTTCCGATTCATCCCATGATCGGAAAATTCGAAGGCGGATTCACTGGCTAAAGCAACTGCATGCGATCTCGCGTCTCGTGTTTTAGCTCCGTTTAATCTTCCAACACGTTTTATTCTTATGTAACCCGTTTATTTTCTTTAATGAAAAGTTGTTCAAAAAGAAAAAGGTGTGTTTCTTAGGATCCAAGTAATGGGTTTATTACTTGGCTTTGGTTATTGTGAAAGTTCCATCTCAAATCATAATGTATAGAAGTTCCATCTCAAACCATAATGTATAAAACCAAAATTTAAGGAAGCTTGAAACTGAAAAGAGAAAGCATACCTAGGTTTATGAATTGAAACTGAAATATAACTCTTCTTTATGAAAGGAAACATAATCTGAGCATAAAAACCTAAAAATTGTGTTACGTACAAAGCAAGGTATACCACAGTTTATTAATCATTCAAAAGGTAAGGACATGATCAAGAAATAAAAGGCTTGCATGTCGTAGCTTCATGACTTCATCATTCGCCTCTTTTTCTTTTGGTTCCGGTAACTTGCTCGATTTGAGTCAAACTTGGAACATAATTAAACAAAAATGGTCTAAAGCCACTTCCAAAAGCTTTTTCCATAACTTTATTGTCCTCTCCAACGGTGTATGCCATGTGTTGGAGTTTTTCTAAGTCGTATATACTACACACGAGCAGTTTCTTCTCCTCATCGACCAAGAAACTTGCGTCACACGGAGGCGTAAAATCCACTGCGAAGACCTTGCTCCAAAACGCCGCTTTGGTCTCTCCAATCTTATTTGTCACCCACACCTCTGTCTTCACTGTAATTTCACGTTTCAATAAGACGCAAAGTTTCTCTTCTCTCACAACAGAGAGAGACAGAGCTTCATAACTAGGATACTGACGCGGAAGAGATAGACGTTTGAATCTTTCAGTTGTATAATCAAAACTGACTAAGAATGTTCCTCGCCGTTTCTCTTTTTCACCTGTACCAATCCAGTAAGTCTTTCCCTTCAGAGACACGTTGCACCACCCCAACTCGAAGTCCAAAGCGACATCAAGATTCCTCCATGAATTAGAGTTAATCTCATGAATTCTAAATTGTAGTTTTGGATCAGCAGAATACTTGTCGCTCAATATTTTGTAGCTATTAGTGCCGGTTTTCTTGTCTTGGTAAGATCCGAAAGAATATCTGTTGCCTATGATGCATTCATGTATGGGTTGGATCCACTTGGACTCACCAGTGCACGGGTTCCATATCACGAGCTTCGTATCTAGAATCGAGAGAGCAATCTTCTTGTTCGCACAGACGCATAATAATAACCCGTCACTATAACAGAAGTTAGAGATCTCGAATTCATCTAAACTATACTGTGGATTGATTAGGTTAAGTTCACCAGTGACTTCTATAGGTCTATGGAGATTGATGCTCACGGAACAAAACCCTACCGTCTTCAACATGAGATATAGAGATTGCTTTGTGGCTTTATGGAAGTGCTTTATTGCGAAGCTCCTGTCGTTGAATAAACGGTTCCATCGTTTGCAAGTCGAACGTAAACGTGTCAAAGACGTAGCTGGAAGTTTTGGCATAATCGTTGAGATCTCAAACAGTCGGTGGACGGTGGCTTTTGATTGTTGTTTAGAGTTTTCGTATTTCATGTTCGCTCGATTAAGTTTCCTAGTTGGTTTGTAGTACCTATTTTCTCCTTTTCATATTCGATTTCTCTATTTTGATTTTCTAACAGATTCATTTTCCTAATATTAAAATCTTACAAATGTTCATTTTTAAAAGTATTAATATTACAATAATAACTAGTTTTGATTTTAGCTATAGTATTAAAATTAGTTTCACAGTTATATTCATAACTTATTTTAATTAAATACTAAACTAAATTACATTGATTTTAAAATTAATACACCATGAAAATATCATATTTTGTAACTAAAAAATACACTTTTTGTTTGTTAAGAAGAACAGAAGAAAAATTGGATTACTATGAAGTTTTTTGGAGGAATTGTGACTTAATTAACAAAAATAACGAGAAAAGCATGTCATTTTCCTTTTTCCTGAGTAAAGTTCAAGATTGATTTGGTGACACGTAACCTATGTCCTACAATTAAAATTTTAAAACCTTGATTTTATCCTCCTTACCAAAGGTCCAAAGTTAATACTAGTTTTTGTTTCGTGTGTCCTTGTTTTGCTCAAGTAAATTGAAAAAGTGAAGAGGCCTTAATCAAGAGAGTTATGAACTGAATGAATTAGTAGCCACTGCTCTCTAATCTTTATCATAATGGTTGGAACTGAATGAATAGCTATGTACCCACTACTCTCTAATCTATATCACTATATCAGCATCAGGTGGACATGTCATGTCCTTACCCACATTTTATATTGTCACAGAAGTTGATGATAATAAGACTTGCATTCAGCCTACGCCTAAGCCTCCTCTCAGATTTCTTGATATTATATATATATATATATATATATATATATATATATATATATATATATCATTGATGAAAAGAAAAGTCAATGAAAAGAAACCAAATAAAAATTAGGAAGAGGATAGAAACTGATTAGAGAGAAGTTTAGTTGCTGATCACCATCAACATGGTTTGGAAGGTATACTTCTTATTGCCTTCTCGTTTAGTAAGCATTTTTCAAAATTTCCCTGTCTAATATTTCATCATCATCACTTCTATTGCTGGGTTTGGACTTGGGTTCCCTAGGACCCCAGTAAGTAATTTTTCAGCTATCTATATGTTCTTTAGTGGGAATAAAGTTCGATCTACAACATCACAATGAAGTACATGATTGGTACAACAAAACAAAAACAACCGGCAAACCACAACAAGCATTCTTGATAATCAAACAATTTTATTTAGTTTTATATTTGTTGTTTCGTGTTTTTAATGTAGATTACCTTCATATATTAACAGTTTTAGTTTTATATTTGTTGTTTCGTGTTTTTAATGTAAATTACCTTCATATACAGTTTTATTTAGTTTTATGGTTTCTAGTTTTTAGTCTTGAAATTTTCCAGTTTCATCTTTCTCTTTATAACTTTCTCCGCACAACGAGCAGCTCTTCTCAGTTTCACCAACATGTCTGTCTCATACTTGTCGTCATCTAGTCCCTGCATAACAATTCCTTACGAGTTCTCATATCTCTGCTCGTCGGACTGTAACTAAAGCGACACATGAGTTGTTTAGCTCAGGGTGTCCAGCCGGAGTCCGCTCATGCTCAAGGATTAGCCGATAGGAAGGTGTCACTTGGGATAACCCTCTCGTCCATTCAGCCTCAATTGATTCTAATTTCAAGATGAGTTGCCTCTCTCTATCGTAGCCGGTTTGACAATAACCATGGCCGAGAACGATTCTTCTCCTTGACGATCTTTTTTCTTCGTCGAACCAACTCTTTTCTTCGTCGAACAAATAGTAACCATGCCCGGTTCCTTTCCTTTGCGATCTCTCGTCTTTGTCCAAGCAATTGGAATTCTTTGATTGGCCGATTCTCCTTCAAGATCAGTGGTCGTCTTTGTCGAACCAATAGTAACACCAACAGTAACCACGTCCGTTTCCACAACTACAAAACTTTTCCATAAATAAATAAAATTGTTCTATATTTAAAAAATGGAAAAAAAATGGAAGAAAAGAATAATTGGTAATTCTAAAATCTAATAGTGTTGTAGAGAGATATAAAGCTATGGAAGCTCCCACCACCAACCAACCCCTATATATCTTTTTTTTGGTCAAACATTTAAGCGGCATTGATTTGTGGGTGTGTTCTTACAAATATATCTTTTATATATCATGGATTAGCAGATTCCATGTACAAGATGATTGATGCACACCATTTTGTTACCAAGCCTACAAGCCTAAATGTAACTACCATTTTTACCTTGCGTAAATAAAAGTAAGAACTACTGGGCCTGAATACCACGTCGACTTAGAGAAATATCAGTTTATAAAGTATTCAAAGGACATGACTAGTGACTACGATGATTAAAAGTGAAATAACCAAATTACCAACAACTGAAAAAAACAAAGAAAAAACGAAGGTTTGCATGTTACTCATGTCGCCTGTTTTTCTCTTGCCTCAGATAAATTGCTAGAATTGAGTCAAACTTGGGACATAAGTAAACAAATATCCTGTTAAGCCTGAATCCACTTGTCTGACATGATTGTTCTCTCCCGCTATACATAACTTGCTACCGGTATCACAAAACACGAAGACTTTCTTCTCCTCATCGACCAAGAAACGTCCACTTTCCCAAAGATACCTTTCAAGGTTCAACTTCGAATTAACTGCTAAGAACATTCTCCACGACACCGCTTTTGTCTCAATAATCTTATTTGCCTTCTTTGTAACACGGTCTTGTATTAACACGGCAAGATTTTCTTCTCTAACAACGGACAGAGACCGAGTTTCATAAACAGTATACTGACGCGGAAGACATGATAGACGTTCAAATCTTTCTGATGTATAATCAAAACTGACTAAGAATTCATCATCAGTAATCCAGTAAGTCTTTCCCTTCAAAGACACGCCACAATCAATAACCGATAGTTTGAAGTCCAAAGTGACGTCAAGAGTCCTCCACGAATTGGAGTTAATCTCAAGAGTTTCGAATTCTCGGTTTTCTCCATAACCACTGTGGCTCAATATTTTGTAGCTGTTATCGTTGGGTGACTTTTGGTCTTGGTAGGATCCGAGAGCATACGTGTTGGTGTATCCCTTGTAACTATTGATCCACCTGGTTTGACGAGTACACGGGTTCCATACTACGAGCCTAGGATGGTTCTCCCTGGTGACACATAACAATAAGCCTTCGCAGCAGTGAAAGACATGACAAAACTTGATTTGATCTAAACTAGAATGAAGCTTGTTTAGGCCAAATTTACGTGTGACTTCAACATGTGGAAAGCTTCGGAGATTGATGCTCATGGAACAAAAGAGATGGTTGTTCAACATGCACATTGTAAACTGCTTGGGGGCTTTATCAAAGTGCGTTCTTGTGAATCTCCTGTCGTTGACCAAACTGTTCCATTGTTTGCAAGTAGATCGTAACCGTATCAAAGATGTTGTCGGAACACGACAAAGTATCTCTTCTAACAATTCCTCCGGAAGCTCCAACACCATCTTTGTGATCGCCTGATCGGTCTCTCTCAAGGAAGAAACTGCCGGTGACTTTTGATTGTTTGTTTTAGGGTTTTCGTATTATTTTTAATATTATTTTCAATTAATGGCGTTTGGTTTGCTGGTCAAGTAAAACTCAAGTAAAACTGAAAAGAAAAAACGAAACCTTTTACCTCAGAAAGAGGCTTCGGTTCCACAACCCTAAAAAAAACTATCAAAACTTGTCTTGGCTTTGGCCAAAGTGTCAGAAAGCTGAAGAAAAATGCAATTGTAAGAGGAAGATCATCAATAAGCAATTCGACCATTTTTTTTTGTTTTTTTTTTAAAGAGGAAAAGATGAGTTTTCATGTTCTTAGGTCTCCCATAAGCTTGCGTTCTTACAGTAGCTCCCTCGTCGGTTTCTTCTCCAAATCTCACAATTCTCTTCTCTCTGGTATTTTCTCTACTTAACGAGTTTCTCGCAAATGCAATTTACTTTTGGGCTTATCGCAATCGACTCTTTTCTCTTCATTCTGAAGCTTTCTCTGATTGAGTAATTTCCACAAACACTTAGACTGCATTATTAGCTTTTGGATTAACTGGGTTTTGCAAACTCGTAAGGGGAACAAAAATCGAATTGATTCATGCGGAAAAAAAAAAACCAAACTTTATACTTCTAGAGGAAAGAGACAATTTTTTTCTGATGAATTGCTCACTCAGTTTTATGTTCAATTTTCCAATTTTGAATTGAAATGTTGAAAAGATTTGATTTTTACCATTTCTTTATTTAGCTTCGTTAAAGTTTTGGTTTTTGGTTTGTTCAGCGAGATGGGTTAGAGCCGGAGAATGCAATTCCATCAGATGTCTTGCTTCTGATATACGTGGAAAGAAGTATGATTCTTTCTCTTTTAATATTGACATCAAAGAACATTTGAACCTCTCTATGCTTCTTTTAATGGAACTCTTTCTTGCTCTATAACAGCAAGAAACAGAGACTGGACGAGGCATGTCTCGAAAGGTATAAAGAATACAGTCGCACACTTATACAATCATGGATCTTACAAGGTATATAAACTACTGTATGTTTAATCTCTAATGTGATTCTTGAAAAAGAAAGAGAATTTCTTGGTGTAGCTTTAATCTCTGAGTGTGTAATGTTGTTTAGGCAAAGTTCTTGTTGATGGGAAAAGAGCTATTAAAGCTGGTATGCCTGTATCCAGTGGCGTATCCATAAAGATCAATGCCGAGGTTCCGAAATATGTATGTAGGTGATGACTCCTCCACTTTACTCTTTTACATTTTATACCGTTCTCTTGGTGCTTTGTGTTAGAGATTCCTGATCTTTTGTTCACTGTCGTGCAGAGGCGGAATGAAGTTGGAAGCTGCGATTGAGAAGCTGGATGTTGATGTTTCTGAGAAAGTAGTTCTTGATTCAGGACTTTCCACTGGAGGGTTTACGGATTGCTTGCTTCGTTATGGTGCAGCTCATGTTTATGGCGTTGATGTTGGTTATGGTCAGGTACAGAATTAGAGTCTTCTAAGCAACTTCTCTTGGTTACTTCAGTTAGTGAATGATTTGATGTATTGGTGATAGGTAGCTGATAAGATCCGCAATGATAAGCGAGTGACTGTTATAGAGAGGACGAATCTGAGATATCTTCCTTCGCTGCCACAAAAAGTTGATGTAGTGACGCTAGACCTCTCGTTCATTTCCATTCTCAAGGTGAGTTTTCTTTCTTTGTTCATTTTTTGTTTACAGGGGAAGTCTGTTTTCTTGTGGTTTTTGAAAGTTTGAAACTTTATAAACAGGTGATGCCAGCTGTTATGAATGTGATGAATGAGAATGCAACTTTAGTTACCCTTGTTAAACCTCAGTTTGAAGCTCGGCGATCACAGGTAAATTCTATTACATCAAAACTGTATCATCTCTATGATTCTTTTACTATATGTTCTTCAACATTTTTGTTTCTCGTCAAGGTTGGGAAGGGTGGCATAATAAAAGATCCCGAAGTACATCAGGAGGTATGTATGCATCCGTTGAATGTTCTTCGCTTCTTTGGTTAATGCTCTTCTGGATTCCTGGATAGTGATAAGTCTTGGTCTTTGCATTGCAAGTCAAATACTTAGTAAGTACAATCTTTGATGTTCTTGTTTATAGGTTCTTGAGAAGATAATCAATGGTGTTGAGAGATATGGATTCACCAACAAAGGGTACATTGAATCTCCCATCAAGGGCGCCGAGGGAAACATAGAGTTCTTGGTTCGGTTCGACCGAGGGACAGTGAAACGCGAAGAAGAAGAATACTAGACTTATGCTTCAAGAAGAAGAATACTAGACTTATGCTTCCATTGCTGGGAAAGTTAGAACCTTGCAAATGCTATTTGTTTCTTCTTTCAGTCGTTTCCATGCTTTGACCTTAACGCATTTACTATAACTGTACCTTTCTTTTGGTGATATTAAAGATTTCAATAACATTTTGGGCTTACACATTAACTTTTATAAGTTTTACAAGAATACTAGAAAGCAGAACTTCATATTATGAATTAAGTTTCAAAAATGTCATATGTGAAGTCTCATTTTACTGGAATGGGCATTAGAAGAACATAACCTTTTACAAAGCAAAGAGAATAGCCTTGAGATCTAAACAAAGTCTTTCTACCTAGAGAAGCTTTCCCATCGTAAAGCTTTGGTGGTCTTGTAGTACTATCATCATGTCTCGCCACTGCAAAATCAAGGCAAAAGCTAACTCAGGAGAGAAACATTGAAATGGACAACTTTTGTAACAGCATGAGGTAAAGAGATCCAAAATGTGAATCTGCATACCATTAAGCTATGTTCTTGAATCAGTTTTCAGTTCCAACAATGGATGCTTCATTGGTGGTATTTGAAGATTTTACATTTTTCGAAGTAGTCATATGCACAGGTGGAGGCAAAAGCTCTTCTTGAATGGCCTAAGACAACAAACCAAAAGACCAAACAAAAGCCTCAGGCTTTATCACAGAACCGAGCCGAAAACAACCAATGTGAAAGATGTAATTAACATACCAACCAACCATTCTTCCCTCTCGCGCCGCCTTTGATATAATAAGCTTCTTTGAAGCCATTCTCGATCAACAATTCAGCTACTTTCATGGAGTTGCCATCAAAACTGCCTTCCACATCAAAGTTAAAAAAAAAAATGTTAGACAACTCTCACTGCAACTATCAATCTCCACAACATCCAAAAAGAGATTACACTGACGAAGATTTTTAATAAAAGCAACAATCTTTTGTTGATGCAATGCCACAGTTATGTTAAAAGTTTGAAGCTTTTGGTTTAATCCTTACTTGTCAAGAACACAAACAACTGTATTCTCCGGATCAGAGAAGCTTCCTTTGACTTTCTTCAAGAACACTGACACGTCACCATCTTCACTAAACGGAACCTGAACCGAGCTCTTCCCCAAAAACTTAAGATTCGGTGACGCCAACGAAGCCAACGTCTTCTCGTCTCTGATATCCAAAAGCTGCGAATCGGGTTGGCTTTTGAGCTTTCGAAACGCGTTAACGGCGGATATCGGTTTATACTTCCTCAGGTAGAAAATCGTCGCCGGATAAACCACGAGATAGAGGAATGTACATCCCGCCACGAAAAACGGGTACTTGTTGAAGAAATTATCGATTGAGATCAGAATTGACTCCAAATCGATTTTTCCGGTTGGTGAATCGGAGATGGAGGTGAAGGATTCGGATGCGAGAACAGAGGAAGGTGATATTATATGGGAAGCTGTAACAGAGAGATGGGTTTTGGTTAGAAGCTGTAGGGAAGACGATAAGTTGCGGAATTTTGGGGAAATGTTGAGTGATGTTATGCGAGTTTGATCGGAGTCTGGGGTTTGAGAAGTGGAAGGAGGTTTGGATAGGTTTCGCGGAGGAGAGGATGCGAGGATTATCGGAAGAGACGTCATCAGGACGAGAGAGACGATGAGTGGAAGAAGAAGCGCCAAGAGGATAAGAAAAACTTAATGGGCTTATTTGTTACATAACTAAACTTACTGGTACAATTGATAAAGTAATAAAAATATGGTGGTGAAATTGTTAATAATTGTTTTGTGTTTTTGACAACTACTAAAATTGGTGGTTCAATCTGGAGAAAAATAATTTTTGAACACAACATCTACAAATCTACTTTATGTCGGATAGCTGTTCACGAAGCACACTGAACTTGTTCAAGAGATTTGAAAAACACAAGACTATTTAGCAGAGATTTGAGACATTTTTTTTAGCAATTTAGAACAATTTTGTCTTAAGAGTCAAGAGTATCTCTATCCTTTATCAAACTATGATCAACATAAATTATGTTACATAATCAAGATTAAAAGCTTTTAACTCCAAGTTAGTGTGTTTTTCATTCAAGTAGTTAAGTAACTTGATATCATATAAATAGCTTGTTATAAACACATGTGAAATCTCCATGTTATTTAAGAAAAATAAAAAACAAACGAACCAAACTTAATAACAATTTTGCTATCAGTTTTGCAAATAGAATCTGACAGTATAGAATTTTGATTTATTCTTCAAATTCAAGATGAACAAAATTTGATGTAAAACCTATATTATTTTACACAAACGTCGATAAAACAAATAATTTATTCGTCTCTGTTTCCCTCCTCTCTCTCTCTATATAAAAAACAAACTGGATACTTTTTACAACTTACACAGACAAACCTCATCCCAAATTAAGAAACTAATGAGATGAGTTTTGTTCATCATCAGACGATGAAGAGGAAGAAGAAGAAGACTGCTTCCGTCCACATAGTCCAGGTAAAGGCTGTGGCAGCATCGGATTCACCGGAACCGGAAACCTATGAGCAGAGCTAACCATGGTCCTCTCGTTAATCATCCCTACTTCTTTGCAGACTCTATCTACAACTCCAAGGAAATCTCTAACCACCAAGAAAATCCGAAACGGATGCGCTTCTTCTTTCGCCGAGTTCCCATGGAAATACTCTGTGATCTCTTTCACGAGAGACAACGCTACGCTCTCTTGCGCTTGTACTCTGATGAGATCTTCCTCTGCTCTTCTCAAAAACATGTTCATCGATTCCGAAAACCTCTGATCACTGTTGCTTTCTTGGATTTGGATCGCTTCGTTGATCTTTGCGATGCCTTGTGAAAGCTTCGAGACGTAACTGCTTAACACCTCCGAGTCCATCGCAGCAGCTTTCTTGACGTTGCTTAGCTCTGAACAGAGGCTTGACACTACTTGGAGTCCGAGTTTCCTGCATTTGATGTCGTCTGTTTGTGTATTGTTGCTGCTACCTGAGAGACGCGTGCCTTCTGCTCGGATGATCTCTTGCACAACGAAATGCAACAGAGTCGTCTTCCCATCAGCGCCTTTCACATCAACCAGCTTGAGAAGCGTGTCGAGCTTAAACGCGTGCGCATCGCCTCGGTTCGTCCCAACGTTCATTCGGTTTCCCGTCTTTAGAACCGCTTCCAATAGCTTCAAGAACATCCTGCTGTTCCTCAGCTCCTCACAAGCAGCCTAAAGAGAAACAAAGTCATGAATCTGTTTCTATACAAAAAACTATGGAATATAAAGAGAGTGAAACTTGCTATATATACCTCAAGAGTCTCGAAAGATTTCTTCAGGTATTCAACTTCGGATTCGAAGTTAGCTACGTAGAGCAACGCGTCGACTCTTTTGAAGGCGAAGGGAATGTCAAGCATTGCTTTCAAGAATTTCTCAGCGTGTCCAAGCTTAACCGGAGAATCATCATCCTTGTACGCTTTTAATTTTCGCTCTTCTTCTTTTGTTGGCGCCATCTTTAGTAAGCTCTCAAGAAGTTCAGTCCCAAGTGTATCAGCATTGCCTGAATATCATAACAAAGTGATTCTCAGTATTATTGGAGAAGAAAATGTGAAAACTTTGTTAGGTGACAGAATCGTTTTACCTTCAAGAAGAGCCTCACAAACTTCTTCGATAGTGACATTAAGTGCGCGAAGCAGGATTGCAATATTCTGTGCCTTCTTAGGGTCCAAGACTCTGTTTTCTTGCTTCGGGCTTGGAAGAACACATCTTGGAGTTGTCTGGCTCTGATTTGGTTTGGAGTCTAATGATTTTGCTACAAACAACGTTTCAATCATCTCCTCATCTAATCTGCAAAGGGCATTAAAAATTTTCAGTGACCACATTCTCACGAGAGCATATTGTAGCAGAGAAATTATAGTATAAAGACTCACTTGAAAGAGCTTGAACGAAGATGATCCCAAACCATCTCACGATCGGAGCTTGCTCTGACTTTATCCCAGTGTAACGCCTTTAGCTTGGGCTTCGGAGTTTCTTCTGACGGCTCGGTGGCACAGGACGTCTCTGGAATCTCGTTTGGAGTAGTCTGTGGCAAGTTTTCAGATGGGATCACAAAAGGATTTGAAGGCGGCGTGAGAGAAGGAGGTCGGGAGGCCTTGAGAGTCACTTGATTCCGACGTGTCCATGAAGGAAATGATGGAGGAGGTGGTGGTGGAGGAGGCGGCGCCAGGGGAGTTCCGATTGCAGGCGTCGGAGGCTGCAGAATTTGAGATGAAATGTTCGAGATCCGTGGAGATACATCTAAGCTATGGGTAAAATCTCTATCAGGAGAAGATGATAGAGATGATGACGAGGCAGACTGCGAATTCCGGGGAGATGTGACCGGTGATTTGTGAGAAGCTTTATCCGGTGAAGAGCAAACGGACGGCGGTGAACGAGGACGCAATGCGTTTAACTGCTTAAGGTAGCCTTGTCCCGAAGAATTCGAAGGAGAAGAGAGTAATTGAGATTGCAGTCCTTGCCGGAGGTTGCTCATAAACGCCGGTAATACCTCTGGAGATTTCGGGAAGCATCTGTACGGTGATGTAGAAGCAGAAGAATGCGAAGGGGATCGCAAGTAAGCTTCCGGAGTATCGTTCGGTCGTCTTTCTGGCGAAGTTGAAGCAGATGATACCGTCGTGGATCGTGAAGTTCGAGGAGAGTCGTGGAGATTTTCTTTTTTGTTATTATCCATTGATCTGTCTGGTGAAGTTGTGAGTGATGTAACCGTCGGAGATCTCGAGATTTGGCCTAATATTCCATCGGCGTTTATCACAGGGCAAAGTCCCGGCGATAAAGAAGCTAAGGACAGTGATGGAGACCGCGGGTATCGAAAATCTGTTAACTGCGAGATCTTCGCCGGAGATGATTCGGAGCTTCCTTGAGAAGTCTTCACCGGCGGCTCTGGTGCTGAGATTGCCGAAGGTTTCGGTTCGGTTCTCTTCGGACTCATTGACGGAGAAATGCTGATGAAGGTCGATCTCCCTGGTGAGCCTGAGCTTGAAGACGAGCAGGAGATAGTGTCATTGTTCACAGATCTAGGATTTTGAGCCGGAACCGCCGCGAAAACTCTCCGGGACTCGGATCCGGCACGGCTTAACGTCTCGCGCCCGCTCGCTGAACCTCGGGGAGAGTAAAACTCTTCTTCTTCATCCTCTCCAATCGAACCAACCTCTGGATTTAGTCGGAAACTCCGTTTCAGAAGAGGAGGAAGAGGCTGGAGATCTGGAGATTCCAATTTCCTTGAGCTCGAACCATTATCGCTTCGATTGCTACCTGATTGATCGTCAACTCCTCTCTGATTCACCATCGTTCCCAAATAAAGAAACTCAGAGGAGCTAGTGTTTGCAGAGGTCGTCGTCGTCCTCTGCTTACTATTTCTAGCCTCCGCATTACGCCGTGCCGGAGGAGCCGCCGCCGCCGGAGGAGGTGGATAAACTCGGCGGCTACTGTCGGTTGTCCACGTCTTGCTATCATCGGGTAAGTTACGATCATGGCTTCTTCTTCTTCGCCAGTAAAGCACCGCAATGAGAGCAGCGACTAAAGCAGCGGAAGTAACGGCGGAGATTGCGACGATAAGGAGTTTCCGCGAATTAGGTGGCGATTTAGTAGCGTGAGGGACGATGAGAGAGGAGATATTAGCCGGGAAGGAGGCGAAAGACGCCGGAGAAGGTGGCGGAGGAGATGAAGGGTATAAAGGGAAGAATGGAGTTGCAGTAGGGTCTGAAGGAGGAGTTGTGGAAGAGAAAGGGAGTTTAGGAAGCGGCGGTGATTGAGGAGGTGATGGCGGTGGAGAATCGACCGGGAAGAATGGCTCGTGGAGGACACGACGGTCGGCGAGGACGAGATCGGAAGTTGAAGTAACGAGTAAGTAGAAGGATAAGAAGAAGAGCATTGTGTTTGTCACTCTTCTTCTCCTTCTTCGCTTTTCAATCGAGCGAGATCTGAGACTGTAGGGACTCTCTCCTTTTCCTTCTCCTGGATTTTCTCGAGAAAAGATGAGAAAACTTTTGAAAGAGTGAAGGATCCAGCTAAGATTCTGCTGGTAATGGTCGATCGATCTTCTTCACTCTCTTTTATTTTATTTTTGTTTTTGTTCGTTCTTTTAAAAAATAAAAATAGTTTTTGACTTAACTCTCTCAGGATGATGGTGAGAGAGTAGAACAAATGGCCAAAAGAGCTGATGGAAGGAGAGTGGTTAATTATTCTCTTACGTTGTAGGGTCCATCTCTCTGAATGTAACTACTAATATTGTGACACGTGGACAAGACGTGGACTTTGTAATAGTCCTAGTTTTCTACTGCGTATGTGTGTACACACTGCACAGTGCCCACTGTGCATTGCATTGCACCGTACGAATATAAAAATTAAAAATACGAGTTGATTAGTTTAAAAAATATTATTTTTTACGGCGGATAATCAAACGAGTCTTTGATAAGAATTATGGATTTAATATTTAAGTAATGATGTGTTTACTGTTTGAGGAAGTGGGTGTGTGGTGCGAATTATTTTATTTTCTTTGACCGACACTACCTCTAAATGGTCGGTTCATGTGTTCCGCTAGAAGCTGTATACTGAAACTTGGATTAAAAATTATAACATTCTTAACGAGTACACACTAGATAAGTAAATTTCAGCCAAAAATGTAAATAACAATGAGTGAGTATAAAATGTAAATGTAAATGTATATTCAGAGAAATTACTTTATATTCTAATTTTTTTCAAATCTTAATTTCCTTAGAAATACCACAATTGTATTTTCTCTTCTGAACTTTGTTAAACGTTATAGTTACTTGAATGTAAATTTGTATAGGAACATGTTGTTGCCTCGCACGCACACAAACATAGAAAAGAGAACATGTTGTTGTTTGTTGAGTGTCAAGATGAATTGGATTTACTATGCAAGTTGTATAATCACAAGTTTCTGTGGTCGCAAATACTTGTAGATCCAACTTGTAATGTAAGCAAGAACAAGAAGGCATTCAACTGATTTTATGTTTTTGGAAAATGAATGTTTTCGTTTTGTTAAATTTGATTTTTGTAGTATAAGACAATTTCATTACTTGAGATTGCATACTAGTATGTATAAAAACTATTTATTTGTATGGAAATAATTTTTGATGATCTTGAGTCTTGCTAGTCCGAGGATAATTAATGAAACTATAATAATCTTAAAACAACTATAGAAGCTTGTGATCATTGCGTGGTGGTTAGCAGGACAAATCGAAACTGATTGATATGTTATAGAATGTTTTAACCTATCTAAAAAGGTGTGACAGTAGCATTAGCATGCATCTTTGGGTGTCCATATGACTCACTGATGGAAATGAAGTGTCGGCAAGTTGATGTGGTTGGTCAGAAATGTTACAAAAGTTGTCTATGTGAATCCCACTTATAATTATTAAAAAACTTAAAATTTTATTTTCATTTTAATTTTTCCTTAAGGGCCCAACAATTTGCCCTTCATATACCATATACAAAAAATTATAATTCCAACGTTCAAAGGTATTACGACTCTTGGAATACATAAACCAAATCACCTTCTTCTTTGGAATTCAGTGAAGACTGTTACGAAAGTCTTGCCAGTTAATTGGTTTAGTCTAAAAAGGTCTGAAAATCGAGTTGATAATCGCTAGCTATTAGGAACTGAGGCTAACAGAGAAAGGTTATAACTTAAAAGGCTAGTTAAGTCTATATCCAACAAAAAGAAATGTCTTCATGTAATTAAATCGCATGAATATGTGTTTAGATTGCAATAGATTGGTTCAATATGTGTGATTGCTTATCTTAACTGATTGGTTAATTAAGATTATGAGCCACTGGTTAATTGATTGGGGGAATAACTTCTGATTTAAAAAATAAAACATGTGTAAGTGTTCTGTCAACTATTTGGACAACGATAGAGTGGGCAGTTGATTTGATATAGTGAGGTTAAAAAAAATGAGATTCAAGAAAACTATAATTGCACTAAAAAGGCGTAAAACATTTGGTCACGTGGAAAAGGTACCTAAAATGTAAGGTACAAATGACCTGAGTATCAAGAAGACCACCGACACACTGAAATTGAGATTTATTACTTCAAATTTCTAACCTTTAATGCAAGTAACCTGATTTTTTTGTTTATAAAGTTTTTTTGTTTTCTTATTCATGTCATACGGAGTACAGTATTATATTTCTCAATCAATTTATGGAGTATTAATTTATAAGCGTTGGATTTTGTATTCGCATTTAAGTGTCTACTAATCGCATGGATACAATCTTGGACTGGAAGTTCTATTAGAGGTAAAGTTTCATCCACGACAAATTTAGACATTATCTGGTTTAGATTGCATTATTTAATGTGATTTTCAGAAACAAGTTCAAAAAGAGGTTGTTGGCTATTAGACAACAAATATTCTTTAAAAAATTAAATATGTAGGGAAGAGGGAGATCACTCTCATGCAGGATAAAAAGATCCACAAAATGGAGTCAAAAGATAACCAAAAGCTGGAGAAGAATAAAAGGCGAGAGGAGAATGTTTTTTTAAGAAATTCTTGAGGCAAGGTAGCACAAATAGGCTTAGAAGATAAATGATATATGTGATATTTTGTATTTCCTTACTTTGGAGGAAGGGGCATGATAAAAAATGGGTCTATGAGGGTACGTAAGGGATTGATGAAGGTGTGATAGAAGTTGAGACTCGGATGCCAACAATGTAAAGAGGGTCAAAAAGGGCAAAAGTGACAAGAAGTTGGATTGAGAGACCGAGTCAAGAGGAGCAGGAGAGGAGGAAGAGGTAGCATGGTCTCTGTCTCTTGCATGCTTAGTTATAGAAGTGACTACATAGTTAATGATTCACAGTTTCAAATGATCCCGCAGATGGAGAATTATCAAGAGACTGATAAAAAGTTATCTACTTCTACTAGAGGTGATGGGACCTTCTTCCAACCTGGTGAGCATTTTACTCCCTCAATATTTAATATTTTTTCCCATGCAGGTGTAAAGTCTGTAGTAGCCTCCTTACCAGTTTAAGGAGCAGTAGCCAAAGTTGTGTTATCATATACCTTGTGTTTTCGGAGACAGTAATATATAGGTCTTTTTTTTTTCTCCTTTTGTAGGAACCCACGTTGGTGTGTAGTCCTAAGCCAATTCTTTGTAATGATCAAGGACATGTTTGAGGTATCCAATGGTACTCCACCTCAACTGTAACTACTTTCTACTTTCCGTTTCAAAGATTGGACGAGGAAGATGATTAGGAAGATTTATTTCTACTTTCACATGAGACTAGTAAAATTGAAGGTAAAATCATGTTTTTTAAGGCTTTCCAATAAGTCATCCAACATATCAATATATCATCCAGAGAGCGCAACGCAAATTGAAGTACCTTGAGGCTCTCACCTCCCAAATAGTCTATATTGAGATGGAGACCAGATTGGGAGTAGCATTAGAATGATGAGTAGACCACTAGTGAACATGGAAACGTTCAAATCTCCAACATACCATACATTATACATTTGTAAACAATCAATAGGTGTGAAATGTATAATCCTTCTAAGGACATGACATACATTATGAAGATTCCCGAGATAACATGCAAGGTGAATTGTCACTTCAAGGATGGTTGGTTGCTTATGCGCAAACATAGGTTATCAGACGGGTTATTTTTCTTCAATGCATTCACTCATGAGCTCATCGATTTGCCTAACTGTGGGTATTATAACGGATGCGTTATTTTTACTTGTGCTCCTACATCCAATAGTTATTTGGTTTTCGGCTTGGCAAACAATGTCAACAACAAAAATCTTGTCGCAATCAACACTTTAAGACTCGGCGAAACCAAGTGGGAGACTAACCATTTTTGGAGCCCTAAGCCTTATTTTGCTTGTAGCAACAAAGTTCTATTCTCTAGAGGTCTCTTTTATTGTCTTGGCAAATCTGGCTCGCTAGCTGTTTTCAACCCATCCGACCGAGGAACACTCACCAACTAAAATGTGGCAAAAATGTGGCAAAGGTTTAACACATTCAACTGTCGTGTTGTATGACACAATTTTTGTAGAGATTAAAGGAGATCTGTTTTTCATAAACACTTTGGTGAGAAGCTGCTAGTGTTTAGGCTAAACCGTGATGATGAATGGTTTTGGGAGGAGAAGACTAGAATTGATGAAGGGCATACTTCTTTTGGAAGCTCTCATGCATTGGAAGCTAGATCAGACAGACATAGCATGCAATGTGCGAGATAAGATATTTCTAGTTGACTCTTTGGACCTTCGTCATCCGGCAATGCAAGTGTTTGAAGAAGGAATATATCTCCAGACTAATCCACCTGTCTCATCATGGGATACAACCAGAAACCTTTCTCAGAGTGTTTGGATTGAGGCGCCAAAACAACTTTTAGAGGTTTTTTTTTTTTTTTGGTAGAACAACTTTTAGAGTTTATATGAAGTAATAATCATTTGGTTTTTTTTTGGAAAAAGTAATAATCATTTGTTGAAGATAACTTTGCAAGACTCTTGCTTTTGTCATTTTTCATGTTTTGGTTTGGATTTGCTGTTTTTCAATTAATTTTCTCAGTTTAAAAACTTATTTCAGTTCTATCAATATCATAATTTCCCAGTTTTTGGTTTTAAAAAATAAAAGCTCGAAGTTGTTTATAACAGTTAATTTTATAGCTGTTACAATTTTGTCACAATTTAACCGCACAATAAACATGCAATACCATTAGTGTGAGCATAACCTACATCTCATTGTCAACCAAGTAATAAAGGAATATCCGTCGAAGATCCTTCATAAATCCGCATTCAGACACCTATAAATAACTATCCCACTCATTCCACTTCATTCATACCAATGCCAAAGAAAAAAAACAACCTTTCATAATGTCATCTTTTATTTTATTTTTGATTATTTACGATCCTCGATGGACAAACCTCACAAAGATTTAGCTAAAGACCTAGACACAGTTGAGTTCGCTGCCGATCTTAGACAATTTATGAGCTTTGCATCGAACCCCATGAATTTGTAGATTCATCCAAAGCATCAATTAGTTTTCCCTGGTGCATCCAATAATTTGACCAAAACATATATGGAATTCTTATTCATCACAAAACAAAAAAATTGAGATTAGAGTGTTAAATCGTAAGCTCATCTTTGGAAATTATTTTTTCAACCTTCCAATACAATTAAAAATTTGAAAATAAAATCAGATAGATGTCATGTTGACCAATATATATAATGATCAAGTTTAGGAGTAATATCATATGCCAATATAATGATGAAGTGTGGAAGTATGTACGTGTTCTTGATACTCTCTTTCAGAGTATTAATTAGTAGTATTACAGTATTTATGAGAAGGAAACAACAAAATAAACTACGGGGAGGGTTTTCCAAATCATATGCCAATAAACATAATGATGGACCTTTTTCTCATTATAATAATGATTAGCAAACATTAATGAACAACAAGGTTGACGCTTCGCGAAGATCTCGTAAGTGGCTCCATCATCATTATTTGGATTTAAAATACAAATATGTTAGCATGTGGCCACCTGTAACTACAATATTTGATGAATCCTTCAAATGCATGAGCATGAGACTTTTTTTTTTTTTTTTTTTTGAACAACGCATGAGCATGAGACTAACTTCTAACTATGATAATAATTCGACTAGTTGCAATATTTATATGCAACGTAGTGTATACACACTAATAGACATATGAGTATGTGCTTTGTCGTATTGTTGGAACAATTATTGTGGAGGCAGATTTGTTTTTTTTTTGTAAATAGCGTTGCATCCAAAGAACAAGCCTCGAAGCTAGAGATTCCACTGACTTCTGACATAAGTATTGGATTAAAATCATTACTACTACTCCTTTTTTTTTGTTTTTTTTAACAAATACTACTCCTTATCTGATTTTTTGTTTCGAGTTTTCATGGACGTGCATGGATTCGCATGACTCGAAATTTGATTTATACTTTTTCTTTTTAGTTATTTGTAGCTGTTTGGGGTATTTAAGTTCACAAAAAGGTTATCCATCGGGTCGAGAAAGTAATTCTGTGGGTTTAGTAAGATCTACTTGATTAGAAAGTAAGACAATAGAAAGTAACTACTTGAGGTATCCAAGGGTATTTCACTTCAACTGGAACTACTTGATTATTCCTACTTTAATTTCTATTTTAATGACACGAGAATGTTGATTAGTAAGATCTATTTCTACTTTCGCATGAGCTAGCAAACATGAGAACCGAAGGTAATTAAAATCATTTGTTATTCAAAGCTCTCCGATAAGTCATGCAATGTATCTCCGATAAGTAGTCAAACCTAATTTACCATATGAAAAAAACACTTAAGAAACCTTTTTTTTTATTCACCATAAGTCATTATTACAAAATATAAATATAACCTAAAACAAGGTTTGACCACAAACAATTCAACAACAATATTTGAAATTTATTTTACATCTATGTTTAAAAAATTTACTATCTTTCCAGCGAGTTTTGAAAGTTTCGCTCGAGTTTTAGTCATGTATATAAGGCTGTTTATGTTATCATATGAATTATACAAACTCCTTTTAAAAGTGTCAGTTCTCATTTTTCTCATCTGCTCATTCTTCGCTATGACGAATGGAAAAAGTAACATCGATTTGTAAGTTGTTAATGATTCTCTCTTTGTCGAATAAGTAATCTGGAATTGAGTTGTTAGAGATTATCATTTTTCTATTTTTTTCTGTATTACAATATCTTTTGATGATCTTGATAAAATACAATAAGATCTATTATTTTCAATCATTTAGTTTTCAGATAAGAGTTATTTATCATTTTCATTTTTGTAATTACAAAATATGATAGACTTATGAGAAGCCTTGATCTAAATTATTATAAATGTTTAGCCATATAGTTATATCTGAGGAAATAGTCATTGATTTTGGCATAAAAATTAAGCTTATGTATACATATATATAACATTGTTTATATTTTATATATATATATACATTAAATGTTTAAAGTTAGACATTGTGTTTTAGTTTATGCATGTCATATCTTCCACTTTTGTTAAATATTTGTAAGAAAAAAACATTAAAAATTTAATATTGCATTTCAAAAAAATAAAAATAAACTGATTTCTTTTACGTGTTGAATTCTTCACTAGGGTGAAGCATAAAAGTGAGGGAGAAGCAAAGAAGAAAGATTGGTCAACTCTTCTTCCCGAGATTTTGGAAATGATAATGTCTCTCCTAATTGTGAGAGACTGTATTCGTGCTTCCCAAGTCTGCATGGCGTGGTATAGATCTAGTGCCTCTATTCGGAAGAAAGATCGACATCTATGGCTTATGAAGTATGATCCAATCTCCTCAACAATCAACATGTGCGAAATGTATGACCCTTCTCATGATATGATCACATACACTATGGAGGTTCCCGAGATAACAAGCAAGGTGATTTGTTACTCCAAGGATGGTTGGTTGCTGATGGGCAACGAGAGTTTAACTGACTTATTGTTCTTCAATGCATTCACTCGTAAGCTCATCAATTTGCCTACTTGTGGGTATTATTTTGAATGCGTTATTTTTACTTGCGCTCCTACATCCGATTGCTGTTTGGTTTTCGGTTTGGCAAACTCCAATGGAAATCTTGTCGCAGTAAACACTTTAAGACTCGGTGAAACTGAGTGGGAGACTAGCCAGTTTTTGAGCCCTAACCCGCTTTTTGCTTGGTGCAACAAAATTATCTTCTCGGGAGGTCTCTTTTACTGTCTTGGCAGATGTGGCTCGGTAGCTGCAGTTTTCAACCCATCCGAACGAACGTGGAACACTCACCAAGTAAAATGTGGCAAAGGTTTCACACATTCAACTGTCGTGTCGTATGGCACATTTTTTGTAGAAATTAAAGGAGATCTGTTTTTCATAAACACTTTGGGTGAGAAGCTTCAAGTGTTTAGGCTAAAGCGTGATGAAGAATGGGGTTGGGAGGAAAAGACAAGAATTGAAGAGGGGTTTACAGTTTTCGGAAGTTCTTATGCATTAGAAGCTAGATCAGACATCCCATGCAACCTGAGAGATAAGATATTTCTAGCTGACTCTTTGGACTATCATCATCCGGCAATGCAAAACTATGTGTTTGAAGAAGGAAAGTATCTCCAGACTAATCCACCTGACTCGCCCTGGGATTTGGCCAGACACATTTCTCAAAGCGTTTGGATTGAACCGCCAAAACAGCTCTTGGAGTTTATATGAAGATAACTTTGCTTTGTCATTTTTCATGTTTTGTTTTTTATTTGCTGTTTTCGGTCAATTTCCTCATTTTTATAATGTATTTCAGTATTATCTTTTGTTTAAATGACAATTTCCCAGTATTTGGTTAAACAAAACAAAAGACTCGAATTTGTTTATAATATTTAACTTCATAGTAGGGACAAACTTTTAATGAAATTCTTGAGGCATAAAGAGGCTTAAAAGTTATAAGTGATAATTTGTATTTCTTTACTTTGGAGGAAGGGTATGATCAAAAGTTGGTCTATCACTATGAGGATACGTAAGGGATCCATTAAGGTGTGTAGAAGCTGAGACTGGGATCCCAACAATGTAAGGAGGGTCAAAAAGAGGAGCAGCAGAGGAGGAAGAGGTAGCATGGTCTCTTACAGGCTGAGTTGTAGAAGTGACTACATAGTTATTGCTATTTGGGTTCACAGTTCCAAATGATCCCAGAAATGGAGAATTATCAAGCCACTTATAACAAATTATCAATCTTCTTCTACTAGAGGTGATGGGAGCTTCTTTCAACTCTGGTGAGCATTTTACACCTTCAGTATATAATGTTTTTTCTTTCAGTGCAGGTGGTTGGAGTAGTTTCAGCCTCCATAGTGTTGTTTGGAACAAGTTCAGGTGTAAAGTCTGTGGTGGCCTCCTTACTAGTATAGGCATCAGTAGCCAAAGTTATGTCATCATACATTGATTTTCAGAGACATTTATTTGGTGGTAGTAATATATAGTTTTCTTGCTTTTTTTTGTAAGACCTTCGTTGGTGTGTCCTAAGCGAATTTCTAATAATATGAGTATGTGACCAAATTCTTTGTAGTAATCGAGGACATGTTTGAGGTATCCAAGGGTATTCCACTTCAACTGGAACTACTTGATTATTCATACTTTCTATTTTAATGACACGAGAAAGTTGATTAGTAAGATCTATTTGTACTTTGGCACGAGCAAACATGAGACTGGGAAGACTGAAGGTAATTGAAATCATTTGTTATTCAAAGCTCTCCGATAAGTCATGCAATGTATCTCCGATAAGTAGTCAAACCTAATTTACCATATGAAAAAACCACTAAAAAACCTTTTTTTTATTCACCATAAGTCATTATTACAAAATCTAATTATCAACTAAAACAAGGTTTGACCACAAAAGGTTCAACAAAAATATTTGAAATTTATTGTATTTCTATGTTAGTAAACTTTCCAGCGAGTTTTGGTCATGTATATAAGGCTGTTTATGTTACCATACAAACTCCTTTTTATTGTCATTCTCATTCTTCGCTATGACCAATGGAAAAAGTAACGTCGATTTGTAAGTTCTCAGTCCCCACCTTGAAGGAGTAGGTGTATATGGAAAAACAAAAAATAAATGTCACAAGTTTCATCCGGATCACCGAACAATAAACATGCAATTCCATTAGTGTGATCACCTGTCGATAACCTATATCTCATTGTCAACCAAGTAGTTAAAGGAATATCCTTCAGAAATAGGCATTAATTTAGATAAGACACCTAAAATAACGATTTCCTCATTCCACTTCATTAACACCAATGCTAAAGAAAACAAAACTTACAAAATGTAATCTTTTAGTTCTTTTGATTATTTTCGATCGTGGATAGACAAAGCTCACAAAATGAGTTCGCTGCCGATCTTAGACTGTTAGACAATTCATGAACTTTGCATCAAACCCATGAATTTGCAGGTCCCACATATTTTCAACCTTTTATTACAATTAAAAAATTTGACAAAAGGAAAATAAAATTAGATAATCAAAGATGTCATGTTGACCAATATAATATAATGATCAAGACTAAGAAATTAAGTTAAGGGTATGTTAAAATTAAATAACTTCCCACAGATGTTTAAGAGCTGATGGGTGTGTGTAGTATATAGTGATAGAAGTGTGGAAGTATCTGTTCTTAATAGTCTTTCAGAGTATTAATTAGTAGTATTACAGATTTACAGTACTTATGAAGTTATGAGGAGGAAACAACTAGAAAGGTTTCTAAATCATATGCCAATAAACATAATGCTGGACTTTTTCTCATTATAATAAAATGATTAGCAAACGTTAATGAACAACAAGATTGACGCTTTGCGAAAACCTCATAAGTAGCTCCATCAAAACCTCATATGTAACGACCACATTTGATGAATCCTTCAATGCATGAGACTAACTTCTATCTATGATAGTTGCAATATTTATATATAACATAGTGTGTATACAATATGAGTATGTGATTTTTGTCGTATTGTTCGAAAAAATTATTGTGGAGGCAAATTTGTTTTTCTATTTAATTTGTTCTTGTAAATGGCGTTGCAACCAAAGAACAAGCCTCGAAGCTCGAGACTCCACTGACTTCTGACATATTAGATTAAAGAGATAGGATATTGTTACTAGATATTAAAATCACCACTACTACTCCTTCGTAGAACTAGGAATCGTAAAATGATTATCTTATGGCCTTCTTAATGCTTATAGTCTGCCACATTTTCGGCGATCCTTCGAGAGACCATATATGATATATCATGCATGCACATGTAATTTGGCATTCTTCGAGGTTTTCATCAGAGATTTTTGGAGCGTGTGGTAGGTCTTACTCTCTTACCATGATCATATATGCAATAAAGCTCGCTTCATAGGTATCAACATGTTAGGATGTCATATTCGGTAGGACTTGTTTGTCAAAGTTATTTGTTCCTTGGAGTATATTGGAGAATAAGGGTTAGTAAATTCTTTGGACAAGCAGTCAACAAAACACTCTCGGTGGTTAATGTCTCCTTTTGGGGACTGTATGTGCAGATATATTCCAATGTCTATATGTGGCCTTTAGGAAGATATTGAATTTGATGAAACCTTAGCTTTAAATGTCACTGTGTGTGAAAATGGAATAACCTTAGCTTCAAACTGATAGGTACCTTTATGACAGTCTATATAATTGGTTGGATGAAGAATTAGAGAACTTTACAGACGATGACTACTTGGTTTTTGACTGTCCAGGTGACTCTTGTAGCTCTGCTAGATCCTAATGAGTTTCTTCTCTAGATCTTTTGATTCCATGATTATTTTGAAGTGTTATTGATATTATTATGTTGTGATTATAGGCCAGATAGAGCTTTTGACACATTGTAGAGCATTTGAAGCAGTGTATTTGCTTGATTCACAGGTTTATCTTCCCTAACTTTATGATGATAGACTCATTTGAGTTTTTTTGTTAACAAAACCCATTCATTGTTTATCTTGGATCAGTTTGTATCAGATGTAATCAGCGGATGTATGGTTTCTCTTTCTGTAATGATCACATCTTGTTAACATCCTCACAAACATTGATCTCTTCAAGGATAAAAGAAACATTGAGGAGTGAATCTTGCTTCCTCTGTTCTTCTTTCCAATAGCTCACGGAATTGCTCTGAACACAATAGCAGTTTTGTGGTTGTAACAAAGAAGCAAGCATGGTGTGAATCATGAACAATATGATCCGGTTCGAACATAGTATAACATATAATATTTTCAAATGGTAACATCATCATCAACACAAGAGTATTAACATTTATAAAACAGAGTACACACACACCTAAGCAGCACCTAGAGGACGAGGGAGACGGTGAAGCCAACGAGGAAGAACAAACTGCGAGAACAAGAGACAATTAGGAAAAGCTTGATACATTTGCAGATGGTATCCATAAATCGCCTTCAAATACTCTCTACACCCATTGAAACTCAAAACGCAACCATCCATACACTTGTTCCTCTCATCATCCTCAAACTCCTTGTGAAGCCTAAACACAAGCGTCCTCAGGTTAAACAAGACGAGCCCTTTCTTGTCCCTACTCCACAAGTAAATGATCTCACCTCTCAACGGATGCATCACCATTGGGAAATAATCTCTACCTAAATCAATCAATGACAAGAACAAGTTTATCTCCCAAACCAGCTCCCAAGAACCGTTCTCTCCGTAGTTAACCAGCCTCCAAACCCGAAAGATCCGGTTTTCCTTCTCGTTGAACTCGTTGAAATACACTATGTGCCCTTCCGATGTCGTGAAGCTCCTCGTGAATCGCCGTAGCTCGTCGCCTTTCCCAGGAAAATGCACAACACGAAACCCATCATCGTCACCATTATAGAAATCGTAAGCTACAATACAGCTTGTTGTAGTGTCTTGCGAGAGCCAGTGAAGAGTCCCGTTGAGAGGAATCGATTTTCCGATTACTGCCGCCGAGTGTTGTTTTAGAGAAGAAGACACATTCTCTTTCAATTCCCAATTCCCTGAATCGGAAGAGTAAATCATCAGAAAGAGTTTATCGGAGGACGAATCTGGCTTCAGCGTCCACACGATTTTGTAGCTCACGACGACGCCGTTTTTGATCTCCGTGACCAATCCGGTGTCGTCGAAACGGTTTCTCTTCCGTAACGAGTGGAGATTCTGAGAAGAGACGGAGGAGGAAGAAGGGAGAGGGATTTCGAACCATTCTCGCGATAAAAGGTTTCCGATGTAGTACAGCGGAGATCCGTCGATGTTCTCGGCGAAAACTGTTACTAATCCGTCGGTGCATGATAAGACGAGTAGCTTTTTGATTGCGGTCTCGGCGAAGAAGCTCATGAAGGACGCCGGAGAGCGATCGAGTCCCCAAATGGAGCATCCGTGGTGGCCGACGATTTCCAGGGAGAGTTTGTGTGGTCTGGTTTGGATGATCGACCAGGAGACGGAGGAGGAGGAGGAGAGGTAGTGATCTCTGAAGAAATCGGAATCGATTATCGATTTCCATGCTCTGCTCAACAATCGGAATCTCGCGATGCTCTTGAGAGGAAATCGCGCGAAGATGTTCACCAAAATCAATTCTGGAAGATCCATCGATTTTGCAGGCGAGAAGCTTCTTCTTCCTCACTTGGTCAGAGTAAATGCTCTCTCTCGATCAATTTGGTTTCGTATGAAGTTGGCAATGTCAATTTAGCCCATGGGCTTTTTATGTTGAATTCTCGGTCCACAAAACTGAATATCGGTTTAGTTGGTTTGTCGTAAGGCACATTTTGCAAATATCGGTTTAGTTGGTTTCTGTCACTCCACAATTCAATGAATTCATTGCCTTTGCTTCCTTAATGTCTCTCGTTTTCTTTGGTAATCTTAAAAGAACTTCTACGTTACTAAAGCTTTTACTTTTCTTTTTCTTTTTTTTATCATGCATTTATCAATGTTAAACAAACGTATACGTCATTCACCAATCACATAAGATGAGATAACAAAGAAGAATCAGCATAAGATATTAGATTTTCTAGAGGATAATTCCATGCTAAATTTTTTTAAAAAAAAACAAACAAACATTAAGATATAGAAGAGGCAGTGCACAAATAAACAAACAAACATTCATTTTCTGAGGCACATACTTCATCATTTGGAAACATAGTAGTTTTTAATTACGGGTTTGATCATTAGAGTTTCCTCTTCACTTATTCAAGCTAAAATGTTGAATGCTAACATTATGGTGGTATGACACAATTACAAATTCTAGGTCTTGTGGTTGTGACAAAAAGTCAAGCGTGTATGGCGAAATCAACAACAGTGTGAATCGGTTCCATATGAATGTCAGACTGAATGTAGCATATTATAGATATAGATGCTTGTTTAGTTTAGTTTAACAAAAGTTTAGAACAAGAAGTTTATCCGAATAGGATCGAACAATTGGAATGTTACTTCCTGAAAACATTAGAAGTACAGAACAAAAGATGAATAAATAAATCCACATTTTGATGGATACATCATCACATAAACCGGATAAAAATGATCTTAAAGACCAATTGGTAAAGTTATACTTAATTTTGTCTAACTAGTCAGATGAGAAGCTAACCAACTTAGACAAAATAATATGAAGACAAAATGAAAGATAAGAAACTCTTGAAAGAAACAGTATCCTCAATATCAAAATCCTCGGAGGCAATTGAAATGTGAAAACAAAAGCTTAGAGTTTTAAGTCTGGAAAATAGAAAAAATGAGACATTAAGCTCACAAAGTAAAAAAGCTACAAGAGGCTGCTGCATCATAACAAGACAATGAAAGTCGCTGTGATTTACTCTTCGTCATCCTCATCATCATCATCAGCACCACCTGCTCCGTTCAAAGCCTTAACTCTCTCAATCAACTTGTTCTTCCTCTCTTCATAGGTCAACTTCTTCAAGTTGTACCTGTTTACATCAATCAAAATCTCACAAAAATGAGACACATACAACGTCAAGAAAACACACATAATGAAGTGCTTATGTTTGTTTTCATACCTCTTGTGTGCCTTGGGAGCAGCCTTCACGGTCTTCTTTGGGTTGGGGTCAGCGCGGATAGCAGCGTGAACCTTCTTGTAGAGCTCCTCGATGTTCTCAGCATCAACACCACTCTTCACGTACTGGCTAAAGTGAGTGTTGAACTTCTCTGGCTCGTCTTCCGTCAACAGCTTCATGTAGTTTGAGACATGGCCTCCGAAGATGTAGTTCCTGTGAACTTCAGCATCGAGCGACTTGTTCTCCTTGTTAAAACCAGCGAACCTCTTGTCACTGTGAGGGATGTCAAGTCCTCCGTCCAAAGCACCCTACCAAGCAAACAGCAAAACTCATAAAAACACTGATTAAAACATACTGCTTCCTCATGAAACATTGACACAGAACAAATTAGATACCTTGAGAGCTCCGAACACACGGTTTCCGGTTGTGGTCCTGATAAGTCCAACATCAAGAAGAGCACGGAAAGGCCTCCTTGAATCAGTTGGTTCAACGGAGTAGTCCTCTCCAGTGGCCTGATTCATGAATTAACAATTGAGACAAAGACTCAACTCCTAAATGATGAAACCTAAGTTATAAACATACCTCTAGGTTGCCTTCATACTCGGCGTCCAATTCCAACATTTTCAGAACACGGCGAGCCAATAGAAGACCAGTACAGTAAGCTGGTTTAACAAATAAACAACAACCGTATAAGAATCCAAAAACACAGAATCAAAATCAAGAAAACTAAAAGCATAAGACTTGATTCAATGTACCTGCAGCGTAGTTTGTAAGACCAACATTGAGTCCGTAGTGAGGGAGCTCATGTGCATAAGCAGAGGCCTTGACAATGTCGCCAGCTATGCTTGCAGAGACGATTTGCGCAACAATGTCCTTGTTGGTGAAACGGACAACGAAACGGTACTTGGGGGTGTTGTACTTGTTCTTGTCCTGGTTGATGAGACGGATTCTGGCTCTGTAGTCAGTCTTACCATCTAAATAAACAAAAAGGATACAACTTTCAGATTGGGTTTGACAAAAATGAACAGATAATATCAAAAAGAAATGAAAGTTGTTTCAAGAATCAATACCTCTTCTTCTCCTGAACTTGACTTGGTACCTCTTGAAGTAGGCATTCGACTTGGAAGGCTTCACAAACACCTGAACAATAGAAAAATCGTCTTGTTTCAGTAGTCTATACCAAAAACCCTAATTGTATCCTAAGATCTGACAACATAGCTGTTATTTCCATCAGAAGCAAAGATCTATGTGAAGTATCAATCTAAAATCATCAGTGACCTCTAAAACAGAGCAAAAACTAATCTTCTATGCACCAACGTTTAATTTGAAATGACAAAGCTCTATAATTTCTCTAATTCCAAAGCCCTTAGGAAATTCATTACCATAGCTCAGAGAAACAGGAACGAAACTAAGGAAAAGCTGGAGAAATAATGAGTTGAGATTCCTTCACGAAATGAAATGGAGAACAAAACCAGATTGTTTGGAGGAAAATCACGAAGAAAGCATTGCGGAATAAGAAGAAAGAGAGATCGAATGCTAAGGCTTACCATTGTTCGGATTCTGGAGCTAAGCGTAAGCGAAGCTTGGTGTGAGATATGAGTGAAGAGAAGACGAGAGGCGGACTGACCTAAATACTTCAACTTATAAGAAAAAATAAACCCTAGAAGACTCCGTTCTTGGGCTCTCTCAAACTCAACGCCACGACTTCTATGGGCTGAAAAATGGACTGGTCTTTTTTTGTTAAAGGCCCAATGGGCTTTCTATTTGGTTATTTATTTATTCCTTCAAATTCATGCCACTTCTGTTCAAGTTCGATAAGATTATACGGTACATGCATTTTTTAACTCTACTTTGTGATTTCGAGTAAACTTGTGACCACATAGGAACCTTAATGTATATATCATTTTTTTTTAACGAACGACTTTATTATTGATCAACCTGATACAAGCTATGACAAAGTCATACAGTTAATGTATATATCAGTATTCAGTACTATCACTCAAAACATATCTTGTGGAACAATACACATTTTCACAACCCATATATAGCATCTGTGTGAACGTTTTGGATTAGAGATCCTGTTTTCACTCTTTTAACTATATTAGTTACCAAGTTTTTTGCATTTGCTTCGACGTAAACCGGGATTACATAGATTCTGTTTAAGAACTACTTATTTTGTGAATGAGAATGTTTAGTTTTTTTCGCCAAATGAGGAGTAATCTCTATTTGGTGATGACAACAATCGTTTCAGTAACTGAGAACACTTTTTTTTTTCTGACAATTTGCTATTCCTTGGAGAATTTCACAGCCTCAATCACAGCAGAGAAGTCAAGATCTCCAAGTCCCAAGCTTCTTGCCTTCTTAAAAGCCTGTCGAAAAAACATCTTAAAGATTCATGCCAATCAAGAAGAAAACCACTCTGTTCTTGTCTATGAGAGTAACTAACCTCATTAGCAGCCGCAGCTACAGGCATGGAAACAGCGTTTTCATCGCCAAGCGCAAGAGCTAACCTCATGTCCTTCTGCTGATGTTTCAATGGGAACGCTGGTGGATAACTGCTCTTATTCATTGCAGGTCCTTTGCCTTTGAACATCGGGTTAGTCATCGCTCCAAGATCCTGCTCATAGCCACAAAACCGGATTTCAAAACTCTCAACCAAACAACATTAAACTCAAGAGCTTATAGATTCTGATAATAATAATAATAATCTCACCAGAATATCAAGAAGAGTGTCAGAGCTAAGTCCACTCTTGTCAGCCAATACAATCCCCTCAGAGAACGCATTCATCATACTGTTTCAGACCAAAAACAGCCTTGTAAACGAAGCAAGCTCTGTTCAACACTAGTCTTAGGTTGTTGAATAGTAAAGGAGACAAGACAAAATCACACCTTCCCATTATCATGTTCACTATAAGTTTCATCTTAGCTCCGTTTCCAACTTGTCCCAAGTAAAACGACTTCTTCCCTAAGACGTCAAAAGCTGGGACCGATTCCTCAAAGAGCGCCTAACACAAAAAGGATTACACACAGATGAATTAAAGCTACAGTGCCTACTAAGTCCAACTAGAAAAGTTCTTGAGTGATCAAGTACCTTGTCACCAGCAGCAAGGATGATAAGTTGGCCGTCTTCAGCCGGCTTTTTGCTACCGGAAACCGGACCTTCCACAAATCGTCCACCTTTCGCAGTGATTGCCTAAACAATATGCAAGAACACAGCTAAATCAAAACTAATCCATCTTTTCTTTTTTTTTTGTGTAATCATAAGTACAAAGGTTTATTGAACCTCATTGATCTTTAAAGAAGTCTCTGCATCAACTGTTGACATATCTATATAACCTTTTCCTTCACAGATTTCCTCCAAGACACCGTCTTTATCGAAAACAACCTAAATCAGAATCACAAGAACTGTAACTATTCTTGATCATCGTCAATGCTAACAAAGAAGCTGACAAATGGATTCAAATACCGAAAGAGCTGCAGAAGGATCAGAGAGCATAGCAATTGTGTATTTGCATTTCTTGATTACTGCAGCTGGGGTCTCACATACTGAAGCACCATGCTCCACCAGCTCATCACACTGTTCCATTACCAATACCACAAAATTAATCAGATTCTTCAAAAACTTAAGGACTAATCAGATCTGAACAGCTAAAAGCTAAATCAAACAAATCATTCTCATTCCATAAAACCCTTTTTTCAATTAGAGGTGAGAATCTAGAGAATCCAATAAAGGTTGTTGCTTTGCTAATGAGTATACTGAAAGACAATCAAAAACATAAACTTTTTAGTTTTACCTTGGAGAGTGTTCTGTTCCACACGGTTACTTTGAATCCATGCTTCAATAGATTCATTGACATGGCTTTTCCCATGATACCCAAACCCAGAAACCCTACCTCCATTTTTCTCTTTCTCTTTCTCTCTGTGATTATAGTGCGTAGTGATGGTCTGAGAATGACAAAAAGCTTTGTTTATCAGAGAGAAGATGATTTGATATAGACAAAGTTTCCATTATCGTCCGAAACATCCTTTAAAGTACAGTATTTACAATTTGTCCCTAAAGATTGATTCTTTTGCATCTCTGACTGACAGATGAGAACGAATGGGTTTTTGCCACGTGTACGAACTCCACTGTTGTGGGAATCTTATTTTCCGAAATCAGTGTTCAGTATCTGCTCCAGTTCCGACACGTGCGAAGTTCTCAGTCGAAGTTATTTGCAGAGGTCCATCCCCGAAACTAAAGAATGTTTTCCATTTTGTCTAATATTTCATGAAAGTTTCGATTTAGTCCATCCTTCTTCTGACCAATGGTAGCTTCAAAGAAGCGAAGAAAGGAAATCCGAAGAATCCTAATAAGAGATTATGTAGAAAAGATTTGAGTTTCAATAGCGGAATGGTGTGTTCCATTATGAACTTTGAAAATCGCAAATATAACTTTTCGAAGAATATATGGTTTTAGAAGAAGTGATTACCGTTGAGTGTCCTTTTCTTCTTCTCCTTTAGTTTCTAGTTGTTGTGGCTTTAGTTTAATTTGTTATTTCCCTTATATGGGCTTAATTTCTGGAGATCTCTTGATATTCGCCAGCTCAGATTGTATGGTTGGTGTGTAACACCTTGTATTTTCTTCATTCTAATCAAATTTTAGATGACAAAAAAAAATAATAAAAAAAAATAATAAATTATAAATTTTAGGAGTTTTGTAAAATGGAGACGCGAAAGGAAAAAACATTGAAGAAATGAGTTATTATTATAACTTTACAACCAACATCCATATATTATGTGAAAATGTTGCTTATCTCACATTGGTTCTCCATATTTACTTGATGCATATTATAATCACAAAATCTCATCACCACGACAGGACACTCATAGTTTTTAAGAGCATAGATTCCACGATGGCCATACGGTGGGAATACTTAGTAAGAAGGAACATTAGGTGAATCACTTCTGTGATAGCATTGTCATTGATGAGTTTTGGTATTCTATCATAGTTCTTGAAGTTCAACTTCATAAACTTTAACTAGTTATAAGGAATTTAGTGTTCTTTCATCTAATTCAAGATCATTGTTTCTAATGTATGTTTTTGAGCTGAGTTGCCCAATCAATTTATTTTAACCTCTATATAGGTATGTGGGGGCATAAGAACACCACAAGACGGTTAAACTCTTGGAAACATATCATTTTTAAAGAGTAAATTCATCAATGTTATTGATCAAATGGTTTTTTACCTTGGTTTAAGTGTTTTATACTCCCTCCGTTTCAAATTAGTTGTCGTTTTGGCAAAATGTATCTGCAAATTTTTTGACGTATCTGCAATGCAAAACATGTCCAGATACGTCCAAAAATTTGCAGATACATTTTGCCAAAACGACAACTAATTTGAAACGGAGGGAATACTAATTATATAAACATATTTCTGGTCATAGACGGATAGACCTAATCTTCTTGTTAAAATATTTTTTTAGAGTGTTAATAAAAGAATTAATAGAAGTATTTTGAAATAAAAATGATTGTTGAAAATTCTTTTCTTTGCTATTTAAATATGTTATATCCTTTCTGTGTGTGTGTGTGGTTGGAAACTTTTAGGCTCAGCGTTTTTAACATTTGTGTCTTGTCTTATTCCCTGTTCTTTTCCTTCGCTTTGCTCCACAAAAAAAAAACAGACCACTGGTTAGTTTGAGGCAGAAGATGGAGAGAAGAATCTGAGTGTAACTAATCTTGATACTGGTGAAGAAGATCAGTTACAGTTTCAGTGCTCTTCCTGAAGATGGCAGCAATAGCAGGAGGATCATTTGGAGTCCCCAGCTCACGTATCTCTATAACCACCCCAACTCTTCCTTCCTCTTCTCTGTTTCCAAGATTAACATTGGTCTGTAATGTCTTTTAGTTCCCATGGAATTTGTATCTCACTTGACTCTGAATGACACAGCATGATGATTGAGATTTTGTCTTTTTCGCCTTTGCAGCAATCAGGTAATAAAAAGGACAGCCAATTGCGTTGTGCCGTGCAAGAGACTTCCACTTCTGCTGGTAATTTAAAATTTTAACAGAATGTTTTGGTTGTTGGAATTATCGAAAACAGAGGAAGCTATAACATCCTTTGTTCTCTCATAGTTACTACTGAGAAGAAAGACAAAGAAAAAGAAGACTCAACAGTAGCGGCTCCGGCAAAGAAACTGAAACCCGCAGCTGCCAAAGCAGCAGTGGCCACGAAACCACTGAAACAGATGATGGAAGAAGACGTCATTCCTCCTTTAAAAGCCATTCTTGAAGCTCAAAATGATATCTCTGAGATAGATTTATCTTTCCAAGACGATAAGGTTTCTTGATTCTAATTAACTTCTAAAGATAAGCATCATCATTATTGAGTTATCTCTAACTTATACTTGTTTGATTCTAGCTGGAAGGCTTTTTCTTCAAGAAAGGTATTCAATATTCCTTCTGGGCCTTCTTCCCCACTGGAAATCTCATAGGTAATTAATTGTTTAGTCATTTGTTTTAGATACTTTGCTACAGAAAATTTCAATGGGACATTGTGTTTTTGTTTTTGTTTCTAAAAATAGGAGCAAAGGGGTTTTCAATTTCCTCATACGGGTCAGGTCCAAGCACAGTGGAGCCGTTTCTGGTCGATGAGAGGAAACCAACCGCTAACCACGTCGTCTTTTGGGTCGAGAAGCGCCTTGCCGCACAAGGGATCATTCCCGTTTGGAACGAATGATGTTAGGAATCTCACACATGGGATGTGAGATGAGACCTTGCATGATGATATATAAGAGACTTAGGCGCCAATCCACGTTCACGTGGTTTCTTATTCACTTGTTCATAGTAAAACTATTACATTTTGTATACCAAAATTAAAGAAAAACAAAATCTCCTTATCTCAATGAATTAACAAGCTAAAGTTGGCAAAACAAAATTCTATAAAACTAGAAAGATAGTCAGAAACAACTCTTCATTTATGCAAATCCGTTTTCAGTTGAGACTAATTCTCTTCCTTGCCTTCTCAGCCTGCAAATCATAGATTTTAATTACTACAAAGCATTAAAAAAAAAAAGACAAAATGTAGAAGAGTGTAACAAGCTTAAATGACTTAATCTTCTTATGTTCTTACCTGTTCCTTCCAATTTGTAGAAGCTGTGATGAAAGCAAGGATAATGGCTTGCACTACGGATCCAATAACAAGACCGCACCACAATCCTTTTCCGTAATACTCACGATTGAAACCTAAGTAAAATCCAACCGGAGCTCCTACTAGATAATAAGACATGACGACGATCCAAGCTCCAATGTTTTGCCAACCACTACCCCTAGCAACACCATTAAGAATTGCAGCAAATCCGTCGAGAATGAAAGATAGACAGAGCAAAGGATAGAGGTCGGCGACATAGTCAACAACTTCTTTGCTGTTGCTGAACGCGTAGCCTAAGATGTTCTTGCAGGTGAAGAGAAGTATGCTAAAGAAAGCTGACTCTACAAGCCAGAGACAAAGTCCTGACAATACTGATAGCCTAGCACCTTGAGGATTCCCAGCTCCCAAATTGTTTGAGACGCGTGTGCTGCAAGAAACCATTAATGACTTATGTCCAAGAAGTTGTTGAAGATGTTTTTGGTTTGAGAATTGAGATCATACCTCACAGCCGCCGCGACTCCTGCCGGAATCACGTAGTGCAAAGTTGCTGTTGTAAGACTAACATGAAAGAAAGAAAAAAAGGATTAAACTTCATCAATAATTTGAAAGAAGTCGTTCTATGAAATGATACTTACCATATTGAAAGAACAGAGGTCTCGAGTTTCGGCTTCGGGAGAAGTCCTGAGGAGAGTATGATTACCTCATATAGCCACCATTCTAGGCTATTAAAAGAAGATGAAAGTTTGAAAGATTGAGTTAAGAGGAAGCATTAATGTATGTATCTTGACAAACAAGAAACCTAAAATTGACTCTTACCAAGTCATTGCTGCTGATGGTATTCCGTAATGATAGAACTGTCTGACACTAGACACGAAATCATCAGATACAAAGCCGCGAGTCTTCTCGCAAGAGCTCGAGAATCTCACATAGCATATGAGCATCAGAGCGTTAAACCAGAACGACATACTAATAGCCATCGCAGCTCCATTGCTTCCAAGACCAAACACGGAAACTAAAGTCCAACAAGCCGGGATGTGGAACAAAAGAGTCGTCACGGCAGTGTATAACAGAGGAAGAACCAACCCTTGTGCCTGAAGAAACCGATTCAGTGGTATGGCAATCGCTTGAGCGAACAAAGCCGGTATGAGCCAAAAGGCATACGAGGCTGCGACTCCTGAGATGTCATGGTCTTGTCCGAGAAAGATGAAGAGCTTGTCTAGGTAAATCCAGATAACTGAGATAAGCAAACAAATTGGGATGTTGGAGGCGATTGCAGAGTATGCGAAGGTGCCGATCTTTTCATATTGTTTGGCTCCATAAGCTTGGCCACAAAGAGTTTCCAGAGCACCCACTAACCCAAACTGCAAAAAAAATTGAAGTATTTTTCTGTTGATATATCGTGAAATCAAGTTCTCATTATTTCTACACTTTTTTTGTTGTGGTAAAATCATAATTTCACACTTATGAGTCAAAACAATTCTTGAACTGAATAGGAGAGAGTGAAATCAAAATTACCATAATGCTGAAACCGGAGACGTTAGTGAAGGAGGTGGCAAGAGCAACGCCGGAGAGCTGGAGCTCGCCGTTGTGGCCGGCGACCATGACTGAGATGACAGGCAAAAGGTACTGAGAAATGGTGACGGTGGCCATAGGAGCAGCTAGGCGGCTCACTTTCTTCAGCTCGACGGTGAACTGACTTTTTTGCCATGTGGCTTTACCGGGGACTAGCTGCTCGTCTCTTAGTAGAAATGGTTCTTCCATTGTCGTATTTCTTGTCTTGAAGGCTTTCTTGCCTTTAATTTCAGATGATATGAGATCTTGAATGAAGGAGAGAAAAATTCTAATGTGGCTGAAAACTTTTCTCAGCGTAAATCGTGGGAGTATATAATATTAAATTAACACAACTTGCTCAAATAATAGAATATTATATATTATATTAACAAGACTTTGGTCTGACCGTATGACCGTATGCATGAAGTTGCTCTGACACAACTTCCATTTTCAAATTTCACAAGAATCCATGGTAATAAAAACCGTATTTCATAGAAGTTATAAAATACTGTATATATGGTAAAAATAATTTAAAATATTGGATATTGATCTTTTCACTATTTGATCAGGACAAATATTTTGTCTTTTACATCTTTATAACAAGTAATAAATATGAACTAATTGAGAAAATATTTAAACTATTCGAATATTTAACTATTGAAAATTTTCTTTTTACTATTTGATTAGTTATATCTTTTTACTATTTGATTGGTTAATTGACATTTATTTTGCTAGTTTTTTATTTTTATTTTTAAAATTTATGTATTGACAGATATCATTTGATCATTATTAAACACATGTCTCAATCTTCTGAGTTATAGAATTCTCACACATCTAACTTCAAATAATAAGATTTCTACAACTGAGGTTTACTTAGGACATGTAAATAATTTGTGACAGATGATATATGTGATGGACATTCATTAGATTCATAATACTCCTCTCTAAATGTCTATCACTTGTGCATTCCTTGCTATTTTATTATAAACTTTATCAAATAAAAACCTAGTTTCAAAATTTAGCAGTTTATGATCAACTATTACATTTGTATACAAAAACTGAAGAACAAATAATCTCCCTCTCCCTCTCCCTCTCAGAATGAGTTAATTAAGAAAGACCCTTCAGTTTCATGAAAGTTCATTTTCAGTTGAGTCTATTCTCTTCCTTGCCTTCTCAGCCTGCAATATCATAAATTCCAGTTACTTCAGAGTATATAAAAAAACAGAATGTAGTGTTTGTAGCAAATTAAAATGCATTTTATCTTCTACTCTAATCTCTAACCTGTTCTTTCCAATTAATGGTAGCTGTGACGATAGCAAGTACAGTGGCTTGCACTGTAGATCCAACCACAACACCGCACCAAAGTCCTTTTCCATTAAACCCACGACTGAAAGCTAAGTAAACTCCAACCGGAGCTCCTACTAGATAATAAGACACGACGTTGTTCCAAGCTCCAATATGTTGCCAACCACTACCCCTAGCAACACCGTTAAGAACTACAGTAAACCCGTCGAGGATGAAAGAGAGACAGAGCAAAGGATATATGTCCGCGACATAATCAACAACTTCTTTGCTGTTGCTGAATGCGTAGCCTATGATGTGCCTTGTGGCGAAGAGAATTATGCTAAAGAAAGATGACTCTAAAACCCACAGACAAAGCCCTGACAATACTGATGTCCTAGCTACTTGCGGATTCCCAGCTCCCAAATTGTTGGAGACGCGTGTGCTGCAAGAAACCGTTTAATCACTAAAATGTCGAGGAAGGAATTGTCGAAGATGTTTTGGTTTAAGAACTGAGATCATACCTCACAGCAGCCGCGACTCCAGCTGGAATCACGTAGTGCAAATTTGCTGTTGTAAGACTAGCATGAAAAAAAAAAGGATTAAACTATAAAAAGAAAAGGAAAGATAGAAACAAGTGTTTGTATATGAAATGAAACTTACCATATTGAAAGAACAGAGGTCTCGAGTTTGGGGTTCGGGAGAAGTCCTGAGGAGAGTATAAGTATCTCATATAGCCACCATTCTAGGCTATCAAAAGAAGATGAAAGTTTGCAGGATTGAGTTAAGAGGAAACACTACTCTATGTATCTTGACCGACAAGAAACTTAAAGTTAGCTCTTACCATGTCATTGCTGCTGATGGGATTCCGTAACGGAAGATTTGTTTGACACTGGACAAAAAATCATCGGATACAAAGCCTCGAGTCTTCTCGCAAGAGCTTGAGAATCTCACATAGCATGTGAGTATCACGGCGTAAAGACAGAAAGAAATACTAATAGCCAAAGCAGCTCCATTGCTTCCCAGACCAAACACATAAACCAAAGTCCAACAAACCGGAATGTGGAACAAAAGGATGGTCACAGCAGTGTAGAGCAGAGGAAGAACCAACCCTTGAGCTAGCAGAAACCGAGTTAATGGTATGACAATTGCATGGGCGAACAAAGCCGGTATGAGCCAAAAGGCGTAGGAGCCTGCGACTCTAGAGATGCCAGGGTCTTGTCCGAGAGAGATCAAGAGCTTGTCGATGTAAATCCAAAGAATTGATATGAGGAAACAAATTGGGATGTTGGAGGCGATTGCAGAGTATGTATAGGTTCCGATTTTTTCGTATTGTTTAGCTCCATAAGCTTGGCCACATAGAGTTTCTAGTGCACCAGCTAACCCATACTGAATAGAAAGAAAAAAAGTATTTTTCTGTTAGAATGTCTAGAAGACAATTCAAAATATATGAATATTTTGAGTTCACATTTTCAACACTTGAGAGTCAAAACAATTCTTGAACTGAATAGGAGAGAGTGATATCATAATTACCATAATGCTGAAACCGGAGACGTTAGTGAAGGAGGTGGCAAGAGCTACCCCCGAGAGCTGGAGCTCGCCGTTGTGGCCGGCGACCATGACTGAGATGACAGGCAAAAGGTACTGAGCAACGGTCACGGTAGCCATAGGAGCAGCTAAGCGGCTCACTTTCTTCAGTTCGGTTGTGAACTGACCTCTTTGCCATGTGGCTTTACCGGGGACTACCTCCTCGTTTCTAAGAAGAAATGGCTCTTCCATTGTCTTCTTCCTAGTCTTGAAGACTTTCTTGCCTTTGATTCAGATGATTAGAGATATTTATAGACAGACGAAACTACTGTATATGAAGACTTTTCTTTAAGTAAATCGTGTGTATTATTATATAATACTCCGAGAAACATAATTGCATGTTCAAAGTTTCTTGGAGTATTGCATTAACATTGTTGATATAATTAAACAAAAAGACATTTTAAAATTATCATGAGAATCATGATTTGAAACTTTCATATCTAAAAATATTTAGGCGCTAATCGAGTATTAGGGACAACCCAACTTGGTCTTTTAATTTGATTTTTAGATTGACAAAAAAAAAGGCAATTGCATGAAGAATGATAAAAGAAAAAAAAAAAAAAAAAAAACAAGATAATACACTTGGGGATCACGTTCCTTACCAACGTCTAAGTCACTAGACAACAAAGGCAACTCAGAAACAATTATCAGAGATCTTATCATTTTAATAAACAGTCACAAACGTGATGCGAAAGTAGGGAAGCAAATTCGTTTTGACTTGTTTGAAAGTATGAATACTACTGGTCGGAAAATCCAATATTTGTATCTTATAACATTGTATATACGATACTGAAAATGACATAACATTAATTTATTATCTTCTACTAGTACCGTTGATTTATATATTTTTAATGATTTACAGCAAGAACATATATGTCAAGACTAATATGAACTCTCAAGTGGAAAGTAATTATGTTTTGTACCACAAGAAATTTGAACATGCATTCTTGTATTCAATGTTTTGTGGATTTTAAAGTGTATATTTTATTAAGAGAAAAAATACTTAATAATATCCCATTTTAACAAAGAATAGGCAAGACAAGCCATCATTCAAGCTGATCAAGAGGGGACAAAAGATGAGCAATCTGAGCTAGAGCTTCATAATGGACCGTCTAATAAGATAAAGAAGCTCATTACAAGTGTGGACCAAAACATCAATAGAGAAACAAGACCCAACAAATGGGCCAAGCTAAAGATGCAAGACTTCTTGCCCTTACTTATATGTCAAGCCCAAGCCAGTGTGCTCATCATTTCGTGTGATGACCATGTCAATTAAAGAGTCGAGAGTCTCGGTCAAGATTAACTCAAGAAAAATTTCCTTTCTCTTACACAAGACGGCACCAAGGTAAGTAACGTAAGCCATTTGTATTCCACTTTTTTTAAAATGTGAAATTGACTAATCCATTGAATTTCTTTCTAATGATTCCGTTAAGTTTTTTTTTTTTTGGTAGTGCGATTCCGTTAAGTTTATTAGCATATACAGATAGACTCGGAGCCGTCCATGTAGTTTGTAGGCCACAAACAAAAAACCCTATTATGTACTTAGAGGAGACCTTTGATAAGGAAGCAAATCACTAAGCTAATAAAGGATTTCGTTAAATTGAGGGCCGATAATTTATATATTTATAATTGGGCTGCAAGCAGCTGCTTGCTCTTCTTGCTCCTAGGGCCGGCTCTGGATAGACTTGATTATCACATTCATTTACTTCTACTTTGAACTTTTGTAATCTTTTGATTTATTTTGAAGTTGTTGACCCATTATATAAGGTTCTTTTGCAGCCTTGTAATTTTTCACCTTTTGATATTAATAAAATCTAAATCTTCTTCAACTTAAGTTATATGAGAAAAAACTTGTTCTTTCTCTAAGCTTGACTTGAGAAGTCATGTTTAAGATCTTTATTTCGTAAACTAAGAAGAAATACATTTGTATACCAACTCTGAAGAATAACATAATTCTCTCCCTCTAACCCTTCATTTATGCCAATCCATTTTCAGTTGAGACTATTCTCTTCCTTGCCTTGTCAGCCTGAAATTAATAGACTCCAATTACTTGAGCATACAAAAAGAAAATGTAAAGTTTGTAACAAATTCAAATGGCTTATCAACTACTCTAAGTTCGCTAACCTGTTCCTTCCAATTAATGGATGCTGTGACGATAGCAAGTACAGTGGCTTGCACTGTGGATCCAACCACAACACCACACCAAAGTCCTTTTCCGTTAAACCCACGACTGAAAGCTAAGTAAACTCCAACCGGAGCTCCTACTAGATAATAAGACACCATGTTGTTCCAAGCTCCAATACGTTGCAACCCACTTCCCCTAGCGACACCGTTAAGAACTACATTAAACCCGTCGAGGATGAAAGAGAGACAGAGCAAAGGATATAAGTCGGCGACATAGTCAACAACTTCTTTGCTGTTGCTGAATGCGTAGCCTATAATGTGCCTGGTGGTGAAGAGAAGTATGCTAAAGAAAGCTGACTCTAAAAACCAGAGAAAAAGCCCTGAAAATACTGATACCCTAGCAACTTGTGGATTCCCAGCTCCCAAATTGTTTGACACACGTGTGCTGCAAGAAACCATTTAATCACTACATGTTGAGGAAGGAATTGTTGAAGATGTTTTTATTTAAGAATTGAGATCATACCTCACAGCCGCCCCGACTCCAGCTGGAATCACGTAGTGAAAATTTACTATTGTAAAACTAGCATGAAAGAAAAACAAAAAGATTAAACTTTACTAGGAAAGTGTATTTAATCGGTTTACTATCTAGATTTGTTTGTCGATTTTAGGTCAGAAACGGTTGAAAACGACATTTGGGGAGATTGAGGTTTTTAACATTCCATTTGGAGATACGCAGGTTTCAAACTTTTCTTGGGAGACATTTAGCATGAAACTTTAGTGTGGATCGCATATGGTGTTATACAATACTGGAAAAATAGATTGTCTGTCCTTAGCGTGAAAAAAAAAAAAAAAGGTAGAAATTAAAAGAAGTCTGTCTATATGGTACTTACATAACTGAAAGAACAGAGGTCTCGAGTTTCGGGTTCGGGAGAAGTCCCGAGGTGAGTATGACTAACTCATATAGCCACCATTCTAGGCTATCAAAAGAAATGAAAATTTGCAAGATTGAGTTCAGAGGAAGCATTTTTGTATGTACCTTGACTGACAAGAAACCTAAAATTGACTTACCATGTCATTGCTGCTGATGGGATTCCATAACGGAAGATTTGTTTGACACTGGACCAAAAATCATCGGATACAAAGCCTCGAGTCTTCTCGCAAGAGCTGGAGAATCTCACATAGCATGAGAGTATCACAGCGTAAAGACAGAAAGACATACTAATAGCCAAAGCAGCTCCATTGCTTCCAAGACCAAACAAATAAACCAAAGTCCAACAAACCGGAATGTGGAACGAAAGGATGGTCACAGCAGTGTAGAGCAAAGGAAGAACCAACCCCTGTGCTAGCAGAAACCGAGTCAATGGTATGACAGCCGCTTGGCCAAACAAAGCCGGTATGAGCCAAAAGGCGTAGGAGCCTGCGACTCTGGAGATGTCAGGGTCTTGTCCGAGAGATATCAAGAGGTTCTCGATGTAAATCCAAAGAATTGATATGAGGAAACAAATTGGGATGTTGGAGGCGATTGCAGAGTATGTGTAGGTTCCGATTTTTTCGTATTGTTTGGCTCCATTAGCTTGGCCACATAGAGTTTCTAGTGCACCAGCTAACCCAGACTGCAAAAACTTGTATTAGAATAATATCTTGAATAATATTTAAAAGGGGCTGACAATCTATTTCCTCACCAGAACTATCAGGTAGTAGTACCATATCAAAATAATGTTAAGTCCTTGATCTATTGCTTTATCTAAAAAAGTTTTAAACCTATTTCCCCACAACTTGATTGAAGTGTAATCAAGATTTGAGGTTCAGTTTGATTCTTGATTTGAAAAGAAGAAAGTCATAGCATAGTTACCATAATGCTGAAACCAGTGACGCTTGTCAAGGAGTTGGCAAGAGCGACGCCTGACAGCTGGAGCTCGCTTACGTGGCCAGCGATCATAACTGAGATGACAGACAATAGGAACTGAGCAATGGTCACGGTGGCCATAGGAGCGGCTAAGAGGCTCAATTTCTTCAGCTCGTGGGTGAGCTGGCCTCTTTGCCATGTAGCTTTACCGGGGGCTAACTGCTCGTCTCTCGTAAGAAATGGCTCTTCCATTGTCTTCCTCCTAGTGGTGAAGGCCTTCTAGCCTATTTCAGATTATATATAGACAGACGAAACCAATGTCAATAAAAAAAGTGTAATAAATGGTGGATTGGTGGGAATATTAATTGAATGAAGACGACTTTGCACGACCATCAGTAAAAGCATTTGAAGAAAACAAACAAGTAAATCGGGGAGATAATTTGCTGATGTATTAGGTGATAATTTGGAAGAAGATTTTATAATTTAGTATGAAATATCTTAATTAATCATCATAATCTGAGCAGATATAGTTTTTTTAATATATAATTGGGTGTGATCCGAAGTTCATGCTCGCACTTCTTCAACAGCTATTGCCAAGTCAACTTATGTTGGTGGGGTAGATCTATGGTGGGGGTCCGATACAATTCAATTCAAAACACCCGTGTAACTTTCTATACCACTAACCGAGTTTTATAATAAATACAAAATAAATGATACAATTTTGACGGACTAAATGAGAATGGTTAGATAATTTCACAGAATTAATCTATGACATACATAACATCTCCACAACAAATGTGAGACAAGCCATCAGTCAAGGTGATCAAGAGAAGAACAAAGATAAGCATTCTGAGGTAGAGCTTCAAGAAAAGTGAGCTCATTACTTACAAATGTGGACCAGAACAACAATGGAGCGACAACCCAACTAATTCCCCAAGTTTAAAGATGCAATACTTCTGGCCCTTACTTACATGTCAAACCCAAGCCAATGTGCTCATCATTTCGTGTGATGACCAAGTCACTTAAATATGATCTTGACTAATCCCTTGATTTTCTCTCTTATGATTCCGTTAAGTTTATTAGCATATACATTTGATAGACTTGATTTTCGCATTTCACTTACATTTATCTTGAGATTTTGTAATCTTTTTTATTTCTTTTGTTCGTAGTTGTTGAACCATTATATAACGTTCCTTTGCAGCCTTGTAATTTTTCAACTTTTGATATTAATAAAATCTTATATTTTTTCAACTTAAGGTTTTTGAGCAAAACTTGTTCTTTCTCTAAGCTTAGTAGAGACTAGCACCTCATTGGCTTTTAGATATCATGTTTGAAAACTTGATTTCGAAAACTAAGAAGAGATCACAATTACTTTTTTTACATATATCAATTTAAAATGAACAATTACATTTGTATACAAAAACTGAAGATGAACATAATTCTCTCCTTAAAATGGACTAATTAAGAAACACCCTTCGTTTATGCCAATCCATTTTCAGTTGAGACTATTCTTTTCCTCGCCTTCCCAGCCTGAAATTCATAGATTCAAATTACTTAAATACAAGAAAATAGAACGTAGAAATTGTAACAAATTAAAATGGCTTATATATATATACTACTCTAAGTTCTAATTACCTGTTCCTTCCAATTCATGGAAGCTGTGACGATAGCCAGTATAGTGCCTTGCACAGCGGATCCAACCACAACACCACACCAAAGTCCTTTTCCATTCAACCCAAGACCAAAAGCTAAGTAAATTCCAACCGGACCTCCTACCAGATAATAAGCCACTACATTTGCCCAAGCTCCAATATGTTGCCACCCACTTCCCCTTGCAACACCATTAAGAACTGCTGTCAATCCGTCGAGGACGAAAGAGAGACAGAGCAACGGAGATAGGTCTGCGACATAGTCAACAACTTCTTTGCTGTTGCTGAATGCGTAGCCTACAAAATTCTTGCAGGTAAAGAGAACTGTGCTCAAGATAGCTGACTCTACCAGCCAAATACAAAGCCCTGCCAATACCGAAACCCTAGCAACTTGAGGATCCCCAGCTCCCAATTTGTTTGACACGCGTGTGCTGCAAGAAAACGACTAATTGAGAAACTAATTGATGAACTGAACATGTTGTTGTTTGAGAATCGAGATCTTACCTTACAGCCGCGGAGACTCCAGCTGGAATCACATAGTGCAAAGCTGCTGTTGTAAGACTGACAAGAAAGATATAGTACTAATAATAGTTTGTCAACAAAGAGGAAACAAAAGGTAAAAGGATGTCTATATGCACGATACTTACCATATTGAAAGCACAGAGGTCTCCAGTTTTGGGTTAGGGAGGAGACCTGAGCAGAGTATGAGTAGCTCAAATAGCCACCATTCTAGGCTATGAAAAGAAGACAAAAACAAAAATGCAAACTTGATAAGAGGTCTGAATTAAGAAAAAAAACTCTCTTTTTAGAATTGTAGTAAAAAACGTATTAATTTATATCTTAAAAATAAGTGGTTTAAAAAAATTTAAATTAAAATAGTGGTCCGAATCTTTTGCTTTATCCGCTTGTTCTTTAGACAGATGTGCAGATAACTTGACTAACAAGAAATTCAAAGTTGACTTACCAAGTCATTGCTGCTGACGGGATTCCAAAGTGAAAGAACTGTTTGACACAAGAAACAAAATCATCGGATACAAAGCCACGAGTTTTCTCGCAAGAACTAGAGAATCTCACATAGCATATGAGTATGACAGCGTTAAACCAATAAGATACACTGATAGCCAAAGCAGCTCCATTGCTTCCCAGACCAAACACGGAAACGAAAATCCAGCAAACCGGGACGTGGAACAAAAGGGTGGTCACGGAAGTGTAGAGCAGAGGAAGAACCAACCCTTGTGTTTGCAGAAACCTAGTAAATGGTGTGACAACCGCTTGGGCGAACAAAGCTGGTATGAGCCAAAAGGCGTAGGATCCTGCGACTCTGGAGATGTCAGGGTCTTGTCCGAGAGATACCAAGAGGTTCTCGATGTAAATCCAAAGAATTGATATGAGGAAAGAAATTGGGATGTTGGAGGCGATTGCAGAGTATGTGTAGGTTCCAATTTTTTCGTATTGTTTGGCTCCATAAGCTTGGCCACATAGAGTTTCTAGTGCACCAACTAACCCATACTGCAAAATATTTGAAGTATTTTTCTGTTTTCAATATCTCAAAAAAAAAAACAAATTCAATAAAGGTTTTAAACCTATTTCCTCACAACTTGATTGAAGTGTAATTAAAATTTGAGGTTCAGTTTGATTCTTGATTTGAAAAGAAGAAAGTCATAGCATAGTTACCATAATGCTAAAACCGGTGACGTTTGTGAAGGAGGTGGCAAGAGCGACGCCCGAAAGCTGGAGCTCGCTTACGTGGCCAGCGACCATAACTGAGATGATTGGCAATAGGAACTGAGCAATGGTCACGGTGGCCATAGGAGCGGCTAAGAGGCTCACTTTCTTCAGCTCGACGATGAGCTGGCCTCTTTGCCATGTGGCTTTACCGGGGACCAACTGCTCGTCTCTCGTAAGAAATGGCTCTTCCATTGTCGTCTTCCTAGTGGTGAAGGCCTTCTAGCCTTTGATTTCAGATGATATATAGACAGACGAAAATAATGTCAATGAAGACTTTTTCTTGGTGTAAATAGTGGGAATAAAAATTGAATGAATACGACCAGTAAAAGCATTTTAAATTCCACGTGAATCTTACTTTGAGCTTTCATATCATGATGATATAATAAAACAAACAAGTATATCGAGGAGCGAATTTTAATAAGAATTTTCTGATGTATTTTTTTAGGTGAGAATTTTGAAGAAGATTATATAATTTATTATTAAATATTTTAATTATTCATCATAATCTTTACCACTATATCTGTGAAGATACAGTTTTCTTTTTTATATATAGTTCTACTATACCAAACTTTTATCACCCCAACTAATTTCTTCAAAATAAGTATAGTTTGGTCTGTCGCCGCTTACCGAATTTTCTAATGAATCTAAAAATGATACAATTTTGACGGACTAAATGAGAATGATTAGAATCAATCTACATATGACTTGTACATAACATCTCCACAACAAACGTGAGCTAGCTACTAGTGGACTACCATTTAGTTATATCCGAGCAGATAAATTTTACTCGGAATATGTTACCATTAAGAAACAACAAATTTTCAAACATGATAATAAACTTGGGAGTCACGTTCCTCAACAACGGCAAAGGCAACTCGGAAGACAGCAACTCAGTCACAAACTGTTAACAGGTGGACAAGACAGTATCAAATTCGTTTTGACTTGTTTAAAAATATGGATCCTAGTGGCCGGAAAATCCAATATATAGTTATAACATATACTATACATTGAAAATGACATAACATCAATGATTCATGTGGTACTAATAATATTCCTTCTGTTTATAATTAGTCATCGTTTTGAAAAAATGTGTATTTAACTTTTTAAATGTATCTGAATATTTTTTGAGTTTAATACATCCAAATAATTATATATACATTTTTTTCAAAACGACCACTTATTTGAAACAAAGGAAATAATACATTAGTGATTTATGTTGTACTAAAATAAGAATCTTCTATTAGTATGGTTCATTTATATATCTTATTGATCTACATCAAATACATATGTGAAGACTACTAATAGGAATTCTCAAGTAAAAAGTTACTGTGTTTTGTTCCACAAGAAAGTTTGAACATTAGATCTTGTTCAAGTATACGCTGTATATGTGGAATTTAAAGTTTATATATTCTTGAAGTTTAATAGATAATTTATGTCCCTTCTGAAAATGGGCCTATCTTCTCAGAATGTGTATATTTGTTTTGCTAAAAAGAAGAAGAGAAAGTGTCCTTATGCTATACATGGAGATTGGCCTGGTAATATTATAAGTTTTCTGTACGTACATAATATAACTTATAATATTATCTCAACTAGCTGAAAGTGCAGATAATGGAATCGAGTATTTGGAGTTCGAACATACCAAAATTGACACTAGTATCAATGTTCGAGAGGTCAAACTAAAATTTGGTTTCGGTTTGTTTTTTGTTTTTTTTTTTTTTTTTTGTCTAGTGTAAACTACTTCAATTTTTTCTGGCTCTCTAGTACAATCATATTATATTCTACATAATATACCACAACAGTACCAAACACTTTTCAGTTTGTAAGGTTAATGACTTACACACCAAAACCTAAAGCCTCCAGTACTTCAACTGGATCAAGCTCAAAATCCATTTCCTCAACTTTACCCCAATCGATATATCTATCCACTGGATCTACGTCATCTCCTGTGACAGAAGGCGATAAGTTGGTTTCATGAGAAGTGGTTTCTCGGCTAGTGCTTGAGTTTTGTAATGCATCCAGCTGAGCTTGTACCACTTCAAGACTATTGTATGGAGGATATGAATTGCACTTATAATCCGGAAAAGGAACAGTGATGTTTGAAATACCCTGAAAAACTAAATAATCACTAAAAATATTTTTGAACCAATATATATGTAATGTGTTGAGTAAGTATCATTACTTGATGAAGAGAATCAGTTGTCGATGGTACCACCATATTAGGTATGAAAGTTGGATTGTGAAATGAGTCGTGAATGAGACAATCATTGTTGAGCTGAAGTTGTTGTTGAGTTGTGGTAGTGGATGAGCCAGGCGCCGATTGTTGTTCAATAGTCATATATGGAGCGATAAAACCTTGAACCATATTGCAGTTGTTATTGTCGTTAATTTGTAGCACTCCTTGAGTTGAATGCATCGGTGAAGTATACACATGTTGCGGCTCGTACATGGAACATGTATTACTTGTCCGCTCAGTAAAACCACGCAGGGATAGAGAAGCCATATTGTTGCTACAAAATTCTTCAACGGAATTGGTAGTTTGTGGAGTGATAGTAGTTGTCGACGGTGTTAACCACTGCTCTATCTTTTGAGGTGGTGATTGCTGAGTTATATCGGTTCTTGTCGAAATATAGCTGTTTTGTTGACTAGGTATAGGTGGAGTCATACTTGCCTTTAGATAATGTGCCTCCAACATGTTACGTTGATGTTCTATTGCAAGAGCCATTTGCATTCTTCTTTCTGCCTCACGACATCTTTTTAAATGTAAATCTTGCTACAAAGAATTTAAAAAAAAAAAAAAAAAAAAAACTTATCACAAACACGCATATGTATTTTAATTAATGCGGAAAAAAACTCTAATGAATTTACCTCGATTAGCATATAAAGTGATCCTGGGACTACTTTTTCCTTCTTTGGTTTAGGTCTTCTACTCAATTTTATACCAACATGTTCAAAGCTCTCGTAAGTAATAAACATAATTTGTTATAGAATGAATAAAGGGAAACTTGTGCTAATATTGTAAGTCCAAAAAATATTTCTTACATGTTTACTAGTGGACGAGGTGGATTTGATGAAGCATATGTCTTCCTAATGCTTCGAGTAGTTCTGTAACCTTTAGAAACAAAATGGAATAAAAGATATTTAGTTTTGGTTGTGTATACATTTTGAGAAAAGCATAATTTTCAAGATTGATTAATAAAATAAATATTTAATATTCAGTATAAAGCAACAAAATACTCAGTAAAATCCCAATATTCATCTCTTGTTTTTGTCATGTAAATTAAAACCTAAGTTTTTCTTAATATCTTATGAATAGATCATAAATTTTTACACAGATCAACAAATATCAACTTAGTTTAGAAGTTATTAAGATATGGTTTTTATGTCACTGTTTTATGATAATTTCGAAATAAAAGTAGTTGTAGAAGAAGAAAAATATTTAGTCTGTTTTATATTTGAAATACTAGTCTCTTTTTATACTTCTTTTATCTAAACAATACATAAATCAAAATTTTCAAGAAAGAATGGTACCAAAGGAAATTTAGGAAAACATAGATGACGAAAAATTAAGGGATTTAAGCTCGTACGTTTATTATGTGGATCGTTTGCATCCAGTATGTTACAATTTCCAAGTCTGAACTTCTGGAAATAGAAGATGTTTTTAGAGTTAAAATAAGATATAAAAACTCAAAACTTAATTTTGATTCATATGAAGAAGATAGGAAAATGAATTACCTGAAGATGACTCTTCACATGGTGAAGTGCAATTCCTTCAATTTCCATCATCTCTTTAACATTTTTTGGTGTTGCCTCTGCAGAAACAGGAATAGATGTGATCACGTACTACTGTACTAGTATATAAACCTAGTCATCTCACCAACAATGCCACAAATGTTTTTAGATGTTTTAGCCCTCTATAGTATGTAAGTTTGACGATTCATGGACTCGTAAGTGAGATGCATTGAATAATGATGATATACATGTTTCAAAAATATTTTGTGTAACCGAAAATAGGGTTTTGACAATATATAATAGATCTTTCAAGAAATTCAAATGCATTGACGCGTGCTCAAAATCTAACGGTAAGTTTTCATAAATCGATATCAGTTTTAAAAACGACAAAACATCGGTCGCAGACCGAAACATCCAAGACAAATTTATTTGAATTCGTTAAAAGTTACTCTAGCCCAAAAAAAATGCTGGATAATAAGAAACATTCCAAGTTTGTCGCTACAACAAAGTATATGTAAGAATGTGAGAACAAGCTTCTTGTGAGTATATGAACAAGAAGCAAAATGTACAAATGCTTTGATTTGTGAAATAGTTAAATGATGCATATATCTTTTGAAAAACATATGAAACATGCATATCTGACTTTTTTGCTAATGATTGTTAAACAATTATCTGCGGTCTATATAAAGCTTAAGATAAACAAAGACCATACATAAGTATCATATATCTACAATTGGTATGCAAGTCATAAATGAACCAAATCAGATATGTATCTTGAAACCCTTTCATACTTAATTAATTTGATATTATCTAGAAAAACAGAAAACAGTTGTAGCTTCAATCAGTTTTTATTTTTCCACCAATTTCATCCTAGATTAACTACATGCATGTTACTTAAAGAAATCTTTAAATCCAAAGAGATCATAAAAACCATGAAATGAAAATATTAATGAAAGATGTCTATAACATGCAAAGTCATAATAGATCGATAAAATGAAAAATGCAAGTGAAGAAATGAAGAACTCAAGAGATACAATTAGTTAAAGGTAAGAATTTATGTTACTAACTGTCAGGTCCACCGAGTTTCTCTATGGCTTTGATAAAGCAATCGTGAAGGTCGCTTGACCACCTCAGTCGCACCTTATCATCCGACGTATAGTAAAGGCAAGGCGTGATCTTTGAAGATGAATCCTTTTTTTCTGGAATACCAACTTTCTCAGCATTATCTTTCTTAGATTGTTCTAGTTCTTGATTTTCTCTGTATGTGTCTTTCTTAGCTTCGAGGAGAGCCGCGATTCCTTGCTCACTGAAATACAAGGAGACTTCTTCTGTTTGAGAGTGATCGGGATGATGAAGCGAATCGCTAGGATTTTCTTCGAAAGTGACAATTTCTTTTCCTTTATCTTTCTTCTTTAGCTCTTGGAAACTCATCTCAAACTGTTTCAGCAATTTCTTCTTTTTTTTTGGTTTGATTTATTTTCAAGTCACAGTGGTTAAAAGCATTATAGGAAAGAAAAGAAATGGAAGTCTAACTTTACCTTGATTTACAGAAGAAACAAAACATGAAAAAAGCTAAAAACTTTTTAGATTTTTTTATATTTTAAATAACACTATTTAAGGTTCAGTGAACAGTAACTCCTAATTAAGGTAACAAAATTGTGTGACCTTTAAGAAAATGAATGGCTTGTCATTTTTGATATCGCACAAAAATAAAGTTATCGAATTGTGCCCTACAATAAGATTAAAAAATTGGGACCCAATGTAGATACATAGCCATTAATTTCAGAGAATGACAAAAATGTTTTAAATTAAAAGTTATAAGAAGCCAAGAGATATTCGCAACGGCTGTTTCATAACTTACTTTCTTTTAAGAATACTAAATTTGGCGATTTTTTAATCTGTCTAAAAATATTAGGAGAAAACACCGAGGTAATATGTCACACTAAATCACATACATTATATAATAACTAGTAATTGAACTCTTCTGAATATCGTTTCTTTACTTTTCCATGTGTCCATGTAACCATAATTTTAGTTGTTCACATATCTAAATTGTACAGTGCTTTCAATGCATAAAATCAAAATTGAATGAAGACTATAAAAAAGACCAACACAAATTTTGTTGATCAAGTTACCGTGCTCTTTATTTGTAACCATGATTGACCAAAGCCAAAACCCAAAAGCCAATTGGCCGAATATGCTGACTTCGGTTTATCAAACGCTTAGTGTAATTGGAGTTGGAGCCATTTCATCACGTTGAAGACGCGATGCATGTTTTAGGGGGAGGTATTGGTACGTCCAGTAAGATAAATCACACATGTGTGAGAAAAATAAGAAAAACGGTAACAGCTAGCACAGTACTAGTAACTTTTTTTTCCCACTTTTATGCAATTTTTTTCTTCTAATTTTATGCATTTCTATATTAACATTTCCGTTCTTATACAAAATAAAAAATGATATGACCCAACTTGAGATTTTTAAGATCATAAACAAAACAAAAATTGTCAAACGTTTCATCTTTTAATATAAGATACGAAATTGTGTATATTGAAAGGCCTTTTAGCACACACACAATTACATCTAGTTTAAGTTAAAGTCATATGCCTTTTTCTTTTCTTACACGTTTTAGAGTTTTAAATTTATGATAAAGTAATCATTTTTTAATAAAAGATAATGGAACTAATAATATATTATTATGCACTCAATAAAAACCAAAAAGAAACAACAGTTACGAACACACTTTCTGTCAAAAGATCTTGAACAAATGTTATCTCAAATTATCAACACGTGGTTAAGTTCGAAAAAGTAAAGTAAACAACCACGAAAAGAAAATAGCTTAAATCCAAAAATAAAAACAGACATATGAGTAATCAAAAATTTCAGTCAACAGATAAAAATCATACAAAAAGTTATTAATTATGAAGTCAGTCGGTGAAAAAGAAATCAATTATGAGTTTTAGTTTAAGAATTCAATAATTTAGTATCATTTGCTAAATGCTAATAGCAAGTTACATTTGTATCAACAAAATAGTTGTGTTTATCGCTTACCTAACAAACTCTTACATTCTTAAATTTGTATAAATTTTGTTGATAAAAATTTTAAGTTGCAACTACAAAATCTAAAGGAAATTTGTAAACAACATTGTAAGCTTACCACAGCCTTTAAAATTTCTAGTCCACTTAAATTTCAGTTTTATCTTGACTTATTGATGATTGTTCTTGCTTGTGCAGATCGGTGAACACAAGTTCTCATGCCGCAAAACATTTATATTGTTCATAGTTTTATTCTATTGAGGGAAGGTTGTGCTTTTTATCTTCTTGGATTAAAAATATGTGAGCCTTGAGATGAAAATTGATACAAATATATCTCAAATCTGTAATGAGCTTGCAAAAATCTAAAAATCAAAGTATAGATTTTTATTTTAAGGAAGAAGCAAGGAATAACATTGGCTCAGACCTAGGTTTACATTCACAGTGAAGCAACAAGAGGTTCAAAAACCATGATTTATAAGACAGTACAAAAAGGACTCTCTTTAGATTATGGTTCCACTAGGAATCAAAGCATCCTTGATCACTGTAACAATGCCACTCTTGATAAAGTATCCATCCGTTTCCCTCGCAGCTTCTTGCACGTTGTCCGTGTTGATGATCTGAACAAAACCCATAGAGCAAAAAGATATGCTAAAAAGAGTTAGTCGTCAGAAACAAGAAGAAAACAGAGTAACTATAACATTGTACTAAAACAAAAACAAAACAATGACCTTAACATTGTCCCCAATACGTGCATTCTTGTCAATGATTGCTCTTTTTATATGCGAGTCTCGGCCAATACCAATCGGAATGCTTCCCTTTGCAGCTAGGAGTGTCCTATCAGCATCAGTCTGAAACCCATCGGAAAAGAACGTAAACAAAAGCGTTCAGATTCAGTGAAAATGATATGAAGCTGTAACATTACCTCGTAGTAATCTGCACCCATCAACAAGGTGTCCTCTATGATTGCACCTTCCGATATGCAAGAACGAAGACCAATCACCGAATGGTGGATCTTGCAGTTCTTGATTCAACAAAACAAGAAACCGCAAAGTAAAGTAATTAGTCCATTGCATTTGACTCAACCTCAAAACTCTGAAAGGAGTAGAGACTTTCTTTTTTTCTTTACCTTGATAACACAACCTTCACCGATCACACTATCTGTAACGTCAGCATCAAGCATCTTCGATGGAGGTAAGTACCTAGGCTGTGTGTAGATTGGTGCTGAACGATCATAAAAGCTGCAAGAACACACAACCAAAGATCCCTCATGTTTCTACCTCACAAAAACCCCCAAAGATCAATCATTACCTGAAATCCGGAACAGGTTTCTTGGTGATTCCAAGATTGGCATTGTAAAACGCCTCAATGGTACCAATATCTTCCCAATACCCATCGTAAAGATAAGCTTGCACCTGAATTAAAAAAGATTTTAGTCAGAAAACTTTACAACACTAAAACCATTTCCATATCAATGAAGAGTTTCCAACACTTTACTCTCAGTCCAAGCGCGGTGGCACCGGGGATAACTTCACTCCCGAAGTCATTAGCTCCGGGAAACTTCTCCCTGAGCAAGTCCAACATGACATTCTTGCTAACAACGTATATTCCCATACTAGCAATAAAAGGCATCTCTTTTGCTCTCTCATCATCAAGCCCTAAGATCGTTGTATCAACCTAATTACCAAAAACAAGACTTGTCACTAACATTGTCATCATTATTCATGACTCATGATAAAGCAAAGAAACTCCATAAGACTTTAACCTTCATAGCTTTCAACTGCTCTCCTTTCGGCTTCTCAGCGAACTCAATAATCCGTCCTTCGTCGTCGATCTTCATCAATCCGAAAGCCGTAGCTCGTTTCTCATCCATGGGAAGAGCAGCGACAGTGATGTCAGCGTCGGTTTCTCGATGCGCTTGAATGAACTTCTCGTAATCCATACGGTACAAATGATCTCCAGCAAGCACCAAGAACTCCAACACATTGTGCTCTTCAAATAACCACAAGTATTGCCTCACTGCATCAGCAGTTCCCTGAGAGCAAAAAAAAAAAAAAAAAAAAAAAAACAGAACACAACTCAATCACTATCTCTCTGTCTGAAATCTCAAATCAAAAGCAAAAATAAAAGTCTTCTTGATGATACCTGAAACCAGTTCGGATTCTCTGGGCTTTGTTGAGCAGCAAGAACCTCAACGAAGCCTTCGTTCTTGTAACCACCCATGTTACTAGCATAAGCTCGTGAGAGATGTCGATTCAGAGAGGCGGAGTTGAATTGAGTGAGGACATAGATCTTATTGATGTTACTGTTCAAACAATTGCTCACTGGAATGTCTATTAGTCGATAATTGGCTCCAAGAGGAACAGCTGGTTTCGCTCTCTTCTTCGTCAGAGGGTATAATCTTGTTCCGGCTCCTCCTCCAAGAATTATCCCCAACACACTCTGCCATTGAAAAGGAAAAATCATCAAAAATCGGATCTTTTCATGAAAAAAAAGAATCGAAGTTCAAAATCACACTTACTCTGCTAGCATCAGGATCAAGACAGGTTTGTGAGTTCTGCGAATCTGAAACTGCTTTTGGTGATACAATTGATGGTGTTCTTCTGGTATTTGAGTCATTAGTGGTACGACGGACATTGGAGATGATCTCTTGCGTGGAATTAACTTTCTCCCCTGTGAGAGAAGAAGACGAGAAAGAGAGAGTCTTTCTAAGAGATGCTCTACGGTTGAGATTCGAAGAAGAAGAGGAGGAGGAGGAAGAAGAAGAAGAGGAGGAGGATGAAGGAACTTTTAACGCTCCAAATGCTGCCATTGTGGCCATTGTTACAAGAAAATGCTTTCTTCTTCACTCTCTGCTTCTGTCACTATAATTGAGGAGGAGATCTTTTATTTTTTGGTAAAAAATATTTTATTGTTATTGCATTTCCTTTTGTATCCTTATGTTAAGCTGATACTGTGGTGTGGTTGAGGGTAAAGAGGTCTATTCGTCAAAGAGTGTTAATATGTTTTGGCGGTGAAAAATATCTTAAGAAGAGAGCAACAAATCATAAATTTTGGTGATTGGTGGATGGAAATGGATGTAAAATGAACGGTTCTATTTACTGCTGTTTTTGTTTTCCTTTTTCTTTTTTCTTTTTTTTTGTATTTACTTCTGTGTGTAATAGTATCACGCACGAGGATTCTGGACCGTACGCTGTTTCTGTTAAAACTATTGCAATTAAACTCAAAAGAGTTTTATAGTTTCGTTTTTAACCCTTTAATTTCCTTTTTGTTTGATTGCATCCAATTTCTTCATCTCAAATCACATTGGTTAACTTGAAAAAGAAAATAACAGGTGTGTGAGAACATTAATTGGAAATTTGGAAGTTTGGAATAATACTTAAGGTAATTTACAATATAAAAGATATGAGTCAATTAGTTTTGATTTTTGAGTTAGAAATCTATGACACGTAATCATTTTTTTCGTAAAAGGATTTAGATACGATCTTAGATCTTAGTCCTTTTCCTGAATGATTTTATTTTACTTTTCTTAATCTTAAAACCGTTCTTAATAATTAACTATCGAATCATTGTCGTCAAAGACTTAAAACTCAAGTATTTTCTTGGAAAGAAAGATATGAACACAAGACAAGTTGTTGTCCGATAAATTTCTTTGCATTTGAAAGTAGAACCACATGTAGCAAACTGTTATTGGTCAATGGTCATACTCATAAAATATCGTGAAAAGTCTTGAGCCAAATCGCCAATAATGTGTCGTTGATAAGATTGACATGGAGTCAACTCTATTATTGCCACAATTATTTTTAACAAAAAAAAACTTATCTCTCTTCTTCCAAAGAACGTCTCTGTACGACAACAAGCGAGCTGCATAGCTGATTCAGGAAAGGTAAATATCTTGTTTTCTTTTTATATGAATTTTTTTTCTGCTTAACTTGCTTTGATCTTTCTTTTAAGAAATTATTGCGGTGACTAGAAACTGCTTTTAAGAAATTATTTGGATTGTTACAAAATCTTGGTTTACCAATTTTTGTGGCACTTGAATCGTTCAATCATATATTACAAGTTTGTAATTCAAATTAATTATATTAGTCATTGTGGTGACTTATGTGTAACGGTGGAACAGGAGAGTAGTTATGGCTGAGGCACTTGTGTCTTTTGGAGTGGAGAAACTTTGGGAGATCTTGAGTCGAGAATCTGGGCGACTGCAGGAGTTCATGAGCAAGTTGATGATCTAAAATGAGATGAGAACGTTACAGTCATTGTTGAAAGATGCAGATGCCAAGAAATCTGAGAGTGAATAGAGTGAGAAACTTCTTGGAAGATGTCAAGGACATTGTTGATGATGCTGAGGATATCATCGAATCCTTTTTCTGAAAGGATTAAAAGAAAAGGGATCAAAAGCGTGTGAAAAGACTTTCTTGCTTCTTAGTGGATCGCCGAAATTTGCTTCAGATATTGAAGGCATAACTAAGAGAATCTGTGAGGTGATTGCGAATGCAGAGTTTTGGTATCCAACAAATTATTGATGGTGGCCGTTCTGTCTGCAAGAAAGACAAAGGGTGCAAAGAGAGATCCGACAAACATTTCCGGACAATTCTGAAATGGATCTTGTGGGTGTTGAAGAAGTGTTGAAGAATTGGTTGGTCATTTGGTGGAGATGTGAAATTCAAATGGTTTCTATATCAGGGATGGGTGGTATTGGTAAAACCACTTTGGCTAGACAAGTTTTCCATCATGACATTATCAGACGTCATTTTGATGGATTTGCATGGGTATGTGTTTCACAAGAATTTACGCGAAAGGATGTTTGGCAAAGGATCTTGCAAGATCTTAGACCAAATGATGGAGGAATAAAACAAATGGATGAGCATGAACTCCAACGTGAGCTCTTTCAAATGTTGGAAACATCTAGATATTTGATTGTCCTTGATGATGTATGGAAAAAAGAAGACTGGGACGTAATAAAAGCGGTGTTTCCCCAAAGAAGAGGTGAGCTCTCATTGTACAACTTTTTTTTCCTAATTTCATAAGTGAGCAAGGTGAGACACATTAGTCATAAATGCCTTTTATTCCCTAACATGAAAGTTAATGTAATTTGCAGTTCGAAGATGATAATAACTTCTCGCAATGAAGGTGTTGGTTCACATGCAGATCCAACATGTTTTGCCTTTAGACCAAGAATCCTTACTCCCGAAGAAAGCTGGAAGCTATGTGAGAGCATAGTATTCCGTAATAGACACGAAACAGGTACTTCTTATATAAAACTAATAAGAATAATTATCTTGTGAATTCTATTTTCTTTTATGAATCCTTAAGGAAAAGAACCGTTATATTTCTTACTCTTTCAGATTTTTATATATAAAATCTTATGGTTTATTGATCATCAAATCAGTCCGTCATTACACAACATATTTCAATGATCAAATTTTCAAAAATATGATTATGGATTTGCAGAGTTTAGGGTTGATGAAGAACTAGAAGGCATGGGTAAGAAAATGGTCACATACTGTGGAGGACTCCCATTAGCCGTTAGAGTGTTGGGAGGCTTGTTAGCTAATAAATATACAGTTTCAGAGTGGCAAAGAGTATATGAGAATATTCAAACTCAAACTCAGATCGTAGGAAACTGTCTTAGATGGACAATCTCAACTCGGTTTACCGAGTTATTGTCTCTGAGCTATGAAGATTTGCCATGCAGTTAAAGCATTGCTTCCTTTACCTAGCCCATTTCCCTGAAGACTATCAAGATAAATCTGGAGCAATTGTTCTTTTGTGGGCTGCAGAGGGAATAATAACTTTAGTTGTGATGGAGAAACAATTCAAAAAAAGTGGAGAAGACTACCTAGAAGAGCTAGTGAGAAGAAATATGGTTATTGCTGGAAAAGACTATTCGAGTATTGGTAGTAGGTATTATTGTCAAATGCATGACATGATGAGAGAAATATGCTTATCTAAAGCCAAAGAAGAGAACTTTCTTCAGGTCATGGAGGTCCCTACTTCCACCTCTACTATCAATGCTCAAACTCTAGTAGATCTCGAAGACTCGTTGTACATAATGGTAATGCACTTGATATGCTGGGACATAAAAACAATAAAAAATGCAGATCTGTTTTGTGTTGGAGTCGAGGGAAACTTGTGGAAGCAGCAGCTCCAGTTTTCCAAAGTTTACCATTACTCAGGGTGCTAGATCTGCATAATGCCAAGTTTAAAGGAGGGAAGTTACCTTCCAGCATTGGAGAGCTCATTCACTTGAGATTCTTGAGCTTACAGAATTCTACAGTATCTCATCTGCCTTACTCTCTCGGAATCTAAAGCTTCTGATCTACCTCAACTTATTCGTAGACGTTGGTGAGGCAGTTCAGTGCCAAATGTTCTGAAAGAGATGCGAGAGTTAAGGTACCTTATCTTACCTTATTATATGGATGATAAAACAAAGTTGGAATTGGGTGATCTCGTGAACTTGGAGTACTTTGGAATTTCTCAACAAAACATAGTAGTGTGACAGACCTCCTCCGTATGACTAGGCTCACGGCCCTTTCTGTTATTAACTAGCGAGTGTACTTCTGAAACTCTATCGTCATCTCTCTCTGAATTAAAAAAACTCGAGACTTTTGCTTTACTTGATTCAATCCCAGTGGTTTATCAAGGGGCCGTTCTGGATTTCTTCATCTAAAGGATTAATGTTGGCCATACATATGCCAAGGTTTCCTGATCAATATCGATTCCCTCCCAACCTTGCACACATACGTCTACAAGATTGCAGGATGGAGGAGGATCCAATGCCGATTCTGGAAAAGTTGCTTCATTTAAAGTCGGTTGTTATTATCTTGGTTTCGTCGGGAGGAGAATGGTGTGCTCAAAAGGTGGATTTCCCAGTTATGTTCTCTAGAAATCTCCAAGCAAAAAGAGTTGGAAGAGTGGATCGTAGAAGAAGGGTCAATGCCATGTCTTCGTTCTTTGGTAATAGATGATTGCAAAAGTTGAAGGAGCTGCCGGATGGGCTCAAGTATATAAGCTTCCTTAAAGGAACTGGAAATTAAAAAAATGAAGAGGGAGTGGACCAAGAAATTGGTACCAGGTGGAGAACATTACTACAAAGTTCAGCACATTCCTAATGTTCAATTTTTCAACTGTGACGACGATGAATAAGGTAATTCTCTCTTTTTGGTTATGTCAGTTTTGTTCATTTGTTGGTTATGCATCCTCTTTAAAGTTTGATATAAAAAGTCACGTATATGGTTTTCAACTATATTATAAACTGATCTAACTTCTCTTTGTTTTTGGTTTTCAGGTGGAATCTATTCAGAATCATTACCTAGCTACTGATTGCAATTGCGTGTGATGTGATAAGTTCTTTTTATTGTGTGCATGTATTAGTTTTCATATCTTATTTGTTAAATACACTTATATGTTTTTTTTGGGTATGAATACACTTATATGTTGCTCTCTCCCTATCTCTCTCTGTCTCTCTCTATATATATCTTACGTTAAGTTTGAAATATATTTTGTAGCTGCCAACATCTTTGTGCAATATTTTTCCTTTTTCTTCCTTTTTCCTTTGGGTAATCTTACGTGTACAGATTTGCATATGATTGTGTCTTCTCTGACTTGGGATGATTTCATTCCAAGCAAAAAACGCATACAGAGCTTAAACTGACATTGTGGATGCTTAGTCAATTTGTATAGTCGGACTTGGATATATAGGAGAACATTCTGACAGTGATTAGAGCCTTCAAATGATGAGCTTCTCTAACGTACACAGGCACATTCTATCATACTAAAATTATAAACATGATCACTTAGCTTGATTTTATGATTTGGTTTAATGAAAGTGAAGAAAATTAAACTCTCAACTGTTTTATACTTTGTTTTTAACTCTTTAATTTTCTTTCAGTTTTATCAACTCGGATCATACAAAACAATATAACAGACTATTGAGTAATTTGACCGAACACTAGAAAACACAAGTTTATTAAGTGAATCACTTCTTTCTCAAAAGAAATATATTCATATTTAAAAAAAATTAAACTATTTTGTAAATGTAGAAAACTCTAGTGGTGCAGCATAGATATAAACTGGAAAAAAGTTTGTTAATTTCTTTGCATTTGAAAGTAGAACCACATGTAGGCTGTAGCAAATTGTTATTGGTCAATGCACACTCATAAAATATCGTGAAAAGTCTTGAGCCAATTTTAAACCAAAGAGAAGAAATCTTCTTTTTTTTGTTAAAGGATCTGAAAAAGTCTTCACCCAATAATGAATGTGTCGTTGATAGGCCTGGGCAAATTATCCGTTATATTTGCTTCGATCCGTTATTCGTTCCGATTCAATCCGAAAATCCGGATAACCGTAACTTCACAAAGAATACTAAAGATCAATATCCGTTAGAAACGGAGCAAATAACAAATACTAAAATTTTAAAAGCCGGATATCCGATCCGCTCCGTTTTACATATATATCTATATGGTATACATATAAATTGGATAATTGTTATATCTATATATAAATTTTATAAATATATATTCATCAAATTGATTATTTAAACACTAAAAAAAATTAAAAACAAGTAATTATTATTTGTAATTAAAATTATTTTCTGATTAAAAGAATATAAATATATATTTTTTAATATTTCCGGAGCGGATCGGATATCCGGTAAAATATTCACATTTTACGGATATCCGAATCGGATATCCGGTTCACAACGGAGCGGATACGGATCACAAAACCACATATCCGGACAGAGCGGAGCGGATCACGGATACCTCCAAAATCCCGGATATCCGCTCCGTGCCCAGGGCTAGTCGTTGATAATAGAGAGATATATATAATATTTAATTATTTATATTACCGTGTAATCATAATATTCACCAATGATAATAACGAGGTTAACATTATTCTAACAACGGTATTAACGAGTTATACAGGGAGAGAGAGTTCCGTCTTAACCACGGAATCTTTGAAAAGCAACACGTACTCCTCGTTCTTCCCGCTCTCTTCCTTCTGCTCTATCTCGAATACACGATCCTCAGCCGGCGCAAAGAGATCCGACCACGATTTTATACGCTGACGGCGGAGATAGGATTCATCTCCTCTCCGTGAGCTCCTCAGCCAGGCCCGGACCAATGTTTTCCTTGGCCCAGTGCAATAGTTCCAATTTTGCAAGAATAAACAACAGAAATTTGCAAATAAGACCTTAAAGTTTTGAAATGGACCCTGAAATGTCACATAAATTTAAAAAAACAAATTAGTCCCTGTGCAAATGCACCCAATGGCAAGGGCGGGGCCTGTCCTCAGCCGATATAGCTCTGCTTATAAGCTGCTATATGAATAAATCTTTGCTCAACGTCTGCCTTTAGTGAGAGATTTTGATTTTTCTTTTGAACTCGGAAGAAATTTGTTATGATTTACCGGTGGAGAGAGTGTGACATGCCGGTGAAGAAGAACGTCAAAAACCAAAGTGATGGTTTTTTTGAGATTAAACGAATTTAGAAGGGGTAAAATGTAGTCACCATTGTCCGAACACTGTTTTAAAAAGTTGTCAGACCACTTATCTATGTCTGAAGAACGTCTGTACGACTGTACCAAAGGGGTAAAATGTAATCACCATTGTCCAAACACTGTTTAAAAAAGTTGTCAGACCACTTATCTATGTCTGAAGAACGTCTGTACCACAAGAGCGCTGCAATAATTCACAATAACCGAATAACTCATCTCTCTTCTTCCGAAGAACGTCTGTACCACAAGCGCGTTGCAGATCTGGATCAGGAAAGGTTTAATCTTGCTTTCTTATTATATGAATATTTTTTTCTGCTGAACTTGCTTCGATCTTTCTTTTATACTCTGTTGCGGTGACTAGAATATGCTTTTAAGAAATTATTACGAAATCTTGTTTTACCAATTTGTGGCACTTGAATCGTTCAGTCATGTATTACAAAACTGAAACATTATTGTCATTGATGACTTATATGTTAACGGTGGAACAGGAGAGTAGTTATGACTGAGGCACTTGTGTCTTTTGGAGTGGAGAAACTTTGGGAGATCTTGAGTCGAGAACCTGGGCGACTGCTAGGAGTTCATGAGCAAGTTGATGAATTAAAACGTGAGATGAGAACTTTACAATCATTGTTGAAAGATGCAGATGCTAAGAAATCTGAGAGTAATATTGTGAGAAACTTCTTGGAAGATGTCAAGGACATTGTTTTTGATGCTGAGGATATCATCGAATCCTTTTTCCTAAAAGGAATAAAGGAGAAAGGGATCAAAAAGCGTGTGAAAAGACTTTCTTGCTTCTTAGTGGATCGCCGGAAATTTGCTTCAGATATTGAAGGCATCACTAAGAGAATCTGTGAGGTGATTGTGCGAATGGAGAGGTTTGGCATAAAAATTATTGATGGTGGCCGTTCATTGTCGTTGCAAGAAAGACAAAGGGTGCAAAGAGAGATCCGACAAACATTTCCCAATAGTTCTGAAATGGATCTTGTGGGTGTTGAAGAGAGTGTTGAAAAGTTGGTTGATCATTTGGTGAAGGATGATAAGATTCAAATGGTTTCTATATCGGGGATGGGTGGTATTGGTAAAACGACGCTTGCTAGACAAGTTTTCCATCATGACATTATCAGACGTCATTTTGATGGATTTGCATGGGTGTGTGTTTCCCAAGAGTTTACGCAAGAGAATGTTTGGCAAAGGATCTTGCAAGATCTTAGACCAAATGATGAAGGAATAAAACAAATGGATAAGGGTACACTCCAGCGTAAGCTCTTTGAAATGTTGGAAACATGTAGATATTTGATTGTCCTTGATGATGTATGGAAAAAAGAACATTGGGACCGAATAAAAGCGGCATTTCCCCAGAAAAGATGTAAGCTCTCATTGTACAACTTTATTTTTCTAATTTCATAAGTGAGCAAGACGAAACACATTAGTCATAAATGCCTTTTATTCCCTAACATGAATGTTAAATTGTTAATGTAATTGGCAGGTTCGAAGATGATAATAACTTCTCGCAATGAAGGTGTTGGTTCACATGCAGATCCAACATGTTTCCCCTTTAAACCAAGAATCCTTACTTCCGAAGAAAGCTGGAAGCTATGTGAGAGCATAGTATTCCGTAATAGACACGAAACAGGTACGCCTTTTTTTATAAAACTAATTAAGAATTTAAGACCAATAATTAATCTTGTGATTGCTATTTTCTTTTATGAATCCTTATTAAAGGAAAGAACCGTTATATTTCTTACTCTTTCAGAATTTTATATATAAAATCTCATTGTTTATTTAAACCTTGATATGTTAAATCATCTCTGTCCGTCATGAACAATTACACAACATATTTTAAGGCTCAAATTTTAAAATAGAGAATATGATGATGGTTTGCAGAGTTAAGGGTTGATGAAGAACTAGAAGGCATGGGTAAGAAATTGGTCACATACTGTGGAGGACTCCCATTAGCCCTTAGAGTGTTGGGAGGCTTGTTAGCTAAGAAATATACACTTTCAGAGTGGCAAAGAGTATACGAGAATATTCAAACTCCGATCGTCGGAAAATCTGTTTTGGATGACAACAATCTCGATTCGGTTCACCGAGTATTGTCTCTGAGCTATGAAGATTTGCCAATGCAGTTAAAGCATTGCTTCCTTTACCTAGCCCATTTCCCTGAAGACTCGGAGATACATGTGGTGAAATTGTTCCCTTTATGGGCTGCAGAGGGAATAATAACTTTAGGTTGTGATGGAGAAACAATTAAAAAAAGTGGAGAAGACTATCTAGAAGAGCTAGTGAGAAGAAATATGGTTATTGCTGGAGAAAACTATTCGAGTAACTATTCGAGTAATGGAAGTCGTGATTATTGTCAAATGCATGACATGATGAGAGAAATGTGCTTATCTAAAGCCAAAGAAGAAAACTTTCTTCAGGTCTTGGAGGTCCCTACTTCCACCTCTACTACCAATGCTCAAAATCCTAGTAGAGCTCGAAGACTCGTTGTACATACTGATAGTGGTAATGCACTTCATATGTTGGGACGGAAAAACCATAAAAAATGCAGATCTGTTTTGTGCTTTGATGCTGAGGGAAACTTGTGGAAGCCGTCAGCTCCAGTTTTCCGAAGTTTACCATTACTCAGGGTGCTAGATCTCGAGAATGCCAAGTTTGAAGGAGGGAAGTTACCTTCCAGCATTGGAGAGCTCATTCACTTGAGATTCTTGAGCTTAGTTGAATCTACAGTATCTCATCTGCCTTACTCTCTGGGGAATCTAAAGCTTCTGATCTACCTCAACTTATTTGTAGACGTTGGTGAGGTAGTTTGTGTGCCAAATGTTCTGAAAGAGATGCGAGAGTTAAGGTACCTTATCTTACCTAATTCTATGGATGATAAAACAAAGTTGGAATTGGGTGATCTCGTGAATCTGGAGATTCTTTGGAATTTCTCAACAAAACATAGTAGTGTGACAGACCTCCTCCGTATGACTAGGCTCACGAGCCTTGGTGTTCAGTTAACTAGCGAGTGTACTACTGAAACTCTATTGTCATCTCTCTCTGAATTAAAAAATCTGGAGACTTTTGGTTTAATTGATTCCGGCATATCTGGTGTGGTTTATCAAGGGGCCGACTTCGTTCTGGATTTCATTCATCTAAAGGAATTAATGTTGGCCATACATATGCCAAGGTTTCCTGATGAATACCGATTCCCGCCCAACCTTGCACGCATAGCTCTACGTTATTGCAGGATGGAGGAGGATCCAATGCCAATTCTGGAAAAGTTGCTTCATTTAAGGACGTTTGTTTTGTCATCGCATGGTTTTGTCGGGAGGAAAATGGTGTGCTCAAAAGGTGGATTTCCCCAGTTATGTTATCTAGAAATATCCAAGCATGAAGAGTTGGAAGAGTGGATCGTAGAAGAAGGGTCAATGCCATGTCTTCGTAAGTTGATTATATGTGACTGCAAAAAGCTGAAGGAGCTGCCGGATGGGCTGAAGTATATAACTTCCTTTAAGGAACTGGAAATTAAAGAAATGAACAGGGAGTGGACCAAGAAATTGGTACCAGGTGGAGAACATTACTACAAAGTTCAGCACATTCCTAGTGTTCAATTTTTCAACTGTAACGACGATGAAGATGAAGATGACGACGATGAATAAGGAGAAAAGAAAGTAGCAGGTAATTCTCTCTTTTTGGTATTATATCAACTTTGTTCATTTGTTACAACTGCTGCAGAAACTTCTGCATCCTCCTTGAAGTTTTGCTGTGAAAGTCACGTACACAGTCTTCAACTATATTGTAAACTGATCTAATTTCTTTTGGTTTTCAGGTGGAATCTATTCAGAATCATTACCCAGCTACTACTGATTGTGTGTGATGTGATAAGTTCTTTATATTGTGTTCATGTATTAGTTTTCATATCATATCTGTTAAATACATTGATATGTTGCTTTCTCTCCCTCTCTCTCTCTCTTTCTATCTTACGTTTAGTTTGAAATATATTTTGTAAGTGCAACCATCTACAATTTGCAATATTTTTCTTTTTCTTCTTTTTTTTTTTTCCTGTGGGCAATCTTACACAGATTGCATGCATATATATATGATTGTGTCTTCTATGACTTTGTATGATCTCATTCCCAGCAAAAGCATACAGAGCTTAAACTCACATTGTGGATGCTAAGTCAATTTTGGAGATACAGGATAACATTCTGACAGTGATTACACAATGACGCCAATAGGACTCAGAAACTCACCTCGGTTATAAGAACTTTTGCTCTCAACGCATCAGCGTTACGAGGGTCGAGCATATACTCTGCAGTTGTATCTCCAGTGAAAGCTATCTCAGGGGACAATATCATGTCTGTAATCTGAAATTAAGCTCAATATCATTAAAAAAAACTTCCCCTTTCACATCACTTTGCAAATACGGCTTCATAAGCAACAAACCTCAACGCCAGACTTCTTAATCTTCTCAATCTGTTTCCCTTTGAGGTGACCATACTGCTTCTTCAACTTGTTCCTCACCGAGTAGATAAGATAACCCTGAGAGAAGCCATCAATACAAAACACTAGAACCGTTAGAAACAAACACTCAGACGATATCCAATCAAATCAAATCGGAAAGCAGAAAGTAGTGTAACCAGCAAAAACCATCTGAATCAAGGGGAACAAGATTCATCTAGAAACCCAAAATTCACTCTAGCAAATTTAGAGAGCAGAAACATAAACGAAATCTGAGAAATATTCTATCGAAATCATAATTCTTATTCTTTCAAATCAATAAGCAATGCTAATTTTATACAAAAGTGTATAAAAGTGTATGAGAGAGAGAGAGAGATTGAGCTCACGATGTGATCAAAGATGAGCGTGAGTGATGAAAAGGAACTTCTGCTGGATAGCGCGTGAAGGGCACCATCCGATATCAAAGACGCAATTTGAGCTCCGAGACGATGACGCAGGTCTCGTGGCCACCGACGGAAACCCCTGCGATGGCGTAACTCTCCAATTCGACGCCTTTTCGATTCACGGCGGCGCGTGCCTTCCGGTACTCTTCTTCCTCGGCTAATCGATGAGAAATAGCCGGAGACTTTGACGGGGCTCACAAAACTGGCACGGTGGCTCAGTATCTGCGCGGCGAGCTGGTGAATCGCAGGAGGGCTATGGTGCTTGAAAAAAAAGGGAAAACCGGAGGGACTTTGGAAGGCGAAATTGGAACCGAAAGCTGCATTGTTGTTCTATCGGAAATAAAGGGTTTTAGTTGCCGTTTTAAGCAACTTCCCGTTAAGCGTTTTCTCTCTCCAACTTCGCTAAATAATAATATCAAGCAAAGTTGCGCCGTGTTCGATCGTAAACATATTTTGATGTATCATCACGTAATTTACTCGTTACAGAAATCCGATTATATATATATTTTTTTTATTAAAAGGTGAAACGACAAGTGGCCATTGGTCATTGGATAAGACATCGTGGAGACACCTTCAAAGTTCAAAAGAACCTCGCTACCATTACTGAAAGACTCTTTCATTGCAAAGTTTTAGTTTATTTCTTTCTTCCAAAGATCATCACTACCACAAGCGACATGGAGAGCTGATTCAGAGAAGGTAGATCGTATTTCTTTTCATATTTTCCATTGTTATTTTTCTTCTTTTTCTCTTGAACTTGCTCTGAGTTTTCTTTTGTACTTTGTTGTGGCGACTCTCTGCTTTAAAAACAAAAAAAAGTTCACGGATTATTACAAGATCTTGTTTCACATATTTGTCGCACTTGAATCGTTTAGTCAAATTTATTACAAATTGTTCTTGAATAAATTTATTCGATGAGGATTCAAGTCTCACTAGGTTGACCATTAATTTCTCGTGAAGGTTTATTTGTACTAATTTCGTCATTGTAATTGTTGGCTTATGTGTTAACAGAAGAGTAGTTATGGCTGAGGCACTTGTGTCTTTTGGAGTGGAGAAACTTTGGGAGCTCTTGAGTCGAGAATCTGGGCGACTGCAGGGAGTTCATGAGCAAGTTGATGATCTAAAAGTGTCAGATGAGAACGTTACAGTCATTGTTGAAAGATGCAGATGCCAAGAAATCTGAGAGTAATAGTAGAAACTTCTTGGAAGATGTCAAGGACATTGTTGATGATGCTGAGGATCATTCGAATCCTTTTTCTGAAAGGATTAAAAGAAAAGGGATCAAGAAGCGTGTGAAAAGACTTTCTTGCTTCTTAGTGGATCGCCGAAAATTTGCTTCAGATATTGAAGGCATAACTAAAGAATCTCTGAGGTGATTGCGAATGCAGAGTTTTGGTATCCAACAAATTATTGATGGTGGCCGTTCGCTGTCGCTGCAAGAAAGACAAAGGGTGCAAAGAGAGATCCGACAAACATTTCCCAAATTCTGAAATGGATCTTGTGGGTGTTGAAGAAGTGTTGAAAAGTTGGTTGGTCATTTGGTGGAGATGATAAGATTCAAATGGTTTCTATATCAGGGATGGGTGGTATTGGTAAAACCACTTTGGCTAGACAAGTTTTCCATCATGACATTATCAGACGTCATTTTGATGGATTTGCATGGGTATGTGTTTCACAAGAATTTACGCGAAAGGATGTTTGGCAAAGGATCTTGCAAGATCTTAGACCAAATGATGGAGGAATAAAACAAATGGATGAGCATGAACTCCAACGTGAGCTCTTTCAAATGTTGGAAACATCTAGATATTTGATTGTCCTTGATGATGTATGGAAAAAAGAAGACTGGGACGTAATAAAAGCGGTGTTTCCCCAAAGAAGAGGTGAAGCTCTCATTGTACAACTTTTTTTTAATTTCATAAGTGAGCAAGGTGAGACACATTAGTCATAAATGCCTTTTATTCCCTAACATGAAATGTTAATGTAATTTGCAGGTTCGAAGATGATAATAACTTCTCGCAATGAAGGTGTTGGTTCACATGCAGATCCAACATGTTTTGCCTTTAGACCAAGAATCCTTACTCCCGAAGAAAGCTGGAAGCTATGTGAGAGCATAGTATTCCGTAATAGACACGAAACAGGTACTCCTTCTTATATAAAACTAATAAGAAATAATTAATCTTGTGAATTCTATTTTCTTTTATGAATCCTTAAGGAAAAGAACCGTTATATTTCTTACTCTTTCAGATTTTTATATATAAAATCTTATGGTTTAATTATCCTTCAGTCAAATCATCTCGGTCCGTCATAAACAATTACACAACATATTTCAAGATCAAATTTTCAAAATATAGATTATGATTTGCAGAGTTTAGGGTTGATGAAGAACTAGAAGGCATGGGTAAGAAAATGGTCACATACTGTGGAGGACTCCCATTAGCCGTTAGAGTGTTGGGAGGCTTGTTAGCTAATAAATATACAGTTTCAGAGTGGCAAAGAGTATATGAGAATATTCAAACTCAGATCTAGGAAACTGTCTTAGATGACAACAATCTCACTCGGTTTACCGATTATTGTCTCTGAGCTATGAAGATTTGCCATGCAGTTAAAGCATTGCTTCCTTTACCTAGCCCATTTCCCTGAAGATTCAAGATAAATCTGGAAATTGTTCTTTTATGGGCTGCAGAGGGAATAATAACTTTAGTTTGCAATGGAGAAACAATTCAAAAAAAGTGGAGAAGACTACCTAGAAGAGCTAGTGAGAAGAAATATGGTTATTGCTGGAAAAGACTATTCGAGTATTGGTAATGGTGATAGTTATTGTCAAATGCATGACATGATGAGAGAAATATGCTTATCTAAAGCCAAAGAAGAGAACTTTCTTCAGGTCATGGAGGTCCCATACTGTTAATGCTCTAACTACTAGTAGAGCTCGAAGACTCGTTGTACATAATGGTAATGCACTTCATATGTTGGGACATAAAAACATAAAAAATGCAGATCTGTTTTGTGCTTTGAGTGAGGGAAACTTGTGGAAGCGTCAGCTCCAGTTTTCCAAAGTTTACCATTACTCAGGGTGCTAGATCTGAGAATGCCAAGTTTAAAGGAGGGAAGTTACCTTCCAGCATTGGAGAGCTCATTCACTTGAGATTCTTGAGCTTAGTTGAATCTACAGTATCTCATCTGCCTTACTCTCTCGGAATCTAAAGCTTCTGATCTACCTCAACTTATTCGTAGACGTTGGTGAGGTAGTTTGTGTGCCAAATGTTCTGAAAGAGATGCGAGAGTTAAGGTACCTTATCTTACCTAATTCTATGGATGATAAAACAAAGTTGGAATTGGGTGATCTCGTGAATCTTGGAGATTCTTTGGAATTTCTCAACAAAACATAGTAGTGTGACAGACCTCCTCCGTATGACTAGGCTCACGGCCCTTGTGTTCATTTAACTAGCGAGTGTACTTCTGAAACTCTATCGTCATCTCTCTCTGAATTAAAAACAATCGAGACTTTTGCTTTCTTGATTCGGCAATCCCGAGTGGTTTATCAAGGGGCCGACTTCGTTCTGGATTTCATTCATCTAAAGGATTAACGTTGGCCATACATATGCCAAGGTTTCCTGATCAATATCGATTCCCGCCCAACCTTGCACGCATACGTCTACATTTGCAGGATGGAGGAGGATCCAATGCCGATTCTGGAAAAGTTGCTTCATTTAAAGATCGGTTGTTTATCATCATGGTTTCGTCGGGAGGAGAATGGTGTGCTCAAAAGGTGGATTTCCCAGTTATTTATCTAGAATATCCAAGCAAAGAGTTGGAAGAGTGGATCGTAGAAGAAGGGTCAATGCCATGTCTTCGTTCTTTGGTAATAGATGATTGCAAAAAGTTGAAGGAGCTGCCGGATGGGCTGAAGTATATAACTTCCTTAAAGGAACTGGAAATTAAAACATGAAAAGGGAGTGGACCAAGAAATTGGTACCAGGTGGAGAACATTACTACAAAGTTCAGCACATTCCTAATGTTCAATTTTTCAATGTGACGACGATGAATAAGGAGAAAAGAAAGTAGCAGGTAATTCTCTCTCTTTTTGGTATCATGTCAACTTTGTTCATTTGTTGGTTCTATGCATCCTCCTTGAAGTTTGGAGTGAAAGTCACGTATACTATAAACTGATCTAACTTCTTTTTGTTTTTGATTTTCAGGTGGAATCTTTTCAGAACCATTACCTACTACTGATTGCAATTGCGTGTGATGTGATAAGTTGTTTCTATGTGCATGTTTAGTTTTCATATCTCATCTGTTGAATACATTGATATGTTGCTTTCTCTCCCTCTCTCTCTATCTATCTACGTTAAGTTTGAAATATATTTTGTAACTGCAACCATCTTTTTGCAATATTTTTCCTTTTTCCAGTGGGCAATCTTACACAGATTGCATATTATACATATATATTTATATATATGATTGTGTCTTCTATGACTTGGGATGCTTAGTCAATTTGGAGATATAGGATAACATTCCTCAAATCCTACGCAGGGGAATTTGTCATGGTTGTAGGAAGACACCTCCTTGGTAATCTCATCATGCCTAGCCTCGGAGTTATGTAAAAATGAGCAAAACATGGGAGTTATGATCAAAGGACAAGCTAGCATTATTATATATTGCAAACTCAATTGACCTTGGAAAGTCTTTGTCTGCCTCCGCCATGACCTCTCTTTGTTCTTCCAAGACCAAGACCACGACTTATCCCTCCACCACCATAGCTAGGACCTCCATGGCCACCACCACCATGAAAATTGAATGCACGACGATCTCTTCAAAAAATTGTGTTGTCAAACAAATTTTCAAATACATCGCATAAATGAGCTCTCCGGACAACTTGTGGGGAAGTTTTTCCTGGATGCAGCATAGTAAAGATCGTAAGACCATCCCTTGCTAGAGCTCCTAACATCATCCCTTATATTTCCCAGACAATTCTAGCGACAAGGACTATGAGAAAGTATAACGAACAATCCACCATCAGTTTTTTACATTTTCAGAAAATATGAAATGGTCATATGTTTACAAATCAGCTAAAATTCATGCTATAACCAAAAGCTTTTGTGTTTGCACGAAAATCCCACGTCGCATATGCTAGATCAAAGGAAAATATGAATTTCATGAAAACAATATCTTAGTTTGTAAAGGTCTCTTGATTCCTTAAAACTCTTAGATTTTTCTTTTGAAATATTGCTTAATCCGAATTCAACTTATTTTTTTATTTTTAATTTTTTTTCTGAACACTCTAAATGTGTATTTTAAACATAAAAGCTTATAGTGATTGGACCCAAATTAAATGAACTAAAACTAACAAGCTTAAGGCTGCCGGAAATATCACAATTAAGGACATCCCCGGTGAACATCTGATTGTCGTAAAACTATTGCAAGAGATCGAGGGAGTACCAAAGGTAATTAAACTTTTTATTATTATTGTTTTTATATTTTTTCAGTAAGAGTTCTGAGAACTACAGACATTTAGGACATGTATTGTATTGCCCTAAAGAAGCCTTCACGAAGTCACTTGCGGGGAAGCACTACAAAAGAAACGGCTTTTAACGTCGGTTTTTAAATGGCTTCACGTCGGTACTAAAGTGACTTTAAAAACTTCAAGTCAGTTTTTAAACCGACGTGTCATGCGATGACGCTAAACTTTTTTGCGTCACTTAGAACACCTTAGAACACCGACGTTATATTTAACGTCTTTTGTATAACGTCATTTATCCTGTGTTTAGCGTCATTCACAAACGACTCTAAACATTTGCATATGCGTTAGTTTTTGAAAGCCTAACGTCACTAATACTAATTTTTATTATATTCAATATAATTGTAATTTAAAACATTATATGACAATGAACTCATAGTAAAATCAAATCTCATATAGAAAGAACACTATAATATATTGTTTGATAACTTGAATATCAAATAGAAAATACAATGTTTTGTTTATGTATAAAAATAAGTAGAAATTTGTTCCCAGCCAAGTTTCCAACTCTTCTGAACGATTCCTAGAAGCATATCTCACCTGCAAAAACAAAAGTGTTATCAGTAATCAAGATCTCTAATACATTTCAGTAAACAAAAGTAAAATGAAAGCAACGAAAACAGAATCTTTGTTTCTTCTCTATAACCTATTCAAATATAATCTATGTTTCTCTGTAACTTAGCTAGCCAAGAAAACAGAAATCTCAGAGAAGCTAAAACTAAAATGTTCACAGAACATAAGATATCTCACAACAAATGGTCACAAAACATAAGAAATCACACAACAAATGGTCACCGAACAACAAATAAGAACTGTGTCATCTCAGCCTAAGAAACCCATTTGTGATGTAGCATCAAAGGAACTGAGATATTATAGTTACCCGATCAGATTGTGGTTGCCACTGCCATTGCCATTGCCATTGAAGTTTAAGCACTCTATTACCAGTGGGCTGTCCTGCAGTTATTATAGAAGACAACTGTTTAAACAAAGATATAAGAAACCTCTAGGGTTACCTTACCTTACTCCATAGAAGCTAGTGACTCCTCAACATGGCCAATAAGCATTCCATGGTTTTGTGTTTGAGTCTGTGGAGCAACACCTCTGTGTATAAAAATATGAATAACAAACTAAAGCACAAACAACTCCAAAACTAAAAGTAATCCAACAATGGTGAAAAATATACCAGTTTCAAGTGAAGTCCTTACTAGTTCAGTTCAAATTCCAGTCCTTGAAATGCTATTTTCCTGAACTTGTATATAAACTATAATGATGTTACCTGATCAATGAAGATACTAGATGATTGATTAAATTGGTATTGAACTTTGTGTCCCACATATTGCATTAACCCTTAAAATGATAACCTGTGTTACCTACAGGAAGCTCGTAATTGATAGTCATATTAGATTCCATTATCACAACAATCCTGAGTGAAATAGCAGAAATATCATGTCAGGACAGTTTAAGCCTCAGATTTTTTAAAAGAGTAAGAGAACTTACCACACTGATTCTTGATTGATTGCAAACAAGACTTACGAGAAAACCATCACCGGATCAAATAGAGCTTTTATCAGACGTAAAGTTCTCATCAAGCTTCAAATCAACATAGAGAAAAATCAGAACAATTATTTATAGGAATTGTAAGAACCTTCGATGTCAAAACAAACAAACTATTAGAATCAAATTGCTTGATGAAAAATGAACTATTAGAATCAAATCGAAAGACTTAATATGAGCTACTAAGGGAAGCTGGATATGGAAATGAACTCACTGGTTTTCGTCAGAAATCAGAGACCAGTTACACCTTAATTTCCAGAAAGTGAACTGAACAAGCAATTGATTTGAAACACATCCACAAAGTGATTGCAAAGACGAGCGGTGAACAAGCAATTGCATCGCTAATTAAAGACCTCTAAAAAAAGCAATCAGATTCTTCCTAAGACCTAGAAGCCAATGATCGATGTTGTTAATCTTATTTCTCCTCACGAATACCTGAAATCGGGAAAGTGAGTCGCAAAATTCATGATCCAAAGGAACCTTCAGTGTCGATCTAAACAGTTCAGCTTCTTCCTCAACTCTTCATTCTCCTTTGCGGTTATCCGAGAAATCCAGATGCTACGAGCTACAATCAAAAAAAATTAGAGAGATTGAATCAGGTATCTCACGATCGTCGTCTGAAATCGATGAAGGAATTGAAGTTTAAAATTGATGAAAAAATTTAAGTTTGAAATCGATTCCAAATTTTTGACATTGATATTGTCGTTGAAATCGATTTGAAGTTTCGAAGGAATTGAAATCGATATGAAGTTTTGATCTTTCGTAACTATGGAAATCAAGAGAAACAATTGATAATGAGCCTTTTTTAATGGATTCAATAACTCTTTCAAACCCATAAGTAGTTAATTGACGCAGAAATTGACGTCAATTTTCTAAATGATGTTAAACTCCGTTTAAAAAAGAGATTTAAAGTCACTTGGTGGAGTGACGCTAATAAAGTGTCGTTACCTACCTTATTTGTAGTGAAGAAAAACATTCTCCTAATCACTGTTGATTTCCAAGAGATAGTCAATAATCTGTTAATGACGGGGATGAAGTTTTTTTAGATCGAAACCATTGCTTGGCACTCGAGCAACAACATGGGATTGGGAGACGATGAAAACAGGAGGTACGCAGCCAAAACTAGCCATGGCATCACTCAAAATGTTTCCAGTGGTGTGTGTTTTAGTGACCCAATGAATGTGTTTTTTTATATAAACAAAGTTGTCGTTCGTTTTCTAATGTATTTGCGTGACGGGTTTGTGTGTTGTGCTCTTCTTTTTCTTTTCACCGATGAACTATTTGAGAGATTATTTATGAACCACTTTTTTCACATGAATGCGCTGATATATTATCTTTTGGGAATCGCTGCGATTGAGGCTGCGACTGAACTTCCTTTACAATTTAACTCTTCATCGATGCTGGATTGAAAAGGATGAATCGCAGACCGAAAAAATCAAAGGAATCCGGTGACCTCCGAGTCGCAAGAGCAAACCAGCGGCACCTCTGTTCTTCACTCTCCCCTGCAATCAAAAACGCTGCGACTCTTTTCTTCTCTTTTCTGTACATTTCCTTTTTATTTTACTCATGACTTTCTGTCGCAGCCGCAGTCGCGACGATTTTCAAACGAACATGGCCTGTATTAAAAGGGGAGGAAAAACCCCACCAGGATCAAAGTTTAGTATATATATAACTTTTTAGGCATACAACTTGTTGAGCTCATCTTTGAATTTGACCTTTATTTGCTCCCTCTTTATCTTGAGAGCACCTGTGACTAATCCCGACTAATCCCGACTCTGGTGTCCACCGCTCAGGCAGCAACTTAATATTTGCTGGAATTTCAAACTGTTTGAGTTTTGCTGCCTTTGCGGCCTGAAACGATAACAGTTTAGAAACAGAGTTACTAAGAATGTAACTGTGATTAGAGTCTTCAAATGATGAGCAGCTTCTCCTACCTAGACAGTTACATCATGGACTTCGTTGCAATAGCGTTCCCAGCCCTACTATAAGCTTTCAAAATTTTATTGATTCAGCAAATCAACGCCATTTATAATAAGTTTTTAGGCAAAGTAAAACATTTGTCTATTTCCTTTTAAAATTCTTAAGATGATCACTTAGCTTGATTTTAGAAGTTAACTTTAATTTACCAGTCATAACTGAAATTGTGCTAAAAATTGTGTTGAATTTTCGATGAAATTGTGCTATGAATTTTTTGCTATGTTCATACAGAGATGAGTTTTAAAAAAACCCAGTTAACTTAAATGTATTAACAATCACAATGGTTGATGTAGTAATATTGTTTTGATGATCATCACACCATTACATTGTTGAAATGATTATAATTTCTCATTAACATAAATCACAGTAACACAAATCTTGTAGCCTTCAAATTAAAACATACAGGTAACTAAATTTCATGAAACAAACATCAACAGTGGCACCAAAAGAACCTAATTAATTAGTCCCTCTCAATAGATGATAGAAACTTGGATCAAACAAATTTAGAGCTTCACCACAATGGGACTCCTTACAATATGCTTCTTGTCTGACCAAACCATGTCTCCAAACACATAGCCTTTAGCCACTTTCCCCTTACGCTTCGCAAGGGTCACTTTAAACGTCTTTTGCTCTCCAACTTTGGTGAACTTTAAGCTCGTTGGCTTAACCGCAACAGAAACACCTTCCGGGTTATTCACTCGGACGATGTAAGTCGAAGGTCGTCCAACGTTTTTAACTGTCCTTGTAACAGTGACTTTGCTTGATGGAAAATTTGGGACTGTGATGGAAGGATAGTTAAGGTTGTAAAGACTGGTTTTATGGCTTGAACATGCAAATTTTTTGCCCGAAAAGACAGAGATTTGTGTTGCATTGTATCCAAGGGAGCATAAGAAGTTGAGGTAATCCTTGATTCCTGAATCATATACCAGACCTGGATTCACAGCTCGGTTTGGTCGCACATGTCCTGCCCCATAACTAAAAGGCGTCGCCTTCATATTTGTTGCATTTTGTATAGGTCCGGGAATGTCATCCATTGTTGTTGCTACAAAACGGAACACCAAGTTAAGAAAAACTTACAAGATTAAGGAAAAAAATAAAATAATTCCATCTTTAGCCAAGAACAAGAACATGGAAGAAACAAGACTTGGTGATAACTTATAAGTCAACAGTGCATAATTAGTAAAATTTAATGTGTTTATAAGCTATAAAGTATGAGACTTTATTTTTTGCTAGTAATGATTGAGCTCAAGAATTGGAAAACAAGCTTACCGGTAGTCATGATGGCAGAGCGGATAGCTGCGGGGCTCCAAGAAGGATAACGAGTCTTGAGAAGACCAGCAATGCCAGAGACATGAGGACAAGACATGGAAGTTCCCGAAACAGCATTGAACAGAAGACGACGAGCATCAAACTGTTCGTTTGTTGGAGATACTGCTCCAGTGTAAGCAGCGATCACACTCACACCAGGAGCAGTAATGTCAGGCTTCAGAATCATAGGAGCCACCTTGCTCGGACCCTTAGACGAGAAAGCAGCCATTACAGGCGCTGGTTTAGTTCCCAATACGGTCCACGAAGGTGTAATGTGCGCAATTGGTTTCCTACATACATAAAGAAAAAGCTTCTTTTTAGAACTTTAAACAAGACGGGGTGAGAAAAAATGTGAGTGAAGAAGAAGAATCCTCCTACTTGGTTTGGTTGATATATCTTGACAAGGCAAGACTGTTCTTGAAACTTAGCTGTGTAGCTGGGAGGACATGTGGATCAGCGGTTAGATCATTCCCGGTGACATTAGTGTTCTCTAGAACCATCCCTACACCGCCAGCTAAAGCCACGGCTCGACCCTTTTCCACTCTCCCGTTCTGTCCTCTAAGACACACTAATATCTTCCCTTTTGCCTTTTTAGGGTCAAGCGATCCAAGTTTGCACAATTGTCTTCACAAAGAGATGGTACAAAATTAACAATGAAAATAATTCATAAAACTTGCGGAATACGGAAACTTCTATTTAACAAAACTCACGCATCAAGAGCTGAAACGTTATTAGCTTTTGCTTGAAAAGCAGCAATTATTGGGTAGAACTTAGCATGTGGCAAAGATGATGATGCCAAGCTTTGTCCCTAAAATCAAGATTTAAAGCTTAAGTTCAAGAAACTGATTCAAGATTTGAATTGACTAATGCTATGATCCGATTTTTAACTCAGTGACGTACCTTGTAGTGTTTTCCGTTACCGAGGATTAGATTACTAGCAAACTCACGGTCCATGGTGCTAGCTCCGACGGTGATCTGCCACGGTGCAACGTTTGTAACCGTACTATCCGCCGGTCCAGAGTTTCCGGCGGAGCAGACTACAACGATCCGCTTCTTAGCAGCGTGGAACGACCCGATTGCTACGCTGTCGTTAAAAAACGAGGAAGGCTCGCCGCCAAGCGAGACAGAGATGACGTCAGCACCGTCGTGTATGGCGGCGTCGAAAGCTGCGAGTACGTCGGCGTCGTAGCACTCGTTGCCTTTGACTGGCGGCCAACAGACTTTGTAGGCGGCGACTCTAGCGCGTGGGGAGCCACCTTTGGCCGTGCCGTTGCCTTGGCCGAAGACGCTAGCGCCCCGGACAAAAGCGCCACCGGCGGTTGAGAGAGTGTGGGATCCATGGCCGTCGATATCACGTGGAGAGTCGAAGGAAGAGTTGAGTGTTCCCACGGCGGCTGCGTAGCCTTTGTAGAAGTACCTTGCTCCGATCAACTTCCTTCATTGAGAGACGTTCACACTTTGTTAGCTAAACACATGTATGTGTAGAGATTTACATGTTTTTCAAATTATTTAATGATAGTATCAATTTAGGTTTTTTAATTTTTTTCAATTCACACAGAGAAAAGTAAACCATGTTATTATTGTTAAAGAAAATAGTAAACCATATTTCGTAGAAATATTCATAAACATGACTGACGTTAAACAAGGGATAAGATACTCTGTTGGGATTTTTTAAAGTATGTGGTAAAGAAAATAGATTACCTAATTCATGCATGTGGATTTAAGGGAAAAAAGTTTATTAAGAATTGGACTCATACTAAAAATAAAAATAATGAAGACTATTATTGTACCACTAGAATCTACTATGCATGTCTTTTCGGTTTCTTTTTTTTTGTGATTCCATTTCTATCTTCATCGTGAAAAACAGAGAGAAAGGTATAGATTCATAAAGTTAAGAAAAACAAAATGTATAGATAAAAAAAAAGATTCTACGAGAGTAAGCAGAGTGGGATATACAAAGTTCCAGCTAATGCATCTTTATTATAAAAATAAACTAAATAAAACCCACGGATTTTAGATAGGGAACTTCAAGTATGATTTTTTACAAATTAGTGGATGCACGTTTCTTAAGTCTAGCTGATAGAGATTGTGATGCAAATGAGTCAAACACAAGCAAAACCACTACATACAATATACATGTCAACTCCTAAAAATGAGAACAGACAATTCCAGATTTTGTTTGGATCTTATGATAATTACTTAGCGTGAAAATGATAGAACACCAATTTGGAAGAAACGAAATGTGAAAAGAGAGAAAAGAACCTGTTGCAATGAAAAGTGGCATCTTTTTGGTTTTGACAAATTCCCTTCCATCTTGAAGGAATTGGTCCCAAGCCTTCATCACTAAAGCTCTTTGATTCTGGCCATACACCTTTTTCAACACAATGATATTTAAAATAAAATAAAAAATTAGTTTTATGTAATTATAATCAACAACTTATTTAGTTTTTAGAAACAAAATGTTTCACATGAATACTGAGATAATCAGTGAGACCAAGTTACAATATAAGTTAAAGAAAGATGCCTATTGGTGTCTCATAAATCACACAACCAATCATTTTAGTTGTGGTAACTTCTATATTGCTTTTTGAATCAATGAGAATATATTCTAAGAAGGGTATGAAAAGGTTATACTTCTCATGCATATCCCAACTTTATCTTCCTCTAAATCCCAAACATTTATATTCTTTAATAAAACTTTTTTCAAGTTCAGATTCTATGGGAAAAAAAAAAGAGAAGATGTTATTCGCACTAAAACACCAATTTTAAACTCAGTAGAAACTTTTTTTTTCCTTTTTTATTAAACACTTGAAATCTTCTAGCTGAAAAAAAAGAGTTGGGTAAATATCTAAGAATTCCTCGTAAGGTAATGTTTTTGGCACTAGAATACTAGTGAATAAGCATCACTACAATGAAGCATGTGAATTAAATGTCTGATAAAAGACAATAGCGTAGTGCCAAAACACGTTACCCTGTACGTACGAGGAATTATTCACCAACTTTTGGTTAAAAAACAAAATTATTCACCAACTTTCCTTTTCCAATAAGAGAAATCTCTAACTGTTGATGTAGAAAGTATTTATTACAGAGTTTGGTGAATAATCATAAGGTTTTGAGTGTTTGTCATTCAAGTCAAACTCTATAATCCAGTCAAGTTAAATATCAAAGATAAGAGATGCTACGATTTTAACTGACAAAGATAATCCAGTCAAGAGAATATGCATATGCGCACATGCTTGCATTTGATTCTTGCTGACAGCTAGAGATCTTAACCACTAGCTAAATGATAAATAAATTGCTTGTTATGCAAGTCAAATCCTTTTCGAAATTGTATTATTTTAAAAGTAGGTGCGTATCTTCCCCAAAACCGATCTCAAGACTCCCGAAGTTGCAAAGGTTGACCAATAGATTTAAGACAAAATTAAAATAAAATTTGAAAACAAGGGTAATAAGGGAAAAGAGGAGAGAACCCGTATCGAGATTTGCAATGATAGAATCTTCTCCGAATCTTGCCTTTCTCCAAATGGAAGAAGAGGGAACGAAAGAGTTGTGTTCCAAACCCAAGAAGTCCCATGATCGAGTCGTGTGAAGCTTCAAGGCTTTGTTTGGGAATACAGACACCACTTCGGGGTGTTCTAGAGGAATTAAGACAAGAGAAAACAAGTTAGCCAGTCCAGAGCATAGCAAAAGAAGCTACGATTTTTGGATCTCGGTTTTCTTACACGACAATTTTCTTAAGTAGCACACTTAAGTTTTGTTTCAAAAATAGCATCATTAACTTAAATTTTCCAATAATAGCACACATTAGTATCAAAATAACTAAAAACTCATTTCTAGTACAGAAATCTAAACTTTAAATTGAAACTAATGAACCCAAACATAATTTGTATTTTATTTACGATAAATAAGTATTTCTGAAAATCTAAATTTAGTGTGATAAGTTTGGAACAAGAGCTTACAAGTGAATTTGCTATATTAGGTGTTATTTCTATTTTTTGTATAGCCACTTTTTTAGGGGGAAAATTATTAAGGTTTCTTTCTAACAACAACAAAAATACTAAGAATGCAAGAAATTTTAATCGTTGTATCGAAAACGTTGGACCAGCCTTGTGTATACTCACTGGAGATTGCAAATGCGAGGTTGTGATCGAGAAGAGCAGCAAAGCCATTGATATGCTTTGTGTATGAGTAAAATATGGCGCCTGTGGCAATCTCACGGCTGCTTCCACAAAATGAGACTCAAGTCAATTAAATGGAGAAAAGAGTAACAAACTAAGTAACTTTTAATTCATTGTTTATAACTTATAAGAGACCTTCCAACGAAGGAACCAAGAAAGTCGTAATGGGTTTCTCTGACTCGATCCATGGCATCTTCTGTTATCTCTCCGACATGGGAGTGACTTCCAAAGTAGACCACATATGAAGAAGACTGAAATCATACAAAACATTGATTAAAAGAGAAGAAGTTCTGAATGTGAAATGAAATAGCTGTTCGTTATGAATGTACATTTTTAGAAGCCATGGATTTCGAACCCATGTGGAGGAGGATAAGAAGAAGAGAGGGAAGAAACGATAAGGCATTAGTAAGCTTCATTCTTCTTCTTCTTCTTCTTATTCTTGTGATACTCTATCTGTATTGTTCGACTTTCTGTTTTGGTTTGTGCTGTGTTAGTTGCTGATTTATAGTGGGATTGGAAGGAAAAGTCAGTTTTTCCACCTTTTTTTTTGCCAAAGAAATTATTTTCCTATTACATTACAAGGCAACTGTCAAAATTATTGAGTTATGTTAAACGTAATAAAACAATGAACCGTTTTAGAACATAATTTTTTAATACGAACAATTATGTTTTGGTTACCAAAAGCCCCATATAGTAGTATCATTTTGAAAAAAGTGAGGTTAAGATATCATTATCTACTAAATACGGTTTTATGTGCCCCTAACAGTATTCTTCCTATTTATTTCCCGAATTTATATTTTTCTTTTAACTTTTGATTTGCAACATTAATTTCTTGCTGAAAAAGGGAAAGCTTAGGAAAATAAGGAGGTTCTGGAGTAAAAATGATAAGATGCTCAAGTGGTCACATTGCGTCACAATAATGGAGTTTCCATTGATGCTATATTTGGCAGCAAAAACAGATAATTTAATATCTTTCTTACCGCTTGGTTGGTCCTAATCTAATCATTGTCTTCTCTGTATTTAAAAGAAGAAAAAGGATTTCTTAAAGAAACTACTATTTATCAGAAAAAATTGTATTCGATTGATAGACTTAAATAGCCTAAAAATAGAGGAATGGCCAACGTTAGAAACAGCGAGGAAAATAAACGATTTAATAATAAATCATATGGTGTTACCAGTACCACTTACCTCAGGAAAATCATGATAAAAGAATAGTGATGTATAATTTTAGCTCAAAATTTTAAACAAATTTCTGAGATTTGTGAAAACCGGATATCTTATATTTTGGTTTCCTCTTGGTGAATCATTCAGTTATTTTGTAACGAAATTATTCTCAAAAAAAAAACAAAAGTAAAAATGCTAAAATTTGACATATACAATACAAGACCGGGATGCAAGTAGTACCATGTATCACGTTATAACTCCGGTTCATTTCTGAGATTGAGTTGAAGCTAGAAATATAGGGGCAATTAGCTGAAACCCACTTGGAAAAGTTAAGTTGCTCACATCACATGTCTTCATAAACTATTTACTCACTCCTCACTTTAAAAGTTAGAGAAAGTCCATGTTCTTGAGTTGACATAACAAGGATGTCATAAATTTGGACTTAACATAAATTTTACTTTTGGAATTTGGACTTAACATAATTTTATTTGTCTTACCACTGTTAATTGAGCATTAATCGATGGACACAATCACTTATTGATTGATACAGTATGTGTGTGTATAAATATATGTATATTTAAATAAAAAAATCCGAAACTTCCAAACTGTTCACAAGTTCTTATTTTCAAACATTTTTTTAGCCACAGCATTAAATTTCTGCAGTAATGTAATTATGTTTCCAGCATTATAATACGACAAATGTTTTAACAAGTTTTCAGAAATTTTAACTGGAAAGTATGGCATATAAAAGATGGTCAAAACATGTAAGAAGCTTTTCTAAGGTTTATCATTTTAGCAAATATTAGATAAGATTGTTTATTATGAATACCAAAATATAAAATATCATAATTTTACAAGTATCATTTATAGTGATATTATGTTTTGATGAGAAATACATTAATATATATTTGAGTCAACCAAATTAGTGGCAGTGTGATAGTGATTCTCAGTTGAGGAGGAATTTTCTTGTAGATCTAGATCATGGATCAATATATTTTCCTTTAGTATAAAATAATCTAAAGCTTAAGTTCAAGAATGTATAAAATTCTATAACCACTCAATTTCAATCGAAATTGTGTCATTCTTATACTAAGTAGAAACCCGGTGGCCGGTGAGTAAAATGCTTGATGGCTATATTCACCCTTGCCATGATCACCTTTGCTTATGAAAAGAAAAAACTATATTCAATTTTCCTAACTAAAAGAAACTAAAAAAAGAGAGAGAGAACAATCTATGATCCAGTACGGTCACATTGCACACGCGAACACGAAGATAACGTAATGGACCAATGATAACATGACAAATTAAACAACATCCTTGGTTTTATATGATTCCCAAATGGACCCATTTCCTACTTTTCTCCATGTTTGGGAATGCATATGTGCTACCAATATTTACATACGCGTGCATGCGTGGAGGCTACTTTACTTGTTTTGGATGCTAACTAGTAAAAGTAATTGAGAATTTGAGATACCAAATCAACGTTTTTTAAATGTGGCACCACAACTTTTCTAATGATGCTCGGATCTTCTATAAATTGGTATAACTTTATTAGTCGTTTCAAGATATATCATACTTTCATTACTATTTTAAATTAAACGAAAAAAATGCTTTAGAGTATGGAAATATTAAATATCATACATATTCATCGTAACAAATATAATCTAGAAATGTGGATTAGATCAAGCACCGGATCTTTATGTCAAATCGACTTAAATCCTCGCAGACTTAACTAAATTTGTGGGTGTAGAGAATGACTGGCATCTTACAAGTATGAAATCACTAATTATATTTGTTTTCTAAATTGAAATGACATCAAAGAATCTCACTAATTAGACTCATCATTTGTCTAAGTTAATGGTTCCTTTTTCTTGAGTTTTTGCAAAGGCTATTATTTAAATTTTGAATGATTACATGAAAAAGGGAGCAGGACTTGTATTAGGTATTCACGAGTGGATATGCTTGATAAAAAATGGATTAATTTTTGATGCATGATGCATGAACGATAGTTGCCGAAGAGTGACATCCAATATCTTTCTAGGCATTTAATTTGGTCGAATCTATATAGTATAGCTTTTTAGGCATTTATTTAACATACTTATCACAGTAATTTATATCTATGCAAGATTCGGGTTCCAGAGATTAGGGTTAAGTTTCATTTAATAACTCCGGAAATAAGAATGGTAGACTCAAAATGGACATAACCCAGTGGATGAAAAGAGTGTTTCTTGAATGTTCGTATGAGTACAAAAGTGTTGATTACAAAAGATTTCGCTAGGATTTTTTGTAGGAAGCAGATGATCCCAACGTTCTCCATGTGCACTTTAATGAACTCAAAAGATCCTTACAGTAGAAAAAGAACTATAGTTGTGTGTGTGACAACAAAATTAGGACTATATACAAGATCGACAATTTTATAAAGAGGCTCTTTGTACTAACTAATTTAGTAACTCTTATAAGTCGTTGAGATTTGAGAATATGAACCAACTAACAAAAACATCAACCAAAAAAAAAAGAGAGTCAAATATCGAGTTGTATTATTAGAAAAAAAATAGTAATAAATAAACAACTGGCATTTATTAGTTGTAGTATAAGTTTTTGGCCCCCCAAAAAAGAAAACAAAACAAAACAACAAATAACTGGATATGGCAAAGACAAATACAAAATCTGTTTGATAAGATGTGGCAACCTTCAACGTCCTTACGCGTCATCGTCATCCTTACATGGATGTTTCTCTTCTTCTCCCAATCAATCTTCCTTAATCTACTCTCTCCTCTCTCCTCTCTATCTCTATCCAAATCCTAAAAAAGAAAAGGAAAATCTCCCAAAACCTATCTATTCAATTTGATCTCTATTGTTCGTTCGTTTCCTTTCAATCTCGTTCTTGGATCTGCTCAAGAAGCCTCAAGGGGCTTCGTTTTCACGAGCCTCTGAGAGATCTTCGAAACCATTTGGCTGATATGTGAAACCGATTAACCATAGAACTTGTTATTTTTGTGTGTGTAAAATATAAGCGATCATGTCCTTTAGATCACAATCAACAGGGAGCAGTCAATTCGCGGAGAAGATAACAGAGGATCCTGTAACGTACAAGACCGCACAAAGCACCGTGACATGCATATACCAAACGCATATATCCGGATTTTGGAGAAACGTGACGGTTCTATGGTCCAAGAATCTCATGAACCATTCGCTTACGGTCATGGTAACAAACGTAGAAGGCGATATGAATTATTGCTGCAAGGTTGATCTCAAGCCGTGGCATTTCTGGAACAAGAAAGGTTACAAGTCGTTCGAGGTGGAAGGTAACACGGTAGAGGTCTATTGGGATTTCAGGTCAGCGAAATTCGCGAACAGCCCCGAGCCGAGCTCGGACTTCTACGTGGCTCTAGTCTCGGAGGAGGAGGTGGTTTTGCTTGTGGGTGATTACAAGAAGAAGGCTTTCAAGAGAGCAAAGTCGAGACCCGCTTTGGTCGAAGCTGCCTTGTTCTACAAGAAAGAAAACGTGTTTGGGAAGAAAAGTTTTTCTACGAGGGCAAAGTTTTACGATAGGAAGAAAGAGCACGAGATCATCGTGGAGAGCTCGATCTCGGGGCCTAAAGAGCCGGAGATGTGGATAAGCATAGACGGGATTGTGTTGGTGCAAGTCAAGAATCTGCAATGGAAATTCAGAGGGAATGAGACGGTGCTTGTAGATAAACAACCGGTTCAAGTGTTTTGGGATGTGTATGATTGGTTGTTCAGCGCGCCAGGGACAGGGCATGGTTTGTTTATATTCAAACCGGGGACTGTTGAAGAGAGCGACATGGAAGGAAGTGGTCACGGTGGTGGTGAGAGTGATACGAGCACAGGGAGCAGATATTATTCGACCAAGAGTAGCTCTTTGCCGCCGGAGTTTTGCCTCTTTCTTTATGCATGGAAACTTGAGTAGTATTAATTTTCAAAAAAAAAAAAAACTTTTGATTGATTGTTTGTTTTTTTTTGTCAACAACATGCATTATACGGGTTTGAATCCGGACGATTGTAACATTATCAGAAATCGCTAGGCTATATATTGTGGTCCAGCTTTTTGTCTATTGATGTCTAATTGTTGTATATATATCCAGTGGCTGTAAACTCTTCTTTTCTCTTCATCGATCAGTTATTGACAAACTGGAAAAAAATCCGAACCGAAATGGATTGAAATCGAATTAGAACACTATTACATCAGATCTTCAACACTAAAATATTTATTTTGCTAAATCTTTTTGCTCAAAATTGTAGCTCAAACTCTCAAACACGAAGCGACACATGATGTAAAAAGGTTATATATCTTTTTGATTTTCGATAAATTTTACATTCAATTCAAAAGGAAAATGTATTTATTTTTATCAACAACATTAAAACTTCACGGAGAAATCACGTAGCTACATAACAATAGTATTGTACTATTGTTATACATGGCATGCCTATAATTATCAAAAGCATTTTTTCTTTCTTTTTTTGTCAACTCCAAATTGTTCCATACATCTAACAAAAGTAATAAATGGCCTTTGTTGTTGGCTGAAGCCCATCTCCAGCATCTTCATTTCAGTCGTTAGTGGCCCATTCTCTGGTAACTGAATGTTACTCTCTATAAGACTAAACGTGATTGGTACATATTTTGTAAAATGCTAACTAATAAAAGGTCCAATAACAATCAAAATGTATCTGTCATTAAGATTTTGATTGGGTACTCTATTAATGCAAAACGGAAAATCGAAACTTTCTATGGGTCGAAACTTTGGTACATTTTTAATCGATTCTGCTGTATAAATCTTTTTGTCGGCTGTTCTCCAAAATCTTAAGCAAGTGAGGAAATAAAACGTTTTAACTTTAAAAATTCTTCATTTCCCGCACATTATAATTTCCGATAATTCAATTTTCGAATTCTAGCAATTTTCCAACCCTAGAATTTGAAAATTTCCCCCAAATCCTCTCTACCCATGGCGTCGGAGAAGCCAGAAGATCCGATGAACAACACTGCCGGAACAGACGAAGAGACTGTAGCCCAGCGGAGGAAGCGGCTCCGCCGAGTGAGCTTCGCCGACAGGGAGATTACTTCCGTCCACATTTTCAAGCGGGACGAAGACTACGAGACTCCCCCCAACACCTCCGCCTCGAAGCCGCAAAACGGCGAGCAAGGTGATACATCAGAGTCCGACGACAAAGTAATTAGGTTTTTCAATGACGATGCGGAAGGAGACGGCGATGCTGAAGACGAACCAATCGTTGATAAATCATTCCTGAGGCCCAGAAATTCGCCATCTTCAGGAGGTAGCACTGTTCGTTCTGCTACCAGTGATGACGGTACGCTTCAATTTTCTCAATTTACTTTAATTGGAATCCTTAAAATCGAAAATTCGAGAGAGGCTTGAAGAGAAGAAGAAGCTAAAATTTTTTTTGTGCCTTTTCACATTTCTGCGATTGAGTCTTGTGCTGAAGCAATTTTATTTTCCTAAATCAGAGAATGATTTCTTCGGCCCTGTGTCTTCAAATTTCATCAACCCGGGAAGATTGTCAGACACTACCATCTCCGAAGAACACTACGAGCAAACGATGGATTCAACAGCGTTTTCGATGCAATTCCGGAGTCTTGCAAGGTCAGAGACTGGAGACATAAGGACTCCAACGAGCAGTAGCTACATTCCAGTAGAGGAGAGAACACCAACTCATGTTACATCAAGATCCGATACAGGAAGTGCGATGGTGTTCACAAACCTCAAGAAGCTATTCCCGAAATCACCTCTACCAGTTGAGAAATCAAGTGGTGGTGGAGACTCAAATGACATGAGCATCGTTGGTGAAAACTCTCGGAAATATGACTACGGCCATATATCTCCTTCATTAGCTTCTCTATTGGGTGATGAAAGCGATGAATTGCCTCTTGCATCTTCAAATAAGCCCTCCTTGTCCCCTCAAAATGGATCCATTCCCATAACTAGAGGTGAAGATGGTCAAATGCTGTCACCTTATGGTTCTGGCTATCTCCGTCAAATAGAGCTGCAGGAATCAGGAAGCCGGCGTTACGCAGACGAGGCTGCCTTTTCCTCGTTAGCTATGAGAAGGCCAAATGCGTCTTTAGTTGGTATATTGCCTCAGTTTTCTTCTTGTGTTACTCCTTCTCCTAAACACGGTGGAGGCTTTATGAGTAAGGAGACTCTGGCACTAGTTGAGAGCTTGTCAACAATCCAGAAAAGCAAATCCAGACTTGGACTGATTCCACCTTCCCCGGCTTCTGCTCTTTCTCAAAGAATTGAGAAATCGAGGATTCAGTTATCTGGACGCCGTTCTATGACTACGCCATTATCAGCTATTGGTAGGGAGGAAATAAGTGTCCGCAGGGAAATACATTCAGATATTCCCATTACTAACTTGGATGAATTGTTATCTAAAGATGATAACAGAACACCAGTTTCTGAAAAGAAAGGCACACCAGAACAACGCAGTTTTGGTGCTTTGAGCCCTGTTGCTGATAGTAGGGATGTGTTTGCTTGCACAAGTCCAGAAGGAAAGACGAATTCTGAGACAGAGGGTTCACTCTTGAAGCAACAGGAAGAAAATCAGCCAGCCAGCACTCCTGATAAGTTTGTGTCATCTTTAGCAAATTCGCCAAATGCAACTCCGTCAGCATTGAAGAATTTTGTTACTCTTCATGATAAAGAGCAGCACAGTGAAGCTATTGGCAATTCTGACACTGCGGATGGGAATGTGACCAAGGATTGTGCTAGTAATGATTCTATGAATACGTTATCTGACAATATGGATTCCCTGCTTGCCGATTCGAGTGTATTACTTAGCGAGACAGGCTTCTTGAATGGTTCTGCTCAACGAAGAGAGAAAGACATAGCCAACGACATCAGTGCTCCCACAGAAGTTATCTCAACTGAAGACTTTCCTGCTGTAGTAACAGAAGACCTTCCTGGTACATCTGGCTCGCCATCTATGGGAAGTAAGAATGAGGCTTCACATGCTAAGGTATAATTCTAGACTCATGTACGTGTTTTGAAGAACTAGCCTGTCCACGGGACAAATGGATTAGGATAACCATTTTTGAACGTGAATAGTCTTTTGATCTCTGAGATGGTTGTAAAGCTCGAAATTGGCCTTTATAACCAGACCATTCCTTTATATAAACCCACTAAGAAGCCATTCGGATTGAATATTATTTTGACTCAAGTTCCATTAAAGTCATTGAGCTGTGCATTTCTGAAAGAAAATATTCAGATTTGCGGAGAAGAACTATCATCTTTCCAGAGCTAAACCAAAGGATTTATTGATACAGTTTAATGTTGAGTGAGGTTTCTGAACTATAATTTGCAGGGGCCAGCCAGGTTAAAAAGGAAAGCCAAAGATGTTAATTGTGCCGCCAGCCCCAAAGTCAAAAAAAGCACACAGTATATATCAAATCCAGTGATGGACCACCCTGATGGAAACTGTGATGTAAACGACTGCCGCGTAGTTCGTGAACAAGTAATAAACTGGGAAGAAGTAAGAATTGTTGACATACTGATATATTATTGGATGTTAGTCCCACTTCTGTTCATGCAAAAAAAGTTACTGTTTCTTCTACCTCGCAGATACCAGGAAAAGTATCAGTAGAAATCAATCAAGTAGTTGCTCCATTGGCTGATAAGCTGAATTCAAGATTGGTATGTTATTTCTCTCTGTGAAAACGCAATCTGGTTACTGAGACTGTTCTCTTTTTTAGCTTTTGTAGTTTCAGAACTAATGTTCCATAAATGCAGATATACAAGCTGGAAGATATTTCAACGCACCTGAAGAAGGTTCATTTGTGTGAGATGCGTTGTCTTCATATTAAATCTCAGGTTTGCCTAAGAAAACTTCCTGCTCTCATTTTTCATACATTTATATGTAAACTGATGATCTTGTTCTCATTGTAGAAAGTATTTGACGACTTGAGTGGTGCTAAAACAAAGAGGTTCTCCCTGTACTTCCTTTATATATTCTTCAGAATAAACTAGTGCCAAGTGTATAAACAACATTAATTGTGAGTACTATTGCAGACGTGCTGAGATTAGATCATCACTCTGCAAGTTAGCATATGAGAAAGCCAAACTTGAGTTGCTGCACCTCAAGAAAGAGTCGATGACGGTAATTACTTCGTTCATTTTATTTTTTCCGAATTCCCTATTGATCCTACTTGCTTGATCAAATTTCACTTATATGGCATGCAGAAAAAGTTTCAAGCATTGAGCACCGGTATACAAACATCTGAAACATTGCGGTTGAGTTGTGCCATGCTTCGACGTCAGCATGATTTTCATTCTACTGACTTGTTAAATCCTGAGCATGCTCATGAGGTAACTACTAGACCATTTTGAAAAAATACCCATTATGGGAATATGTTGCTTGGTATGGTCTTCCAAGTTTCTCTAAGTAAGACGCCTTAACGCTCTCACAGGCTGCGAATGGTTTTTGGTTGTCCTATAACTTTTTTCAATGTGATGAGTTTTTCATGCTACTGGTAGAAAATTTGTATCTGTTAGGATCTCATGATATTATTTGTTGGTAAGAGATGTCTGCTCTGCTTTCTTTTAATCGTACTTACACTTAAAGCTATTTTTTCGTGTCTTTTCAGTTATTGTTTCGTTGTTGAAAATCCAAATATTTAATAGACTCGTTATCTGTCAACATTTTTCTAGGTTCCTACGAGCAAAGTTGCAGAGAAAATACAGGAGATCGAAGTATTGGACTCAAAGATCAAGAACTTGATCAAATGTTTTCCTACGTGCGACAAAATGACAGGAGAAATGGGATATGCAGATACTATTACGATTGCTAAAGATAATTTGAAAACGAGAATGAGTTGCAGATTGATTCGTCAGGATATTTTGGTATTGACTATCATATTTCTATATACATGGATCTGAAAATGTTTTTCTTTTTTCTTTTTTGTACTTGAATCACACTTCTACTGTTGGTAGGTCTGGAAACTTGACAGTTTGGGCGAAAGGAATGATGGTCAGAGCATTGTTCTAAACTATAGTGGCTTGATCAACCAAAGGTTGGTCCTATTGGTTTCATCTTTCCATTTTTTTTGTTTTGAGGAAAATTTGTTTCCTACAATATGCTACATATACATGAACGCTATTGGATTATATTGATAATATTTCCTGGATATACAGGCTGACATTAAAGCCTGGTCATGCTTCATCTGTACTTATTTCAAACACTTTGAGTGATAGATTCGTTAAGGTAAGGGTAGCCAATCTAGTTCCCTCTCTTTCATTATTAATACATCATCTTCCTTTCGTCTCTAATCAAGTAATTGTTCTTCAGCATTTCCCAGAAATGAATGTTTCAGTTGCGTTTAACTCTTTGTTTAACGCCGAATACTCCCGGAAGTATGTTGGTTCCAGTACGTTGTTGGAGATTACACAGGTGGGTTTCTGTCCCAGTGATCTTTTTTCTATTGCTATTGTTCTCTTAATACTACTTGCTGTTTGTTAGTTCCTTTAGAAGATTCACTCTCTCTAAAATCTGTCTCATTTTACCCTGAGAATGCAGAAAACCAGTCTGGTCTTGCATAATCTGCTAGATGTGGCTGAGGAATTACAGTTAGCTCGAATGGAGATACCAAATCTGATCCAAGGAAAATTTGAAACTCCATCAGGTAATCGATTTCATCCTCTCTCACTCTCACGAGTACCCAATTTTGTCTGAGGTAAGAACACTATTGGTCTTGTTGATTGCAGAGGAGCAGCTTCATTTGCAGATTACTTTCATCGATTGCAAGAACTTCAGAAAAGTAATCATGACTCTCGATATGGCATGTTTGACTCAGTAAGTATATTATCAAGTTTGATTGCGCATAAAACAAAATCAGTTTTTCAAGACTTTGGATAATGAAACTTGGTGTGTTCTCTATTGTAAAACAGCGGGACGTATCCTGGTGACGTAGTTCCATGCGAGTTACTAGAAGCTTCAGGCAAGAAACCCGACGGTGTTGCGTCGAAACAACTGATGAATGAGATAGAATCTGCAATGGATGGTGTTGGAGTAGTTGGATATCCTCGGATATTGAGACTCTGTCGCTGCGTTTCCAAAATGTTGCAGTCACAAATCAGGAGATGATGGTCAGATTTTTATGGTTTGTTTTGTAAATATGGCAAACAAGGACTACTGCTTCTAGTCTTGTTGCCATCTTTTAACCAAACTATTTACTGTCACAATTAGTTTTGGGGGTTTTTTGTATATGTGAATATATGAATCAGTCAGGCTAAGATCACCTGCCAAGTAGTTTACTTTGCTTTTGTGACAAACTTGGAATGTTGTTTATTTGCGTGTTACAATGTAGTGTTGACGTACGTTTCACAAGTAAATGACTATTTTTGAAGCTATTGAATTCACAATGGGATGCCTTTTTTCTGTAAAATGTTAAATTTTATACCATTTTTCGATTTTGACCTGACAGTTACAAGGTAAACAAGTAGCAGAAAAAGTCAGAAAACTACTAAAGAACAACAACAACAAAGAACCATTATCCTCTACATCAAAATATTTTTGTTAAATCAAAAATCTAGAGAGAAAGAGACTGAAAACCAATGAAAGAGAAATGGTTAGACATTGATGGCTATATGGACAAACCAAATTTACTAAACGACACCAATATCCTCTATCAAACTATGTAGTTTCTTTGTGCAACGACACATGTGGCACAAATAGGTGAAAACGGTGTAGGCCAGTCTTATCCTATTCTTTTGTATCTCCTACATTGAATCTGTTCCAGATTTTGGTTATGGGTTTTGCTTTATTTTCCACCGTCGTAATGTTCTTTATCTTTCCCAGTTTATAAGCTAACTTAGAGAATCACATTTGGAATAAAAAAACAGTCATAATCCAGTTAACTTCTTGTATAACCTAAGCTTTTAATCTCTTGTCAAAACACACATACTCAGAATAGATTCATCAAGACTATAATTACATATATATAACTCACATGATATGTACATCAGATTATCCCATCTCCGGTCTAAATCTGTTGGAGAATCAAACCGAGACGCATCCTAATTTCATAGTACAAAATAGTAGCTATGCACAAGCACAACCAACACCACACCAAAAGTACCAAACCAAACCCCAAAAAGAAAAACTCTATACAAAGAACATAAGTCACCAAACATTAGTAGAAACCTGCTGGTCTTCTGCAACAGCAACAAGAGGAGTCCTACACAGTGGGCAAGTGATGTTCCAATAGTCTATCCATTTCTCCAAGCATGTTTTGTGAAACAAGTGGCCACATTTTAGCTTGTTGATCTCTGAGTCCTCTTCGAACTTCGACAGGCAAACCGAGCACTCGTTGTCAGCTTGTTTCTTGCACTTGCACAAGCTCTCGAACTTGAGTGTTGGAGTCCGGTTCCTGAATTCCTCTAGGAAGCTCTCAGGGTGGTAGACTCGGAAATCAAAAGGCTCTGTAGTTGAGATCTCTGAAGACGCTGCCGCCGACGCAGCTGCTGAAGAAGGCGTGGAGAGACGGATTCCTACTACGTGAAGGACTGATCGAACAATGCCTTTGAAGACGGAGATTGATAATGCTGTGTTCACTAATATGACACATAACATTCCTTCTGATGGACCAGGAAGGCTTGATAGACCCATTTCTTGCAGAGAATCTTCTTCTCCAGATCAAATCTTTGTTGCTTAAGGGATCTGTTCTGAAAAAAACACCATAATGAGCTATTAGTACAACAATAAAAGGAGAGGCTCAATGAATAAAATTTATGAAAGATTCAAGACATTCCAGTAAAAATCTTGGTAGGTAGAAAGTAAATGCAAGAAGAGTAAAGTAGAAGAGAACCAACAAGCAAGAACCAGCTCAGAGAGCACCAAGACAATTACAGTTATGGAAAATTAACAGAAACTTCCTTAAAACCGAACTCAGGACATGGAGGAAATAGGTTTTGTATGTTCATTTTTGCTTCATTTGAAACTTGAAACCAAGTTTGTTCTACTCTATGAAGCTGATCTTATCATTAGAGATCACACATTAAAACTAGACCTAGCAAGACTCGACAGAACAGAGGACATAATACAGTTAGAGATCCAAAAATAGTAGAATTTGTATTGACAAACTAATTCTTGAATCCGCTGACTAGAAACCCTTTCTAACAAACTCCAAGAAGGTGCTCAATTAGTTCCACCGATTGATTCTAGTCAAATCAAAGCTCATGTCAGTGAATCATAACAACATATACCATATTTGGCTCTAAATCCAAGAACTTTGATGAAAATCACTGATGGATTCAAAGATTTGTCTAGTAAATAAGAACAATTTCAACTATTTCCACTCTGATCATAGCAAAATTTAATCTTACATAGAAAAAAGAAAGAGACTTTAAAAGAAAAGAAAAATAAAGCATCAACCTTTTTCTGGGGCTAATTACAGGAAACAATCAATGTTAAAAATTGGGGAAAATTTCGAAAATCTTGAGAGAAGAGAGAAAACTACGAACCTGAAGTCAAGTATGAAAGACGATGATCACCGATTTAGACGAAGAATTAAAGCTTCTACAAAGATTTGTGTGTGTGTTTTCTTGAGAAAGTAGTGATGTTTGAAGAATCTGAAAAGTCGAGATGAGTTCTTGTTTGATTATAAAGAAGGAGAGAGCTTCTTCCAATTGTTGTTGTTTATAAATAGCAAAGCACATCAAATAAAGCTTCCAATATCTTTTAACCAGAGAAGCCTTAACTATGGTTAGTCAATCCAGTTTCTTTCTATTGCAGCTCTTTCACTCAGGTTCTTGGATTTAATCATGGTTACCTTATATCATCAATTGTACTTCCTTTGCAATACTTTATTTTCTTTTGTTTAATGTATAATCATCATACACTCCCCAAAAATAATAATCCATGTCTCTTAAAGGCATAATTTCTTCTTATTTATATAGTTAAAATAAAATACGTGTCAAATTTGTAATTAACATGACTATGGTATATATATATTAGTAAATTAACTAGAATTTGATACATGTCAATAACAATTTTTAGTTGGTCTCCACTTATGTCCAAATATGTTAAAATATACTCCCTCCGTTTCAAATTAGTTGTCGTTTTAGGAAAATGTATCTGTAATTATTTGGATGTATCTGCAATGCAAAATATGTCTAGATACGTCCAAATATTTGCAGATACATTTTGCCAAAACGACAACTAAATTGAAACGGAGGGAGTATGTATTCTATTTCAACTAACTTCTATTTCTAGAATTTTACTATTTGTTCCTTTTCATTTTTTTTTTTTTTATTGTAGCTTTAGGTCAAAAATTATACTAACTAGAAAGATTTTTTTCTGCTCATATATATGTAAGTCGTTAATAAAAGTAATATTTCTTTTGAATCAGTTTTAGATCACTATGAAATATAACTGATTCACATATTCTGAATAAAAAATTTGGATTGTATGGGATACAAACACTTCATTTAGTGTGATTTGACTTCAAACGATCAAAAACTTGTGCAAGCCGGAAAATAATTTGGGAAGAGAGTAAGATTAAGGTACCCGATTATAAAATTAGACTAGCTAGCTAGACAACAAAATGTAAAATGAGAAGGAAAAAAAAAACAAAAACACATATACCAGAAATGACTAAAAACACATCACATCACCCTAACCACACAAATTTTTGAAGTCCTCAAAAGCACTTTTACTATAATGTTTTAACTATGGAATCCATCAATTTTTTACACAAATATGCACGTTTAGAATGTTCTATGCTCGAACTTCAAACAATGTTGAATTTGACACTCTATTTTGACTCTCATGTTTTTGTATGAATTATGTAGTGAGTTATGCATTCGAAACGTTTAAAATTCCAAATTAAAAAATCTTTATGAGTTTGGTGGTCACCGGTTTTGTTAGTTTGTTTATATAATTGGAGGATAGTAGTTTAGTAGCCTAGTAGGTATCGTGGAGAGCTATTGCTAATTGCTATAAATACAATGCAATCACATAAGATACGAACCAGAATTTATTAGCATTATATTCTAGCTTAAACAAATACTTGATTTTTAAAAAATGTCTTACAAAAAACCGACATAAGGGCTATAGTATATTATTGATTCGAAAGAACAAAAAATGTCATGAAATTGATTTGTCGTTTTCTCAATCTGAAAAGAGAAAAAAAGACATGTCACGACACATTAGTTACATTGTATTTGAGTAAACCTCACGTTGGCCATGTGTCCTCTCTTTTTGATCCCCACAGGACCTGAGGCCTTCATGTTCTCTTCCACATTGATTTGTTTCTCCATTTACTTCTTCTGTCTTCTTCCTCCTTTTGAATTATTTTGATGTGAACACCAAATTGTAATTTGGCATTTTCTCCATACATAATGTATTGGAAGAATACTACAACGCTCCACATGGCCCAACATTTATCGAAAACAAATATTTGTTGTAAAACCGCTTTACAAAACTTTTGAAATGAGAACTAATGAACATGTTCGGAACTAAGTAATGTTGGCCCTATTCGTTTCCAAATCGCAGCGACACACTTCAGCGATTCAAATTTAAAGTTACACCTATGAGTGTATCATTCAAATTAACGCAAAATGCATGTCTTCAGTAATCTATGTAACATTTTTCAAGTTACATTAACTCGTGACAAACTTAAATATCCCAATTTTAAGCTGTAAAACCAAATGTTAAAATAAGCATCTTGCTTGTTGTACATGAAAACCCCATCTCGTGAGTACAAGTAAAGAATCAAGAAATTTCTTCTTCATTGAATGTTAAGTTGCATCAACTATATAACACCAGGTCTCCTAGCGAAGGGTTGATCTAGTGAAGATTCCATGGGGTTAACATGTTCTTTGAAACATTTTCACTAACACGAAATAGATTATTTGCCAAAATGTTGTCAAAATGCTTGAGGCATTTTACTTTAGAGCCGATGATGGTACGATATTCCAGGAATCCCAAAAATTTACGGTAAAGAAAAGAGAACTCAAACAGAAAACATCAATTCAAAAAATTACGACGTAAATCCCAATGAGTTTCTTAGATACACACGTATTGTCTTTAAGAGCTCTGGTCTAGAGTTATTTGAGCTTGAACCGAGATTTTTTTTTTACTGGTCTACAATAATTTTTTGATGCTATATTTTCTTATGATCACACATTTGATTGATTCAAGTTTGTGACTAAATTTAGCTATGTCCATAAAAAAGAATTATAAATACAAAACATTGATGCTCTTGTTACTCCAAAAAAGTTATCTTATATCCAAAACAAAATGAACTACTTTATAATCTTTATGTTAGTTATTGTTATGCATTCTCGATTAAACGAAGCATGCAAGCCGAATTTTTTTACAATATACAACCAACTTACGCCCCCACAGGGTCTCTTCGTAGGTTGCCGTTCGTACCAGAAAGGGGTAATTTTAAATGAAACAATGTTACTAAATCAAAAGGGTAAGGATACATATACCTTCGAAATGAACGAGGTGAAGGGTGATAGAAGGAAAGCGTACAAGTGTCTCTTGCGGTGGCGGCCTATACCTGCGAATGTTTTTGACATTCAAACATACAGAGGAGCTTACAGAAAACGACGATGTGGAGAGACACGCGAATGGTTTGCTAGAACTGATGGAATTTATTTTAGGAAAAATGGTATAGAACCAATAGCAAAAGCACTTGACTGGAAAAAAGAGAAATAAATGAGTAATTTATACTCCAAAATTTGGAGTATATGCTCTGAATGCTCCAAAATTTTGAATACAAAATATTTTGGCTTGAAAAATTAAAAAATTAAGAGCACCAATTTAAGTGTTCTGATAATTCTTTTTCTTATCTTTCCTTAATTTTTTGGATATTTTAATGATATCCATATTAATATTAGTTAGTTAATATTCTAGTCAACTTTGTATATTCAGCTTGATTACTCTATTATTAAAATTTAAAATATTTTATTAATGCTTTAATATTGAGATTTGGATCTTACGAACAATTTCGAATCCTAACGTTTGAACAGAGACGACTTCATTTTGAGATCTACAATATTGAATATTCCCAATTTCAGAATTAAAGGTTTTAGCTAATTATTAAAATTAAAAATATATTAAATCAGCTCAGATATTAGCTATTTGGGCCTTTTGTTTTTTGTTGACAAAATTTAGAGTTACCCAAATAAATTGATTATTGACGTTAAACTTAAGTCAGTTTAATAACTGGCCCTAAGTTACTTCCTTTAGAAATATTTAACGTCGGTTTTCATAATGACTTGAATAATGTGACGTTACACATTGCATTTCTTGTAGTGTTAAAAAAGAATTATAAATACAGCACTTTGATGCTCTTATTACTCCAAAAAGTGATCTTATATCCAAAACAAAATGAATTATTTTATAATTTGTATGTTAGTTATTGTTATGTATTTTCGATTAAACGAAGCATGCAAGCCGAATTTTTTTACAATATACAACGAGCTTACTCCCCCACAGAGTCTCTTTGTACGTTGCAATTCGTACCAGAAAGGGATAGTTGTAAATCAAACAACGTTACTAAATCAAAAGGGTAAGGATACATTGGTCTACGAAATTAACGAGGTGAAGGGTGATAGAAGGAAAGCGTACAAGTGTCTCTTGCGGTGGGGGCTTGGGCTTATACCTGTGAATTATTTTGACATTCAAACATACAGAGGAGCTTACAGAAAACGACGATGTGGAGAGACACGCGAATGGTTTGCCAGAACTGATGGAATTTATTTTAGGAAAAATGGTATAGAACCAATAGCAAGAGCACTTGACTGGAAAAAAGAAGGATAAATGGGTGATTTGTAAGTGTTATAAATGCTCCAAAAATTTAAATACGAAATATTTTGGCTTTACAATTAAAAAATTTAAGAGCACCAATTTAAGTGTTTTGAGAATTCTTTTTCTTCTCTCTTCTTAATTTTTTTTATATCCTATTTTGCTTCTTTTGTTTTATTAAAATATATATTAGAAACATAAATATCTCACAGCAAAAAAATCTACATTAATAAATCTATAGTTAAAGCAAAAAGGTTCTTTTTACAGTTGAACAAATAAAACTATAGCTACAACCAATCAGCTCCACAATATGCATTTTTAATAAAACTAACTAATGTTTATTGGTACTGAATTTTTTTTTCTTTTTGTGTTTTATGAACTAAGGCACGAGATCCCGAGACATCATACTCCCTCCGTTTCAAATTAGTTGTCGTTTTGGCAAAATGTATCTGCTAATATTTGGACGTATCTGGACGTGTTTTGCATTGAAGATACGTCCAAATATTTGCAGATACATTTTGCCAAAACGACAACTAATTTGAAACGGAGGGAGTATTATTTTGTTATTTATATACATAGTAATATAATGTAATAAAATCATGATTTTATTTGATATTTGCAAATATTGTATTAATGCTTTAATAATAGAGTAATCTAGCTGAATATACAAAGTTGACTAGAATATTAACTAACTAATATTAATATGGATATTATTAGACAAAGATGTACGCGTAGGCACCAAAACTCAAGCACTTTCTTTGGAAAATTTTATCGAGTTCTTTACCAACTGGGGAAGTGTTGAAGATAAGACATATTACTAGAGGTTCTCTATGTCTACAATGTTCTCAGTCTGAGGAGTCAATTAATCATATTCTGTTCGAGTGTCCATATGCACAGCAAGTTTGGAAAGTTTGGAGAGCAATCGGGTTTGTCCCTTCAAACTTATCTAGAAGCTAAGCTAGAAACTCTGCTTTTGGATCCAGCAATTACTTCGTCTACGGAATGTATTCAGGTCGTTGTCTGGATTTTATGGAGGTTGTGGAAAAGTAGAAACATTTTGGTTTTTTCAGAGAAAGACCATTAATTGGCGAACGTTAGTGCGTTATGGGAAAAATGATGCAGCGGAATATCTTCACTCACAGGAAACTGTTAGTTATGCCTTACAACAAAGAGCTACAGCAGAGTTTTCATATGGAAATAGAAGCGTGGCTTGGAAACGTCCATCACACGGACGGCTTAAGTGCAACTATGATGGCTCTTTCCATAGTAGAGATGCTAAAGCAAACGCAGGATGGATATAATTAGAGATAAAAAATGGTATTTACAGAGGTGCGGGGCAAGCGTTAGACGACAAAGCACATTCTGCATTGGAGGAGATTGCAAGGAATTTGGTCGACTTGGTTAACAAAGCTTCCCTCAACTTCGGTATGTACAATTGGATCTTGGAGGTTTGGTATTGGAAATCAAAGTTCTATGAAGCTTCGTTTACTTGGGTCCCAAGAGAAGTCAACAAAGTTGCAGATTCACTAGCCAGAAGTCGATCAATATCTTCATCAAATTCGATTTATTATTCTCGTGTTCCTTCTTTTTTATCTGATGTATTACACTATGATTACGTTCATTCAAGTTAATATATATAGTTTGATGGAAAAAAAAAAAGTTGTACGCGTAGGCCAAATTCTTATTCACGAGATCTTGACACGTGACATGTATACATTTTTATTTTCATGAAAAATATAAGTACGACACATAAAATATATAATTGACATACTTACAATTTACAAATTTATGATAAATTTTTAAAAGGGAATTGCAATATATATACACCAATAGTTCTGAAACTAAATAATTGTTTCTAACCACTTTTATGTGCACTATTCATATAGTTAAAGACACTAAAACCCCTACTAAAATCACAACAACATTTTTGTTAACAATTAGTACTAAATCTCCTTCACAGATATTACACCATTTGCTAATAAATTTTTAGTTACTTTGCTAACAAAAAATATATCATTTCGCTAACAAATACCATGTTCTTTGCTAACAAACATCACATTATCTTGTTAACAAAGACTATGTTACATTGTTAACACAGATTATGACAAATTGTTTACATATTGTTGTTAATGAATTTGTTAGCAAGTAATAATTTGAACGTTAATATGTAATGGTTTGAATGTTAGCGTGTAATAATTCAAATGTTAACATGATTTTACTAATTTGGTTAATAAGTAATGTTAGCAAGTAATGGTTTAGATGTTAGCACGTAATGGTTTGAATGTTATATCATTTGTTAGTATTTGTTAACACGAAATCTTACAATATGTCATTTCTTATATTTTGTCTCATAGAGGTAAATATGTATGATTTTCCTATATGTATTTATATTATCTAATTAACAACTATTCTAGTGAGATATTTAATTGTCAGCTTATCTATATATATTGACTAAATTTACCCTTTTTAAGAAGTCAACTACGATATCTTATTATCATGAACACTTTTTTAAAGACAATCAAGACATAAATTTGATATGTAGAATTCATCAGTTTATTACTGATAATAAGATATCGTAGGTTGCTCTAATGAAGATTCTTTGAACATTCTCACTTCTAAGTTGCTTCCACAATTAACATACATGGTAATTAACACGAAATATATTCATTTGCCAAAATGTTGTCAATATGCTTGAGACATTTTACTTTAGAGCCGATGATGTTACTATATTCCAGGAATCCAAATAATTTACGGTAAAGAACAGAGAAATCAAACAGAAAACATCAAGATTCTCATTAACGTTTAGAAAAAAAACCATAGGCGAAAAAAAACTTAATAGATGATGCTAATAATCTACATGATAAAAAGATCAGTGATCGATTTTTCATCGAATTTAATGAGTAGGGCGATGGAAGAACTGTGTAAAAATGTTATAACTTGAGTTAAAACTTAAAACAAACAAAAAAATACAAACCTGAATGTAACACACTACAAACTTTTTTCTACATAAGATTCTTTTTTGGCTTTTCAATTTATTTTTCAAATTGTTGCTTTCCTTTTGATCTTAATAATAAAATTGATTGGTTCATATTAAAAACGGGAAAGAAACTCAAATTTTCTACAATTAATATAACTCTAGTTTTCTTTTATTTTTCACTTTAACTCTAAATTTATCGTAAATCAATTCATACAGATTCACTTAATTCAGAGCATTTGAGAATCTCATCCAGATTGGGCTTAGAATCGGCCCGAACTAGAATCAAAAACCTGAAGCCTTATTTTAGTTGTTGAACGCACACATGTGAAAACATTATCTTTCGCACGTGCCATTGCAAGGCGCCAAAGCCAAAGCCAAAGAGAGAGAGGAGAGAGACCATATCCTCCCGTTATCGTCATCTCTCCTTCACTTTCCCCAGAATCCCAATTTCTTAAGCTTTTTTCTCAAAAACCCAACCTCTTTGCTCCTTGCGGCTTCTCCTCGCTTCGGCGCTTTCTTTCACCAAATAAAAAAAAACTGGCGTTATTGGTTCCCTTCGTCTCGTCCCCTTGTTCGTTCTCCAGCTCCGTGCACTGGTGAGCCTAGGGAAACTCACAACACCATGGACGTCGCTGAAGCTCCATGGCGTCGAATTCCTCAACTTTCCGTTTCTTCACGCGCCTCCTGGCTCATTACTCCCGGAATTCCTGTTTCTTCGTAAGTTATTTCACTGGGGCATTTTAACATACACTTTGTCTGTGACCTCTTCTTCTCAATTGCTAATCTGCTCTACTCAAAAATCGAACCTTTTTATTTATTTATGAATCTAATGTGGATATGGGTTTCTCTATCACACGTATTGATCTTTATAAGCTCTGCTCTGGAGTTTTTTGAGCTTGAACTGAGAGTTTCAGTCAATTTCTAGTTTCCGGAAAGATGTCGAATTTCTGTTGAAATCTCTGTCTTCCAACAGATGCATGTTCTCTCATATCGAGCGTGGAAAGAGGTTTAGGGTCATATTGTGCTTTGGGGTCTCTCGTTTTCGTGCAAGGTCTGCTATTCTAAGCGCACAACAAGGTAAATTGGGAGGGAGATTCACTTGTGTAAAGCCTCAGACTTTCAAAATTTCTATGTTTTATAACATTTTTTTGTTTTTTTTGTTTGTATTCTGCATTCTCAGAGCAGCCAGCTAGGCTTCGCAAAGGACTCTGCGAGGTTGTTTGGATCGTGGAAGCTGACCTGGCATCCAATGAACATCTCTACGTTACTGGAGATCCTACGGCTTTAGGTGGCTGGGATCCAGACTGCGCGGTTTCAATGTATCCTACTGGGAATGATAATGAATGGGAAGCTAAAGTCAAGGTAATGGCAATCCAAAGCTCTTTTCTTGGAAGCGAGCTCATGAGTCTTGTTTGCATATAACTTAATATACTTGGCAGATTGCTTCTGGTATGAATTTCAGGTATAACTATTTTATAAAACCTGGATACGAGTCTTCATTTGACGTCATCTGGAGACCAGGGCCACAGTTCTCGTTGTCAGTACCTTCTTCTGCGAATCGAGAAGGAAAAGTTGTTATAAGGGATTCATGGATGAGTGTTTCCTCTGAATCACAAGAATCCTTTGTATGGGGTTCTTGGATCAATGATGGTTACCTCTTACCAAATTCTGTGACTTCAGGTCATCATAGCGAAGGTAACATCTCCGTGATTCCTTCTCTTTTAAGTCTCTTTTCGTTCTTTTGCAAAATGGTTTTAAAACTCAAATGCTTCCAGTGGTTTGGCAGATGATAGTGCTACAGAAGTCTCAAGAGCACTTTTGAATGATAAACAGTCAGAAGATGAATCTTTCTTCTTTGATGAGATTGAGAATGCAGCCTTTTCGTCAGAGAGCTCGAAGTTCAGTGTGTTATTCTCTGACAATTATCAGCCTGTTGAGGAACCGTGGTTTCTTCAGGCAAGGATTACAGAAACCGATAGCAAACAAGTTGTTGAAAGTTGTGACGAAACTGAAAACAACTTGGATACTGATGAGGAAGATCACCAGCTGACTGAGACTCTCTTACCTGACGATGAATTTTTCCAACCAGAATCTGTTTCCACTACGATACTGATCAACTCTTCTGTATGTACCGTGCAAAGGATTGCTGTCATGGATGGTGAGAAGCTGGTGGAGTTATTGTTGGAACCAGTTAAGACGAACGTGCAGTGTGACAGTGTTTACCTGGGCGTAGTCACTAAGTTTGTGCCCCATATGGGTGGTGCGTTTGTGAATATCGGAAGTTCTAGACATTCTTTCATGGACATTAAGCCAAATAGGGAGCCATTCATATTCCCTCCATTCTGTGATGGATCAGTGAAGCAAGCAGCTGATGGCTCTCGGTTAATCTCCGTTAGCGACATCCCAGCTCCGCATGATACTGAACACTCCTCCTATGACTATGAAGCCAGTAGTTTACTAGACATTGATTCGAATGACCCTGGGGAATCTTTTCATGACGATGACGAAGATCATGAAAATGAGGAGTATCATGTCTCGGATCCTCTAGCTGGACTAGTTAATGGAACTGTAGTGAGCCATGGTGAAGCGGAAGGAGATGAGCAACATCTTGAAGTTGGGTCTGAGAATGGCTTTGCGAAAAACTCTAAGGGTATGTCGTCGAGAGATAACAAGTGGATTCAAGTCCGGAAAGGCACCAAGATAATTGTGCAAGTTGTTAAAGAGGGACTCGGTACGAAAGGTCCAACTCTTACTGCTTACCCGAAACTGAGAAGCAGATTCTGGGTATGGCATGTGTGTTTTGTCGTGTAAATCTTTTCCTTTCGTTTCATATGATTCTGTTTTCTGAACAAAAGTATTGTCCTTGTAGGTGTTAATGACTCGTTGCAAACGAATTGGAGTCTCGAAAAAAATCTCGGGTGTGGAGAGGACCCGGTTAAAAGTAATAGCGAAAACATTGCAGCCTCAGGGTTTTGGCCTGACTGTAAGGACTGTAGCTGCTGGCCATTCTCTAGAAGAGCTTCAGAAAGACTTGGAAGGTCTGCTTTTAACCTGGAAGACCATTACGGAAGAAGCAAAATCCGCATCCCTTGCTGCAGATGAAGGTGTGGAAGGAGCCATCCCCGCGCTGCTACATAGAGCAATGGGTCAAACACTCTCAGTTGTGCAAGACTATTTCAATGACAAGGTAGTTAAGCCATTCTCTATATTTCCCTTTAGGTTATAATGGTTGACATGTCAAGTGACAGTACGATCTTGATTTAAATTTAGGTTGAGAAGATGGTGGTTGACTCTCCCAGGACGTACCACGAGGTACATTGCCTCCATTTTGCATAATAAGATATGAATAGTGTGCAGAAGGAGATATTTCCGTGTCGTAAACATTTCTGTATGCAAACTGTTTTACTAATTGGTGTTAGCTTCCAGGTCACAAACTACCTGCAAGATATGGCACCTGATCTTTGTGATCGAGTGGAATTGCATGATAAGGGTATCCCTCTTTTTGATTTGTACAACATTGAGGAGGAGATAGAAGGTATTCTCAGTAAAAGGTAAGAAGTTACTGACACTGTTGTGGAGTTATGGACCTATACCTTTTCCTTCCCAGATATCTTTCACTGTAATGATCTTTTTTGCGTCTTGCAGAGTTCCGCTTCCCAATGGAGGTTCTCTAGTGATTGAACAAACCGAGGCGTTGGTTTCTATTGATGTGAACGGAGGACATGGAATGTTTGGTCAGGGTAACTCACAGGAGAAAGCTATTTTCGAAGTTAACCTTACTGCTGCCAGACAAGTATGTCATACACTTTGGATTTTAGATTACATATTCATTCGCAAAATCTTCTGAAAAGTGCCTCAGTAAATGAGAAAGCCTTGGGAAAATTTAACAGGGAGAAAGAGTAACTAGCTGTATGAAGTCTGCTTATATTGTGTAGTTCTTCGTGAAGTTTGCTCAATTTTTTGCAATGTGCTTATCTTGCAAAGCATTTATTAAGTGATATTCGATGCAATCATGATTCAGATTGCAAGGGAGATTCGGCTAAGAGATATAGGGGGTATCATTGTGGTCGATTTCATCGACATGGAAGATGAGTGTGAGTTATAAAATGTCATTGTTATTTGTTCAAAATCACATTTTTTCCAAAAGTTGTAGAGGAGAAAAATCCTTTATGTCTTGAATGTTCTTGTTCTTTTCTTGTGGTTTCAGCTAATAGAAGACTCGTTTACGAAGAGGTAAAGAAAGCAGTGGAGAAAGATAGGTCACTGGTAAAAGTCTCAGAGCTATCTAGACATGGACTCATGGAAATAACAAGAAAAAGGGTATATAGTCCCAACTTGTGGATGTTTTACTTTTCTGTAAATCTTCGAAACTTATATCTTAGTGAAAGAAATGTGCTCTTGATTTATACTTATCGCAGTGGATTTATCTTTTCCGCAGGTTCGGCCGAGTGTAACATTCATGATCAGTGAACCATGTTCTTGCTGTCACGCAACTGGTAGAGTTGAGGCACTGGAGACTTCCTTTTCAAAAATTGAACAAGAGATTTGTCGACAGCTCGTGAGTGTATTGATAAACACAATATTCTGTTACTAATGAAGAACAACATCTACAATAAACGATTGTAGTTGTTGCCTACAAGACTTGTAGACTATCAATTGATGATGTTTTGGTCCATGTCATGACGATTTTTAAATGTTTCAGGCAAAGATGGAGAATAGAGGACACCTGGAAAACCCCAAGTCTTGGCCAAGATTCATATTGCGTGTGGACAGTCATATGTCAAGCTTCTTGACTACAGGGAAGAGGACGCGGCTCGCAATCCTCAGTAGTTCCCTGAAAGTATGGATTCTCTTAAAGGTAACTCCAAAATCTTTAATGTGATTTGCACTGACGAGGTTTGTATCTGAGTATCAGTTTCTTTCTGACACAACGGAGTCCTAAAATGTCTTTTTTGTAGGTTGCTAGACATTTCACCAGAGGAACCTTTGAGGTTAAACCGTTCATGGATGAGAAGACTGTGAACGAAAGACAGCATCAAGTTGCCATTTCACTGCTCAAGAAAGCTGACGCCATTTCAGACTCCTCAGGCAAGAAGAAGCTCACTCTTATTCCGATTAAGAAGGACAAAACCAGAGGAAAACAAAGACGATGAAACATTTTTCTTAAATTCACGTTCACTTTTGTTTCTTCATTGTACCGAATCGATTTTGTGTATCAATATCATCTTCTTCCCTCAGATTTTTGCATTATAAAGAACTAGAACCAAAGAGCTCTAAAAGTAACAAGATGGAACAACAGTTATGGAAAATACAAAGCTAATCTACAAGGACACAAAACTAGAAACAAGTGGAACAAGATGGTTCAAACAACAAAACAAAGGAGAAAATCTAAGCGAGAGAGAGAGAGAGATCAAGTAGCTGCAACGTTACAAGTCCCAACTCCATCTTTGCAGTCGTTAGTAAGGTCATTGAATGTTTCAATCTGCTTCTTCCCTCTCAAGAACACTTCAGTGTCAACAGACGCTCTCATGTAACCATCAAACTCCACCGGGTTACCTCCGTTAAGCTTCGTAGTCTCCGAATACCACTCGCTGCTCTCGTCCCACAGATCTTTATACTCGTCAAGAACATGAGTAGCGTACTTGTCTTTCAAAGCGTTAAACAACGACGACTCTGCTTCGTTCGTCGCAATGTAGAGATTCCTCCCTTCTTCCACCTTGTCCTGCAACGTCGACAAGAGAGCGCTCGGTGAAGTATCTTTCTCAAGATTAGGCCAAAGCTCCGTGTTTCTCGCCTTCTCTCCTCTCTCAATATGCACTGCATCGTAGTCCCAGTTCAACCTCGACGCAATCGCAGAGACTATCTCCATCAACCTCCTCGATTTCCACAGCAAATGCCAAGGCCTTTTCACCACAGACTCTGCATCTCCTTCGCAGACCCTGTACCAGTAATTATCCGGCTCAACCGACCCGAACTTCCTCATCACCAACGTATCTTTCACATCAGCAAGCTTCATCGGCGTCACCCTAAAGTCCTCCACAAGGTGAAGACTCAATCTATCCTTCTTGTTATGCAACCTCCCCCACGCTTTCCAAAACTGAGCCTCGTCCAACACAGAAGCAGCTTCTCTCAAATGCTCGAAATCGAAGTAAAACCGAAAGTCCTTCCCTTCCTCGCTCTGCCCCGAGGAAGTGTAGATGGAGGAGAGACACAGAGTCAAATCCATCACCAACGTCCTGTTCAAGTACTGCGCTTCACCAAGCGCACACAAGAAACTCCATAGGAAATGGTTCATGCTCTTGCACCTATCTCCTCCACCTGCGTAAACCAAGTACTTTCCGCTTTTAAACGCTTTCTCAGACTCAACCATGGGAAGAGAATCGTTCACCGTTTCACCAACAACGGGCAAAGAGAAATCATCTTTCTTCCCGTCGGTTTTCTCAAACCCAGCTTTCTGATTCTTCTTCCTCTTCCTCGCATTCAAACCGGAATGATACTCTCCGATCTCCACCACGCTAACACTACAATTCTCGGATTTGCCAATCACAAACCTTCTGTAATCCTTGTAAAACGCAGCGCTCTTCCCGTCTCTCGGCCGGTAACGCCACGCCATGTCGCAGGAGTTCGCGCCTTCGCCGACGGCAGGCTTGCCGAATTTGTAGAAATGGATGTCTTTGAACTTCTCGATCGTGGCCTTCATCATCAGATGGAAGACCTCCGAGTCTTTGCAATCGATTGGGATGCTCGCGTCGCAATCGAGCTGGTTCGACTCGGTGTTCTCCTCGCTGGCGGTGGTTTCGACGTCGGTGATGTTGATGAAGGACGCGAACGCGGTCTGGTTCGCCGGCATGAAATCCTCTCCGGTTTTCGCGACGGAGTCGTCGGATCTCAGAGTTGCGTTCGATGTCGATGTGAGGAATGTGGTGATTTTGTCGGATGGGTGGAAGAGGGGATCTTCCGGCTCGTATGTCGCGGCGATAATGGTGAACACTAGGACTCCGAAGACGAACAGCGAGAAACCGATGTTTCCGATCAGGTTTAGTGCATTTTGACCTAAGTTCTCGGGACGGAAACCTCCGGCTCTGGAGATCGCAGATCGGCCGAACATTGCTTCTTCCGATTTCAGAACGAGTAAGAGATTTAGAAGATACAGATCCGGGAAATGGAGAATGAGGAACCGATCCACCTCTTAGCTATGGCGGAGGATTTGAGTATGAGTGGTACTGTGTTGTTTGCTGGCGAAGTTGAAGAAGGTCGATAAGAGCTAACAGTCACCGACAATGTGGCAGGATTGTAATTTTCGTGAAGTACCTAAGGAAATATGTTTACTTAGTTAAACAGACACTAAATTAAGCGATTTATATGAAATTAAACCAATGTTGCTCTTGAAAATGATAAAAAATCACTCTTTAAAATTCTCAATTATTGCGTTTTAGGCATATAAATTTGGTATCTAATGATATTTAAACGTTTCTATAACGAACTTTCGGTCGAGCAAACCGTTTTGGTCCCAATATTAGTTAACAATAGCTCAATGCATCCACATCTTTGGCAGAAATAGGCTCGTTCTTTACAGTTCTCAAAACATGATCTCCAAGGGCTCAACATCAATAGGGTTTTAACTCTCATTGTCCTTCTCTGGTCTTCTCATAGTCTTAAGATCTCTTTCCCTTCTGCTTTTGTTCTTTTAGCATTTGATTCTTCTTCTTTATATCTTCATACAACACTTTGTTTAATCACCCTAGGATAACTCTCCTCCTCCGTAGAGTTTTACGACTTCAACTCTTCCATGCGTAGGCTCCAGTAGTCCACTCTTAAGCCACCTGATTGAGTTAAAGAAAACTTTCTTGTTCTGTCTTGTGCGACTCTTGCAAGATCCTTTCTCTAACCAGTGATCTGATACAATTGGTTTCAGATCACTGGAGTTCTTGCTATGGATTGTGCAAGAAGGTAAAAAGACACAATTTCCATTTAACTTATGTGCGTCTCAACAAGAAACTTAGTGAAATACAGAAGATTCGTAGGGTAAGAAGGATGAAGAAGAAGGTGTTAAACACAATATAAGAATTGAAAGAATAGTAGCTGTACATTGTAGTCTTCCTCAAGGTCCTAAACAGCAAGACCATGTGAAAGAAGCTCAAAAGTTCTCTGCAAATGAAGAAGAAACGTGAAAAGAAAAAAAAAAGCGCAAAATGAAGTTTCGTGTTTTGTTTTTTTTAGAGCCTAAGGTAGCCTCTTCTCTCTTGAACAATGTTTGGTCTCTTGTGGAACGATCTTCTGTTAAGAGACCAACTTCTGCTCATAGCTCTCATCCTCCACCAAGAAGCTATCCGACTATACAACGCCGGGAAAACAAAGCAGGACAACACTAGCACCAGCATTATAAGACATATGTACATCACGTTCCTAAACCCGTCTCCTAGCTCCGGTTTGTCTTGTCCCGTCCATGGAACTCCTCCAACGTTCATCCCAAAAACTGTCAACCAATCAACATTCACAACAACAATAAGAACATGTTAGTTTTAAGTGTTTTGCTTGCATGACTAATTACAAACGGAAACAGAGTACTTGGTGGCTTTTCTTTTACCTCCGGTTATAATCGATAGAGGAAGGAAGATGATGGAGAGGAAAGAGAGGTAATACAGCTTCCGGTTAATCTGCTCGGCTTGCCAGCTATCTAAACCAGCTTGGATCGCATTCACACGGTTCGCTATGAACCCTACGTTCTCTTTCAAACGTCTTAACCGTCCAATCAACTCCTCCAAAGAGTTTATGTCTTCTGCTAGAAACCAACTCTTCGTCGAACATTTCTCCTTCACTCTTGGAAACACTTGTTCTCCATGTGCAATCACCTGAGATTCATTCAAGAGTTTAGATAACATAAGATTATGCAACACACTTGGTGCTATATATAGCTTTATACCTGCAAAAGACGCTGCAAATTGAGATGCAATTTCGGGAATTTTCTATCATCCAACATCTGTTTCTTCATAGCAAATCCACCTATCGTTCGAAACAAGAATGTTCATATGAATCCAACAAACAACTACACAACTCAGAAAACAAATGGCAGATGCAAGCTGTTGAAGAGAAAGAGAGTGCGTAACCAAGTAACTAACCTCTATCCATTTCGAGTTCCACAGCATCCAATTCAATCTCAAGCTTAGTAACAACATCTTGAAGCTGATCTACATGAGTATCGATAATATGCACAACGAGATTTGAGACAGAGCTCGGCACAGGGTTATCAGCTTCCTCAGAGTGATTCATAGTCAGCAAGAACTCAAGAACATGCTCTTCAATCACAATACCACTTCTCTCCTTCCGCTCACCGCGATAGTACGACGGAGAATCAACGCTAGGCACTTCCGAGAGAAGCGACTGACCCATCGGAGAGAAACCTAGCCTAGGAACTCTACCTAACGACACAGTGATCACAGAGTTCTCAGTGATCCTAGCAGCGATCTTAAACGTAAAGCTACTCGAAGCAGGACCAGGCGAATTTACCCTAAACACAAGCGCTCCATCAACATGGCCACAGAAAGGTCCGTTGCTAACGAGAGAGAGAATGTCCTGCAGCTTCAATGGCGGACACAGCGCGTCTATAAGATGCTGCGCGGATTGAGAGAGTTTCTGGTTTCCTTTCGGTAACTCGACGTGGTACCAGCAAAACTCTTTGCCTTCTCCTTCTTTGAGATCCCACTCTTTGTTGAAGTATTTGCCATCGCCGTCGAATATGTAAGCTCTTTGTCTCACCATACCTGAGAATTGAGCTCTGAAAGTGCTGTGAGCGTCGTCTCTACTACGAGAGGCGTTTGTTAACGAGTCTAGATCTGTTTCGTCTACTTCGTCTCGTCCGATTCGATCTCCCTGCTGCATCGTTTGCCTCGCAAAGTCGGAAGTCGAAACTCTGAATCGAAGTTTTAGAGTAGGAAGTTTTGGATCATCGAACAAACTTCCTGGAAATGCGAAAATCTTATGATGAACAACAACATTGTGAGATAATCTGGTGGAGAGACGGAATAAGATCGGGTGGTGATTGATTTAACTTACATGCAGAGAGGGAGAGATCTGAGTGAAGCTAGATCACCGGGAATTGATCAGAAGAAGAAGAAGCTGAGAAGAGAGAGCTTCGCGACGGCGCGTGAAGAGAGAAATCTCCGTGGAAGGATGAAACAGTGAAATTAGAAAAGAAGAGAGGATTGTTAAGAGAGGCGATGCGCGTTGACCAGAGAGACGAGTCGAATTTGTCAGACCAGATTTGAATGGCAGAGATTAGGAGTGAGATCTTTATTGGTTGCTATTTATTTCACTTTGATGAAACTTTTTGTTTCTCTTCTTTTGGCTAAGGACCAGAAAGAAACTAATCTAGAAGTGAATTCCTAAAGAGTAAAGATAATGGACCTGTAATCGTATTTATAATTTTTAAAAAAATAATAATAAATTTATCATCATAATTTAGCAAATATTAGTATTTTTCATGTTTTCTTTTGTTAGAATCGTAAATTTTATTCTCTGTTGGGAAGATATCTATTGAAATTCAAACCAACTTTTTAAAAAAAAAAAGTTAATTTAAAAACTTTATGTTAAATTCTCATCTTAAACTGTAAAATCTTTCACTAAATACCTCAAAAATAACTGGATTTTTTGGTAAATTTATTTATTTCTATCACAAAATGACAAAACTTAATTAAACTTGTTTTAAATAACAGAATTAAACATTCTAAATTTTCAAAGTCTCAGATCTCTTCTATTATTGTATTAACTCAAATACAATTAATTTTAATATTATTTATCACTAATATCAACCAAATATTATCAATGTATAATTTTAAAATATGCATATAGAAGTTGATAAAAAAAAACAATTATTTATAGAGCAAAATTGTTTATATTTCAAACCGCGGTTGAGAATTCCGACATACAGAATTCCGCGTTTGTAATAAACCGCGGTTAAATTCCGATATACAGAATCATGAATTCGTAAGTTTATAACGCAAAATCGAGAGTTTTCTATACGATCGCAAATCTCGACTGAGTCAGTAATATACGAAACAATTCACCTCCGCAACTTGGAATTAAAATTGCGACTCGAATCAAAATTTTGATTCAGAAGATACCAGAAGTTCTGATTTTCGAACACTAGGGATTTTAAGGATTTGGCGATCAAGACATTATCTTTCTCTGCTCAATCCATCTTGATCTGGGTACGTTTACATCTGAAATCTCCTTTCTTTTTTCGCCCCTCTCTTCCTCTCTTGTTCATTGTTCCGCTTGGGAAAATATTGATTCTAGCTCAAATGCAAGTTTGTCTATCTTCGATTCCCTTTTAATTTCAAGTCGCGCCGCAAATGTTTAATCTTTCTTTTGTGTCATGTTGAGGAAAAGCTGCACGCAAAGTGTTCGTCAAAATGCCATAACGAAAGTTATATCATCACATCTAGTGTACCTTTGGACTTAGCGATCGTTGTCTAGTGGATCATATCTTCAAAATTTGTGGTTCTTTGGTTTGTACATAGTTCAATAGATTCTGAAGTTTCAAGCTATCGCAAAAGTAAGTAGGTCGTAATTGGGTCTGTAACAACGAGATTAGCTTTAGCATGATCAGCTTGGTGGTTTATGAAGAATCTTAGAGATTGCAGTGGTTGTGGTGAAAGCTTCTGGTGAAATTAAAAGAGAGTTTTTGTAAGATATACGCCAAGCTGGTCCAAATGAGACATAAAAGACCCATCGTTTCATTGAATCCAATTTTGGGCTAAAACTGTGTCTTTTTTCTTTTATCTGTGGCATAGAAAAGAAGATCCCTGTTGGTGGTTAAAAATGTCTCGGCAGACTCAGCTATTTACATTGCTCAAGAGAAGGTTTCATTCGCCGGCGGCACCAACTGAGACCTTAAGGAAAAAGATAACCGATTTGCAGAAAAGCAAGAAGCGAAGAAACCCAGTCAAGAACCAGTTCCTAGTTGAGGTTCCAGAATCAAGATCGTATCTGGACACAGCAACGATGCCTATGTTCCTCGCTGTGGTCGGTATCGCATTGTTTGCAAAAGTGTTAATGATGGTAAGTAAGCCTTTCTCTTTTTGTTCTTTCTTTGTCAAAATGATTTTAGTAGCTATTTAAAACAGAGTTTTGTTTGCTAGATTGATGATTCGAAATCACAAGAAATGATTGAGCGCAAGATAAAGAACGCACCGCCAGGGCAAGGCACGGTGAGGATGATCGAACGCGAGGAGTGGGATGAGTTCAGAGAAGTAAGGCCAAGAACTCCTTTCGAGTCCAAGCTTGCTCGCCCAAACGCTCAAATAAGAACCGGAGAGCCTGTGCGCAAGGTAAAACAAAACTCTAAATTGAATCATCAGAAACTGTTCATCTATGATTCTGACTTTTGTTTCGTTTCCTTTTTTCATCAGGATGACTTGAAGAACTGGACGATAGACGTGCTAACGAATGCATTTGCTCGAACCGAAGAGAGTGTTCGTCGCGGTTCCAGTTGATTTCCATAAGCTCTCCTCAAATCCAATGTGGTTTCTAAGTTAATATTGAAGAAATCTGGTAGTCAAGAACAGTTCTTATGTGTATCATACTTAAGTTTTTGGTTCTGAACGTAAGTGACAGTAGACAAGTTAATAAATTGGAAAGACTTATCTGGATGCTGCTGATGTGTTGATCAATAGAAGTGATCATAGCAGAAAGTCTTTGAAATTCATACATTTCATCAAAATCATTTAATAATATAATCAGATTTATTAATGTATATCAGATTCAAACCCAAATCATTTGAATATTGATTTATAAGTTTAAGACGTTTATAGCACTTAATAGTTAATACTAGTTCAATCGGAAGAGCATCCACGCGTCCCTCCATTTGCCGACTGCCACGCGTCCCTCCTTTTCCCGACTGCCACGTGTCCCGACGGCTTCCCGATAAAAGACCTAGTCCACAAGCTTTGATTGATAATTCAAAAGTTTCAAACATCGAAGAAGAAGGTTACAACACTTTCCCTTTTTTTCTCTGGAATCCGATTCGAAGAAATCAACAAGAAAACTTCCGATCCATTCGAGTTTCACGGAGGTAAACGATATTCCTCGATGTGTTTTCGATTCCTTAGCTTCTTCTTGTTTCATTTAGATTGTGATCTGCCGATTTTGATTTTGATCGATTAAACATCGGATCGAGTTGATTATATTGATTTCCTTTCGTGTAGCCTCGGTTATGGCAGATTCTGGAGGGAATCCAATGGATTCGCCGTCGTCTAAAAGCAGTGAATATGGAGTCTACGGGATCATCGGAGGCGTAATCGTGGCTTTACTGGTACCGGTTTTGCTCTCCGTGGTGTTGACCGGAAGCAAAAAGGGGAAGAAGAGAGGCGTTCCGGTGAAAGTAGGCGGCGAGGAAGGTTACGCGATGCGCCATGCTCGGGGTTCCGATCTGGTCGACGTTCCTTGGCCAGGAGCTACAACGATGGCTGCTTTGTTTGAGCAAGCTTGTAAAAAGCACTCGAGTAATCGTTTGCTTGGGACTAGAGAGTTTATCAACAAAGAAATGGTTGCGTCTAGGGATGGAAGGAAGTTTGAGAAGCTTCATTTGGCGGAGTATCAGTGGCAGAGTTATGCAGAGGTCTTTGAACGTGTTTGTAACTTTGCATCAGGGCTTGTGAATGTTGGTCATAGCGTTGATACTCGTGTCGCTATCTTCTCGGATACACGAGCTGAGTGGTTTATCGCTTTCCAGGTTCCATCAGCTAAAATTTGCTTTTGAGTTTTTTGCTATTTGGTTTAGCTTTGAGGGAGCTTACTCAGTTGATGACAATTTTCAGGGATGTTTCAGGCAGAGTATTACAGTTGTTACTATTTATGCTTCTTTAGGAGAGGAAGCTTTGATTTACTCTCTCAATGAGGTTGGTATTAGTATCAATCGTGTTAATTTACTAGACTTGGGTGAAGAATATCTGAATCTTGGTGTTATATTGTTGACAGACTGCAGTTTCAACCCTGATATGCGACTCAAAGCAGCTTAAAAAGCTGTCTGCGATACAATCAAGCTTGAATACTGTGAAGAACATTATTTACATTGAAGAAGATGGAGTAGAGGTTGATTCTAGCGACGTCAGTAGTCTTGGTGACATGACAGTTTCGTCCATCTCTGAGATTGAGAAGCTAGGGAAGGAGAGCCCTGTGGAACCAAGCTTGCCTTTGAAGAATGGAGTTGCCGTTATAATGTTTACCAGTGGTAGTACTGGTCTACCAAAGGTGCGTCTTCACTCTTCGTTGTGTGCTTTGTAGTTTACTGCAGTTTATCCTAACGTTACATACACTCAGGGAGTTATGATCACACACGGAAACCTTGTGGCAACTGCGGCAGGAGTTATGAAGGTGATTCCAAAGCTGGATAAGAATGACACATATATTGCATATTTACCTTTGGCTCATGTGTTTGAGCTGGAAGCTGAGGTATGTTCCTGTGCTCTCTTTCTCTCTCTCTGTATCTCTCGTTTGAGCTTTTTTACTCTTTCTTATGAAATCATGGTTTGTCAGATTGTGATCTTTACCTCGGGTTGTGGCATCGGCTATGGCTCAGCAATGACTTTAACTGACACTTCAAACAAAATTAAGAAAGGAACTAAAGGAGATGTCTCGGTTCTAAACCCAACCATCATGACTGCAGTTCCAGCTATTCTTGATCGTGTGAGAGACGGAGTTCTAAAAAAGGTAAGCATATTTATTGACAAGGATGTTGTGCGTATCTTTGCCAGTTACTTACAAGGTCAGTTATATTTGTGTTACCGTGTAGGTTGAGGAAAAGGGAGGGATGGCGAAGACACTGTTCAACTTTGCATACAAGCGCCGGTTAGCAGCTGTGGATGGAAGTTGGTTTGGTGCCTGGGGTTTGGAGAAAATGTTTTGGGATACTCTAGTCTTCAAGAAAATACGCGCTGTGCTTGGAGGACACATTCGGTTTATGCTCGTTGGAGGAGCTCCTCTATCTCCTGATTCGCAACGCTTCATCAATATCTGCATGGGGTAAGAAAACCCTCTATGTCTCTCACATTTGACGCTTGGATACGAGTCTTGTCTCATGATGGCTTAGGCATTGGATTTATCATTTTTGACATTATTTGTGACGCTGGTATGTGTTTTGCTAGCTGAAACACGTGTGGTTTGTGCTTGCATGTATAATTCGTAGCAACTTCACACTTGTTGGGCTTAGTTTGTTCTGATTGTGGTTGTTTACTGTTAGGGCTCCTATTGGTCAAGGATATGGATTGACTGAAACGTGTGCTGGAGCGACGTTTTCCGAATGGGAAGACCCTACTGTTGGCCGCGTGGGACCTCCACTTCCATGCGGCTACATTAAGGTTTGCAGTCACTTTTCTGCTAATCAACACTCTTGTGTAAACTTTTTGTAATCACGAGTGACAAGCTTCATCAATATTTGCATCTTGCAGCTTGTTTCTTGGGAAGAAGGTGGATACAGAGTTTCAGACAAACCAATGCCTCGAGGTGAGATTGTTGTAGGTGGTAACAGTGTTACAGCAGGTTACTTCAACAATCAAGAAAAAACAGATGAGGTTTACAAGGTAAAATATAGGCATTGCCTGTTACACATTTTGCGGTCCGTTTTGCTCGTATAGATCTCTGAGGATCCGCATGATACAATGTCAGGTTGATGAGAAGGGCACGAGGTGGTTTTACACGGGAGATATTGGAAGATTCCACGCTGATGGATGTCTTGAAGTTATTGACAGAAAGAAAGATATTGTTAAACTTCAACACGGAGAATACGTTTCCCTTGGAAAGGTTTGCACATCAAAAAAACTTATAATCTAAAATGGAGGATGGTATGTGTCATTTGAAGTCTCCTTCATGCTTCTGCATTGTCTGGTTCAGGTGGAGGCAGCTTTGGGTTCGAGCAATTACGTCGAGAACGTTATGGTACACGCAGATCCAATGAACAGCTACTGTGTAGCTCTTGTTGTTCCATCGCACGGAGCGTTAGAGAAATGGGCAGAGGAAGCTGGAGTTAAACACAGCGGATTCGATGAGCTATGCGAGAGCGGTGAAGCAGTCAAGGAGGTTCAACAATCTCTCACCAAGGTTTGTAAATTCAGCAACCTGTCTCAGGTTTATTTTTGGTTCACAGTTAACATTCTTGTAAATCTGTTTCTAAAATGTTATTCGTTTTCAGGCCGCAAAGGCGGCAAAGCTGGAAAAGTTTGAAATTCCAGCGAAGATCAAGTTGCTGCCGGATCCGTGGACACCGGAGTCGGGATTAGTCACAGCTGCTCTCAAGATTAAGAGGGAGCAAGTAAAGGCTAAGTTCAAAGATGAGCTCAACAAGTTGTATGCGTAAAAAAAATTCTATATATATACTTTTGACCAACTTCAGCTTGATTTTACTTTCATCAATATCTATAGTAAACTTTGATCATGAGGAGTTTTTCTCCCCCTTTTAATACAACATTTCTCATTATAAATCAGAAATTTGATGGTTTCTGAAAAATATCTTCCATCGTCCTATTCGAGTGATAAGTAAGCATTGATGTTGCTATTGGTTTGGATCAGATGATGCAGAATCTGTTGGAGCTGTTGTCCCTGACAATGCAGGTCGTAGGAGAAGATACAAAGAAGGTCCCAAGAAGGGCACTGCGGATACCGGTAAAAGCCAACGGCCGCCTTTATCGAACCTGAAAAAAAAGAGAAGCCGTGCGTGCGTTCAGGGAAATGGAAATGTGAAAAGGGTAACGAGTATAGATTTATAGAGAAACTCACCATTTTCGGGCGGTCATGTCATTGTAAACCCAGAAGGGAGCAAACGCAGAGAGTAAACAGAAATCAAGACTCGTGACATGTATCTGCATTTTTACTTGCAAGGTTATTATGTCAAAACATGAGTGAGCAAAAAAGATTGATAAAATGAGCATATCGGAACTTACGAATTTGCTCTCTCGGAAGTACTGATAAAACTCTTTCCAGTCACCGGAGTTACCAACTACTGCATACAGGATTATACCCAATCCTGCAACAAGAGTCACCTGATGCATAAAACCGTGTCAACTCCAGCAAAAAGAAAACTAAGAGGTAAGCAATATGCTTAAGGTACATCAATGGTGGTTACAATCTACATGCTCTGAGAATTTCTGCTGAGGGAGAGAAGGAGAGAGAGAGATCTTACTGCAGCAGTGACTTTAGATTCCAGAATATTCAAAGGCCATTGTCTCACTTCAGCCTCTGAAACAGGAGGAGAAGGAGGATTCCACAGAGCAAAGTAAGGTAGCAAAGCGTAGACGCCACCGAAGAAGGAAAGCACGACGAAAGGCCAAGCCGGAGGGGTTTTACTGTCGAATAAATGCGGAACAAAAGGATCATAAACCGCTGAGACTTGTTATCTCTCTAAACTCAGCAACAAAGGAAGCCGTTGAATGATTTGATTACCTTCGACCTGTGGGAAGCAAGAGCATGCCATATACCAAAGGCCATAAACCCATTATGTACCATAACCCAACAAGGATCTGGTTCATTCTAAAACCATCGTCACTTTTCAAATTCAGCAGCTTATTCAGAAAGTACAAGTCTTGCGTCTGCAAAAACAGTCACCAAATCTTATCACAATTTTGCGAAATTCGATTTAAGTAAATTTGAAGGATTTTGACGTGTGCGTACTGGTGTTTGATCAGGAGCAAGATTGAAGCAATAGTAGAGAAGCGCACCCCAAAGCGCGAAAAGCAGTACCGAGCTCGTCCAGTCTCTTGCTTCGTCTTGAATTTCGGTTTTCTCTGGATCTGGGTTGTTCAGTGAGCTTTTGCAGACATGGAAGTAGAAACCTTTTTTCTCGTATTTCGGGAAACGACTGTTATTGCGGTGGAGGATTTTATCTGATTTCAGAAAAGGTGAAGAAGAAGAAGAAGCTCTTGATTGTACAGCAATGAGGTTTCGGGATTCCTTTAGGGTTTGGGTTTGGGATTGTCTCGAGGGTTTTAAAGGAGGAAGACGAGAGAAGTTGCAGGAGATGAGGTTTATGCTTTCCAACATTTTCTTCTCTTCCTTCAATTTCGTGGAGGAAGATGAAGCGTAGAAGGATGTTCCTCCAATCCAGATTAACCGAGCGGATCCGATCCAATTCAAACCGTTCCAAATTAACTGAATTCAAAAACCGAATCGTATTTCGGTTTCGGGTAATTTGCTTAAACCAACTAAAAACCGAAATCAGAATCAAAATAAAACACTCAAGACAAACCTCTGGAGTGGCCATCAAAACGGTAATGTTCAATTGTATCAGTTTCACCAACCATCGCTAAATCTCGCCGTCGTGTTGAATTAACCCACGTGTTAATCACCCAACTACCAATATACTTACATCCAAAAATCCAAATCGTTGAACTGCATCTATTGAAAATGAAACTTATATAGTTTGACCGCCCCGAAATCGTGAAGATTCCGACAGCATTTCAAATTTCTGTTTTTCACTTATTTTTTCCTTCGAACCTTTTTTTCCGGCAATGGAGGGACTAGCTCCGGCGCAAAGTGCAGGACAGAGACTTCCGGTTCGATTGGCTTCACCTTCTCTGTACCGGTCTATCGGCTCTGTCTCGATCAGACGTTCGGTTTCAGGTTTCCCCATGGACAGGAAGATCAATTTTAGGGCTCCGTCGCTTTTTCCGATCCGGGCTCAACAGGTGGCGGCCGACTTTTTATCTCCCTTTTGTGATTAAACTCTGTTGAATTCTTCTCTTCTATGAAAACCCCATATACAAAGTTTGCATTTTTCTCATGTTTTCTGGATTCTGCTTGTTCAATTAGATTCAACTATTGGTGGAACAAAAGTGGTGCCTTTTCTAATTCTAATTGCTGAAAGTATTTGCCTTTTTTTTAAATGTAGTCTGATTTGAAGGAAAGCTTAGGTGTTGCTTCTTCTTCTTCTTCCTCTTCAGTAGAGAATGCTATTAGAATCAAGGAATGGGAAGTAGACATGTATCAGAACGAAATAGCCATTAGCCAAGGTGTTAGGATAAGGAGAAAACCTCCAAGCAAGGCTCCTTTGGGATACTCTGGACCATTTGAGCTGAGATTGCCTCACGACCAAGTTGCTGATTCTCCTCGTAACATCTTGGAGGAGATCACATGGTACAAAGACGAAGAAGTTTCGCGAGTAAGACAGATAAAAAAAGGCTTCTTCTTTCTTTTTCAAAAGTTTCCGGTTTAGGTTTCTTCTCATGGTGAATTGTCTCTTTTGCAGATGAAGGAACTAAACCCACTTGAGGCGCTGAAGAAAGCTGTAGAGGATGCTCCTCCAACCAGGGATTTTGTCGGTGCGCTTAGGATGGCTCATCAGAGAACTGGCTTCCCTGGTTTGATCGCTGAGGTTAAGAAGGCTTCTCCAAGTAGAGGAATCTTGAAAGAGAATTTTGACCCGGTATGTGATGCTAATTTTATACACCCTAGTAAAGGTTGATTCTTTGATGGACAAAAAGATTGCAACTTTAGTCTTTATGATATATCATCTGACAGGTTGAGATTGCTCAAGCTTATGAACGAGGTGGTGCCGCGTGTCTCAGTGTTTTGACAGACCAGAAATATTTCAAGGTTAGCTTTTTGTATCTAGTTGCAGATATGTTATGCACATTTGCAGCGAATTTTTTTTAACATTTTAAAGTTTGTATCTTGATTTGGTTTCAACAGGGAGGTTTTGAAAATTTGGAAGCAATAAGAAACGCTGGTGTGAAGGTATTCTCTTTAGCAAAGTCTGGTGTTTTTGTTTTTGTTGTGTGCTTCACATTGAAGTCTATTTTTTTTTTTTTCCAATTATTGCAGTGTCCTCTATTATGCAAAGAGTTTGTTGTAGATCCATGGCAGATCTACTATGCTCGGACTAAAGGCGCGGACGCAGTATTGCTTATTGCTGCTATATTGACTGACTTAGAAATAACCTACTTGCTTGACATCTCCAAGAAGCTTGGTTTGGCTGCGCTTGTTGAGGTTTATTTTCTTCCTCTGCTTTGATTGTTGTTAATCGAGTGATCTGAAAGTTAGTAATCTTTCTGTTTCGCTTTTTATTAGGTACACGATGAGAGAGAGATGGGTCGTGTTCTTGGAATAGAAGGGATCGAGCTTGTTGGCATCAATAACCGAAGTCTTGGTAATGCATCTTTTCTAGTTTTGCTGATATCTCTTCTCTTAGAAGTGAGTCTTAATTGTGTACAGTTGAGGAGTCTCATTAAATCTTAAATTTTGTTGGTGTTTCAGAAACATTTAAAGTGGACATTAGTAATACACAGAAGCTTCTTCAAGGAGAGCATGGTAGACAAATCCGCGAGAAAGACATGATCGTAAGTATCTTCCACTTTCCATTCTTTGAACCTGCTATCATTTTGAGTCCTGATCATGTTTTGTGTGTTTGAAGGTGGTTGGCGAGTCCGGTCTGTTTACACCTGATGACATTGCCTATGTACAAGCTGCTGGAGTCAAAGCGGTAAGCTTTCACAACCACCCATTGAAACGTTTTTGGCTGTGCTTTGGTAACTTCTGCAAGCATTAAATCGGTTCGCTGTTGTAACTTCACAGGTTTTGGTTGGTGAGTCCATTGTGAAGCAGAGTGACCCTGAGAAAGGAATAGCTGGACTTTTTGGGAGGAACATCTCTCATACTTAGAGAAACTCTCACATTTCACATCTATGTCCTTGGCACATTTGTTGTATCTTGTCTCTTTGAGAATTGGGGTTTGTTTTTGTCTTTTGATGTTTGAGACATTTTCTGTAAAAGCATCAAATAAATTTTGTTTTTTAAGGAAGCTTGAAAACAACAATCCATGGAGAAAGAAACCAAAATCAACAAAGTGATATATCAAATATAAAGTGGTTCATATAACTCTCACAAGTGAAGAAGAAGAACACAACAAACACCACATAAACCCGTACACACCAATACATAGAAAACGAAAATGTTGTTTATCTAAAGAATACATTCATCATCATTCATTGCACCCAAAGAGGAGTCGCTAAACACACACAAACACACCACTCTGAAACATCTCCGACCAGAATCCATCCAAAGTGACTGTCATGGCTCCTTCTCAGAACAAAGCTCCAGTCTTCTTGACGCAGTAGTATGACTTTTAGATATAGATGATAGAAAACGACCTTCCCAAGGCATACACAGACTCTCTCCACCTATTCTGTGCGAGTGGATTGTATACAGCAAAACCATTTTTTCTGCAAGAAAACATCTCGTCAATTATATAACAAAAACAACACTAATTAATATTGGACCTCTCAACTATTTACTTTTCTTAAATTCACATATGATGAATCAAGAACTTACTGTTGGCTTGCCAAGAACCTGGCCATTTTTATTATATCCAGGTTCATCTTTCCCCGGCGAGTCAGATTTTCCACCACCTTTTTTCTCGTTTCTAGCTTTGTTGAAGATGACAGTGAATCCCTCAGCTGATGAAGGGTCATTCACATCCCATTCTCCAAACTTTGGCAATGGACGGCCCTTGTCCTACACACAAAACCCAAAAACGAGTCTCTAAAGCCATCAATACTCAAAAGCTTGTCTTGTATGATTTAGGTTTAGATATTGCATGGCCAAGAGAGTTACTCTATACATTCTTCTCATTTATGTGCTAATACACTGTTCCAAATTTGGTTGCATAAGTTTAAGCGACCAACATTTATAGGATCCAAGATTTCAACAAAACAAAAACTCAAAAAAATTTATGAAAACAGAACAAAAAAAAGTTTAAGGCTTTGGAAATTTCCAGGTCTAAGACAAAAACGAGAGAAAATTTTGTAAATCTCATAGCAAATCATGTTTAAAAATGAGCAATCAATCAATCAGAAGCAAACAAAAAAAGCATCATCATTCAACAGAGGTTATGAAATTTACTGAGTAATTCCACATAAACGAAATCAAGAGATGTGAGACCAGAGAATCAGAAGAAACAAAGCAATCACAGGGGAAAAAATAAAATAAAAGTTACAATTCAAATATCAAGAATATGGAAAATGAAGAGAGATCGTACAGCCATGGAATTGCCGGAGAGATTCAAGAGGAGGTTAGGTTCGTGGTGGTGTTGGTCGTCGTCTCCTTCCTCTGGTTTTTCTGCAACTTCTTTTTTATCTTTTTCTGTGTATAATTTTGGGGATGAGGCGAAAAAGGAGGAGCCATGGCATCTGGGCCTTTAGTGGGCCTTTAATGGGCCTTTAATGTCTAATTATTTTATTTGAACATTTCCAACAGTGAAGTGTATTATCTGGGTCTTTACTGGGCCTCAGTCAATTCGAAGCTTAACCAGATTAGACCGTACTATGTCCGGTTCTTGGAATTATGATACCGAATCCCAAATACAATCTGTTTAACCGGTTTTAGGCTTTGAAATTTGAAGTTTGTACATAACGCCTCTGTCTTCTTCGTTACGTTAGGTTTTGAACACACCATTGTATTTGTCTTTTCCGTTACGTTAGGCTTTGAAGTTTGAACATGGCACAATTGTCTTCTCCGTTATGCTTCGAACATATACACAATGTCGGAAACAGAGACTGAACATTAATAATAATGATTAATTAATTAAAATCTTTCGTTAACGTTGCATGAAACTTCAGTTTTCAAAGTTTGGCATGGTGATCATGGAAGACTTGTGATATATTTGTTTTTGTTTTCCTCGATCGTACATTATTACATAGGCAAAGAGAACATAAACACCATATGTCTTCTCCGTTAGGCTTTAATTTGAACATTACACAACCATCGTACGTGTCTTCTCCGTTAGGCTTTGAACATAACACCATATTGTCTTTTCCGTTACGTTAGGCTTTGAACAAAGACCATATTGTCTTCTCGATTAGGCTTTGAACATAACAGTATTGTCGGAGACAGAGACTGATCAATAGTAGTGAATCAAAATATTTCGTTGCATGAAACTTTCCATTAAATCTTGGCGCAGTATTCAAAGTTTGGCTCGGCTATGGAAGACTTGTTTTCTCTCGTACATTAATATATACATTTATAGGCAAAGAGAAAATTTCAAAGATATATATATACACTCATGAGTCATGAGACATGCTTCTTGTAATTCAATTTACAAGTTAGACGTACCAAATTTTCAGGCTGATCGAGTTGATTTTGGTAAAGAAAGGAAAAAGAAACAACACGATCCAATAAATGAGGAAGAGATTCACTTCTGTGCGTGTAAAGATTGAGGGCTATATAACGAGGAAGATGACACAAGTAGAAATTGCACCTTTTCTTCCTCACAAACACTTTCCAAAAATACCTTCTTTTTTCCTACCAAGAAATCTTCTTTTTTTCTTGGAAAGTAGATATATATATGCTCGAAGAGATTTCCGTTTGAAACGTATTCATAGAGGAGAAGTGGTACTTGCGTCTCCAAACAAAGGTGAAAAAGGGAAAAGGTAACAAAAACAGAAATACTCTGTTTGGAGACGCAAGGTCCAGTCCTCGTCTATGAATATGTTTCAAACGAAAATATCTTCGAGCATATCCATGGCGAAGCGGTGTTGACATGGAAAAGCAAGCTAATATTATTATGAACATTTGGACTACTATGAAATAAATTTAGTCCTCTCTTGTTTGATGTTAGACTAATATATCTTAGAAACACCAATATTTGAGTTTCACTGTTTAATCTTGATTTCTGATAGTACTGTTTTTAGATTCTTTAAATCTTCAATGTTTTGCAACAGAATCAGCAGCTTCACTATATATTGTTCAAGTTTCTTCGTTTCCAATTTATAATAAAATGTTTTCTATTCCGTTTTTAAAAAAAAAAAAAAAAAATTACAGACAAGTTAGAACCAGTCATACAAAAACATTTAACTTTTAAAATTTGGAAAGTTTAATAAAAAAAAAAAAGATTATGCATTGGTTGCATCGATCTTCTTACCTAAATATTAGTGGTGTCACATTACTGCCAAAAAAGCATTTTACATAATGGAGTATGATGGTCGTATTGTAAAGTTCACTTAGATTTACGCAACAAAGGCATATTTCATAAACCAAATTGATTTAACAACATAACACAAAACGTACTAAAGTTAATTTACATGTCCGAGAGCACAATATAGTGCAAAAAGTAGTAAAATTAGTTTACACTTCCGAGTTTTATTCAGATAATAATTATAGGAAATCCCCACGAAAGGGAAAAAAAAGGTCTACAAAGCATTGAATGTAAAATACATTAAGCTTTGATCTCAAACCTTGAATACTTGATGGATCCAATAGTGATATCGATTTCGATAAGATTATCTTCTTCAGTGAAATCGTTGAACTCTGTAAATAGATCAAAGAGCCTGAAATCTTGGACTTTGCTGTTGACATAGAGATTGTTCTTGTTACTAGTATAGTGATGACCTAAATACTGACCACTCGGTAAAGAGAGTTCAATAAGGCTCTCATCATCAGGGATTGCGCCGTTTACATCCTCTTCTTTAGTCGTTTCCAGGTTGCCGTCCGATTTTGCGAGGTTATCCTCCGACTTTCCATTGATATCTTTTGTGGCAAGATAGTCTAGGTCTTGTTCTTGTTCTTGATCTTGCTTTGATGATTGAACTATATGAGGAGGAAGTGAGAGTGGAAAGAAGAAATAGGAAAAGAACAAAGCACCAGAAGTGAGGAGGAGATGTAAGAAACGAAGGCCAAGGATGTGAAGAAGCGCTGGAGCGAGAAGAGAGAGCCATGAAACAGGTCTCCTAAGGAAAATTAAAGCCAAACCAATCAAACAACACTCTTCTTCTCCTTCTCTTTTCTTCTCAAAATTCATTTTTAAATTTCAAATAGTTGTAGATAGATGCAACCCTAGAAAGAAATTAAAAAAATACACTAAGTGGGTTGATGTAAGAAGCCAAGTACTATGGTTTGGATTTTTAATCAGAAAGGGCTATGTTGCAACTCTATTTTTGGGAATAACATGAAAATGTTAAGGCTATAAATAGTAATACCACCTAAGGTAAATGCAAAATTGATTTTTTTATTTATTATTTATTGAAAACAGAAAACCGGAAACCAGTCCATTGTTTGTTTTGCTTCGATATTTGAGGAGTGGTTACTCATATAATTATAGTTAAATTTCTAATATATAGATTAACTAAACAAATAAAACAACCATAGATATGCTTAGACTCTCGTGTGCTTTGCTGCAAAATTAAGCATGAGTCAAATATTTCAAAATGTGTACATACAAAAATATATGTGTGTCTTCGTGTGTGTGGAACTAAGATGCCGTGAAACTATACTAACATATCAATTTGTGTTTTATACGGATTTAAGTATAGATTCTTAACGGCTCATTTAGTCCTGTTTAAATTTTCATCTGGTTTTACTAGTTTTTAAAACTAAATCTGTAAACTGATAGGTAAGAGATCTATGAATTTTCTACAGCCTTTACAAGATTTTAATGTCATTTTTAAAAATAAATCTTTAATTAGCTTGAAAAGTTACAGACAGATCCCCTGGAAACTTACAGCCTCTACAATGATATACTAAGTCTTTATAAAAAAATACAAATACATATTATTTATTTGTTTCCAAAACTATAGACTAACTTCTACAGTAAAATTTTTATTTTGAAAGAATAAAATCTATAAGTTCAAAACTACATTCCTAACCAAACGAGTCTAATAGAGTTAACATTTTCTAACAAATTTTGGATTTTAAGTCAAATTAAGGATATTCTTATTATTTTCACGAAACAGTTATTGATTTTTTTTTGTTAAAACGATCAAATTTGGTCTGAAACTTGTGAAACTATATATATTGAACTAGTTAATAATCTAAAGGTTGATGCAATTTTGACCAATTATATAATACTGATTAGTTTAATATGATTACATACTATAAAAGAAAATCATATTTTTGAGATAATTAATGCACAAAACAAGTGTACATATATCTATTTAACAAATAAAGAACAATTTGAGCATCTGAAACTGATTCTCTTGGAGAATTCAAAGGCCAAAGCCCTTGAGCTTTGAGCTTGTACAGTACACTCTCCAAGGCATAGAAAGTTGGTAAGCCATGTGCCACCATCTTGGCGTCATCTTACCTCTTTTGGTAAAAACATGTATTTTTCTCTCCTCTTCTTTTTTTCACTTTCTAAACTCATTTTTACGACATAAAAGTTATGATCTTTTTCTTCGAGTATATAGTTTCTCTTGTTTTTAAAGTGATTTAATAATGTTCCAATCGAAAGGCCAATTTTATCCAATCTGTTGGAACAGGGAAGACCTTAGTTAGCTGCCTTAGATACAGATTTAGCAGCTTGTCTCTTTTTTAAAAAAAATTTGTCATTTTAATGTCAAGACATATTGTTTAGCTCGACACACAATAACTAGATTTGTTGAGATTAACTTCTAAACTTTTCTTTTTTTCTAAATTAGATTTACCAATCCAAAAGTTTTCCGTCAATTTACTTTATGGTTGATAAATTTGATAAAAAAACTTGAGTGAAAATTAATTAAGTATAAAAGACTTCTTTTAAAGGGTGTGATTATAATGATAAAGAAAATACTATTTCCTCTGTTTCAAATTAGTTGTTGTTTTGACAAAATATATCTGCAAATATTTAGATATATCTGGATATGTTTTGTATTGCAGATACATTTTTTCAAAATGACGACTAATTTGAGACGGAGGAAATATATTTTAAATTATTAAACGCATATTTAAAATTGGGAAACGAAGTAAATGAAAAATCCTACAAAGAAAAAGGTGCCACTTGTCCGCCAGATGTAGACCTAAAGCTAGGTTTCCCATTGTTTGCAATATAGGCTACAAAAAAACCTTGAAAGTATGAATTGATTAGTTATACTTATCCAACTAATATTTTGATTAACCAAAGCTAATAGTTAATGGTCTCGAAAGGAATGTTGTTTACGTATGAGTATGACGCAGTCAAGAGGATGGGGGGACCATAGACCCTATGACTCTATTAGTATGGAAATGTTTTGAATAGACTCAAAGTTTTAATTACTTTCATTCCTTTGTAATGTGAATATGCATTGGCAGTAGTCT